TTTAGTATAATCTTATCCGCGGGTCCTTTTTCTATTATCGATATATTATAATAGGGCGGTAGTAGCGTTATCGTCCTAAAACTAAATAGTCCTTAGTTAAGCTAAACTAGCTATCCTTTCGTATAGGTTAATTCTTTATCTAGTCCTTTAAAGGTCGTAAAGTAAGCCTCTTCGTTATACGTATCGTACGTATATTCGGCTTATAAGGAGTATTCCTAGTCGTTATATTTCTAGATCTATATATATTTTTATTCTCTTCTAGGAGTAGCGCCTAGGTTATAACGATATAGGGTTTCTCCTTTCCTTTTATCCTAGAAATATATATAAAATTTTATAGAGTTTTTATATTAGCGTAGTATTTCGTCTATCGATATCTATTTATCTTCTTCTCGCTAAATTTTTAGTTAATATAGTTCCTTATCCTTCGTATACGTATAGGTATATCTATATTATTAGTATCCTTAAGTTCGGTACTTATAGATTAACGTCGTTCTAAACGCTTTCTACGTTACTCTTCTATTTAATACTATAACTTCGTTAACTATCTTCTAGAATCTTATTCTTATTATCGTATAATTATCTATATTTATAAGTACCGTTTCTTTTTCGAAATCGACTATTATTATAGCTAGGGTTTTCTAGATCCTCTATTCCTATTTTCGAGGTTTTATACTCCTTCTATCCTTATATAGAAACTACTATTTTTCGATCTTTAAAGCTAAATAGAGTTAGTAGTCGTCCTCGTAGTAGAAATACTATAATTCTTAAGCGTATCTTACGATATTTCTCCTTATATTATATATTACTTCGCTCTACTATTCTCCCTTTAGGAGTTCGTCGAACTTTTCTTTCTTTTAAGTCTTACGCTTAGGTCCTTTAGGTTTCTTAGTTTAATATCTTAACTAGAACTCTTCTTCTAATTACTTAGTATTTAACTTACTTAACTCTTAAGAGTTATCCGATTCTCGGTAGTCCTTCTATACTATTTTACCCTTATTCTCGGTAGATCTTTAGGTTTCTTTAATAGTATCGGCCTTTTTCGCTATTAAGTCGTCTATACTACCGCTCTTTATATTTATTATATATAGTCCTCGAGCGCTTTTCTTTTCTAGGTAATTACGTATATAGTATCCGGGTTTACTATATTCGTAGTATAGGTTTTCCTTTCTTTATCTTTTCTTCTCTCGATCTCGTCCTCCTATAACCTTTCGCTTCGTATTTCGGCTTCTACCTAGGCCTATTCGTCGGGTATTATAACGTTCTATAGCGTCTAGGTCTATAGAGTCTCCGTAGTCTCGTAGGCGTCTCGTATTAGTTCGAGGAGAATATCGATACCCTCGGTACTCTCGCTTTCCTAAGCTCCTTCCTTAATTATCTTCTATACGTAGTTTATATAGTCGATTATTAAGTTTAATAGCCTTATCTACTATATCTTTATATATTTCCGGACGCTCTATTATTTCCTTCCTAACTTCCTTCTTTAATCTATTATAAAACGTATCCTTAAAGATATTATCGTCTATATACTCTAGTTCCTTTACTAGTTTTTTAAATTCCGAATAATAGTTAGCTATAGATCTTATTTATTTAAGGATATAAATAGTACGAGAGGCTACTATAGCCTCGTTAATCGTACTATAGATTTATTTAATTATTACTTCGAACTATATAAAGTTCCTAAAGTATACCTTAATTTTATTATCGGGGTCGGAGGACTCGAGGTAGTTATTCTATACTAGTTTAAACTAATAGAACGCTACTCCTTTAAGGTATATTACTACGAATATAACCTTATCCTCTATCCTAGTATACTTAGTTAGATTAAGCTTAAAGGTAGTCTTAAGTTATATAAGGAAGTATCCTAGCTTCTCCCTATTTCTATAGAATAGTTCTACCTTAATACTATCCCGAGATATATTAGTAAGTCTTAGTACGTTAACTATATCTACGTCGGAGTCTTCGTCGGAACTACTATCTTAAACGATATTAGTCTTTAAAGAATTACTTAAGGCTATAATTAGACGTACGCTAGGTAGTAGGAATCTAAGTCGAGATAATCCTACGTTAGATATCTAATACTAATTAAGGTAGTAGTTAAAGTATTATAATCCGAGCTATAAGTAGTTCTAACTAAGGTAGGGTTCCTTAATAGAGTAGGTACTAGAGTGCGGACTAGGATAATAAAGGAAATACTTATTCGTCGAACTATATCCTAAAATATAGGTATAGAATTACTAACGAAGTTAACTACTACCGTCCTATCTAGGGTAATAAGCGTATATTATATAATACTAGTAGCTCTCCTAGATCTTATTGCTCCCCCCGAATCTCTCGAGATCCTATAAGATCTAAGGGATCTAGGGGATCTAGCCTAGCCTAGTCACCTAACTTAGCCTCGTTCTCCATCGGCTAACCTCCTTCCTTGGGTAGGTGCCTTGATTCCCTTAGTAACCTTTCAAGTGACCTAGTTCGTAATAGGAAGAAGTAGATCCTATGCCCACTAGTCGCATTGCAAGGACTGGCACGTTCGAAAAACCACTACATCATGGTGCTCTCGCATCACTCGAGCCGTTGCAAAGCTAGCGAGGAAAAGCGCCTATAACAACAATCTTCAGTTTAGGAGTGAACGTCATGCCTGAGATATATGCTCACGATAAGAACTGGAGTGATTGGGAAACGAGGAGCAATATATTAAGATGATCGCGACTGCAAGATGAATGGAAGAGGCGGAAATGCGCTCGGCCGAGTCAATTAACTCATATGAACCTGTTGTCACGATCCAGGGCTGGCCAATATTAATGGCAAAGCGGCAGTTGAGAAGTGTTGGGCAGAGGTCCTTTTCGACACCAGGTGATCTGGAATGTCTCTATGAAGCGTGGAATACATGCTATTGACACCATGCATCTATAAGGCCGTCTCGCCCCGAAGAGTGACGCTCAAGACGGCACAATCTAGAACAACTCGGTCTGTTTTTCAAGACGTCTACGCTCCATTTGAAATGATTGATCCGACGGGACAATGGATGCTAGAGCCAGACTTGAGGCGAGGCGGCCGAGGCTCCTCGCGAATAGGATTCGCGATCTCTACCTCCACCCTTGACCGGAAACTACAATCATTCTGGTGGATTCGTGATTCCTTTCAATACGGTGCAGCAGACTTCACTGCAGTGATGGCGTTCTACAACAAACCCCGGAACTGTCGACGCCTGGCTCGTATGTGTCGGAAGTGCCGTAGGCGCAAAGTCAAGTGCAGTAAAAACACACCCTTTACCAGATTTTCGACATGAATGTGTCTGACCAACATCCGAGACAGCAGCCCTCGATAAGCATAGTGAGCGGTCCTTTCGGCAGTCAAGTGTCGACGAGGAGACCTCATGTTCGCCTCAGCAAAAGGTGGTTGAGGACGTACAACCAAGATCATATTTCTGAGCATCCAGCTGTGGACCCCCGGTCCACAGCTGGTGTGCCTCTGTGACCAGATCGAAGATTTAGAGCAAGTCTTGAAAACCCGTGCTCTTGATCATGCTGACAGACGGTAAATGTTCTGCGCAACCAATGCTGTGTGATGGACGGGCGGCTTTGAATAAGACCAGGACCTTAGGACGCAGCAATTGGTTGCACACAGCTTATCATGTTTGCTGGCCCAATAAGACCTATTTTCAATGACGCTAACACTTTTGTAGTTTTCAGAGATGCAAGGCTTATTCAGCCATCGAGATGGTGAATGTCCAAGCTCTGAAGTAGGTTCTCTAAAGCCAGATATTGAACTTCTTCTTAGCCAGTGAGAAAGAGAGAGGGAGAGAAAGATTTTCTGAACACAATTAGGACATAATGCTTTAACGATCGATCATCGAATGTGGGAAACAAGAATCTCTGCTCACTCAAACAATATTTGAGCGAAATGCTGGTTAATACGACATGAGAACTCGCATTTATGAGAGTCAGGTCGAAGAGAATCTCAGTGTTGTTTCTTTTTTGCCGTGATCACGAGTCCTCGATCTTGGAAGCACTCGCATGGAAAGTCACATGGACATGATACTGAGACGATGAGCGAAGTCCTGAGCAAGAAGAAGGTTTTCCCCCTCCGTTACTTCTACGCAGATTTTGGCTGGGCCCCGGAAGAAAGGTCGTGGTCCAGGACGTCCGAATTTGTCTCTGGGTGTTGTCCCTTCTTGCTCTTGCCTGTAAAATCCTAGGCGGACAAGCTTAGAAATACCATTCAGCAGCAGTTGCTCCCTCTAGAGATCGACTTGGTGGTACTGATTAAAGGACCGAGGTCCAGCTACGATGGGGCTCCGCTCGGAATTTTTGCTGAAAGGCTAGTTTACGTGATCTGGTGGAAGAGGCGATGGTGGTTAATCCACCGAAAAGCGCAAAGCCAGTCAGGGTAACTAGGCGCCTTGGGGCCGAATTATCGGCACTATGCAACGCAGTCTTGGAGATCATTGGAGGAAGTGAGCAGGTGTGATATAGTAACGGTGCATGAACTGTGGAATGAGCGAGCTGGAGGGACGAGGGTTTGACCGCTACTTTTCGTGGTTTTAATAGCCACGAGGTAAAATACATGGCTGATGCATGGAGTCGGAGGCCTAGAATCATCCCTACGAGAGTTTGCATCCAATAGAAAGCTCAGTGAAGGCATCATTCAAGCCAAACTCGAGAAGACATGGCCGATGCTCAATGTGAAACCGGCAAGGCTGAAACGTAGGGGGCGGCCTTGTGAGAAAGGGTGGCCATCCGGACTAATAGGATATTCTGAACCTCAAATGACTTTTATGCCCCGAAGAGTAAACCCGTATGAGCTTAGAGCGGCGTCGCCCCCTCCCCCAAGCAGGACATGTCTTGGCATTTGACAACACCTAATTCTCACCCCGCCCGGGCATACGCCACTCTGCATTGCCACGGTATTATGGTTACACAAAGTTGAAGATTGAATTGTTCAGGCAGGATGGAGTCACTTTCGCGTGTTTCCTCCTTGATGGAACCCAGTAAGCATGAAAAATGGATCCCACATGGCTCCATTATACTGACCAACTTTCAGCACGGGACCTGACTGTTGAAGCGGTTCAGGCCATTGGATTATCAAAGGCGCTGAAAGGAGGAGGCTCGTCATCCCGCAGTATCCCTTTTGCGAAGCTGAAGGGACTTCTTGACAGCCGGAGTGACCGTGATATCCTCGAAGGTTTGAAGAGAGTGATTTCTGTAATGAGCTCCGCCTTATCCCACGAACGTGGAAAATGCAACTGAATCTTGTCTAGATGATCTATCAGAACAAACCATGTCTGCCATACTTCTCGTCTGTGGTCAAAAATGTCGCCAATCCCAATATTGAGATCAAGAAACTCGTCTACATCTACTTGCTTCACTACGCCGAGTCCGATCCGGACTTGGCGTTACTCTCGGTCAACGCGATTCAAAAATCCCTGACAGATCAGAACCCACAAGTTCGTGCTCTGGCCCTCCGGACAATGTCGGGAATGAGGGTTCCGGTCATCAGCCAAATTGTGTCTTTGGCCATCAAACGTGGTGCAGGTGATATGAGCCCGCACGTGAGGAAGGCAGCTGCACTGGCTATTCCGAAGTGCTACAGCCTTGACCCGAACACGCTGCCACAATTGCTGGAATACTTATCTACGCTACTCGGCGACAAGCAGTACTTTGTCGTTGGGCCTGCTGTGCAGACATTTCTACAACTATGTCCAGATCGCATGGACCTGATCCACAAACACTACCGGAGTCTTGTGAAAAAGCTTGTCGACATGGACGAGTGGAGCCAGCTTGCGACGCTGAGACTGCTTCTGACCTATAGTCGCCTCTGTTTCCCTCAGAAGATCCATAGAGTCACAAAAGTCAATAAGAAGGGCTTCTACGACGATGAACCAGACGATGAAGTCGAAACCGGCGAGGTAGTCCGCGCCCTGGACCCAGACCTGGAGCTACTCTTGAAAGCTTGTCAGAATCTTCTGCATAGCCGGAGCACCGCTGTGATCATTTCTGTAACCAGCTGTTTCCTGTACTTGGGCACGACAGAATATCTCAAACAGGCGGTGGGACCCTTGATTGGACTCCTGAATGGCGCTCCGGAGGTGGAGGAGATAGCTCTCTGCAATATTGTCATGGTATCACTGTCTGTGCCTCAACTCTTTGTCCCGTATACTTCGCACTTCCTGCTTCGGGCACAGGATTCGCCTCATATTTGGAAGCTGAAAATCGAACTGTTGACAATTGTCTTCCCACACGCGGCGTTGCATCTCAAATCGATTATACTGAGCGAGCTGGAGCATTTTTCTCACAGCTCAGACATTGAGCTGATCCAAGAGTCAGTCAAGGCAATAGGACGATGCGCACAGGCTGACCCGGACAACGCGCACCGATGCTTCCGGGTCCTGTTAAATCAGATATCGAGCTTTGACAATGTTCTGGTTTCTGAGGTTCTCACTGTGATTCGACACCTGATCCAGCAAGATCCAGCCTCTCACCGGAAGACAGTGGTAAGGCTGGCGCGGAACTTAGACAAAACAACCAGTCCAGAAGCTCGCGCGACCATCATCTGGTTGGTAGGCGAGTTCGCGAACCTCGACCCCGACAACAATATCGCACCGGATGTGCTTCGGATTCTAGCCAAGGGTTTTGCTGACGAGAGTGAGCCCGCCAAACAGCAGATCGTGCTTCTCGCCGCTAAAGTCTACCTCCTGTTCCTGCAAAACAAGACTGCGGAAAAATCCGTTGTCGCAGACACTACCACAGAGGAAGACGGTGGCGAAGGCTTTCAAGAACAACACTCGCCATCTTCGCCATCGTCTGACCACCCTGTCCCCAAATTGTGGAACTACATCCAACTCCTCGCACGCTATGACACGTCATACGATCTGCGCGACCGGGCACGGCTTTTCAAAGCACTCCTCGCCAACCCGGAGTCCACTCAACTGGCATCGCTCCTCTTGCTCGCGCCCAAGCCTGTCCCGCACGCGCCTTCGCCGTCACAGTCTCGCAAAGGCCTGCTGATCGGTAGCACAACGCTCGTATTGGGGAAAGATAATGCCGGCATCCTCGGACTCCCCGGCTACGAGGAACTACCGGAGTGGGTCCAGGAGGGACAAGAGCCAGACTCGAAGCTGAGAGATGCAGCCGATGGTGCCGACAAGGATGAATATATCTCTGTAACCGCTAGGACGGCGGCGGCGTCGACGGTTGCGGCAAGTCGAAGGCTGGATGACGCGGTCAGGGAGCAAGGCCTGGAGAACGTGGTCGCCGCAGGGTCATCCACCAAGCAGGCAAATGTAAAGCCGCGCACTTTGGATGATTGGCTTGCTGAAAGTGAGGATGAGGATGAGGACGAAGAGGAGACGGAAGAGGAGACCGAGAGCGAGGGGCACGACGATGAGGGCTCTACGGAAGAGGAGAGCGACGAGGGGGAAATGGAAGAAGATAGCGAGGATGAAAAGGCGGTGCGGAGAGGCCTCATCTCTGGGTAATGCAGCAATCGCAATCATCAATCATCACTCTTGTTGGATACCGGGTTTGCCCAACCATGGCCGGTGGGTACCAAGCCAAATCACAGACCGACCGTCTATAATCGTTAGTGAGCGTCCTTTCGTTGAGTCCGGTTCTCACTGGGCCCCTGGCCTTGCTGTCGCTTCTGAGCTGACACGGCGGGCACTCTATCTACCACAAACTCACATCTATCATAAAAGCATTGTCTTAGGTCTTTATCCAAGTAATTCCTGTGCGTAGAGGAAGGGGAAGGCTGGCAGGTTGGCAGAGGATACCTGATCTCGAGATTGGATCAAGTAACAGACCGTACAGCCTAATTTTCGCAGCGGAGAAAGGGGATTTGGCTCTCGCTCAGGATACAGCCAAGGCTTTCCCGTGGAAGGAGGCTGCATCAATGTTGACCTTTGTCCTCATTGGGCGGATTTTGGAAGCTCGCTCTCTCTCTCTCTCTCTCTCTCTCTCACACACACACACATACACACAAAGAATGTGCTAGGGATGACGATTTGACGACAATGATTATAGTGTTGGTACTACATACGGCTAGGGGTGATGGTGACGCTGCTCTCGGCGGTAACTGGACCGAAGCTATGCTTGGCTACTGCGCAGCACAGTGAGAGTCAGGCTTGCCAGCATTTTCGCGAGGACGTGTGGGTGAGCCGACAGCCGACTTCTTGATGATGATGATGCTCCTCTACCGTGGACTTACATGGCTGCCCAAAAGACAGGGCTAACCAATGGGTCGAGGTGCTGTACGAAGTGCTCGTACAGAGTACCTCATACCCTGTCGCAGACATCACAAAACGATGGCTTCGGGAAAGACGGAGAAGCAATTGATCCGGACGGTTAGAACCCAGCGGTGGATCCAGGAGGTACGTGGTGATTTGCTCGCGGGAGGTTCGGCCCGCTGCCATTCCCACAAGCTAACCGTGAGCTAAAGTTTGGCAGCTGGGGACCCTGCGGGAGGCTCCTTCCAAGCACAGTCTCTGCACGAACTCCATATTCCACATCAGAGCAGTGGATGACTTCCTACCATGGTCAATTCTACTGATATGCATGGTGCAGTCTTACCAGGTAGCTAGGCCGCGGTCGGGGAGCTATGTCTGGAGCCTTTGATGGCCACGCCAGCAAACCAGAACGAAATGAGCCTTCCTTCAAGCAAGGTTCTCTATCTGGACAGTTTATCGTTCCGCTTGATCCGAACACCATGCACCAACCAGAGCATTTCCTGCGTTGGACCTTGGTATCCTGTTCGTCAATCTCCCTAGTCTAAATGCAGACATCGCGTGATTTAGCCTAGATACGGGCTCATTGGTACTTTTCTCGGCAGGATGTATCCAATACTCCCGTTCCCACCATGCTTGTCTTTAGCTGCATACCGTAAGTCCGCCGCTTTCTGTCTATTCCGCTCGGTCAATAGTGGTCAAGCCGTTGCTCTGGTGGGTTTTTCTAGTAAAATGGGATATGCAAACGCTAAAGAAGACTCTGTGGAAACTAATTGCGCTCCCCGCAGGTCAAGTAGTAAACCCACCGATTCCTTCGAATTGCTGTAATGTCTGCACGGGTGACCGGTGCCGTCATGCGTGGAGCGGGCATCAAGTGGAATGCTCAGTTCATACCCTATTCCCGGTAGAGGCTTAAGGAGTACAGAGTATTGTTGACTTGGATGGTAGAGGACTCGATGATGAGGTGAGAAAGCGGGGTTCGTTGCATCGTTTATGGATACTTCATCCTCCGCACTACGTGATTCGACTTGTGAGTCATCAGATGATAGTGATATTTGCTGTCTCAATAATGTGGATTCTTTTCCTGATTAGATAGATAGCTCTCGCTTGAAACAGTTGGGCAAACGTTGTCTGATAGCAATGACAAACAAAGATGGCGTGGGAATGCCGCCCACGCCCACACATGTGAGGGACTGGCTTGCGGCACCATTGGCACTAGAGGAATGGATTGCGTCACTTTGCTTGAGTAGCATGGCTAGCAGATCGGAGTACCGTAACAAGGTGGGACCGAACGGTTTTTCAAGCCCGGTGAGCCCTTTCAGCATGTTTGAAGTAATCATGAAACTGCGAGATTGGATCAGCAGTAGGCTCGATGTACATCACTTCGCTAGAGACAGCGAGCGAATACGGGATTCGAGATCGAACTCCCCCCAGGGCTGATAACTAGTTCTGGCCTTGAGCAGCCGATGAAAGTGATGCCCTCACTGGCAATGCAATAATTCTATACACTGCTTCAAATGATTAACACTTCGTTCTGAATCCGAGCCTTCGCTGCCTTATTTGTTGCGCCAGCGCCATATTGTAAGGTAAACCAGTTTCAGGCCTAGACTTGGTGAGCGAAAAGGAGTGCAGGCTACGAGTAGTTGGGGCTCCACTTCAGCCGAATCGATCATCTCGGTTCGAAAGACCAGGTGAAACCATGGATGCGGTCAAGACTCAAGTCCTGCTAATACTCCGTATTTTGATCGCGATAAAAGCGTTCGATGGAAAGCCTTACCGGATGATGGAAAATGAAGCACAATCATGCCACCACTGACTCCGTAATTCCATTCGACATTGTTATCCAATTTTCGACTTTTCTGAGCCCGGGCAATGGGCGAACATCCCAGTTAGGAGCTCACTTCTCAGTTACCCACTTGAGGATGGTAGATACGCCAGGGAACAGGTCAATGTCTCGGTCAAGCTGGACGTGTTATTCCACTTCCAAATGCTTACAGTTTTGCACAGTCCATTAGCAATAGGAAGCAGAGTTCAGGCGTTCAGCCCCACGGTTCGTGACGCTTCGAACCTCCGACTCGGACCAGTAGTACTCGTAAGACTCGGTAGCAGGAGTTTTCCATGAGCTCCGGACGGCGTAGCATGCGGATGACACTACCTTGTCAACTCGTTCTTCGACACGGTGACGGTTAATGATCTTGCGGGAGCTCAAGGATTATTAGTTCAAGGGTCTCAAGTTGTAAGGCTTGCACAAGCATCTGGGGGCTGTTTCGAAAGACTTTCCGAGGCATACGACTCGCATAAGTTGTTAAGGACTGTGAAGCTGAGTGAATTAGATACAAGTTTTCAGCGGCCTGAAACGACAATGAAGATTGAATTTGCCAGTGGTCAGCGCGCTATCCAACCGCCTGAAAGACGGTGTCCGAAACAACCCTTGGAGAACGAGCTTTCTTCTGCTTACTGTAAAGCCCGAAGGGAACATACTCCTTCTTGCCGGGATTACTCGACTCCGAGAGCATGATTCTACGGTATGTGCATCGTACTGAAGCCCGTGTATCTCGCAAGAAGCGGTCCTTGTTGCGGGGTGTCCGTACTAGGGAGACCTTCGTAAGTTGTCGGAAGGACTAGAGCCTTGCTGTGCTTCTAGGCATCAGCAAGCACGTGTGGAGTGTCTCCTCCCTTAGTTGGAGGGGATCTCCGGATGCTATAGTGAACATATTCTATCATCAACGTCAGGCGTTCAGTCCGCTTCACGATCGCTATTCCGAGATCGGTGGCCTGTTTCATCAAGGAAGGAATAGAACATCATCTCGTAGGGAAAGCTAGCCTATGACTGCAATGCTAATTGTAGAGCCCCGTCGAGGGTTTAGGTATGACATGCTTGCGTGCACGAGGCTTCCTTCTCAGACGGACGATGAATCCTCCTGCCGGATGTGACAAACCAGGAGCCTCCCAGGAATTGACTCACTGATCCGTGGGTCTCCAGAGATAGTCGATATCTGCAATATAGACGGAAGGGACCGCTTCCCCGGGCGCGGAAGTCCTGACGGGTGTCCACCGTCCACGCAGACGTTATGTTTGGCTCAATCGCATTCAATCTTGCTTCTGAAACGTGGATGCTGGTTGATCAGTGATGTGTTCTGGAAAAGTGGGCTTCGTGGACGATGCCGCAGCAGTTCCTGAATGCCTAGAGTGGGTCGGTGCACGAGTCCTACAGAGGGACATATGCTTCTCCCTCCTTCTGGTCAGTTGGGACTGTGAAGATCGGGCGGCACCGTCGATCCTGCGAGTTTGAGGATGCCTGATGCTTTCCTACCTCCAGCGAGCGGGCTGTCGGTCGGTTCGGTTAAACCAGTCAGGCAACTATGGTGGCAGGCTGACCATCGTTGTGTTAGGTGAACTGGTGTTCGACACGCTTGGGTTGCAGTGAGGAACCTCATCCATCGTTAAGAACCGCGTTTTCTAAAGGTAAAGGCATACTCGGAACTTGCGAATTCAAGACCCTCAGCCCGGAACTATCAACAGATTTTGAAGGAATTCGAGGATAGGATTTGTCCGTGCGAGAGCCAAGGCGGCTTTGAAGTGATGTGTCACTCCTTCCGAATCTTATGGACGCCCTTGGGAGGCGGCAGTGATTTTCTAGTAGCTAGCAAAAGTATTATCCTGAAGGAGTAAGCACTGCAGGTGATATGGTTGTAGACAGGCTCGCGTGACACCTGGTCTGCTAGTCGAACCCTTTCTCCATAGGTTTGGTTGTTTCGACAAGAGTAATTCACTATGGAGCATGGAGCATGGAGCCACGGATGGGAAGAAGTAGGGCAGTTATTTCATTGGTATCGTAGCCTGACCTCCGGGCGAACATGTGTCAACCATCGGATTAGCAAGGCTTTGGTGGTGAGCGTGTAATAATAAGTAGATAGTGTGAGTTCTGTCCTCTGCCTCTGCATTATGATGCTGCATCACTGAAAGTCTCAACGACGCTCGGGTATTGTGTTCTTCTCCTTTTCTGTAGCTTTCCCATCTCCGCGACAACCTTTTCAGCAGTCACCTCTACATGCACCAGAATCTTCCCCAATTGGTTCAAAATCACACCAAAGGCAAAGCCCAATACTCGGTCCTGAACTCCATAACCCCCCGCTTTTGTTGTTCAAAAAGGCTCATTCGGTAACCGGCTGAAACATCGTAATTTTATGACTCAAAGTTGATGTGAGATTGTAACGAGAACGCTCAGATCCAAAATTAAAATCGTAAAAAGTAAAGGTCGTCATCGCATCGTGATAATGCTCAGAATGCAAAACAATCCAAAACAGCAACTGGGTATAGCAGGCATAAAGCCTATGAGTGGAATTGCTGTTAGCTGGCGGTGCCAACACCTTCTGTCGAGGTCTTCTGCCCTGCGCCAGCCGCGCCGGGGAGATGCTCGACGGTAATGGTGGCCTCTTGCAGGCAACGCTCGCATATCTTGTGATGACAATTGGGACACTCTTCAGTGCCTATGTTGAACCCCGTCTGGCATTCATGACAAGCGGCATCATTATTGTTTTCAGAGGGATCTAACGGGGCTGCCGAGGGCGCGGCCACATCGGTCTTGGTTGTCTTTGCTTTATCTTTCTTTGGTGGATAGCGAGAGCATTTGGTACACCGACGATGTTGACAACCCACACAGACTCTCTCATGGCCGAAGGTAGTTGAGCAATTATGGCATGTATACCTCACTCTCATTCGAATATTCTTGGCCACTCTTTCGTACGGGACTTTTGGTCTCATGTCCCAATCAGCTTCGCTTAGTTCGAGATTGTATTTGGCAAAGATTGCCTGGGCTTTATTGAAGCGCATCTCTGGCTCCGTCAATTGTCCGGTCTCTGAGGAGGGCTTGATTGGACGAAGTTGAACTGTTCCTTGGGTGGTGGCAGCGGGGATATCCTCGACATTATCATCTACTTCGATCCTTGGTGACCGTACGGGTGATTCGTCTCTGTCCATTGTTAGTCCCTGTCCACAAAATGGTCATGTTAAGTACATACGGTTTGGTGGCAGACGCGGACTCTGGTTTGGAAGTGACAGGTGCAGGTGCAGATGGAGATGATGCAGCGGGTGCGGCTATAGAGGTACTCGCAGCAGCAGCAGTAGGGGTGGCAGGTTTGTCTTTGAAGAAATCCTTAACTTTCTTCCATAATTTCTTCACGCTCTTCTTCTCCTTCTTAGGAGGTTGTTCCTGTTCAGTGGCCATTATTGGTGAGAAGGAATGGAACGCCTCGCTAATACCGGGTCATGGAGTGTGGGAGGTAATCAGATGAGGGCACGACGACAGGACCCAGGAGGAGGATCAGGTGGCTGTCCGAGCGAGCTATTGGTTGCGGGCGAATCCAGGGAATTGGGTGTGGTGAAGAAATGTCAGGTGCCAATTGGCGGTGGAAATCCGGAGGAGTGGACTGGAATGCTACTTGTCGGATAACGTGAGCCTGGTCCCAGGCAGGCGGACCATTGGAGCTTGGAGTTTGGGACGAACGGGCGACGAACACCGGGGACAAGCCCGAGATTTGGCTCTCTGGTGGATAATGGCGGCTAGAAGATTGATGAGGGAGGCTGTGGTGTGTCGTGGTATGTACTGCAAGTCTGTAACTCGGTGGTGGGAGGCAGAGGTTGACGGTGGGCCAATCCACTGGTCAAATAGCCACGGCAAAATCGCAGCCACCAGCTCCAGATTCCAAAGGACAGTCCAGTCCAGTCCAACCCGCAGGGCGATGGGAAGTTCCCTGGCAGCGTCGGAAACGACAGAAGGATCGACGGAGAGTCAAGGATCCCTAGGACTGAAGAAGAGGGAGAAGATGAGGAGATGAGGATAGGGAAGAATGATCGACACAAAAGGCCGTCGTGGAGACTAATAATATGAAAGGAAAGAGGAAATAGAAAGGCAAATAGAGTGTGTCGATGATGGGCTTGCGTGATGTGCCAGTGGGTTGTGTGGAGATAACTGGGAATGGGTAGACATTGACAGTGGGCACTGGACACTGGACAGACATCTATCTGATGATGCAGATTGCAGCAGACGAGACTCAGGATGTAAGTTACAGAATTTACAGTGCGAGTAGATCCAACCCGTGGCAACTTACCGTACTCGTTGCGAAAGCCCCAAGCACCACCTGGGCACCACTGGGCATGCCCCAGCCGAGTCAGTACAGTAGTCAAAGGCCAGAGGCCCGAGACTCGAGGGAGAAGAGAGGGGCAAGGGGAGACTGCGCGGCCCCCGTCGCACCGGCACTGGCACTGGCGCTGGCGCTAACTAGCACTCCCTGCCGGGGTTTCGGCCCTAGCTTTGGATCCCACCCACCAAAAGGACCAGGCGAAGGCTAACTCAGTCCCGAGGCACGTCCCTAGGGAGTTTGTTAGTTTGTTGACCAGGACGGATGCTGCTAGTGACAGCGCAGCCTAAAACCATGCCGTTCCTGGCGGGTGGATTCTGGAGACAGGCACCTCGTCCTGTTGAACTTGTACGGCTGGTGCTGCACATCTGATGCCCTTCCCTTACAATATCAATGGGGGAGATGGTCTGACTGCCGATACTAGTAGCAGCAAAAGCTAATGTCAATCAAAATGATTATGGGCACCATTCTACCAGGAGGGAGAAATGCAAGATTGATCGGCCGTTGTGTCAGTACCGAGTACGGACGGGGTACCGTCGAGTGCACCTTCGAGATCAAAGCCCAACCAACACCTGCACCAGGATCAGCACCAGCACCAGCACCAGCAGCTGCGCCTGGCAGTGGCACCGGACTGCATTGCAGTGCTGGGTAATACCGTGGCTTTGAGTATTCCTGAGCATGATCATGACGCTCAGGTGCACGCGAATGTTCGAGCACACACCCAAGCACAGCTCACTCTCTGCAACTTGTACCGCGTACCCAGAGGCGACTTGGAATCCCAGGGTTGTGGTAGGCCAGAAGCCAGGTGCACCGGCTTAGCTGAACCGCATCTCGGGCACTGCTCCCCTCGTTCTCCTCCACCTCGTCCTGCCAGTGCCTGCGCCAGGTTCATGCCTGCGCCATGCCCATGATTTCCACCAAAACAACCGTCCCTGCAGAGGGCTACTGCTCCGGGAACCCCATCACCACTTCCCCAACCAGTGCAGTCTCCCGTTGGTCGTCTAACCAGCGCCAGCAACCACCGCGTAGCTCCCACTAATGCCACCTATTCGTGGGGCGTCTCGTGCACCATGGCGTGAGCATAGTCAAAGCCGGCTACCCGTTCAATGACGAGGCACCGGAGTAGCGCTGGACGTACGCGTGCTCCGTACGACATCCTGGAGCTACCGACAGACAACCACCTCCTCGTACATTTGGAACATCTCTTTGCGTCGCCTAGCATGAGTCCACTGCCTTATCTCTGAGGGGCATCCCTTCAGAAAAGTTCCAAGTGACATGCTGGCGCGAATCAATTAGATTGCCATCCACGCGGGCATAGTTTAGCCATCGCCGTCAGCAGCACTGGCGCTGGCACTACTCCGTACCACTGCTACCGAGCACTAGTACTCCGTGTCATATTACCAGCTGATGGGCGTTTGCCCCTCAAACTGTCCGCTGTGCCCTTGTTTGGAAATCAGTGCGGAGCACCGCATGTGCTCAAATGTCCTTTATCTGGACGGAGCGTGTACCCCATAGGAACATCTCATATTACCGTGAGGCCTCAATCCACATGAACTGGTTCCATGTAGTCAAAGCTTCTTACAATTTGAACCCGTCTGCCGGATCAATGCACATGTTCTCCGTACTTGTAAGCGAGCAAGCAGAAGATGATTGTTGCCGAAAAAGAGCTGCTGAGCATTGACAATGCTCAACAGAAATCACCGATGATCTGAGTGTCATGTACGTCAAACATCCTTCATTCCCGGCAAGCCCGAAGAAATCCATGGAGGTGCTGCACTGGTTGGTGGCTCCTACCAAGGAATCGAAACACGTAAGGACGCAAGTCACGGGTGCTTGACTGCGGAACAGCCCCCGAACAGAAGAAACGAGAGACTCAGTATTACAGAGTAGTCCGAGTACGACTCGTGTACCTCTCACGCGTTAGCAGCTACGAGTACTCCGTACCTAGGTGGTATCGTGCGAAAAACCTATCATCCGTTGTCGCGTTATGATTGCGCCGCTGGCCGCTTTACTCACCCTCGGCTTACCTGCCGCTCCCTGACCGAGCCTGGAGCGCTACAGGAGTCCTGCCTGAGCCTTTTGGGTCTTTCTTGTACGCACTGAAGGGCCGGAATATGCAGAATGGGAAAATCGATATTCAGGTGATCTCATTTTGCCTCAACGCTCAGGATTGATTCTCGCAATCTTGGTTGATGGGGGAGACGGGCTGTCTGACCGACCAAGACAACCGGAACCTTCCACCATACAATGAGCAAATCTATCAAACTTCTCGCCCGGCGCATTTGTTGGCATACCACGAGTGTACACTTTGTTCACTCATACACGTAGCCCCCCGCTTGAGCATTTCGACCAATGAGTTAGTCGAAATCGGTGGTCTACCCTGGTCAAAGAACCTTGTTCGATTCTACCTCCGATGCGACGACACATATGGCAAGGAGGCTTTCTCATCTTGAACTTTGACCAGTATAAGCGACTCCACCAGCTCAGGAGTTACCATACAGATACCGTCGTCTTCAGCTGGAAGCCAGACATCACTGCTGCTGCTCAGACGTCGTTTGAGTTCATGTTCAAAACGTCGGCCGCACATTCACTCCCGATGGACTTCTTCTCCATTTCCGGACGTACGACTTTTCAGTGTAGGCAATCTATCAACATCCCTTCCTCATGTCACTCCCAGCCACAGGTGGAGGCACGATGATACCCTGAAGCTCAACAGCAAGAATCTCAATAGATTTCAAACTGCAATACGTTGGGATTCAATTCCAAAACCCTTTCAAGATGCCATTACTCTGACTCTGGAACTGGGCTACAGCTATTTATGGATCGATTCACTATGCATCGTTCAGGACAGTTGGCTTGATTGGGAGGCCGAAGCTGCGCAGATGTGCAACGTGTACAGTAATACGGTGCTGAACATATTCGCGGACTACTCAAGCGGAAGTCACATTGGCTTGTTCCATCAGCGTGACGTCTGCACAGCAATCGGTTTTGTTGCCCGTGCTAACTGGCCGCGAATGGCAAACAGCCTTTGGCATTGTGAGCTCTCATACGAAGAAACATATGAAGACAGACATCTATCGAGAAAGGAAAGCATTAGTGTCTTGCCTCCCATGGGTGGGTCGTGCAGGAAGAATTACTTCCGCCTGCAGTGGCCTACCTTGGACACGCAGACATCTTCTGGGTATGTCATCATGGGGCTGCTTCGGAAATGTTACTCGGGCAGGAACATGCAATTCGAGATGACTTTTGGGATCACAAACCCCTCGGTGATACGCTTTCAATCCGGCCGGCTCTCAACTCCAATGTGGCTCTCTTTGACACTACGAAAGAGCGCGCTCTCAGTGACTAGATCAGTGTCTGGAACGCGATCACTCGTCCATACAATTCATGCAACCTTACTTTCAACCAAGACAAGCTAATTGCATTTTCTGGCTTAGCTTCTAGGATGCGCGAATCGCTGAACTGGAAGGCCGAAGACTTTTTGGCCTGGCTCTGGAGACCTATCTTACTAGAAAGCCTTTGTTGGAGGCCTCCGCGTGTTATCGGAAGAAACAGTTCTACGGGACGTCTTCTGGTTGATGTCGCCCCGACTTGGTTTGGGACATCTATCAAAGGACAAATCCTACTCGAAAGCTATAACCGTCGACGGTTGGCTCAATACCAGACCCTGGCCGAGATAGTTGAGGCCAACGTATCTACTCCAGCAAAATCCTTCGGGAAAGCATCTTCGGGTCGTATCTTTATCAAATCATTCATTTGGGAGCTCTTCGGCAGTCTTTGATGCGAGAACAAGGCAAGGAAATGTTAAAGCCCTGGCGATGATGTCTTGTGGCCAGTTTTGGAGGGTTGGCTCCCTTGATACTAACGTTTATCTAGACATCTTACCGACTACTGACGACGAAGAGGAAATATCACATTTATTCTTTGCAGTGGTACGCGTTTCCGCTTCTGGAGTACGATTTCAGAACCAGCCATGTTATTAACGCCTTTACTTTGATGGTCTTCTTTTGAAGTTGACGGAAAGCGGAGAGGCTGAATATCGACGAGTTGGGACGGCCCGGTTCCCTTTCTGTAATATGGTCCACGGACCATGTCCATGACACAGGCTTTCGTACGGATGCTACGTGAACAAGCATACACAGAGTCTCAGATAATGGACGCTGCCGCTCAATCAGTTATTCAATACCATCTGATAAGAGAGCAGGACCCGGTAGGGGAAAGCTGGGCTGGAGATGCCGTGCAAGTTTGACCTGAAGCATTGACGTCCCTAATCAACAATGTTCCAAAGTGGGGACGAAAGGCAAAAAGCTTTTGGCCTACCACTGATCTCGATCTATCGCATGACGAAATATGGCGAAGCTCAGAATACACACAATTCGAATAGTATAGACAATGACTATACCTTCCTGCTTATCGACCTCAAACGTACTATATCAAACTCCGCAATCTAGTCAGACTCTTTGTACTCAGCGAGATTAAAGACGATATTTTATCTACCGAGGTTCGGCGGCGAAATGAAACAGTAACTCATTTAGCGGCTCGCCGCTTTGCTCATCTTCTGCTCATCTGGTGCTTCCTAGGCGATCCTTAAGCGCTCCATGGATAGTAGGCAAAGTGTACGGACTATCCACCCCACTTCCTCTCCGCTACGCAAGCCTGGTGCGTAGGCATTCCATCTCTTGCATCAAAACAGTCCAGGTAGGCCGAACAAGTCCGCCGCGGTCAAACCGGCAGTGGACTGGAGCGTTTCTGAAAACAGGTCTTCCATCTGCTCGTCATCCAGATGCAGAGCCGTATAAGGCAAGGACAATGTCGGGGACCCATACGCATCATTAATAAATGGAGTCTCGAGCCGCTGATCCGTGTCCGCTTCCACAGCATTGAAGTCATGTTGAATTGTTGCGAAAGGGGTTTCCGGATGCGAAAGCGCCGGATGATCTTCAACAAGATGCCGATACTCCTGCTGGACTGTTTTCCCATGCCTCATCTGATCTTGATCCTCGAAATCGTCGGTACTCGGTGTCACAGCGTAAGGACGGAGCCGGGAGACTCCTTGTCTGTGCTTTGCCAACTCGGCAAGGCTCTTGTTGATGGCAGAAACATCCTCCTCTTCGACGGCCTTAGAGTCCGTCCTATGAATGATAGTTCTCATTGCGTTGTCTGTGATGCACAGCTGTTTACCAGATATGGCCTCCAACTGCGCCCGCAGATCTCTCCACTGTTTGGGAAAGGTTCGTCAGCTTCTGGTCGAACTCGGAGAGTTTGAACTTACAAAGACTAAGATTACTGGGAAGTAGTGCCCCAGCCCTTGAAGTAGATGCAAAGAAACAAGGCTTCTTGCCCAGTGTGGATTGCTCGATGGGCGAGGATCAGCACTCAACATGAAGGCGTGTACTGAGCCCGCGATAAAGGCACAATATCCGATAAAAGTGGGAACTTTCGAAAAGTCTGGCGCCGTGCACAAGAACTCGCGCGCCATTTTAGCAAACAGATTTGCATTGAGGAGCGCGGTTCGAGCACATGTCTGGCTGAGTGTGCTAGACATTTGAATCTTCGCACCTTTGCCTGAGAGGCCTGGAACAGCCGACGAATGGAGGAAGATCATACAGAGATGGTAGATCGAGTTGACGAAGAACATGTTCCTTCGCAGTCTTTCCGGCTGGCAACTGATCACGGAATTGCGTGCCTTCAATTCCGTTGGTACGCTGCTGTAAAAATCCTCCAATCTGCGGTCATGCTCGAACAGTGTCGTCATATAGCCGGTAGTGGCACCGTACCATTGTTGTCGAACTAGATCCCGTATTGCACCCCTAGTCGAAGTTCAGCGCCCTTCGAACGGACAGCATAGGGACGACTTACCACAGAACGAACGCGCGTACACATAAGGAGGCGCAATTTCGGCCCATCACCTCATCCCAAGTGAACCAGTCATTTGGATCAACATTTGGCGCCAGGGTTTCGTCGATGGCACTTAGCTCCTCCAGATACGCTTCAATCCCTCCATGTTGCGGCGTGAGGAAAAGGGGGAAAGACTCTGAACATCTTGCTTCGTCATGCAAGCTGGCCTTAATCCAACAGGCCTGACGCAGCCTGTGAAAACATCGGAGACTCTTCAACTCAGTGGGATCAGTGCTACTGCGTGAGAGCACTCTTTTCTTCATCATACGTAGCGAGTGACGGGTCACACCTATTTCGAATTAGCATGGAGGTAAGGCGTGGCTGCATATGACTTCGAGGCGACGGTCCGTTTCAGTGCTTTACGTTGCGGATGACTTACTCAGGTAGAATGCTGACCTTTCAGTCTCCCCAACAGCCCACCAATAGAACCCTAATACCTCGCTGGCCCGGATAGTGTCAAGTGAGGGTCGGTCGGCGGTAGACAAAGTCAGCCTGCTCGCTTCTTCAGCCCATAATCGTCCTTGATCATCGCGAAGAGTTATGGAAGCAGTAGCGCCGATGCTATTGTGCGGATGACCTTTGAGTAAGCTGACGGGGTGAGCGTGGAAGTTTCAGTAGCGTCGCATATTCAAAACTATTTAATGACTTTGTCGTCGCAAGCGCGACCATGGTGGCTGAGCAACTTACAGAGATACCACCGCCAAAATACTTAGCAAGACGTGGTCAGAAACATTACCCGCCCGGTAGTCTTCAATGAGCAGCTCTCGTTGAAAGATCAGCGAAGCCGGGAAGTGGCGGGTGAGGAATATCTCGATCATGGCCAAGCCCACTTCATGGTCTGGAAGTAGACTGCACACCGCATGCGTCGCATGCCTTGGGGTAGAGCGCCCTAGTGGCTTCCCATTAAAGCTGGCAGCTTCCTATGCCATCGTTTTAGTCGGAATCTCGAGGAGTGGTACGAAGCGAGCATCCTGCGTGAACTCACTACCAGGTGCCTCACACTATGCTCGGTCTGTGGAGGCGAAAAGATCGTAGAAGGGAGACTTCTTTCGGCGGTGATTTCGACGGTGTACTCGTCTCTAGCATCGACTGTACCACTTTCGACGCAAGTGCTTCGGTTCTTCACCTCGTCGAGATTTTGCTTGGTGGAGGCGACAAGTCTTCGACGAGGCGGCTCAGGATAGTGGCAGTGAAACTGGCGACGAGAACATCGCGAACATATCGGTATAGTTCTTGAGCATCGTATCTGGTTGTCTGTGTCAGCATCCGTTCCAAGGCTTCGTGACTTTGTTCACCTTCTGGCAGCGACAATGCTCGCAAGCTGTCGGCGACATCTTCATTGGAATGTCCTGCATCGTGAGACTCAAGAGGCGATAGCCGATACAGTCGAGTTTCTGTTCATTTGAAGTTCATCCGTGAGCATCAATGAGATTACGGAAATAGACGGCCTGGGCGCATGGTGGACATCTGGCCACATACTTGTTAGAAGTGGACACTGGAGGACTTGTGCCCCAGGACCGTCGGCTGCAATATGTCCTCTCTCAGAGCTGGTTAACTTGGACTTTGTCCCTGGCAACCTCCTGTCGCTGTGGGCTGGCACGTGCTTCTCAACTAAGCGTCGACTGTTCCGATCAAAGAGTATTACTCTGTTTTGGAGAAATCTGATGTATACCCAATAGTGGTGGTCGACTCCTCAAGTCTGGGACGTTCTATATCATGATTCTGCTCGCGAGGCAAGATGAAAGGTACGTGGGCCCGTCACGGATGTAAGAGCGAAGTGTTCCGCTTTTCTGGGGATAAGAGACGTCCACCGCACCATTCTTACCCACGGGGACGGAAAGCGGGGGGAAAGATTCCAAGGGAGAGAAAAGCTAATCAACCATAACGAGTGGTATGTACGAGGAAGACTACGATTGTACGATGCTGTGCGAGGACTTCGGAGATTAGGTCGCTTGGGGTGCAACTCGGCCGACTGAATAGGCATTTGCGGTAGGAGACTCTATCACTTCCCTTGGCAGGCTTCAGATCTATCAGAAATCCCAGACACCCTCGAGCACGTCTGTGTGTGCTATCCAAATAAGAGCATTTTGGCCCTCCCCTTTCTTGAGCTCGGCAGTCTGGCGGATGATCTCTCTAGCCGCCTCTTCGTCTTCATGGAAGGTGTTTGTTTTGACCACCGACACTCCGGTCCCGTATGGAGCTTCTGGATAATGCACAAAATGGTGGCAGTGGAAGCAGTCACCCCCTAGGAATGCCCATTTCGTCTCGCCGGCTTTGGTCTTCATTCTTGCTAGCGCTCCTATATTGCCAAGGCAATGTCCCGGAGCATCGACGATCCAGAAACTACCATCCCCAAAGAAGTCGAGAGCATTTTTATACGGACCAAGCGGGCGCCATTTTTCAGGAGCTTCGGACGGCGAGGGAAACTCCTCGATGGGAAGGTCAGAGTTCTTGGGGTCCCAAATACGGCCATCGAATGTACTGTCTGGCTCTGTAGGCCAGGAGGGAGTAGAGTACTCGAAACAGCCCTTCCCACAGAAAAGTTTGGCGTTTGGATGGTAGTCTTTGGCTGGGAAAATGTGATCCCAATGGCCGTGACTGGCGAAGCTTAATTGACGTGAAGGTCTCCTGGCTAAGAATCTCTTACCTGACAATAATATACTTCACCTCGTTGGGGTCGTCGCCTAAGGACTTCACATCTTCGGCAGGGCTTCTCTCCGCCGGTTCGGTATTGAAAACTTTGATCTGAACGTTCTGGATGCGTGGCGGATACATTGTCAAATCCTGCGATAGAGGCATCAGCAGCTATTTCGCGGACAGACCACGGGACAGATGCCGTACATGCGAAACTCCCAGGTCGAACCACATCTTCGTATTTGTCGGCGCATGCGTTATATAAAATCTCCACGAGGTCATTCGTACTGTCCCTCTGAGACCCTTGATCGCCAGAGATGCTTTCGAGGTCATGTATGCCGACTCGAACGGAATAACCTGAACATATGCATCTTCTGACTTTGCTGCCGGCAATGGCGAAGTAGCTTTGTAGGACATGTCGAAATCGCTGATGGAAGACAATACAAGGGGTCTCACAAATTTGCATACAATTTTCACCAAGTGTCTCATGCCGACTACTTTAAAGATCTCTGCCAGCTTCTCTAGCTCGTTCTCGATTCAGACCGTCAGCCGGATTCGACCCCTCGGGTCGTCCAAAGATCCACGTCAAGCTGGAGGACCCACTCCGGCCCGACTCCAACGCCTCCTTCTCAGCCGTGACCGTACTGTATGTACGGCGTACGATGAACATTGTCGTGCGCAGCATGTCAATCTCAGCGGTGTCGAGACCGAGATTTCCAAATATGGTCTAATTCTTTGGGACGGTGATTCCTTAAAAGAAAACTGAGCTCAGAGTACAACCGCACAACCAGCATTTCCTCCTCCAGCATCATCTACCACGAGGCCTCAAACTCTGCACCACGTTCAAAAGAGACAATGGGTCCTCGATACCCTCTTGAAATACCTGCCGGCTCCCCTTTTCCAGTGCAGAACATTCCCTATGGGGTCTTCAGTACACCTGACGGTGTAGGCCTGGGCGTCAGTCTAGTCCTGAAATGTTGAATCCTGGTACTTTACTGAACCTTCTGGTGTAGTCTAAAAAAAGAGCTGGCGTAGCCGTCGGCTCCTATGTATTAGAGCTTGACCTCCTTGTGAAGGCCGGCCTTTTTGACAGTTGTGGCGTAGACAACAAGTTGGACGGTGTCTTCCTACAAGTAAGTACAAAAGCATATTCGTTGATGTCGACTTCTCACTCGTACTGACTGAAATCTACAATCTAGCCAAATTTGAATTCTTTTGCGACGTTCCTGACGACAGAGCGCGGACACATTCGTGCCGCCATTATCAAACATCTCACTACCCAGTCTTCCCCCCTATTTGAGAACAAAGAGCTCAATGATCGAGCTTTCATCCCTCTGGAGCAGGTGCAGATGCACCTTCCCATGTCAATAACCGATTATACAGACTTTTTCAGTTCGTTGGTCCATGCGGAAAACGTGAGTCCCAAGAAACGTATCATACTGACTAGGTCCTGACCGGCAGATAGGGCTGTCGCAGCCTAAATATTCCTATCCCTCAAGCCTTCTGGGAATATCCAATGGCTTATAATGGACGTATAGGCTCAGTTGCGATCTCTGGGACGGACGTCGTTCGCCCGCATGGGTTCTTCAAGCCTCGGAGCTCGGACAAGACGGCCCTCCACCCATCAGAGCTCCTCGACTTCGAGATTGAAATGGGGGCCTTCGTCTCCAAACCAGTGAACATGGGTGAGAAGGTCTCTGCCATGACAGCATCAGAGCACATTTTCGGCTACGTCCTACTGAACGACTGGTCAGCGCGAGATATTCAAGGCTACGAAATGAGTCCTTTTGGTCCATTCCATTCTAAAAGTTTCCTTACCAGCATCTCGCCATGGGTAGTGACACTTGATGCCTTGAGAGGGAGCCCTACAGAACCGCCTCCCACCCATGCTTCGATAGTCAGTCCCACGCTGGACTTGGACCGAAAGGATCACGGTCTTTTCGACGTTGACTTGAGCGCCCGTGTATCACGTAGGAACATCAACTGTCCTCGGGGTCCTTTGCACTAACATCTACCCAGGCAAAGGCGGAGAGGTCGTAGAGCTTGCTCGTTGTAAAATGGCGGATGGCTACTGGACGCCCTATCAGCATGTCGCTTACCAGTCCTCCTCGGGCTGTGGGCTCCACACGGGAGATCTCCTGGGTACCGGCACGTTTTCATCTCCGGTATGCGAGCGAGTCCGGGGCAAAGTTGATGTTTGACAGAGCAGCTAACATTGCGATTGCAGGATATGAGAAGCGCCCAAGGGCCTGATGAAAAATCTTTCATGACTTTTGGTTGTTTAATGGAAGCTCACATCGTAGGCCATAAGTTGCCGGATGTCGACGGTCGTCCGTTTACGTTTCTGGAAGATGGTGACCGGCTCACAATCGATGGTTGGTTTAGGACACCAGATGGGAGCAAAGCTGGGTTCGGTGGTGTCACTGGGCTGGTTCTACCACCCATTGCAATTAGCTGAAGTTTCTAAGTTCCCACTTTTACCACTCATCTGCTACTGTTCAACTGGAGATCATCCAAGAAGGGCTCAGCACAAGCAAACATTTGAAAGTCCGAACTCAACACACAGTGCCACATGCTTTAGAGTGAATGACACGTCTTTCAATGGCGATCTAATCCTCGTCGAATTTCAGGATCTTTGAGGGATACCAAGTGAATGCATTCTTTCGCGTGTACCTGTAATAGAACTCGGGGTTTGCAAGTTAGCGCCCACCGTGTCGCAATGCTCCAGTTGCGCGAGGTAGACATCAAAGGGCTAGAAAATGCGACACTACTAGACGCGGAGCAGTCACATGTCTCAAGTTCGGAGGACGTCTCGATTCCCCTCCGGTCCGGGGGTCCGAGGGTCCGAGTGGGTGTCGTTCGCTCGTGCAGATAGATACAAGTCAGCGACAGTACACAAGCCCTCGATTCTCTCAAGACCACGGTCAAGCTCATGTGAGGACCATGATGCAGATGTCGTACCCACACTTCCGAGGCTTCGTACCCGGTACACGGCGCAGTATTCGACCATGCCACTAAAAGTCGGACCGGTCTCCCTTGGTCGTGTAACTTCCCCATCATGTTGTTGTAGTCTAGACCCTTCTCTACAAAAAGACTCTGGAAGCAGGGCTGCTCAAGGCACGAGTCAAGCAATCATCGGTCTTGTCTCTTCTGGTACATGGAGGGTCAGATTCAACGCATTCAAGCAGACCCAACGTCGATGGAGAACAAGCCTACGAAAGGAGAAATCGGCCACGAGGCTCTTGATCCCAACATCAGAGACGATCATGGTGACCCCCATCGGGCTGCCCTCGAAGACCTGGACCACGAGCAGAAAGTTGGCCTGTCGACGTGGATAGCTATCTTCTTCCTGGGCTTCACCGCTCACCCATCTATCAGCTTCTCCATAAACACCGTTTTTGCTGTCCTGGGCCCGATAGGACTGGACCTCGAGGATTCGACAGCGAATGTCAGCTGGATGGCATCGGGGTGGTCTCTGTCTGCCAGTGTTGCATTCACACTTGCCGGCCAAATGAGTGATGTGTTTGGACGACGACACACTTTACTCTTCGGCCAGTGCCTGTTGATCCTCGGACACATCATCGGGGCAAGCTCCCAATCGATCAATCAAAGTATTGCCGCTATGGTCATCTTGGGCTCTGGGACTGGGGTTGCCTTTGTGTGAGTACAAGCCCGGAATTGCGAACATTTGTGCACCATACCTGACAAGATATTCGTCGCAGAACATATCCTGGTATTTCGGAGCTGCTTCCGAATAGATACCGTTCGTTAGGTCTAGCATCAACCGAGTTTCAAATTCTTCCTACTAGCGCCTTCGGTCCATTGATGGCCAAAGCCTTGACTCGCAATGCTTCCTGGAGGTGGATCTACATTCTTGGGGCCATAACCGGTGTCATTGCGCTTACCGGAACCGCTATCTTCTACACTCCGCCTAACAAGCCGTTCCGGGACCGCAGCAGACGTGACATCCTGGGCGAGCTTGATTACTTCGGTATCTTGCTCTATACTGCCGGCACGACCTTGTTTCTTCTCGGCCTCGGCTGGGGAGGCACATCGTATCCTTGGGCCAGTGCGCACGTCTTGGCACCACTGATCCTAGGCATCATTGTCTTCAGTACCACATTTCTCTGGGACTTTTACGGGCCTGTTGCGCGACCCATCTTTCCTAGACGGCTTTTCGCTAAATTTCGAGAGTTTACTTCCCTCCTTGTGGTGATCTTTGTCACAGGGCTCGTCTTCATCTCGATCAACACTTTGATCCCCGAAGAAATCAGCTTTGTGTTCACCAACGACTCCATAAAAGCTGGAGTGTACAACATCCCAGCGGACCTGTGCGGTGCCCTCGGCGGCACAGTGCTCGGTGGATTGGTATTCAAGATCGAGCACGTCCATTGGCAAATTATGACTGCAGTTGCCATACAGTCGACTTTCTCTGCGTTAATGGCCCTAATAAGACCAGATCGCATCGCTATGGGCATTGTCTTTCAGGCACTGACCAACATTCCCTTTGGCTGGATCTTGATAGCCTGCTATGTCACTTGTGGGCTGCACATTCCTCAACGGGATATTGGTCTTGCCTATGGTTTGATCGGCGGTGTACGGTTCTTGGGAGGCGCAGTGGGTACAGCCATCTTCACAACTGTTGTGAACAATCGCTCAGCGACGACTGTGCCTCAGCGGGTGATTGCAGCTGTTGTACCTTTGGGTTACCCCAGGGACAAAGTGCCAGGTCTCGTGCGTGCCCTGGCTTCAGGCTCATCCCTCGGACTCCAAAATGTCCCGTCACAAGTTGTCGAGGCTGCCTCGCAAGCCGTTCGTTGGGGGTATTCAGACGCATTCAGGGTCGCCTGGCTTGTCTCCATACCGTTCGGTGTTGCAGCCTTTGTGGTTTCAATATTTGTGAAAGACCCGTCATTGTACTTTACCAAGCACACGGCAGTCAGATTGACGAAAGAAAGGCTTGGTCGGAACACAATTGCGCCTGACGAAGATGTGGGAATCAAGGGTCATGCGGCGCATGAAGAAGTTACTCAAATTTGAGTATTCTGCTGATGTAAGACTGTCCGGGTTATGTTGGAAATCTATTCTAAAGCCCAGCCAGTGAGCATGGGGCGGCAAATCCTTCCGTCAGTCCTTGTTCCTGGCCTTTGAATGATGCATAACCATCAGTAGACCGGGCTCAAGATGCTTTAAATGGACTGCGATCTTTGTCGTTCACATCGATCGCCCACTCAAAATGTGATCCTATCCAGACGAAATAAATCACCAACCTGGAACCTTCTCACTGTGTCTGTACTGGTACTGGCGGGCTTGCTCATGATTTGCGTATAGCCTCCCTTAAAGCTCTCTGCCCATTTTGTTTGCTCGATCAGATTACGCCTATCAACAGACGACATCGCGCCTCGTTTGTCACTGCCGTAGGACAACAAGCAAATGCGGCTGATCTGATGGCTGCGACTGTGCAATCATCCACAAGTCCGAGGTAAGTCAGCTAACTAACCCTTCGCCAAGGGGCTTCCGGACCATAATATGGTTTGGTGGAATCGTAGCAACCTAAGGGCAGGCAATCTGGTAAGTCTCCTGACGCCTGTCTGAAACAGATGCCGAGATAAGGGGAAGATTTAGCCCATTACTGGGAGGCCAGATTAGGCCCACGGTGTGTGCTTAGAGGCATGCTCGAGGAGCACTCAGTGATGCTCAGGTAGTGGCCCAGGTAACGCCCAGGTTAGCGCCGCTTCCGCTCACCCTCGATGATCAGACCATACATGGCAATAGGTTTTTCATTCTCGAAGAATTTAGGTAGTGTGGTGCAAAAAACGTTATGATTAGCCGCTGGCCACTTTACTCACCCTCGCTCACCTGCTGCTCCCTGACCGATCTCCAATCGCTCCCTGAGGTCGACCTAAGCACTTCGTCTTCTTTCTTCCTCTTCATTCAGAACACCAACTTTCGTCATCTTTAGACAATAGGACCCGTTTAGGATGCCGGGGGACCCCAACCCGCCACCCTCTTTTAATGCGCTCGAACTGCTTAGTTGGGCGCCTCTTGTGCTGCGCTTTTTTGTGGCAATGATAAATCTCTGCCCACTTCGTTGGAAGGCCCGCGAGAAGTCAGCTTTGTGTTCCGACGTAAGGACGTCGCCTCTCGCTCTCCCCTTCTGCTTAGTAGTTGCCCACCTATTAAGGATAGCCTTGGGGATCAGCTAGAGAACGATGGTAGAATAGTTGTTAGGTATCCCTATACATCGTCTAAAACTGAAAGCTTACAGAGAATGTGTTTCTCATGCGTGCACTGTGCGACTTACAGTACTTAAATACGCTCCATCACGTGAGACACTTGGTCAGTTATCAGGAGCTGTTCGTGACACCATCACGCCCACCGTAGCCTCGCTCAAGTTTAATTGAGGTTGCCTGTCGTTCGTAATTGAGACTTTACTGTTGACATGCGTGGGTTCAATGAAGGGGCCCTAGGAAATCGCCCCTATCCTCCGTGTAGACGATCGATTTAGTATTCGCACTGACGTGCTGGAACCAAAGATAAATTTCAGTAAGTCAAGGGTCCGGTGTCAATGGTGCTGTGCATCCCCGCGTAGTCCAAGGCGACTGGCATTGGGCGAAGGATTCGTGGTCGATCTCCTGATCGGTATTAAAATATTCGATGTCAACTGGCAGCAAATAGTCGCCGCCATGATTCTCTGCCTTGGACCTGGAGAAGAACGACAGGGATAATTGATGCCATCCACCCTGATCTCGAGTTCGAATTGAAGGTCAATTTCAGGTGAAAGAGGTAGCGTAATCAGCCGGGACTGGGTCAATAGGGTCCGTTATAGCTATTCTTTGCGCAAGACCCTCTCATAATCAACCAGGGCAAGCTGAGATATTCCAAAATGTCGGATGAAAACACATGAAAAGAGCGCTTCGCATGCGTCCAACGAATAGCTGGGCAGTTAGCTCTGAACAACTTTAAGCTCGGGGCCATGTGGCTTCATCCCGGGTTCCTGGTGACTAGAGAAAAGCCGACAGTGCTAATTCATGACTGACCTTCAATCACAGCCATACCATCATCCAGAGTATCTTGGATAAAGTGTTTACGGGCATCCGAGCCCAAGGTCTTGTTGGTCACTGATAACCATCACGATTCCCGGACCTCTACCTGAACAGGGAACCCAGTAGGTGGAATTGACGTATGAGCAGCGATACCAGATAGCTGAGGAGCCATCATAGCGCCCCTGAGCAGTATGTTCGTGACCTCAAAGAACGGCCTGAGATTGCCGCTCACCTTGAATGGAGATGTAGACAGACCGAGGCATTTTGGACGATGGAGATATCGTGACGTCACAAAACAGTCCTCCTGAAAGAACTAAAATTTTCTATATAATATAAAGATAAACAAACTCAGTTCACATTCAAACAGGTCGCTTAGCTCAGTTGGTTAGAGGTACGATTCGCGGTCTCCTAGATCTCAAGCACAGATAAACTAATTCGAAGCAGCGTGGTGCTAATAACATCGAAAATTGTTGACGCCAAGGTCGCGAGTTCGACCCTCGTAGTGACCATTTCTTTTTGTACTTTTTTAGTTCCCGTTATCGTTCAGATTTTTTGACTATAGAGAGGAGGAAAGATAAGTAGTAAATTCCCCTTCTAATGAGATGAATTAAAGTCTGCAGCGCTTTCGCGTCACACACCGCGTGTTTAGAAGACACGATTACTTTGTCTATAAGTTCCGTGGTATAATGGCCAACCAACAGTTTCGCCGCGTGGAACTTATTGTGCGGCATTACGGGGAGGTTCGAGTCAGCGCGATGCGGTACTATAGCTCCCCGGTTGTTCGTAGTTTGGCGGAGACTTTAGGCGTTGCAACGAAATTTAGGCAGCAGGCGTAAGGGCAGGGAACCTGGCAGGTTCCCCGACGCCCGTCTAAAACGGATGCCTAGCTGGGAAGCAAGAATAATTAGCCGGATTATAGGCCCCAAGTGTGTTTGCTCGGGGAGGGTTTAGTGATGCTCCGCTAAGGGCTCAGTTATGTACACCGTTCTCCGTAGAGCTCAGGTTAATGCGGCTCTTCTACAGTAGGATCCGAACCATAAATGGAAATTAGGTTTTTCGTTCTTCAGTATCCGTACTAGTAACAGAGGTACGGAGTACATTTCGTAGGTCGGAGCCAAGTTCCTTGAACTTCCACCTTCCACACGCAGCCATTGGGGGTGATTAAATTCATTCAAACAGGGACCGTCGGTTTGGGGTTGACAGATCTGCTCATCGCCACAGTGCTGGGTAATTCCTCGAACCATTCCTCGAAGCGTCACTTTCGTGAATTGAAACGTAGATCGCTACACAGAATCCAACAAGGTCGATCATGTATACGGAGTTGAAGTACTTCGTATGAGATGCTCTGTCTGGAGTAGCATCACAGAATGTAGCTGTACCGAACGGTCTTTTCTGACAAGACTAACGACAGCCCGTCCTCCAAATACGGTCAATGGTTGAAATTGACTAAGGGGTATGATGGATCTCCCGTATTCCCGAATGGTGGCTCTTTTCCTCTTTTGCTTCTATGTAAAAAGCCTCCCTCACATCCTTCGAGCATGTTGAACACAAGACCACAGTCTAGCCTTCTCATTCCTGGCATCGGTGTTTGATGCTGCCAATTTCATATCCTTGCTGCGGCCAAGCTCGAATCCGAAACCAAAGATGGTCCCGACACGCCGTTCATCGTGCACAGACCTCCCCCGTACCATCCCAAGACAATGGAGCTTAATCTCTTGGATCTCAGTCCAGGCTAACCAGAATCTGAGCATGGGCAATGGCCTAACGGCTAGGCCAGGGGAGATTTGTTTCCGACTCATCTTAAGCCCGGCTCCAATTCTTGGATGGGAATTGAAAAATCGCTCGATCGTGTATCTAGCCAATCGTCATCATTTTGGCATTGAACAGGCCGAGGATGACCGTCTAAGCGAAGGCCCGTTCTGCAGCGTCTGATGCCGATCAATGTCATTGACGCATTGCACCTGTTCATCGACCCTTGACCGGTACAAAGTCTGCTTCTCAAGGCATTGTCTACGGACCCCCCTCTTCGTCACTAACTGAAACGAACCGAGACTACGCATTGGTATGGATGGTCAATTGCTGCTTAACATCTGATACTGTCGCACCCTTGGAGCAGATTCCCATTATCACCTCGTGAGTCGTGATGAGCCGTGGGTGGCCAACGAATCAACATCGCTGCCTTGGGCGAGCCTGGTTATCCAGGGATTGTCTTGACATGCTGTCCTCCCTCAATTCGCGGCTCAGTACAGGCCTTGTCTGTTCTGGCGAACCGTGTTTACCTGCCATTGCCAGAACCATACAATTCGAAACTGCTCTGTGTGACTCTCACACGCCTCGTGTCACAATCGAGCCAGTCTCGAACAGTCGGACATATCACTGCTACTATCCATCTACGCCAACGCCCCAGGTAATGTAACTCTTTTGGAATGTCACCCGTTTGCAGCAAACAAAGGTTAAAGACACCAGCAAAAGCCAATCCTCTGCAACGCTAAGAAAGGTGTTAACAATGACCACGTACTGTACAGGCCACGAGAAAAATATCCGTGCGGGTTCAACGAATAAGATCAAACCTCTCCGGTGACTTGTCCACCTCCATCCGCATCCCTGATCGCCCTTAAGGCTGGATTTAGTGGCCAACCATGCCAGCACCCAGCCTACAGTTTCGGCAGCGTGAGCTACAGAAAGTACCATGTACCTCGTGAGTCGTAGCACAAGCGATACGTCGCAAATTGATCTAGGTAGCTACAGTAGGTGATCGTCAAAAAAACCCTATGCTCATCTTCAATTCATCAAGCTCGTACCTCACAGTGGCTAGTTAGCAAAGCGGGCAACGACGTCCCAACCTGCAATTGTCTACTTTCGTTCTATCAATCGAAGAGACCGATGTGTCCGGTATCTTGGGTAAATTAGGTACCAAGTACGGAGCACCAACGTAAAGTATACCTTGGAAACGAGCATAAATCTCCAGGGTACCATGGAGTAGTCGGCTGAACTATCAAATTCCGCAGCTTCAATAATTCCTATATATATGTATATAGCTCTCAGGGCGAGTCTCTTTTAGTGTCTTATTTATGTCGAAGGCCGACGCTACTCTATTCGTACGTGCTGATCAACCGTTGGTGTACTCGATACGCGGTATGGCAAGTCAACTTCCAAATAAATTCATGATACCCCGATATGTCTCAAACCATCACCGAACTCTGTTATTACCTAGGTAGATAACGAAGCTCTGCAGCATCCCGGAACCTGAGTTTGCTAGCTCGGCAGTAGAAGGTGTATGTGCTTGGCCCATAGCCCCCCTGATCGCTACCTTTTCACAGCAGCTTCCCAGCCATGATTGCGTCAAGCCGCGTCCGGAGAAGGAGTTCCTCATTCTACGAAGCTTGAAACTGGCTTGGCTACCTAGGCATGTATGGAGCTACGGAACGTAAAATCAATGGGTAGGGATGCCATCACAGCTCGATATTACTAACATTTTCACCTACTGTTTTCATGCTTTGCAGAGAGTTCATAAGAGCGTTCCCGAACAGATATCTGAGTCTTGGTACCAAAAAAGGAGTTATTCCCCCCCCCCCCCCCCCGCGGCTCGAACGCCCGGGATTGATGCTACTTGCACACAAAGTATCTACCTAAGGTGGTCTAAGTAGCTATGCTTATAGCTGATCGAGAGTCAAGGTAGAAACCGGCCGCCTGGGTGGGAAAAAAATTACCCCAAGCGACTGGATGGCCCTGTCGATGCCGCAAGATCATGTATACAGTCTGCCATTCGGCTCAAGGACTGTCTGCAGCTCTGAGTGCGAGGTACATTCCTCGGTATGTAGTAGCAGCTCCATCATGGTTTCCTGAGCCTGAGCGGCAGGTGGAGGCCACAGCCCATCGCTCACTGTATGCTGGCGGGGGAATTTTATATCGATGGCTGAATTGGAGACAATGGTGGTGTTTTTCTAGCAATACCAAAACTGGGGGATCCTTTCCATCCCCTGCATAGGGTGCTGCAGACAAATTTCTGTTGGAACCTACATCCGCAACCCAAGGAAGAAACCGTCAACAAGCCCTTTGGATCCGCTTCATCGAAGGTTTCTTCGTTTTGCAGTAATAAGCGGCATTTCAAGTGCAGCGGCACAAGCAACGAGGAAAGAAAGATACCTAGATGATGCTTGCAGGAACTGAGCATGGAGGGCACATTTGCAACTATCCGGCTTCTTGCCTCGGCCACTGTGAGAGATGACTGCATTTCATTAACAGCGTTGCACAAAGTGTAGTGCTCTCGTCACATCGGCGCTAATTTGACCTCAACTCTCCTGTCTCAATCAGAGCTTATTTCTTTTCTTCCCCAGAACGTGGCGGTCGATGTTGCCACTGATTGAAATGTAGAGGTCACATAGTGGCATGCAGGTCCGACCAGGGAGCCCGAGCTACCAGTGTCGGTCTTGTTCCGCTTCTCCCTACTGCTTCCGGCGTTTCGATTAATAATGGAACAAGTTTCTGCTCCCAAAGATGATGACAGAGATTCATCTAAAAACCTCACCATTTCCAAGCACAGATCGAGCAAAGCCTTGGATTCGTCGATGATTTCTTTGCGTTGTATATCGCTCAGGGAGGCAGCAGAACGGGCGAATCCTCCTTTGAAAGCCACTTTGAGGTCTTCTCCGTTCGAAGGAGTTCCGTCACAGTCTTCAAAGTCCCAGAACGATAGCGGCAGTTCTCGCCCGAGCCAGAAAGACGGGCCCGCCGAGAAAAGCTGACTGCGCATCCATCTGCCGCCATTAAACAATGCAAGGTACATGGTCCACGCATAAGCGAGGAGGACATGCGGCTTCGTGGACAAGCTGACAAGGATTCGTCGTTGGAAACCCATCGATTGCTCTGCCAAGTCGTCGATTTCTTGTCGTTCCTGCTCACCCAGTCTCATCTTTATGATTTCCATATCCCTTTGCAATAGGGCCGCCCGCAATAGCCGAGGTAGAAATATGCGATGGTATATGTCCCGCAGCGTCTCGTCGAGTTCGTCATTTTCCAGGGAATTCTTCAGGTGGCTCTCAAAGGCGTAGTAGATCTGACCAAATACCGTCATGCCTCTCGCGTACAGGATGGGCGAATCTGACGGCGGCGGCATGCAGAGAGGTAGTTTATTCAAGACCTGGAGATTGAGAGCATGGTGCTTGGCCCGAGTGGCAGCTTGGAGCTCGATTAGGAGACTAGGCCGCGTCTCGTCTTCACCCGTGGATTGGGAGGCCATCTTGTCAAGTCCGAGGAAAGAATACGATATTCGATTGGAGTCGGAGGGTCTTCTGCGACTGGGTCTAGAACAATCGGATAAGGGAAGATATGAAGGGGGGGATGCTACCAGGGCCGCGCGCTGAAGTATAAGGATCTCGCAGTCGGCTCCTGGTGCCACAGGAGCAAACAAATAGCAACAAATACACTGATAAAAGGAATGACAAACCTTTGGCAACGTGCGAAGTGAGGACTCGACCCGCGTCGCCGCATGATGGGCAGAATACACGGCTAGGAATTTGCCAGGCTAGATCCGCCTCGTGCCTTGTCTTGTGACGATCGGCGAGGTGGTCTAAAAGTTAATTATGGAGGTTGAGGATGACGACATTGAGAAAGCTGTCCAGTAAAGTCACGTGAAACCCCCTCCCCAAAATGGTTGGGGTCACGCTTTGTGAGGAGCCGGGGAAGCACCGTGAGTGCTACAGTAGTGGCCATTTCCCGATGGTATCTGGTGAAGGAGAGGCGGAAATACATGTGTCCGGAAAATATGAATGATACCTCGACGTCGACTCAATAATACTTGAGCTTTTCATCGTTGTTAGTTCAGAGACTTTGCATCAAGATTGAGATTGATTACCATGGCTATTGGTTTGGCAATTCTTGGTGGGGGTAAGCATCATCCACACTGAGCAATGACCAAGGTTCTGATATCGTCTAGGTATATTTGCCCGTGAAGAACACTTGGTTGGGATTAGCAACATTTCATTAAAGAGAGATGCCTCTAACACAGGCCACAGCCAGCAGTGAAAGCCTCGAAAGACCTAACGCTAAAAGCTGTCTGGTCAAGGTCAATCAAATCGGCCCAAACTCTCGAGACAGACACTTCCGAGGTCGATTTATACTCCGAGGATTCTGGTTCGGGAAAGTCACTGGATGATCTGCTTGGTCGCTCCGATATTGGAGCCGTTATCATTGCTCTACCAATTAAGAATCAACCAGAATACATTCGCAAGGTGTTGACGGCGGGCAAGCACGTCCTGTCAGAGAAGCCTGTTGCGGAAAACGTCAAAGAAGCAGTTGAATTGATCAAATGGTACAGATCAGAGATCGTTGGCAAGGGCGTGACCTGGGCAGTTGCTGAAAATCAAAGATATTTGAAATCTTTCCTTCATGCTGCCGAAGCGCTTCAGACCATGGGACGCCAGTTAACCTTCAGGACTCAAATGCATGCTTTGGTTTCAGGAGGAAAGTACTTTGAGACTTCGTAAGATTCAAAGAGACCCCGTGTAATTGTGCATGCTGACGGATCAAGATGGCGGAAAGTCCCTACTCACCAGGGAGGCTTTCTTCTCGATGGCGGCGTCCATTTTACGGCGGGTTTGAGATTGCTACTTGGAAAAGACAATCCACTCGTAACAATATCTGCTCACTCTGCACAGCTTCAAGAACATCTTCCTCCAGTTGATACCGTCCAGGCTACGGGAAAAACCAAACAAGGCACTATTGGAACGATATCCATATCGTTTGGTACAACTGCAAAAGGCCGCGAATGGACAGTTGGCTCCGACAAGGGATCTGTCAGTGTATCGTACACCGATGTGACAATCGATGGCAAGATGGAAGCAGTTGCGAATGAAGGGAGTGGAGTTATTCCCGAGGTCAGAGCATGGGGTGAAGCTTTGGCGGCTGGCACAGTTAACGAGAAGCAGTCTCCGGAAGAAGCTCTCGCTGATCTTGAATTGATTGAAGCAATGTTGGTGAGTGGTGCACAAGACGGAACGCCATACAAATTAGAACATCAGGAGGTTAGCACTTGATCAATGCACTGCTCTATGTACCAGACACAAATGAGGATATCCCGCGCTTCAATGGGAAGCGTGAGCTGTTAGGGTCAGAATGAGATGCTGCACAGAACCAAAGTCATAAAAGTAACCTCTCAATGGCCTGAACATCAGAAAGGGTGAAGGAACTTAAAATATTTGTCTGACGCATCTCATCCTTGAATTAGCAGTAGAATTTAGGTCTGCATTGTCAGACAAGAAAAATATCTTCGCAGCCCACTCTAGTCCCGAAATGCCCTAGTGCAGCCAAAGTGCAGCCCAAGTGCACACAACTCTTGGCGGTCGAAATTTCGCAGTTGTGACCCACGAATACCGCACAATTCAACTTCACCTCGAACTTACACCAGACGTTAAGACCACAATACCGGCAAGGTGTGTGATTTTCAAAATCGAAGAAGCCCACAAAGCTAACACCGTACAGATGGTCTCCGCAAAGAAGCACGTTCCGATCGTGAAGAAGCACCCGAAGAGATGGAACAGACATCAATCCGATATGTTCAAGTGCGTGCCCTCAGCATGGAGGAAGCCAAAAGGTATCGACAACCGAGTCCGAAGACGGTTTAAGGGCCAAATCGTTATGCCATCGGTACGTCAAGACCTGCGCATTTTTCTTCGACATTCCGATCAGAGAACATAGAGATGGACGAGATTAGAATGGAATCCTGCAAACACCGCACCGGCGAGAAGTATTTTTGCTAATTGACGGAATTACAGATCGGTTTTGGCTCCAACAAGAAGACTCGCCACCTGATTCCCTCTGGCCACAAAGTTTTCCTCGTTCACAACCCCCGCGATGTTGACATCCTCCTCATGCACAACCGAACCTACGCTGCCGAGATTGCCTCTGCCGTCTCATCGAGAAAGCGAATTGAGATCATCGCAAAGGCCAAGTCGCTGGGCGTTAAGATTACAAACCCCAAGGCCAAGGTTACTACTGAGTCTTAGAGTGTGATGGTGTGGAGGTGTGGAGGTAGCGCATGGTGGTAGACATTTGCTCAAAGGAGGGTGCAGAGCATTTCACCAAACGATCCATTGTGTATCGACGACACGGTAGTCGTTGCAACACTAGACAGCTGGGAATCCGGTCATGACACGGAGCAGCGGTTTACAGAAGCGCAGAACGAATTGATACCTTTTCAAGTCAAATATTGGTCTGGGCTATAATTTGGCGACCTCTTTCTCCAGGATTTGTGACAAGCGCTCTCGCATTTGCGGCGCCATCCCGTCTCCGCTCGGACGTCGTCCCTCTGCATGGACGAAGACGTGTATCGAACCACCGAACACCTTGACTTGGTCTTGCCCTTGCTCAAAAACCCCCACTTCGTACACAACACTTGACTTCCCCAACCTGACAACCCTGAGTCCCAGGTCGAGCACTTGAGGGTAGGCTACAGATCCAAAGTAAACACAGTAACTTGAGACAACTAAACCAATTAGATCTGACGTTTCAGGATTGAGACCACAGTATTCGATGAGATATGCATTTACAATAGAGTCGATCAAGAATGCATATATACTGTTGTTCATGTGATGGTAGACATCGTTGTCCGACCTAGAAATCAGTCAGCAAAGTCATTTCTGAGGCATCTCTAACTAGAGCCAATTCACCATCGTGTTCAGTAGTCTAGGTGGAACGGATAGTCGTTTGGCTTGCTCTTCCTGTAGAAGCGATGTCTAGTCCTAGCATCTCATAGCTGGCTCTGTCCTTTCAAAAGTAAATGTTAAGCACAGGCTTGCGCGTTCCAGCAAGAGAGAAGGCCGGCGACCAACATATCAAAGCAGTCCGAATAGTCTAGCCTTGGAGACCATACAACAACTTGAAATCCCGGCAGCAAAATATGCAGCCGGTGCTGGTCATTTGAAGTCGCTACGTCCCTTTTTGGGTAAGAACTACGAGTATGTAATTAAGAAGATGCCAGTAAAACCACGGCCAAGGTGGCACCCAATACCGAATTTCGCCAGAGCCAGAGATTCCCGCTTCCGAGCGTGAAAATGAGGTGTGATTTGCTCATTCTCAAGCTGAGAAGGAGAATCTACGTCTCTGACCGCGCTTCAATCTCTGGTTGGATAGTCTGTTGGGGAAGTTCAATCGGTTCCCTTCCTCGGATTTTAGCCATCCACCAACGCTTTCACCTTCTCCATCGACTCTTTTGTGCATGTGCCGTAGAAATCAGCCTCGTGGGGGTACATGAGTAGATTGTGCATGAAATCGACTGGCTTCTACAGACCAGGTTTGTCTTCGCCGCAATGGCCTCAGCTAACCACAGTGAGGCCATGAGTGTGCTCCTTAAGTCTGGCAAGTTCGCGGATCTTATCCTCGTACGTCAGAATCAAGAGTTCCCAGCGCCCCGAGCCATCGCATATCCCCATTCCGCTTTTTGCAGTAATGCTTGTACCGGACCTTTCTAGGCAGGCTACCCATGATCCATTGACGTGAGTAATATTCCATAGCGGGGGCTTACGGTTCTTAGAAGCCCATTCGGATAGAATTTAGCTGACGAGATGAATGCGCGACCGTTAAGCGAATGATCTCAAAAATCTACAACTTCGACTACGGAGAATGAAAATTTTCAGAGCCTTGGGTCTGTCGATCAGGGTTTATCTCCGGAGAATGTTCAAGTGACCAGGGCCGCAACCTATTGGCTTTTTGAGGATTTTTGCGACCTTGGACTGGGCCTATTGTGTCAAGTATTAGAACAAAACTCCGAGGGAGTATCGCCATTGCATCGGGTTCTCTGTGCTCGATCCCGTCAAGGAGCGCGTATGTCGCATCCTATAGGTGGAATATCACGGAAGTCGTTTGTCGCCAGGCTCCACAAGCCCAATTTTGTATAGGCTTCGACAACGCCGCCAAAGAGTTGCATAGGTTGCCTTATACTCGGAAACTGAGACATGCCCCTGCGTACGCGTCCAGGCGTCCTTTCGACAGACAACATCACATCACTGTCAATTTGGGCCTAGTCTACGAGAGAAACCAGAGTCAAAGAAACCTCGTTTCTCGCTTCTCTAGTCACCCACAGTTCATTCTGTAAAGGTAAACTTTTTTCGACGAAAATGCGAAATCGACTGCTCGATCCGGAACGAAACAGATCAAATTGGCATGGGTCATCCTAGACGAATCCGAAGATTGATAAGCTCATGGATAAGCCCGCGACCGTTGATATTGGGATGTGTACTCTTATGCACATTTCTTGTGATGCTAGGCGCTCACAGCTACTTTAACAGTTTGTCTACCTAAGTCGTCGATCGTTACGATCCCAGTCCCCCCATGAGGCCTACACCTAATGTGCCAGCGACCACTGCTAATCTTGAGGAAATGCCTAGGTGAACGGATCCAAAGGCATAAAGCACAATCCGAGCTCGTTCGGAAGATGGGGAGCTATACCTTAGAGTCGACGAATGTGGCTTTGGTAATACCGAAGACACGGTCGGACGACGTACGATGGCTCCAAAAACACCTCCAGAACCAGTACGCACTATGCAGACAGCTCCAGACCGACGCTTTATGCTGCTAACGTTATTGTACTGTCCAGGCCCAACACTACCCCTTTTTTTACTCCATGAGCAGGAAACGCGAAACAGATTTACTCGTTCCCCACTCATCTCGTGGCCGCGAAGTCTCTGCGTATCTCTCGTTCGTTATCGACTACTATGATCAGTTGCCGCCGTTTTCGATTTTCATCCACGCCGGTGAAAGCCAACAGCATAACGATTTATTTGGACCAAAAACCAAGATTGTGCTAGAAAATCTACGCCTTGAGGCCGTGAGGGCAAAAGGTTATGTTAACCTACGATGCCTGCATTCGCCCGGATGTCCAAGCCATGTTCATCCCAAAAATCCCACCGAATTTGATATCAAAAATCATGATACGCGTGCCTATTTCGCACAGATATATAAGGCGCTCTTTGGGGCAGATAAGCCTATTCCAGATGTTCTTGGAGGCATCTGCTGTGCACAATTTGCAGTGAGCCGGGACCAAATACGCCGACGACCAAAGGGCGATTACTTACGGATGATGAACTGGGTGGATAAAGAAAGCAAGCAGATGGTGGATGATTATGGTGTTGGGTGGGTCTTCGAGGTAGTGTGGCATGTGGTCTTCAGCATGGAAGACGTCCAGTAGGTTTTGCTTTTGGAACACTCTTCCTCGATACAACAGTGTCCTAATATGTCCCCAGCTGTCCTGCGTATGAGCAATGTCGATGCCATAATTATGGGTGGTGCGGGCCTTTGTCCTCGGGCGAAACCTTGATTCCAATCACACCACTTGTAAATGAAACCATAAAAGTGAAGTGGTAACAATCTTATTATCTACTTGCTCAGACTGGTATCGTATTCTCCTATTTGTAGCTTGACCTACAGGTCTGCACTCGCCCGGCAAATGTGTTGCTTCTGTATTCGGATGGAACGTCTCTCAACGGAATCACGGTCTGGTCTCACATTGGGCTCTGGTGCCTTTACCATGAACCCACTACCTCTGGACCTTTTTTTGCATGTCGTCTTGGTTCTTGTGAACCTTTTTTCAAATTGCTCCTCGGTCGGGGCTGAAAATGCGCTTTTCATTATGATCGACCACCTCGCTTTTTTGGATCCTACTCTGTGACTGAGCCTCCTTTGGATACCAGGTCAGGGATGGGAGTTTCTATCTCTTCACCAATGTGGACCGCCCTCTCCGGAATCAGAAGGATAGTGTATGCTTCACTGGCGATCGCTACTTCGAAGCAGGCCCGTGGGGCCTCGCACTCGAGAAACGCGACTCTCAAGGCATTGCTACTAGATATGATAATCAAAAGAAGAAGTAAGTGGTCATTCGAAGAGATACGTGAAGTACCGTCAGCTTTATATGGAACGATATGCCAAGTATACGATGGAGCACCCCCCCCCGTGGCCAAGGTGTGACAATTTGTCCTTGGCGTAAACCACGAAAACTTAAAACCAATGTATCCCGGGTATCCTAGAGATTTCAAAAGCCGGTGTTATGAACCAAACCGCTAAGCAGTACTGACTAAGGGGGTTCATTGACGAGTGAGTGAGTGCCAGTCAAGTATAAGACCAGGAAGACGGAAGGGAAATATTCCCCTTCGGGTTATCCTAACTGTAGTGGAGGATTGTTAAGTAAGTTGACTACGAATGGTCCTATCTAGGTTAGCCAGCTAGTATATATAATGTCGCTCTAGTCTCTGTTCCCTCAGATCCCACGGAGCCGAGCAGAGCCTTGCCTTTAGATCACGTGACGTAGCATCGTTCTCTATCGGCCAACTTCCGGGGTGGGTCGCACGTGAGCTTGGTACACTTGGTACTCGTACAGCTTCTGCTTTGCTTGAACTGCCAAGGGAAACTTTCCCAATACTGACGGGATAAAAAAGTTTGTCCAACCTGCCACTGATAGTGCCATGAACATTCTGTCGCAATGCGACCATTTTTGTGACGGGGCATTCTTCTAGCCACTCCTGGCTCCCTCACCACGCGTTCTTGCCTATCTGGCAAGTCGCGGTCGCTATCCAAGTCCTAGTATGGCCTTGACCACAACCGACATTGACTCGTTCCCGCTGGGGAGAAGGGAAGCACATCCCCGTCCCGCTCCTGCAATTGCGATAACTCCCTGTGATCCCTGGCCTCGACCATATTACCTGGAGAATGGCCTCCGACGCGTTGCGCCCTATCATTATACCTATAACACATTCTGCAAGCAAAGATGGCGGGGTCGTGAACTTCTGGACATATTTGCTACGGAGTTTCGCGATCGATCACGGGAATATTACAAGCATGCCATTGAGATAGGACAGATCTCGATCAACGGAAAGCCCTGTAGTGACGTCCACACCGTCGTGAAAAATGGAGACGTCATCTCACATACCCTGCACAGACACGAGCCTCCAGTCACAGCTCAACCAATTCGAGTCATCAGTGAGACAGACAATATGATTGTGATCGACAAGCCGGCAGGAGTACCTGTCCACCCAGCGGGAAGGTATAACTACAATTCGGTGGTGGAAATCATGAAAGCAGAAAGGCACTTCACCTTCAAGCCGCTCCCATGCAATCGACTCGATCGCCTGACCAGTGGTGTCATGTTCATTGCAAAGACTGGTCAGGAGGCGGAAGCGATGAGCGAGAAGCTACGAGGCCGCACTGTGCGTAAAGAGTATATTGCTAGGGTCAAAGGCAGGTTTCCCGATGGCAAGGAATGGGGTGGAGATCCGATGCGTGGTGGAGTGGTTGATTGTGAGGAAAGCATTCTGCAAATCAGTCCGATACTTGGTCTCAATCGAGCACGAGCCAGTGGGAAGCCAGCAAAGACGTTGTTTAGAAGGATAGCCTACTACCCTCGAAAGTCAACCAGCGCGGTACCTTTCGAACACGTAAATCAAGTCAACGGTACCGAGACCATACAGCCAGCAGCTCCTACACCAGGCACTGAGAATGATGGATACAGCATTGTTCACTGCCTGCCCTTAACCGGCAGAACACACCAGATCCGTGTGCATCTACAGTTTGTAGGTCATCCCATCACCAACGATCCTATTTACAGTAATCGAGCGGTATTTGGGCCCGGCCTTTCGAAGAATGACTCCAGTGGGAGCGATGATGCCGAGGTCATTGCGAGGCTAGCGAAGATGGGAAAGACAGAAGTCGCTAGTTCGATAGCTCATGAAGAGCAGATGGCAAAGATCATCGACCAGACTCAGCAAATGACTGCTTCTGACGCCGCAAAACTTAGTGACGCCAACTTCAAACCGTTGAATAGTGGTACTCTGCATGCAGGCAACCTAGCAGGAGCAGACGAGGAAGCTCAATATGGAGCCTATGTCAAAGCGCACGCGGACATGGTGGCCGACTATAACAAACGGAAAGGCGAAAAGATGACGGGGGAGAACTGCAGCATTTGTGACACGCCATTGTATTCCGATCCTGGACCGCATGAGCTGGGAATATATCTGCACGCTCTTGCATACGCGGACGTGGAAGAAGGGAGCTGGAGCTACAGGAGTCCAGCACCAGCGTGGGCTCTCCCACCAGAGGGTGTAGATGGCCCTCGTGAAGTAGGGCCATGGGAATACCGTGGAGACGAGACACTGGACATCGGTGACGAAAGAGCGGATGAGCAGTACAAGACGAAGATGGGTACTAGGAAGAATCGAGAACTGGACTTGGCAGACTCGTTGCCGCTTCAGAGTCACGGGTCAGCCTACACTCGAGCAGTCACTTAAGTAATACTAGAAATAGTCACGGGATCAGACCCACAACTGCATCCAATAGATGCGGTTAAGCGGATCGGAACTCATTCGGACGCTCGACCAACCATCAGCCACCAATTGAATGAGCCGAGCCGGCCCCCCTGCCTCTGACGAGCACTCAGGCTTGCCGCCCAGGGCACCTAGAGCACCTTAGCCTCACTGCTACCTTGCGTCCCCTACCACCGATCCGTACAAGGCATCTCAGGTCAAGCCCAAGCCCAAGCCCAAGCCATACCCCAGCCAGGCTCTCAAGTTGTGCCAGGGCCCAGGGGTCCCGGGTCTAAGCTTCTTCCCCCATTTTCCTGCCTCCCACTTGATTGCTGGTTGGAGGCAGAGCCCCCCGGACAGCCAACGCCAGCGCCAGCCAGTGTGAAAGGTAAACCGAGCTGAAGCTTCTTCGTGAACCTGCATCTTCGCTACTCCGCCGTCAACCTCCTACTCGCCCTCCCATTCCGCTTGCGCTCTTTTCTCCCTCTCCAGTATCTTCTTTTCTTTGGTCGCATCATTTCGTTGTCAAATCATCTCTTGGATCACCTTGCATCACCACATCTGGGACAACTCACCACCAATATCTGCGCATCGCTGTCCAGCCAGTCGCGAAAACGGCCTTCGCCTTTTAACTTGACAAACTCTTCATCTCGCCCGCTTTACCATCCATTTTATTCCGCTCCCGTCAAACCGTTAGACTTTCGCAATGTCCAGCGCGCGAAACCTACCCGCAAAGAGAAATCCTCTCGTTGCGCCAGGCGTTGCGCCAAGCTGTAAGCAATCCGGCTGCGGCTAGTGCGATATGTTGAAGAGAAGCTGACAGAAACAACAGATGAAGACTTGATCAATCGCAGGCGACTGGGCAAGACTAAATTGACGGTCAAGCCAGGTCAAGTTGGAACTTCGAACGCGACCAAGGCCGAGAATCTAGGTCCCTTCGAATATGCGCATTTGCGGGCACCTCTTCCGGAAGACCTGACCGGCTCTGAAATATTTGCATCTCAGCAAAATCAAGCCCACCCAGAGACTTACTTCTTAATGGTACGATCGCGTTCTTGTACACCTCCACGCAAAGTCTGACATCATCGTAGAGGAGAAGCAAGGATGGGTTTGTGAGCGCGACTGGAATGTTTAAGATCGCCTTCCCTTGGGCCGCTCATGCTGAAGAGAAGGAGGAACGTGATTATCTCAAGAGTTTGGATGCTACCAGTCAAGATGAGGTGGCCGGAAACGTCTGGGTAGCTCCAGATTTTGGTAAGTCGCAACCCGCGACTACCCCTGCGGCACAGGCTGACTGCATGTAGCTCTGGAACTGGCAAAGCTATATGGCCTTACTGATTGGATCAAAGCTTTGCTTGACCCGTCAGACATCTCACAGGCGCCTTCCAGTGCGAAGAAGCCAATTGTACCGCCACCAAAGTTCGATCTGCCTACGGATAAGATCAGGTTGCCGGCACCCACAGCAAAGACACCTCGTTCGCGAGCCACGAGATCCTCTTCACCAAGCAAAGTAACTAGTCCGACTAAGGCCAAAGCGTCCCCTAGGAAGAGACAGACCAAGGCTCAAAAGGAGGCTAATATCGCCCATGCCAATGCTGCCAGTGCCACTCTCCAGTCTGCTCTTGACGATGCTGCTTCTGTTGCAGAGACTGAAGGGAGAACCGAGGTTGATGCTGCATCGCCTGTACCCGAATTGCCACCTGTCGCAGAAGAAGAAAAGGTTCGTGTTGAGGTTGACCAATCAGTAGAGGTCGAGGGGTCCACGGAAATTACACATACAAGTGTGACTGTCGAGATGCCGGCTGGACTCCCAGAACTGCCTCTACCAGAAGACACAGAGAAGATGCTCGAAACAGCAAAGAGAATGGTGGAAGAGGCTAACACACTGGAGAGCTCACCAAAAGCTTCGAGGAAACGAAAAGTTCAGGAACCTGAACCGTCCGACATAGATGCTGAACTCCCAGTGCAACCTGCAAAGAAGGCCAAGGTGCTGGAGGAGAAACTCAAGCGAGAGAAGGTCAGGACGCGGGCAGTTCTGGGAGTGACAGCCACTTTGGCTATCGCGTAAGTTGTGTCCACATCTGGTATTGGGATATTCTCGTTAACTAACATCCTCAGTGCGGCCATTCCATATTTCTTCTGATTTTCCACTTTCAAAAAGAGGGTTCTTGCTTTTTTTTGCGAGGATGACTGTTTTCACCTTAGGAGTTTTCTCAGGAAGATGAACATGAAGCTCTGAAGAGAGCCTAATACTAGCGCGAGAGGGCCAACAGGAAGCGAAAGATGCAGGTGCAGTGTGGCGAATTAAGCTGGGGATGTTTGATATCAACGCCAATGTCGAAGGCGGTCGGCGCCTCTTCTCACCCTCGCTCGTGAATAATAACCTTTGCCCAGAGAGGTTATTCGAGAATTGAGTCAGGGGGCACCAGCAAACCCGATCAACTTCAATTTTGCTTTTACCAGTACGAACAATCCGATAATCCAAATTCTTTCCGATTCACAAAAAGTGTCCACATTTGAGGGCTTTCTATTTTCCTAACCCTCACCTGGAGAATACAGCCTGGAGCAGTGTGTACAGGCAAAGCACGAAGCAAGAGCTTAGCAATAGTTAGATGCCGTCCTCGAGGCTGGACAAGTATTTATAATGTGTGTGATATAGTGGGAGGTTCAAACTCGGTCTGGTTGCTTGGTCATGCTTCCGAGTCAGGCGTGTTCAACGAGACAATCCTCAGCACCATGCAGTAGTCGGTCGACTCAGGCTTGCATACCTGGAGTAGGTCTTTACAGACAGCCTACGAAGATAGACAGAGATTCGATGTACAGTACGGAGTAGACAGGTTGATGGAGCGTGCCGATACGTCCAGCGTTATCAATCCATGTGACTGGGGTATCCCTGTCACAGGCCGAAGACCTCGTCGGCCACCCGTCGGCCACCCTCGCCTGTCACCAACGAACCCGATGTTATTCTCTGGGTTCCCCATATGTCTCTCGTCTGACAGCAGTTGAAACATCCAGGGTGACATGATTTCACATTACTGGTATTGATATTTCTTGAACGTTTTCGGATTTGTCTATATCCGGTGACATCTGCCAGGCTGACATTGTCGTTTTGCCAAATGCCAGCGGTGGGCGGCTTGCGGTTGGGTCACGAGATACGGATCAAAAGTGGTCCAAATCTCCAGTTCGCGCTTGCTTCGTATTGTTCGGGCGCCTGCCACGTTAAAAGGATCTACACTTCGACCTTTGGGTCTTCCTCTAAGCATCTTACACGCGCCAAACGTCTTACGAAGCAGTCATTGCACACAGCCGATGGGGCCGGTCGACTTCCTGGGCATTGAAGAACTTCTCTCGCTGACTTGAAGAATCTTGTCATGGCCACATCGACCTTGATTCTCGATCCGACAATCATGGCCACCCCGAATCCTAACGATCATACTTCATACCACCTCTCTCACTCGTCATACACCTGCTCCCACTGTGGGTGCGATTTTCATTCCTTGGTTGACCCCTCCGCCGAAGCTGCGGATGCTCACCGACGACTCCATGACCTCGAAACCCAGGTTAAGATCTTGAATACCAAAGCCGCCTCCGCGGTCGACAAGCTAGCCGACTACGAGGATGAGTTGCGTTATCTCCGAGACGCGAACGCCAGACACGAACAACAAAGCCAAACGGGTGGAACGAGTGGTCTGGCCCTGGAAGGCCCCGGTCCAGCTATCACGCCCCCTATGCCAGGGCAATCACAGCAACAACAGCAGCCACAGTCGCGGTTAGCAAGCCTGAGTGCATTATTACCAGGCCGGAGAAAGGAAGTCCACCCAGTAAATTTACCCATCACTCCTCACACTGGAGTCTTTTCTCAGAATGACATTGCCTACGGCAGCAACTCTCTTTCTCCCCCGAAAACTCCTTTCACCAAAAGCTCTGCCCCACAACTGCTGCCATCCCATTCTGACTCCCAGATCGTGACGATGTCCTCATTGCAATCCTCCTTGGAGGAAGAACGAAACCTGCGACTACGGGCGGAGTCAAGCCTGTCACAGACGCAGACGGAGCTGGAAGACTTGACAGCACAATTATTTGGTCAGGCAAACGAAATGGTGGCAACTGAACGAAAAGCAAGGGCAAAACTAGAAGAAAGAGTTAAAGTGCTAGAGCAACGGGACACCGAGAAAAGGAGGAGGCTGGATAGGCTGGAAAAGGCCGTCTCGAGGATTGAGAGGGTAAAGCAGATGGTCGGCCCATGAAGAGACATTTTCATAAAACCAGCGAGGCCGTCGGCCGAGCGTGCGCATGGCCGAAGGACGGACGGACAATGTCAAAACTACATCCCACAATGCCTATACAGAAGGCTTGGCTACACGGATCGACGCCGAGTACCCGCCAACATTTGTTGCAAATCGCGTATCAATCTGGCTGGCGGTGAGCGAGTCCCACAGCTGACAACTCTCATCCCTACAGAAAGGCACACCCCTTTATGGCAGCAACCATCTTCAAGAATAAGCAGAAACATTCTTCCAACTCAGCTCACAAATAAATTCGACCAAGCAACGCCAGAGCAGTCGGCGGTGGAGGCTTGCTAGTCCAGCAAGATGAGCATCAGTCCGTGATTGGATCAATCCTCATGATCAAACATGTGCAACTTCTATGCTACACTGCTATCGACCCAAATAAAGTGCGGAAATACAGACACTCAAGGCTAGTCAGGTTAACGAATGCCACGGACGGCAACATATCAAGTCCTCTTTTTCTGTATGAGTGCCCAAATCCACTTCAGCTGAAAAATACCCCTCTTCTTGGTTGAGGTATCAGAAGACAGACAGACAAGGCGGCGGCGGCGGCGGCCAGCAGTCGGGGTGCTATGAGCAATGTACCTTTGTGAGTGCAGAGAAGGGCTATAAGGGGATCTCTAACGAGCAACTCACAAGGAGTTACAAGACACATAATTTTATATATGTTCCAGCCCATCACCATCCTACCCTACTAGTTCTACTACGCTCGGAGGTTGTCATACCTTGGGCCCCCGGCGGAGAAAACAAACCCGTCGAGACACCTTACGTTTCCACATCGAGATTATGATATGATATGACGATAAATATCTCTTTCATGACACGCATTTAATGCTTTATTCTGGCTGAAGTCATATGCTCTCATTACTGTCTTGTCTCGTTCATTTCAAGCTCAATCAATCTGGCTCACAATGTGAACGGCCGAGGGAAATGCAGACACGGATGGGTGGGTAAATATACATAAGTATGTACAGTGATACATTAAAGTCATTATTGGATCTCGAAAGTCTCTTTGAGAATCGAGGACCTGGGTAATCTTTTCGCCCTGTGGGTGCTGTCACGTTTCTTTTAAACTGAAGCAAGAAAAGAATGGACCAGTGATACGCTTGCTGAAATGCTGATAGAGTAAAGATACCCGCGGCGAGGGTATATGTGAAAGGCATTGGAAAACCAATAAGAGATTCAAAGCTGAATCAGATCGATCTCGCTGAAATCCGGTGGTGCGCCAGAGTAGACGCAACGCCCCTTCGAGTCGAGGCCTTGTCTGATGTTGCTAACCCAAATGTGCGAGCTGAATTCACCCATGCGATGGACTTCGTCGTCACTAACGCCGAGTTCGTCGCGTGGCAGCCAAATGACAGGTCGTCGAGCACGCAGTGCACTGTGCTGGAATGCCCGCTGGACCAATTTGTCACGCTCCTCCGGGGTCAAGTCTTCCAGTTCGTCATTAACACCAGCGAAGAGTGCATCTGCGAGTTGAGTTCGAGCCGCGCGCTGTGCCTCAACGTCCTTCTCGTTACCTGTCAACGGGTTGAAGTTGTTGATTGTGTCGAGAACATTGCCGGCATTACGAGCAGGCTGCTCGCGTCTCTTGGAATGATGGCCGCGTCTATAGGATGGATGACTTCCCTGCGCTCTACCTGCCTCGCTTCTAACTCGGCTGTGGCTTTTCGAAGGACTCTCCCATTGACCGAAATTCGCTGATTTGCGGTTGCGCGTGTTGTCACGATCCGCCCATGACTTTCGGCTCTCGCGGTGATCCTTGCGAGAGAGATTTCGTGGCATCAAATTCTTCGTAGTTCCGGTGGTCTTGTGAGCAGCTGCTTTGGCCCAACGAACACCCTTGCTCTGTACGTCTAAATTCATTGCAATTTCTGGATTCTGAAATTCGTATGGCTCAAGTTCTGGGAATTTGCGAGATCTCTGTCGTTCCAATCGATCTCTCTTCTCTGAGTCAATTCTGTCCAACTCATACTCTTCCTCGTTTCGGTTTTCGTCCCTCTCATCATGTTCCCTTTGCTCCAATTGGTCTTCAATATCGGCTCCATCGTCCTCATCCTCAATGACACCATGCCTTTGCATCATAGCACGTGCGAACTCTTCGTCTCGTCTCACGGCATCATCCTCAAGAGTAATAGGCAGATATCTGAAAAGAGGACTGAAAGCATTGTTAAGCAGCAATTGATAGCCTGCTGTCAGGATCAACATGATGATTGTACCGATACCTTGCCCGGCACATGATACTTGACCGGCTTCGTCCCTGACGAGGAAGAACATGCCGATCAGAGCAATTTCCATCACATATATTCCCACGAAAGTGAAATTGATGGCGTTTGGGTACAGAAGACCTCCAGTGTCCCGAGTGAATCTTGTGACATAGAGCGTGTTGTATCTGTACACGAACCAGAACAATGAGAAAGTGATGATGTTGAACAGTAAGATCAGTGGCGATATCACTGAGTAGATCAAGCCGATACAGGCCAAGTTCGTGTATACCGGGAAGAAAGTACCCCATTGGATATTCGACAAGTTGGTTTGTCGTTTAAATTTGGCTCTAGCGGTGCTGTCGAGGATCGGAGCAAGGACAAACCAACCGATGAGTGAACCGACTTGCAAAAGTGCCCCGGCACTTACCGAAAGTGCTTGAAGAAGCATGTATGAGAAGAAGTAATTCGAAGCTTTGGGAATGTTTGTCCCAAGCAATGATGGAACATTGGTAAATCCTTCGACGCTTTGGAATAGGGCAAAGAACTGGGTCAAGGCCCCGGCAATCGAAACGACCAAGAACAGCTGCACGAAGAGGAACCAAAAGTAGTATCGTTGGACAGATAGTTCCACAAGCATCCCAGATTGAGTTCCTTGGAGCCGCACCAAAAATCTTAGGATGAGAGGGAGAAGAAACAAGAGCAAACCGAGTAATGCCGGAGGAAGGACACCCTGCAATACACTTCTAAACCAAGGTGGAATACTCATGATCCAGTGCAGAAATGAAAAGCTTTTGGCAGCTGTTTCGATCTGTGACAAGGCAGAAGTAAACGCGACGGGGAGAGCCCAGAGGATAATCATTCCGGTAACAATCGCAATCACACCCCCGGTTCGAGCATAGGCCGACCACCAGGGAATTGACATGTTGTCCCAGATGACATCGTTCGGGTCAATTTCAACCAAGCGTGGAGCCATTTGTTTGGGAAGATGATGAGCGACACTTTGACAGGCCATGTGTGCTGCAACTTGGTGGTTGAATTGGATGAACGCTGAATTCATCAGAGGAAATCGTTCTGGGTGAGCTTGGTCATCCTCGATTTCAGAGTTGAGCCTGGCCACCTCTTTCCGACAATACTCGATGGTGTCGACCTTCTGGCCAACGAATGGGAGGATAAACATCCATTGCCAACCAAATATGGGGAGTCTCATGGTTGCGCGGTCCTCGTCCTTCAGGTAGCGACGCCACAATGCATCGTCTGGTTCGTGGTTGAAGTCCGAGGCAAACGCATCAGGATAGTCAACAGGCTCCTTTTCCTCGGATGCAAGACCAATGGTCCTTTTGAACTTCTCGAACTTGGTGAGGGGTTTTTCAGGACGAGGTTTTTCTTCTCGCATGGTACTAGATTGCGAGATTGGACTGAGCCGGCGGCCATCCCGAGTGTTTTTATCGATAGATCCGTCAGGGCCTGCTGGGGATGATACAGTCCGTGCTGAAGCATCGTTCACATGAGATGTTTTGGGCTGGCCTGGGACTCTCTGGTTCACATCGGCAGAACGTGGCTCTGCGTCATGAGAATGCTTCTGATCCCCAGATGTCCTTCCCAAGTCCCGCTGTTCCATGTTATCGGCGGTGAATCCATTAGTCGTATCGATTGTATCATTTACTCCTTTGTTTACTCCTTTGATTCCTCCTAGCAATTTAGTGCCAAACCTGTCCAAACCATGAGTAACAGCTGAAATCCCTTGACCGAGAACTGGGATAGGAATAGGATGTCGACCGCCGCCGCGATCCTCGATCTCGTCTTCGACATCCGAAGACGACGCAGAGGAATCGTGGCCTGCATGACCGCCAAGAACGTCACGAAGGTTGTGGTTTATTTGGTGTGGATTGCCAGTGGTAATGCCATGTCCATGGGCGGCTTTATCGCCCGCCTCATCGCGAATGGCAGCTCTTGTCTTCCTATCAGACTTTGACAATTTCTTTCCGGCCTGCTTTTCGGCCTTGGCAATATTCTTTTCGTTCTGCTTGAAGCACTTCTTGATGAGCTCACTCTCGGCTGATTCCAGGGTCGAAGCAAGCTTATCACGTTTCTTGATTTTTTCATTTAGCTCATCAAAGTTTCGGTTGATCCAGATATTTCTCAATCCACCAGGGAAAACGTCAAAGAGCCCATCAAGGGCCTCAACAGTGCACCACTTTTGAGGTATTGAGCTGACAAGGACCGTAGTAGCGGAGGCGCGGAGACGATGTTGAGGGGAGGTCATGTATGCTTGACGCATTCGAATGTAGCCGCGTAATTCGTCGAAGGAAACATAGCAGACCCAAACAACCAAGGCCAGGGCAAGTAGCCAATGGGCCCAGTAGCGGCCCGTATGATCAGGTGCAACATTACCCCAAGCCAATTGATCTAGCCCAGTGACATTAGATGCATTTTCTTGTTGGCCCAGGGCAAAGCGTGCACCACGGCCGTCAACTAGATTCAGTGGAATCAGGATGGGAAGGATAACCAGGGCCCCGGGCACAAAGATTTTGAGCAGTGTACGGAGGTATCTCAGAAAGAAGTAGGCATCGAGACCGCATTTCTGAACGAAGTCTGAGTTGGAGGTGGTGAGAACAGGAGCAACCCATGCCCACCATCCTGGGGCAACTGGTTTGGTACGTTCTCTTTCCGGCACCAGGTATGTTCGAGGTTGGTATATGCGGGCAAAACGATCTTTGATCAGGAGGAAGATGAGGACTTGGATGCCGAAGATGGCGATAGCAGTGATTAGAGAGGCAGCGAACTGGCCAGCACTCTGACCGTTCTTCTGGTCAGCGGCGGTACTATTTCCTCCAAGGATCAAAGTGTTGTTAACAGCAGACATTTTGATTTTGATTTTGGATAGAGTTTGGAGATCACGAGCGTCAAAAGTCAAGGGTTGAGAGGGTTTAAGAGCATCACTGCCGTTGGTTCGGTCGAAGATATTGCAAACGGGCAATTTCGATATAGATGAGGGGGGGTCAGCTGGTAAGCAACACCGCGATGAAAAGCCCAATTGCTCAAAATAGAGCAATAAAGGGGAGACAAAGAGAGACAAAGGTGGTTGTCTATGGGATTGATAGAAGAACGACACACATAGCTCAAACAGGCACGAGATCGCAGGAAGGATAAAGAGAACGGGGTAAAGCAAAGAAAGGGTGGAGAATTCAAGATTGAGCAGGGATTGCGTATCTTGATACTGGTGTCATTGTCAGGGATTGACTCCCCGTAGTTTTGGCAAACTGGTGATGGTATGTGAGTTTCTCCATCACGGCGACCGATCGCGAGAGAAACGGTTGGCGCAGGATGACGAAGGAGGCGCCAACAAGGCGGGAAGCACTGATGCACCTTCCACCAGTTGATCTTATTGAGACCTACTAATCCCTAACGGCTTACCGCCTAGATGCTCTCCCGCCAAGCCCCTTCTCCTTTACCTAGCTTAACTAACACAGCGCCTAGCCCTCCTAAGTCCAAGGCCTCTCGGTTCACGCGCCGCCCCGCAACACGGATTCAAGTTTTAGCATCCCAGCACCAGCCAACTTTCTGTCAACCGCAGCCAACGCCTCTCTCTTCTGGGCAAGATAAACACGTGGTGCAGAAATGAAACGCATCATCTCTCGGCTCTCAAGCGATTTGCTAGAAACAGTTTCAGTTGCCGACCGCGAGGTATTGCACGTCGATGTGTAACAGCTTGGGCGCCCCCGGTTCGGGAATTAAGACTGAAATGAAACAGATCCCGCCGTTAATTTGCAAGAGAGACATGCAGCCTTAAGATTACGCGTTTTTATCCCACGTATGGACAGGTCACGTTCCAATTACGTCACCAATATTTGGCATCCGTGGCACACAAGGCTATTCGGTGGCTACATGTTAAGCAAGGCTGACAAAGGCTCGCCTGGTTGCACTGCCTTACGGAGTGCTAACTCGTAGGCAGGTATATAATTATCCACGGTACCGAGCACCCCATCCACATGTCACTTGCTGAAAGTTCCACGTCACGTACAACAGTCTATCATAAGGAGTTGGGCTATCTTAGAGCTTTGCATTGCTTTATCATGACAATCGGTCCGGTTCATCTGCTGTAGATCGCCTAGCGGTAGTAGTTCTGGCTTTCCCCTCCATATCCTCCGCTTCCAGTATTACCGCCATACTGGCTCTGGTAAGGATCCTGGTAGGACGTCTGGTACTGATAATTCTGCCCTTCCTGACCGTAGGTTCCAACACCCTGGCCATATTGTTCATAGCCTGATGGAGGCTGTATAGGCAAGGGACTAGGTGATCTCGCTGGCGCAGCACCAGGCTCGAGTCCACTGCCGTACTGACTGCCGTGAGCAGCCGCCTCATGCAACTCTCTTGATCCGCCAAGTTCACTTCCCCCATAACCACCAGTCTCGTCGTCGTCGAGTCCACGCTTGCCTCCCCCAAACCCGCCCATCAATTTTCCATATTTACTGAGGTTTGAGGCACCAGGAATTGGTAGCTTGCCAGCAAGATTGAGAACATCCCCAAACCCACCTCCACCTCCGCCACTGCCATGAGATCCGCCATACGATCCGCCATGAGACCCACCTTGCCCGCTAAAGCTTCCGATCATGTTTCCGACCGCCCCAAACGGGCTGCTGTTCTGGCCTCCGCTGCTGCCATGTTGCTGGCCAGGGAGAAGATTTGTCAAGGCGCTAAAACCACCGGACTGATGACCTCCTCCATGTTGCTGCTGACCAGGAAGAAAACTTGCCAATGAACCGAGACCACCAGAGTTGGATTGATGCCCTCCTCCTCCCTGCTGCTGACCAGGAAGAAAGCTTGTAAACCCTCCCAGACCACCAGCACTGGATTGGTGTTGTCCTCCACCATGGGTCTGACTACCCGGAGGCTTGATATGAGCATGCTCGTTGACACCTCCCTTGTGATTTTTACCTTCACGCACGGCTTCGGAGCTCAAGACTGCTTCCAGACCCCTGCCTCTGTCTGACCGGGAATCAACCCACATCTTCACAGCATTATACATGTTGCGATGCACCTCATTCCTCTCGTTCCGAATAGCTGGATGGTGGAAAATGCTCTCCACATCCTGCAGGACTTGTTGCACTGGAACGTCAGGGTGCTCCCACGCGTAGAGAATTCTCGGGGCAATGTACTTCAGGATCTCCGCTGCGACATTACCAGCCGGCTCGTTGAGCAGGTTGCTGAAGTGATCTTTGCTAAGCATAGAATGTGTTGGGTCAGAACAGTGAGGATCTGTCCAAACCTCATACTGATGCTTTCCTGATGAGTTGATCACGCCTTCGCTCCCCGTTTGCAAAGTTTTCGACATTGCGTTGATTAGTGGCCGCACAAAGGGCGCCAGCAAAGACAAGATGAAGACCGTGAGTGTCTCTGTGATTCGGTCAACAAGCGCTTCCAGTCCAGGAATCTTCTCGATGATGGAACTAATTGTTCGCACTACCTTATCACGGAAGACAAGGATGGGATAGATTTGAGAAACGGTCTTGGCCGGGTCAAAGTTCGGCATGCCTTCAAGGCCAGCCGGTGCTAATTGCTGCTGCTGCTGGGATTGTGGCTGTTGTTGCCAGTTTTGCTGCTGCGCCGGTTGCTGCCAATCTTGATGGGCAGGTTGGTTCCAGTGTTGCTGTGCCCCAGAAAATTGATCTTGGGAGTTGTAGTTCTGCTGTTGGCCGTGACCCTGCCACTGACCTTGCGACTGACCCCAGATTTGTTGACCTTGCTGTCCGCCCCACTGATCGTATCCTTGCGATTGAGGAAAACCTGCATGTGATGCGCGAGTGCTGTCCCAGTCATCAGCTCCACGTGAGCTTCCAGCATAATTATCATCAATTCCACGACTGCCGCCGCTATATCCTCCTTGTTGATTAGAACGAGCTTGGGCCTGAGAGCTAGATTGAAGGCGCTCGGCTTCATCGCAGAGGTCCTTGGTGCCCGGCACCTTGGAAAGCAATTTTACCAGGGTAGTCAATGGATTGGAAGACTGGGCTGCCTGCTGAGCAGTCCCAAGAGCGTTATCCATCTCGTTAATTTCACTCTGCGTGAAATGGTCTGTAGCTTCACCTAGCACGGAGTGATAGAAGTCAACCATTCCAAAGGTGCCGGTGACGAGAGGGAATGTTTGTTTTCCACGGAGATTGATCCCTGTGGCCATGCCTACGTGTGGGAAGACGTTATGGTAGCCCATATCTCTCAGGACAAGCTCGACATAGTTGGTATGGGCTCCAAAATCTTCAAGTGTGTGCAAACCCTGCCCGAGGCATCGCAAAGCTTCAGCCAAGTCTTCATCTTTGCCCTTGAAAAGGCCATGTCCGTTGCAATAGAGCCGACCGTGATGAATGCTCCGCTCGAAGCTGTATTTGACAAAAGCGGCGGAGGTGGCCCAGTCACCATGCCCATTGGCGATATAGTTCTTCATACCGGTTTGCATGTCGATTTGGAGCTCGACATCACGAACTGGACCGCGGAGGCGAGCATCGTATTTCCTCGCATCTTCGTTGTCATTGTAGTCCTTGGGATTGCTAAAGTCGGGTCAGAACTTAAATCTTTCAGAAGCTAGTCTTGATGCCTACTCGATGTGCTCCTCAGGTCTATAGACACCGAGCCTCTCCGAGGTGACCTCGAACTCGGCGGTAGCATACCCAAACCCAAGGAACGAAAGCAGCCAAACCAGAACACGAATAGTCTCTGGCTGAGCCTTCTTCAGAGCTCCTGTGTCCATGGCCTGAGAATAATCCCGCAGCCAGTTTCTGGACGATGACGTTTGTTAGCAAGCATCACGGCATGAGCTTGAGGGTATACCAACCCGAAGTAAACACGCTTGATCATCATGGAACTCCACTTGTGATGGCGAATGCAGGCAATAGTCTTGAGGACGTCTTCAATGTCACCATGACGCCAGTTCTTGCCTTCGACAGCAGAGATCGAGGCGATATCTATCAAGAAAAACAAGAAGAGTTAATACATCGACATACCCCCAGGCAAATTTAACCTGAGAAATCAATATCAGATCAAGAAATAAATAAACCACTTACTCCCTGCTCCGAACGCATCTGCCCGACAAGTAAACAGTACAAGTCCGAGCAGCACCGCCAGAAGCACATTCCGAGTGAGCAAGCCCATTATTGCCTTCTGTGTCAATGCGGGACTGGATTATCGATAGATAAAAGGCTTGATTTCAAAGGGGAGGAAATATGTAAGCGAATGGTATGGAATGAGATATCACTTGGCCAGAGGATGTGCCCGTTGTGTCAGTGGCTGCTGAACGCCAAGAGATAATATTATATTCAGACTCTTCAAGCACTCATTGCTCTTCTCCCCAGGTTTCAACTGATTCCTCTCAAAAGCTTCACGTAGAGTGTACCACTAGTGATTAGGTGCTCGACCCTTCGATATAGGAGCCTTAACTATTGGTCTGTGGCAAAAACCTCGTGGCACCGTCTGCAATACTTATCCAGTGCAAGCAACAGCTGAATTCATCGACAAGCGAAAAGTGCCCCACTACTGCAGCTCTTCCTAACAGATCTACTGACAACGTTGTGACATGACGATGAACGCGCAATCGTCCCGCCATTTTCAACATTGGCGTGCAGTGACTTGTGAATTCCCGAGTCCATGGCCTGAGGCTGGGCATGAGCCCCTCGGGACTGAAAACTGGGCAATGCTGGATGAGGCTTTCACGCTCCACTCCTCGGTAGCAACCACTAGCACCGCTCAGCCTATGCTAATTAGGCCAGCTGCCCCCCTCTTTGACTCAGCCTCCCATCCTGGATTGCACCATCGACTCTCTACCCCTCAGAACACAGCCACCTGCTAGATAGAGACTTCAAACATAGGAGTAATCTACGAGTACCCAAGCTACCGAGTCGGTGCCTGGACACTGACTACTTTGTCCCCTGCAGAGCTTGCAGTCGCAAGGCTGACCTAGTGTGGCGATCGTGGCTATTACCACCAACAAGGTGTTGCCTGACATGGTGGTAGATGCAGGCGACCTAGTAAGGTCAATAGGCAGTTAGAAGTAGGCACATACCTGGTTCCACGGGATAGAAACTTGCACTTCCAATTCAGCCTTGGTTGTTAGTAGATTGCCGCATATGCCGTGTAGTCAGGAAGCAAGGCATCACCACTAGTCCTCATCAATCTCATGATCCTGTTGGAAAGTACAGATAACTATGTTTGACACAGATAGAACTTGTGAATTTTCGACATCTCTAAACTATACGTAGAATACACCTCATGAGCAGTGGTATCATCAACCAAACTGCGTTTGCTGGCAAACCCATCGCAACCCACGCAAGCCTAGATTCGTTTTAAACTAGGCGTCGACCATGAGATGTGCATTTATTTTCGTCCTGGCGTCAACCCAACCCAACCAGGATCCCATCAAACCTTCTGGTATCTTTGTGTTTCGCATCACCCAACCGTTGAACACATGCCTGATTGTGCAAAGAAAAGATAAACCCCAAAACAAACACGTGGATAAAAAACACCTTCAACGATGATGATGATCGTCTTCTATCGTGATCTCTTGACCTTCATGTTCTCGAAAACTCCAATGCTAAACCAAGTTGTCTTTTTGGAAAAATGCTGTGCCGCCATACTCCCACCCGGATCCTAATCTTCAACAAATGGCTGGTATCATGATGTAAATCTTCGTCAGATCGCTAATGCCTTTCGCTCGATTGACAGTAATAGTGTCGGATCGTAATGTTGGATATATACAGAACAAAGAAGTGAGGTGAGGAGAAACAATTGTCGTACACCGGCGGGCAAAGGCAAAGCAACACATCATAACATCAGCCAGGGTAGAAATAGCGGCACAGCCAGCGGTCCGCACAGAGTAAGAGGCATGAAAGGATTCAAGCGCTCTACCAGCGACGAGCCATGGTTGTCTGCTGCATCATACCAGGGGAGATGGACGATGGTGGGCTTGCAATGCGGTTGCCGGTAGAGGGATTTACAATGGGAATGGCGCTCGTGCGAGATGAGCGAATAGCGGAAGGTTGGTGAATTTTAAGGCTGCTGTTATTGCCGGTAAAGTTTGGAGGTGACATATATGCAGACGTGGCAGCTGAGGAGATGGACAGGGATGGAGTGATTTGATGAGGTTGGATCTGGGTTTGAAGAGGAGACGAGCTGGGAGAACCACTGGACAGTGAGGAACGATCAGATCCTGAAGTCACCGACTGTCGCTTCTCGAGGTCAGCAAGGAATCTTGTTGGGTCAGAAAAATCGGCACAAACCTCATCAAATGTCAAGAGATTTGGACAGAATTCAAGGTCGTCATCGATATCGAATGAACGGCCAGCCTCAAATCTTGCTCGGTAGGCAGTAATGCTGGGAGCTTCCGCAACGACGACCTCCTTAACGATCTTGGGGCCACGAAACTGACGGTGTGAGTTTTGAGCCGAGGATAAGCGTGGTGCCCTCCTGGAGCGTCCATGATGGTTATGGGATTGAGGCATTGGGTGAGGGTGTTGGACTTGGTGGTGTTGTTGCTGATGATGCTGACCGCCGTAGAAGAAAGTCGACATAATGCTCTCAATTGGATTTGTAGCTTAGGAGTTTCCGAGGTTGGAATGGAGAGGGTGATGCGTTCTTGGAGGCGGTGGAAGTGTCAGGAGGCCAGCTAATCAAACGGTGGCAAAACAATGACGGATTAGGCAGAGTCGAATCTTGGAGGGTCGAGCTTGCAGTTTTGGAATTCAAAGGAGTCTATTCTGTTGAGGAGAATGAGCAGTCCAAACAGAAGAACAAGATATGATGGAGAGACTGTGATGTGAGTTGAGGGAAAATGGCGGGTGAGACGAGGCGGTGATAGAAGGATATGCGAATTGGCGGTGGATGGCGAAAAGGCAGGTGCAGGCAGGTTCAAGACGGAAGGGAAGCTGGGATATTGCGGGTGCGGGTTGGTCGAGTACTACTAGAAGTAGTAAAGTGAAGGGCAGGAGCACGAAAAGATGGAGAGACGAGCGACAAGAAGAGACAAGGCCAGTGGGAAAGGCGGGTGGCCAGCAGACCCGACCCTGTGAGTGCCTCCGTAGCACTACGAGTTCAACTACGACTTACGGCTGTACTAGTTAAGAGTAGCCGAAGTAGGCTAGATCTAGTTAAGTCCATGGGTGCCATAGGTGCGGCAGCGGGTCTTGTGGTGCTGGGCGCAGCTCGGAGACGGAGGTGTTATTGGTCATTTTGTGTCCCTGCGCTGGGAAGCTATCCTTCGACTGGGCGATGACCGCCTGGTAACAGGCATGTCGAGGCCACAGCGGCCAGCATTGGTTCAGACGCCAGGTCCTTGGGTTATTGCCTCTGCCACATACCGGTCGGCGGGGGGGCGCTCTTGCCGGAAATCCACGTTGCCAGTTGCCACCCTGGTCTGTTGGTCATGCAGGTCGACAGACGCTTGACCGCACTTCTGATACCGAGGGTGTGAGAGGATTGCTGACTGGTTCAGACCCTGCGCAGGCCATGCCGGGTAAATGTGAGCACGATGACCCTCCACTTGGCTGATGCACATTCCTGCCCTGGGACCCGTCCGCTAATCCTATCTCGGCCCAACACGAGCGCTTTCTGATCCAATGGTGTCATGCGTGCCTCACAAAGTGGGCTGTCTCTGTTTGCTTCTCCCTAACCTCTTCCCTTGTTCCCTGCCAGTGCCGCCCTCCTTTGGCTCCCAAATTCAGAGACTTCGCAATTGCACAGTCTCGAAGCCTACCCACCCTGGGCTTTCACCGACCTGCACCCGCGCCTGCGCCTTCGCTCATGCCTACCTGCAGGGTCAGTCGCCCTGCCCTCGCGATTGGCACCGCTCGCCAAATCATCGTCGGTTTCCACCTCTTGCAACCCAATCCTAGGATGGTGTCCCTCAATTTAGGTTCTTTGCCATGATCTATCTTGATGTTGAAACGAGAATGACAGCCCACCTTCCCAGGTCTCGGCTTCTGGGCTCTGCCGATCGCCTTCTGCCTACCACCAGCCTTGATCGTTCTGTGGCATGCAGTCAGAACATCAGTCATGTTGGATATGTCTAGAATAGCAATCTGCACCTCCAGAGCACTCCACCACCAGTCAATTGCGGCTGCCAATGTTGTTACTCGTGACAACACGTTCAAGGAGGAACCCAGTATTGGACTAGCTGTTCAATAATGAGACTCTTGATGCCTCAGCAATCTCATATGATACCCCACATTGAGATCATCTCGTGGGTCGACCAAGCGCTGCTTCATCTCCTCCTGCGCGAAATGAATCTCATGACCCTTGGATTTGTCTCCTTATGAGTACTCCTGACTCTGTAGTGCGGAGTATTGTACAATCAAAGTACTTTTGGGCCCATGCTCGGACTGAATCCCGAGACTCTCGTACCGATTGACATGTTTGTTGTGGACTTGCGACAAATGACAGCGCCTGTATTTGGTTGGGTTCGGTTCATGGCGAACGGCAATCTGCACCATCCTTTTGGGTACGGAGTACGGGCGAGACCAGATCAAATCATGAGACACGTTTCACAAGCCCTATGACGATAGAGCAGCGGTGTATCCCAATCAACCCCCCTGAACAAAATTGCCGACCTGCCCCATTCCAGGCTGACTTTGGGCGGTAATGACTTCATGCTCACCCCTTCTCAGGAGAGCCTTTCTGAGAACTCCCAAAAATAACCCTCCAAAAGGAATATTGTTTTCCCGCTCCCGTCTTTACCCGGGCGCCTCGCTAAAAGCACGAGGTGGGCAAAATATTGATGGGCCACCGGTGGGCACACCGGTGGCATGGTGACACCACCAGACTCTCCTTCTGCACACCATTACGAGTCACTGGCGTCCTTTTAGGGGTTGTATAAGGAAGGTATACGAGGTATCATTATCTTCTTAGTGAACATTGGACCTTCGGCTATGACTCGGCTTTGTCACATTCCACAAGATCGTGACTGTTGTGCAAGTCTAGCTGCGCTCTGAAGCCCCAACTCCGCATGACCCGATCAAGCACGGGAGAAAGGAATGAGATCTATATGCGAGAAGAACTGGCGTTGTGATCCTCAAACCGAATACTTTGGTCACCGATAGACCTAACTCTCTTTCTCTTCAAAGAGTAGGCGGAATGGTTGACTCTCAGCTTAGAGCCACTGCCTTATATGTGCTCAGATATCTCAACAGACTCCGCTTCGATACTGCCTGAATCTGTCACATGGTCCGTAGACAAAGTTGCAGTTCAGGGCTGGCACCGTAGTCAACGAGGGATATGGATGGGCTGTGGAACATCACGAGCTTGAAAGATAGCCGCGACTTCCTAACACAAAATCCACCCATTGTCCCTTAGTAAGGACGAGATATCAAGGCTTGTGGTGCCATGGCGCAAGCGATGGCTCCAGCAATACCCGATCCCTTGACATAGGCGACAGACATGGTCAATCACTGCCCCACAAAGTCTGAAAGCATACATCTCATGAATCGTCCTCTCCCGCTTGGGAATATAAAATTGACAGAATGTGTAAAGCTGCTGCATTCGAACGTTGGAGCGGAACGTCTCTCTCTCAGCAGCCGTATGACCGATCCATCGATCAAAGAGGAGAATCGGCCTCCTCTGCTCTCTTTAGTCTCCTATAGTCATCAGCGCCACCTCTTCCTAGACGAGGACTCGTACTATCAGCTGTATTATCCAGCTCCAGCAGATCCTCGCCATCGCCCGAGGTTCTTAACAAGCCCTCACTCTCCACAGCCTGCCCGGCAGTCTCGTCCAGACCTGAGGGCCCACCAGGCTTCTTCGCCTCCTCCCTCCTGCCGATGACCACGTTCCCAATCGCCAGCAGACTCGCACCACCCCACCACAGGCCGTTGAGCTTCTCGCTAAAGATTATCCAGCCGAGCACAGCCGTGATCATGAAGTTCGCCGAGACATTGACGATCGACACCCGCGTCGTGCTGTCCGCGCGCGTCAACGCCGCCGTAAACAGCGCCCACATGGCTGCGTTGAAGGCCAGGTTGAGGAGGAAGAATGTGCCGCGCACGAGGAACTCGACGATCTTGTTGGTTGCAGAGAGTGAGAGGAGCAGTGCTATGTGAGAGGAGAGCGTCGATGTGAGGGAAGTCGTGGTTCTGGAGACGGGACTCTGGTTAGTATATGCATTGTAGTTGCTCGAAAGACATTCCGCGTGATCATCTTTGCAAGGACAAGGATGGTAGGGCGTGGCCTTGACCCGCAGATGTAAATGTAGGTGAACATACAGTTTGGCGAAGACGCCATTGAATGCCGCACACGCACCGCTCGAGACCGCAAGCACGATCCAGACGGGCTGCCGGCGCAGTGCAGCCACAATCGAAGACGTCGCTGTCATATCTTCCGGCAATATATCGTGGCTGATGTCCGAGCTCGAACTAGTCCTGAGTTCTTTGACGGCCTGCTTTCCTTTGCTCCTCCTTTTCCGTGCTTGGGACATGTTGACAGCAGCGAAGATATGTGAGATTCACTGGGTGTCGTTCAGGGACCGGCCGACTTGTTGCCAATTGGAGCTAGGGGCGCAAGGCTGGGTCGATTGGACTCGCTGATTGGTTTGCGGGAAGTATAGGGGAAATGGAGACAGGGATGCTTTGTGCGGGTGGGCAAGAAGGCCGTTTGCATACATTTCTTGCGGCGGGACGGAACCCCCACAACCACTGTATTTGACAGAAGGGAGAGCATACACAGTCAATAGCCATTTACATCATTTGGTCCCGATGGGCTGGTATTTCCCTCGGTTCTCGACCCGTGCCGTATGTGCACTGGCCCACGAACGCCTGAAATTCGGAACACTCATGCTCAACATCCGCCCTAATCACGGCTGTGTAAAACGATAATACCATCAACTTTTCTGTTTGCTACTTTGACCTCCCATTTGAGACGACCGCAGCCTGCTTGCTTGCTATACCCGGCTTCGCGTCATCAACTTTAGACTTGCCTTTGGACTCATCTTCACCAGCACTGTCAGGGAAGCCAGGTTGCTTGCTCAATGAACCTTCCTCATAACCCAGAGACTTGACAATCCCGAGGCCCTTGGTTCTACCCTCACGGAACAATATCCGCTCTCCCACTGCAAGAAACTCTGGTCGTTGCACAAAGCGGAACGCCACAGTGGCACGATCTCCGGTCCGAATGAATTCACGATCAATGTCGACAATGGCACAAGTCTGGCTGACTGGGCCGACATGAAGCATCGCTTGATATTTCGGTCGAATGGTGGTCGCGTGAGACAAGATGAGGACTTCGGCAACAAATTCTCTGTACACCTTGGGTGGGGCTGTTTCGATTTTTGGCAGGACGACCATCCCTTTGCGGACTTCCTTTCGCCGAATTCGCTTCAGCGCGAACGAAGCCGACTGTCCAGCGCTGCAGGCTGGGACTTGTATCCTCTTACGCTCGATGGATCGAATGTTTGTTGTTTGGAATTGTCCTAGGGAATCTGGACCGACCAAAACTGTATCACCTGCATGAACCACACCCGACTTTACCACTCCAGATACAACTGTGCCAACAAATGGAACGGAGAATGTGTCATTTATATGAAACTCAAAAGATGCATTGCTGTCATAGTGACCATGGTGAGGCAGGATGTTCAAGAAAGTCCGCACTAAGTCGAGGCATTCTCCGGTGACGTTTGAGACCTGGAAGATGGGGCATATCCGCTGCGAAACAAACTGGGTTGCAGTCATAACCGTCTCTTCATGTGTCTTGATGAAGATAGGTATTTTGCGGGCACCTGGGGACTTAAGTATCCTGGTCAATTGAGTAATGGTCTGTTCTAGAATTTGGGGCGGACAGATGTCGATCTTGGTAATGACGACCATGACAGGCACATTCAAGGCAAGTGCAATGCCCAGATGCTCCTTGCTCATACCAATCAAACCATTATTTGCCGCGACCATAAGCAAGCAGTAGTTGGGTGCAGAAGAAAGGAGTCCAAAAACAGTTGTCCGCAAATACCTCTCGTGACCTGCGAGATCAGTGAAAGAAATGACTTTAGCAGAGCGAGTGCCGATTTCGCCCCAGGTAAGCTTCCGACCAGGAACACTGGTAACAACGACCTCACCATGAGTATCGAAGCCCAGGATTTCCATCCCGACTGAGGATGTTCGGCCAGATTCAATCTCGTGCTTATGACGGAAGAGATTTACTCGTGCCTTACCACGGCCGTCATCGAGGTTGCCTTTGACTAGGACACCTAGCATCGTGGATTTACCTGCGTCGACATTGCCGACCACCGCAATCCGCGTCTCGATAACCTCCTCTGCGGTGGCCGGGGTTTGCCGAATCAGGAGCTTCCCATGACAGAATGTGTCCTTGATATCCTTCGCCGTAGCTTCAGTTTCTCCGCCTACGTTGTAGGTCACGAGCACCCGGACAGCCGCTTTGAGAGACGCAGAAGCCTCGACTATCCTCGCTAATGCGTGGTCCCATTGCTCTTTTGCGAAACCCATGGATTCGCCACTATCCTCTAGGCCCAAGTCGAATAGGGTTTCGCCGTGACCCTCATCCAGCCTAGACTGGACAAGACCAGCGAGCTGCTGTAGCGTTGTGACCGCATCGTCCGAAGGATCAAGCAACCAGTGCTTTAGTTTGACCTGATTTGGACCATCGGATAGGCCGAGCTGATCTAGAACATCGAGCTCTGCATGATCTTCATTAACGGACGAGATGGTCGCCGTAGAATATCCAGTATCGCTGTACACGGACTCGGTGGGTTTAGTGCGAGCTTTTGACTGTTGCTTTTCGACGTAGTCGGCAAAGTCAGAGAGTGCCTGTGGAGAAGGTTAGATGGCAGGACAAATATAAAGTGTTACGGGGTTGAGTAGTACAAGCTCTCCCTTCCGCCGATCCTGCAGCGTCTGTTTTATTCGGGTGCCCATTGCGGAAATAGTATGGAATGGTTAGAGTTTGGAAGGTATCGGTTGGGGTTGAATTGATGGTAGTATTGGAATGGTGGAATCGCCCCCGCGCTCGTCAAGGTATTCGCGTGATCATTTTCGAAAGTGTGGAGGTAGGTTCAAGAGAATTTGACAGTCCTATAGAAACATCGTGTTGGTGAGAATTGAGATGGACGATGGCAATGAAAAAGGTTGGACTAGTTGGTTATGGTGACGGTTGAGGGAATGTGTTTATGAAATGGAGCGTGCTGGCATGTCAAGGAGTCATTACGAGCGGGGATCCTCTCTTTCGAGTCATGAAGGATCCGTATTGGTACCAAATACAGGGTTTTGGTACGCCGTCCAGCTGAGCCTGTCGTAGCCTATTATGTGTAATCCGTACCTAAGTACACTCACCCCACCCGTTTTTGAGGATGGTGGCACCTCCCAAGGCTGGCTTACGGCGCCCAAGGACTAACCAGGGCAAGGTAATGACAACCCCGCACCGAGTACGCCTCGCTTGTCTGATGCCCACAATAATCCTTCCTGGTATTGCTGGGAACCCTTTTAAGATACAGCCCTGGTTCTTCTCAATGCCATTCCAATGGGGCGCAAGGCTGTCAAGAATGTGAATCACCCGTTCCTTCAGAGCCACTTCGTTGATTGCTGACTTGGTGAAACGCCTCCTTCCAATGAGAGAGGACTTTGGCAGCTTCATGACTCATTGTGTGTTGGCACTCTGGGGTAACGTTGTCATTTCCGAGTATCTTCTGCGAAGGATTGATGGGTCTCGTAGCTTCTCAGACCACCAGATTCGAGTGAGTGGCATATCCGTCAAGAAGTTGATTGAGGCGAGATCAGGACAACGGAATCGCCTGGGAGGGCTTAGCTAGGATCTGATTTAAGAGAAGGGAGCGAGACCAACCGCGAACGAACAGCATTTCTGATTGCTTTTTCGAGACCTAAGTGCATCATTGTCCCTCTTAGCATCTTACAAGCTTAGATCGAGGCTGCGATGCCCAACTGACCTTGATATTCTCCTCACCATCTTCCTCTTCCTCGATGGTGTATATTGTTTCCTCCACTTCACCGAGTACAAGATTGCAATGGCTGTCATACGCCTGAGAAGTCAGTACAGTGTTCAAGAGGTCAGCGGGTACAACAGAGTGTGTACATGGAGTCGGCCCTTCAATTCACGATCTCCACGCAGGCGAACGAAGACTCTTTCATCCAGTGATAGGCGCACAAGGTCCAGAGGCTCGGAAACACTAGATGTTGCTTCACCGCCAACGTCTGCCATTGTAGAAGCTTTGTATGAGACAAGCAGTACTTTCAGAAAAGGTGTGGAAGCGAGGAAAAAGACGCGGTGGTGGTGGTGGTGGTGGTGGTGGTGGTGGGCGAGCTGGAGCAGTGCAGACACATCCCACAATTGCCTATGTAAGTATTTCATAATTATTGGGGAAGGAGCCCGTCCTAATTTGGAATGGTCATTCCGCCACTCCAGACAAAATTGTCCCCAAGCTAAAGGCCACTGCACACGATATCACCTCCTCGCCGGTACTATCTTGATCATACTCGGTATGTTCCCTGCCACTACCAACTCCTAGTCTCTTCTGCTCTTGATCCCCCCCTTCTGCTCTCTCTTCCTTCTTCCTTCTCCTTTCCCGATATTTGCTTGCACTGAGCAGGGGCATTGATGCATGGCTCTGTCCCTTTCCAGAGGATCATCAATGGCACCCGAAGCTTGAACTTGTCCACTCCCTCCAGTCGCATCCCCCACCTCACCCTTCATATCCGCTGTCGACACACGCCATCCCATGCAGCCCTAGCCAAATCATCGCAATGCTCGCCGTCGTACAGCAAGCACCCGCCCTTGTCAACTACTCGCCGTGCTGCGTCCTCAGACACTTTGTATCACCCACGAGACCAACGTGATAGGCTCGAAACAGAGCATCACACATCAATACCACACAATGTTCACAAGCAAGAGGCCCTTGAAGATGCCCCTCCTCCACTATCAATGCTACAAATCGTTCGAGAGGGTCATCCCGATCGTGTCCTCCTTGGCCTCCTCAATCCAGACATAGCGCTCGATTTCATTTCCACCTCCACCGACGAGGACTTCGCAGATGCACTCTGCTCTCTAGATCCGGAATACTTCATTGTGCCTTTTCGCGACCTACATTACCATTTATCACCTACTCTAGAGACTCGGCCGCAGTTTCGATACGTAAAGTCGTTCGAAGAACGAACTACCACCTTCATCAACATCCTCAACAAGTTGACGGAGGAGCGCATAAATGCTGTCCGCGCCATACCCTTGCGAGTTCATTGCCATCTCCTAAAATGCCACGCCGCTTGTGGCAGGGCAGATCTAGCAAAGCACGTCTTCTACAAATCTATGCCCGAGGATCAACTTATGCCTGATCGTGCTTGTTACAATTATCTCATGGAAGCTCTGACCTGGAACAATGCATATAGTGGGCGCGAAAGATATAAACTCCGTGTGACTGGGGACCGACTGGCATTCCGCTCGTATGACGACAGACCTCTCAATTTAGCTGGCCATGGTGTCGCTTCTCCGTCTAACCCAGAGAACAAGGATTCCATTAGAATTCAAGTCCTCAAAATTTTTAACGACCTTGTGCGCCAGGGAATCTCCGGCGATGAAGCGACATTCTGCCATCTGATGATTGCTATGGGCCGGGAGGGTGACATGGAGGGTGTGAAGAGTATCCTGAAATCTGTATGGAACATCGACATTGATGGTCTCAACGCCTATGACGAGGAGGAGCTCGAAAGTCCCACATTCTATGTTGAAAACTCGATACTTCGACCTTCAGAACGCCTGCTCTTTACCATTGCTCATATCTTCGGAAGCAATAACCAAATTGATACTGCGTCAACGCTGCTCGACTATGTATCACGGCATTACAACATGGAGATCTCTAGCAAAGTTTGGAATCACCTGTTAGGATGGGCATATTCCCTCTTCAGTCAAGGGCGTCCCTGGCAACGGAGGAGAGGGCTCAATATCGGGCGTCCTTCTGCTGCTGCTGTCGAATCCCTTTTTGCCGTGCTACAAGGGGAGCCCTACAATATTCAATTTGGCATCGTCCCTCTACATTATCGAATTCGAGTCCGACTGGCAAAGCGTGTGCTTGACCCACTACTTAGCGATGTGCGAGACTGTCTAAGACAATTAGACGATGACAGACTGCAACTTTCTACGCTGTACGATAAATTGCGTGTTCTCGTGCTGGACAATTATGGAGACACCCACCAAGGTGACCTGGCCACCGTTGGTTTCCTAAATCTGAGGAGAGAGTTCATTCTCACAGCTTTACGTACGGAGGCCCATCTGCAGATGATGATTGTCAACCTTCGGAATATGTTCAAGGAAAACCACTTCGCTGGAGGTGGCAAAGAAGTCGAGTACTCGTGGCGACGTCTACCCAAACTAATCCTCGAGTTTCCCGACTTTTTGCCCAACATTGTCCCATACTATACACCCACTGGTCACGTTATGCTGATCCTTAAGGAAACGCGCAAGCAAGCGATATTGGAGACAAACACGTGGCAGATGACAAGAACTTCGAGTTTGCGAAACATGCTGGATACGTTTAGCCCTTTCAAGCTAATGCATGCCACGTGGGTGCTTAGCGAGGGGAGCAATGAACTGATTTGCAGGTATTTTGATTCGCTGAACGATCCTAGTGCTGAGAATGTGACGGTGGACTGGGTTGCGAAGGATGAGTTCAACACCCGAAAGTGGAGGCTGAATGAACCTTCTTATCGAGACCCCTACCCGCCTTCAGCTGACCGGCCTGAGAGCGGTTGGTCCCCATGGCCAGGTCCCCCTCCGCCAAGGGGAAGTCAAATTCGGTACTGATGGTCTCCTTGTTGCTGAAGCAAGCACTCGCATAAATCCAGCTACTGTGTCACCGGTGCTGTACATAGATCTACACTTGTAACACTACATGCCCCTTCTATGTACGATTTTCTGCCCTGGGTTAGATACATACGAGAGAATTTTACTTTACTTCCTTTTTCGAAATGCAAGGGAGATCTCATCCCCATCTTTCCACTGTATGAAATGGGGGTATATATAAAAGGGGATTGACGAGGTACTTATGCAGGTACTCTGAACCAATCAAGAACACTAGGTCATGCCAGGCCACGCAAATTAGGAACACCTTGAACGATGCGCATCAGGGAGTCAAGAAGATATTGAAAAAACTGACGAGAGACATAATCATTGAGAAAGGGCGGTGATCGCCAATTTCGAGACAGGAAGTGGAAACGCGTGCATCTTGCGTGTCATATGGCTTTGACTGTCCACGAGCAACAATCTCCATTCCCGTTTTCCTCCGCAGTATTTATCGAAAATTTCACGTTGCGAGCACCCTTTCACTTCGCAAATCATTTACGACCATGTACCTGCCGAGGGAAATCCAGCCCCAACGAAACCAGACCATCTGACTCTTGTGGCCCGAGACCATGGCCTCGCGAGCCTTCCAATAGCGGGGGATGTCATTAACGAACACTGTGCGGTCGGCTACTGTAGCTTGCTTCGACTCGGTCGAGGCAATGGCGGATTTGCTGCTGCCGAAGATAGACCTGTAGATCCCGCTTAGTAGTGTTGGTATCGCGTCTAGGATGAAGCTGTACTTCCGCGCCAGGTTTACCGTTGGTAAGGTATATAGTGCCACGGGGCAGGCGTATCCGGGGTGGCCTTTCATAATCAACTGGATGAACTGTTTGGCGCCATGGTACAGTGCGATGTGGTTCGGGTGTGAGGAGATGCCCTGTGCGTCGAACGTTATGAGCACATCGATGGTAGCGCGTGGGCCCGCTGCGGTCTGCGGCGGAGGGGGGGGAGCAGAGGCGGATGAGGACGGCGATTTAATGTGTTTCGGTCCTTTGGATTTCCGGCGGTCTTTTTCTTTTTCCTTTTCCTTTTCTTTCTCCGTCGATAATGTTATTTCGGGGGAGCTAGCGCGGGTGGGCAATGTGGAATTTAGGTGAGGCGCAAACGCGCTCGCCAACACGCGCACGATCTCCTCTGGTCGCCATGTCTGGTTCATTCCGTCCTTGAATCTGGCGTCGTTGAGCACGAACACGTCCTCCTTCCTGCGCACACCGAGCGTCACAGCAGCGGCCTCGATCTCCTTGCGCCGTGTCTCGCCCAGCCCGTCGCTGTCGCCTGTGCTCATGCACAGGATCTTCAGATGGTTTTGCAGCGCCGGGTGCGTTAGCGCCTGCAGTGTCGGTGAGAAGAACATGGACTCATCGTCCGGGTGCGCGATCAGGAGGATGATGCGCTTGTTGCGCAGGTTCGAAGGCACTGGCGGAAGTGAACTCGCCGTCATGTGCCAGAGCAAGAATACCAGAACGGGTACAAGGAGGAGGGTCACTATAGTCGTCGTGCCCGCCATAGTCACAGCCCTTGGGAGACGGCGATGACCTCAGGCGAAAGGAAGTTCGTTTGTTCTCGATGGTAGAGTAAAAGGAGCGGTATGTTGGGTTGTAATAGGTCTTGTGATCACTCGCACCGGACCAGGATCGATTGGGACCAGTTCAAGGCCTATGGTACGGCGCGAGTCCGAATCATCAAATTGCGACGTGTGAGAGAACTATGGTTGGTGAAGGTAGTGGCAGCTCGTCAACCTTAGCGATGTGCACAGCGAGGTTAGCGGCTGCACCAGAAGGCTCATGATGCAGATGCCATGGGAGTTCATGTGCTGTTGCAGAAACTCCTCTTTTCTGCCTTCTTCTCAAGCTAGACGCATGAACCAGTGGAGAAGTTTAAAAAGGACAAAAGCCCGAAGATGCGGTAAAGGTGGCCGGATCTCAACAATCCCCAGTGGTGCCAGGCCAGGAGGAGGTGCGTGGGCAGGTTGCTTTGGAACAGATGTCCGTTTTCGCTCTGGAAACGTCGCTTCGCTAAGCCGACCCTATGAGAACCCCCACCCTCAAATTAATTACTGCATTCAGTGTCACGGACGATCGTCAGGGATGAGGACAGGGGAGGCGGCGGAGTGGAGGGGGAGGGGACGGAAGGCCAGCGTGACATTTTCACAAGGTCACGTGGAAAGAGAGATCTTGGCAGGTTTTGGGAACTGAATGTCATGACATTCAATCTATGATACTCATGATACTCAATATTCAGATATGATTCAGAGGCCTCCGCAGGAGGTGAGTTCAGTGTGTCACGAGGATTATCTCGGCGTGAACAGGTGGTTGTGTAAGTTGATAACCACCATGGTGATGTCACGGGGACAACACAGCGTAATTGACGTTCGATCATAGGAAAAGACAACTGGGAGACAAAATGGAACGATCTGAAAGAATCTACTGTAAAGTGAGGAATGGACGCTGCGGCTAGCACTTTGAGCTCACCTTCCTCCGCGTCCTTGGGATTGGAAGACTGACGTACCTAGTACAGGAGGGAAAGGGTGGACACATTGAAGGGGAAAGAGAGCCTTGTGGGAAGCTTTTGTGTAGTTCGAGGTCAGCAAGATATCATTCGAGCGGCTTGTAGTCGAGTGAGACCAACCAAACATCCTCAGTTACCCATCCATGGCGATGCTATGCCTTAAAAACATTTCCCTAGCCAGTCGTCCAAGGCCACCATATCGCAGATTCGAGTTCAGTCGCAGGGGTGGCGCAGACTTGCAATTGGGTTGGTTGATAATAATCCTTCCTTCAATAACAACCTTTCAGTATCGATAGCGAGTTGAGTAGTCCTTTGGTGAGACCACAAGACCGCGTCCTTTCTTCGCGCCTTTGTAGATAGTTTCAATGATGTCGATTAGTTCCTGTTTGTCTTCCAAAACCCAGTTCAATTTGTTGTTGTTACCAGTACCAAAATCGCACATCATGTGTTTGTTGCGGAAGAAGAACATGAGGGTGACGGGGTCGTAGAGCTCGTACATCTGCTTGAAGTCTGGAACCTGATCGAGATCGCAGACATAGATGACGGCGAAATTTTTGACCCGGTCGGCGATTTTGTAGAGAACTTCGTCTTGACGCATGCAGTCAGGATCGTGATCACGACCGAAACGGATGACAACGAGGCGCGAGTCTTCAGAAAGTATAGCCTGATCAACGTGCCATCCAGTGACAAGGTGAGGGATGACAACAGAGCCCATGATGATGGTGAGAAATTGAAACGATAAAGTTCCAAGATCTGTAACGGTGATCGGTCGAGAAAGCGTTGAGCTCTGTCTAGCAGGACGTGAAGGCAGTGAGGAAGGGAAATCGATGGACGATGTCAAGATGTGCTGTCTTGGTGGGAATTGTTCAGAAATCAAATGACAGTTTATGACGCAGCACGTGCCTCCTTGGCAGCAGGCAGCGTTCCACTGGTTCAGTGCCTGGAAGTCTCCAGTTAAGAAGCCTTGAGGTTCGACATGCCTAAGGACCTAGTTAAGGCAGCCTCCTGCGCTAAGATAAGGTCATCCTGCAGGGCTGCGAAACCGATACCGCTATCCCGTCGCGCTCAAAAACTTTTGCTGGATATTACCCCGCGGCACAAAAAAATATTGGCCAGCGGACAATCCTTAGGTTTATTCAATGGTTCTTTACATCAATCACAACACCCGTTCGAGGTCAGTCCTGTGAGAAGGATATAAGATGTCTACAGGTTCCGTCATTCCCGGTCTCCGCAAAGACTTGACTTCAGAGGATGTCGCCCTCGCACGCCGGTTTCGTGCCCTCTTTTCCCTCAAACACCTCGCCTCACAGTCTCCCGGGCCAGACACCTCCGCGGCAATAGAAGCCATCGCCGCAGCATTCACTTCACCCTCTGCTCTGTTGAAACACGAGCTCGCATACTGTCTTGGTCAAACCAAAAACGCGGAAGCAGTTCCATTCCTGAGGGCTGTCCTTGAGAACAGGTTAGAAGATGCCATGTGCAGGCATGAAGCGGCCGAAGCGCTGGGTGCACTTGGGGACCGGGGAAGTTTACTGATCATGAAGCAAATGAAAGATGACGAGCAAGAGCCTGTAGTAGTGAGGGAAACATGTGACATTGCCATTGATCGAATCAAGTGGGCTCACTCCGACTGCAAAAACGTCGAAACCCTTAAACCATCCGATTTTGCTTCCATCGACCCTGCTCCTCCCATGCCTATTAACGATACCCCATCAATTCCTGAGCTCCGGGGGACGCTGCTCGACAACTCTTTGCCGCTGTTTCAGCGATATCGGGCGATGTTTGCTCTTCGAGATCTCGCTTCTCCTCCAGACTTGCCTACTGCTGTACCTGCCGTCGAAGCCCTTGCTTCGGGCTTTGTGGATCCTTCAGCATTGTTCAGGCACGAAGTCGCCTTTGTATTTGGTCAACTATCACATCCCGCCTCCATCCCTGCCTTGTTCTCGGTGCTTGAAAATGGGAAAGAGGAGAGTATGGTTCGTCATGAAGCGGCAGAGGCTCTTGGCAGTCTGGGTGAAGAACCAGGGGTAGAGGAGATGCTGAGACGCTTCCTTGATGACCCAGAGCAGGTGGTCCGCGAGAGTGTCATTGTGGCACTGGATATGGCCGAGTACGAGAAGAATGGCGAGATGGAATACGCCACCATTCCTGAGTCAGTGGCTGCATAACAGACCAGTTTCTCCTTGAACAGCGCGCGTAAGAGTATGTAGTAATTATTTCCAGAGATTCAATTGTTATGAGTCTCCTTGTAGCCACATTCACACCTCCAGAAAACAGTAGTCCCTTCGTCTGCACTGCGAAGCTGCTTGGTGTGGTAAAACATTTCGGTGCGCCCACAGTCAGGACAGTCTTTCGCAAGGACCGCTTCGACCTGTAGATTTTCAGCATCCACTTTCTGAACTTCAGAATGCTTTGATCTTAGTGCCGAAGGGAAAGCACTGGGCTTTGATTGTGATGTGATGACCTTGCTTGAGGTGTCCTTGGTATATTGGAAACAATCCTCACACTTCACTAAATCTTCCTTGTCTGATGAGGTTGTGGTTCGTGGCAAGAGCGAGCCACAAGCATCGCAGAACAGTAGACTACCTATGGCGACCATGGTGGTATCTGTTCTGTCACGTCGTTGTTGGTTGCCGTTTCCGTTCCCAATCTGAGAAAATCCGACATAAAAAATGTGCTGAGTCAGCGGCAGTTCCTAGGCTTGGCACATGGATGGCAGCGGCCTTGCCAATTCGAGACTAGCGTAATCAAGAAGAATAGATTCGCAAGGCTTGCGATCGCAGCCTTCCGCTGCCTGCGTTTGTCCGCAAACACGGCCAATTCACTGTCGCGCTGCATGCATGTGAAGAGTTTATGTGATCAGTCGCATACAGTCAGCAAAGGCATGTGGATGTAGAAGCATGTCTTCCCTCCCTTGCTCTTTCATTGTCAACCATATTCAGCCGCCTATTCAGCAATCTAACCCTACAACTCCTCGGACCAGGCACCTCAAAGTAACTCCAGAACCCATCCAACAACATGGCTGAGTCGGATACTATTCAGGTGTTCGTCCCACAGAGGCATCAGAACCGGCCCGTCACCAGGCAACTTACTGTGGACGAGGCTCTGCAATTCACACCCTTGACTACCTCGGTTCTGCCTGCTCATGGTGGGTTCTCCCCGTCTTCACTGTCACCATGGCTAACCACCCTTTCAGACCGTATACCTATTCCACAACTTAGTCACTCGTACAATTTTCGCCTTACAAGCCATGCTGAACGCCAGTCCGTCTATCGAACTGAGTTCTGCAATCCGAAAGTCAGGGAGAGGCTAGCAGTGTTATTGGATCCAAGCAGACTCTCCGAGATGTATGACCAGAGCCGTTCCCAGTCATACAGGCCGTATCTAATCAGAAACAGCAAATTCAAGCGATCCCCAGTTAGAGGTGAATCAAAAGCGAAACTCGATCTCAATCCTATGCAAAAGATGGTCCTTCAAAAGACCAAAATTGACTATGCCTACCCATCCTTCACCCCCATCAAGATCGACGATGCCTATCCATCAGTGAAGTCTTATCAGAAGAGACCAACACCAAAGTCAAATCTTGATAAAGTTTTTTCGAGCACTCCTCTCAATCCCAATTTGGCCGTCGAGATTCCTCAAATGCCGCCGGCATTCCGTAGGGAGGAGTATGCGGCCTTGCCCAAATCTCCCAAGCGGCGCAAACTGAACGAGTCCAACATGAACGGGAACGTTGCTCTGACAGTCAGCTCAAAGAAGGAGAAAGATGATTTCCTTTTGACGTCTTTTGAGAACCAGCTTTTGGAGATATTTGAAGCACAAGATCGGCTTGCGCCTGACACATCTACCACAGCCACCAATCACGACAGGACTGTGTTCGATTTCCTTGATGAGGATGATGATTCAGAACCACGTCTTTCAGTAGCAAGCCACGAGAAGTTGCAAGCCACGCTAAGTCATCTGGTCACCTCGGCCCGATTGATCGACGCCTCACCTGAGTATCTAAGACGCCTTCAAGTGCTCTGCGAGCCTGCAATTGAAGCAGCACAGACTGTCAATTTGCGAACTCAACCTGATCAAACAGAGGAGGACATCAAAGTTTGGCTAAATCGACTTCACAAGGCAGAAAGTGGCGCTGCTTCTGCTTGCACCTTCATCTATATTGCACTGGGTAATCCTCAAAAAGAAGAACTCGTTAACCTCGAAGTCCTGCAATGGCTACCGAACATATTGGTCAACGTCTTTGAGAATTGCCTTATTCCTATTGTTGAGTCCCGAGTAGAAGGACAGGATAGCCATTTATTCCAATTAGCATATCGAAACAGTGATGCAGTAAAGAGGCTTCTCGATTCTGGACGAAAGCTATTGGACCTCGTCGCAAGAGTCTGCATTCAAATCAAAGGTGCTGGGTCCATCGTTAACTCAACCGATTTCATGGCTTCCAAGCTCATTTTCGTCCAAAATGCTTACAACGACAAAACATCCGCAATAGGATCCCAAACTTATGAGCGCGTTCGAAAACAGGCCATGGCAGCCTTGGCCAAGCTCTACGCAGCATTTCCATCAGAGAGAAACGCCATCCTAGACGAGATTTTGACCTCGCTAGACAAATTGCCATCCAACAGCAGAAGCGCTAGGCAATATAAGCTTGGCAACGGCAAAAGCATCCAGCTTGTCTCTGCTCTTTTTATGCAGCTGGTACAAACCCCAGCAATGTCAATCAGCAAGAAGCAAAGTCTGAAGAAGAGCCGCTATCAGAGTAAGCGGACTGATGGTTCTGATAGCTCTGACAATGATTCAGCAAGTGATTCGGAAGCCGACGAAGATCTCATGACCAACAATCACGATGATCCATTGTCGAAACTCGGCAGTCTTGCCGAGTCACTCTTCGATGATGCGTTCAGAAGCGCCCAACACATCGTTGGCTGGATGGTTGATAAAGCTTCGAAAGTGACTAAAACAGGGGATTCACCCTACAGGAACATCCTTGATCTTTTCGTTGAAGATCTGACGATAGTGCTTCCATCTACAGATTGGCCGGCATCAGAATTACTTCTTACGGTTCTCGCCGTCCGTATGATCAGTCTTGCCAAGAATGATAGGGCTGCCTCCACGAAGAACATGGCATTGGAATCGTTGGGAGTGATGGGATCCGCTATTTCTGTGACGAGGGCATCCGCTAGAAGTTCTCTAGCATCAATTATCCACACAGGAGAGTCAGGCCCTTCTCTGATTGCTCGGGACCTATCGGATCTTGTGAAGGACCGAGCCCATTTTCTTCTTCAAAACGATGAGCTTATCCTGAACAACGGCCCATATTCAATTATTCGCTCTTACTTGAGTTCGAAGGGAGGTGAAAGTCTGAGAACACGATCTGCAAGAGCATACTTCCTTGTCCAGTATGCTGCAATGGTCGCTCGAACTCTTAAAGGGTGCACTAAACAAGGAGATGAAGGAAAACAAGTATTGACGCTCGACACTACCGTTGACTCACTTCTTCAACAGCTTTCCGAACCTGACGAACCGGGGGCTGCCTACAAGGATGACCGAGCCGTGACGAGTCAGGAAGCCCAATTAGCCTACATGCTTTGCATTCTTAATATGCGGTTTTGTCGACGGTTCCCGGAGATTGCGAAAACTCTTGCCTCATCACTTTCCAGCGATCAAGCTCAGGTTCGGAGTCGTAGCTTGAAGAGTGTTGTCACGATTTTGGAAACCGACTCAAGTCTGCTAGATTGGGACCCTACAATTGCGGATGATGTCTTCAAATGCGCATCAGATGATTCGTCTTTGGTTCGGGATTCAGCATTGTCTCTGATTGCCAAGTTCATCGTACCCAGGCCAGCGCTTGAACAAAAGGCTTTCAAACGGCTGCTGGCGTGCGCTGGAGACGGCAATGTTGGTGTACAGAAACGTGCTATCGGACACCTTAAAGATATCTATCTGAAAGAGTCTAGGATCAACGTAAGAACAACTATTGCCACGGAATTCCTACGACGAACCTCAGATCTTGAGGCATCGGTCGCTGAATTGGCAAGCAAGACATTGACCGATATCTGGATCGTTCCTAAGTTGGCCCTTTTGGCGTCCTCAAGCGAATCAGCTCATGCGGAAGTCGCTATTGATGACCTGAAGGCACATATCGTCTCATGTGTGAATCAAGACACTATAGGCTTGGGTCCTATGCTAAAGAACTTTCTGGTCTGGAAATTGAAGAATTCCAAACATGCCGATCAGGTACGACATCTTTATGCTCGGATCGTCAAAAATCTCCTAGATATGGCAAACGCCTCGGAGGCGGGACCAGCGGACTTGACGACCCTTGTGGCCTTTGCAGAAGCCCGCCCTCAAACGATCGTTCCTGGAGACTTAGCAAGCTTGAAAAGCTATTTGAAGGACTTATCACAGTCTGACGATCTTTTGAAGTTTAGGTCTGTCGTGACGATCTTTCGTTGCGTTCTACCCCACCTGTCAAGTACACAGAGCCAGTTGTTGCTAGATGTTCAGCTTGATCTCATGAAGGCCGGTCCCAAGGTGGTTCGACGTGAGGACCTGGAAGAAGTCATGTCCTGCTTGAGAAGCATTGATGGAGTATTGCACAACACAGCTAAACTTGTAGCCTTCGCGATTTCAATCCTCCAGCATGTTCTTCGACCTCAACTTCCAGCCCAAGTTCGGGAGAAGCTGCTAAAGGAGAATCCAAAAGAGGTGACCATTAGAGAAAACGCCACACGCGCCAAGATGTTGCGATTGATCGGGACCATCACTAAATATATCGACTTTGAACAGCACCCTAGCGAATTCCGACAGAAGTTCCCCAGTTTCAAAAGCGGATCTGTCGCGGGATTCATCGCAGATTCCGTCGTGCCGTATACCTTCAAAGATGTCCCGATTGAAGTGAGATCCAAAGCCTTGGAGAGTCTGGGCTCGATATGTCAAGCGTGGCCAGGACAATTCATTAAAAAACATATTCGGGAAACTTTTTTCCAAATTCTCGACGGCGCTTTGCTCAAGTCTGTTTCAGAGAACGACATAATGAAAATGCAGCTTGTGGTATTGGGTACTTTTCAAGAACTTTACGCAACCCGTGCTGGTGCTAAGGCGGAGACCGACAAGGGCGAGGGGCAGAGCGAGGTGCAAGCTCTCAAGAATATTGGTGGAACGAGCAAAGCCCGCGAAGATGATAGTGCAATCTCAACCATCACCAACCCGCTGGTTGACCACCTTCTACGCATTGCAATGTCGGAGAAAGGAGAGAAGGCATTCCTTGCGGCTCAAACCCTTGCGAGCGTCGATCATCAAGGCATGACGCATCCAAAGCAAAGTACAGCAGCGTTTGTCGCGCTGGAGACGAGTCCAGAATCACGAGTTGCCAGTGTGGCCAGGATCGCTCATGAATATCTACATCAACAACATGAATCTGTCTGTGAAAGAGAGTACATTCATGCCGTATATGAAGCATTTCGATACCAGAATGAGGTGTTCCAAGATCCACAGGGTGCCACGGTCCCAGGATTTAAAGCAAAACTTTCAGCAGCATTTACTATCATCAGCACCAGTGGATCGAAATATGTCAAAAAGTTTCTTAGCAGTCTGGTCTCGAAACTCAATACCGAGTATTCGAAGTTGAATGTCGAGAACATGGAAGTTCCTTCGCACCTACTATTTGTGCTTTTTGTAACCCAAAACATGGCATTCTTCGAGTACAAGAAGATGGATGAGTTGTTGCACACCGTGCTGCAACTGGAGCTGGCTTTTGGCAAGAATGGAGGGGAGTTGGCTCAAGTTATTGAAGCTCTTGTTCCACCAGAGGCAAAACCGACCGAAGTCAATGGAGAGCTCGATGCTGTGATTCAGCCCAGTGAACACAAGCCAGAACCACAGGTCGACCCTGCGCTACTCAGGCAACTTTGTGTAGCAGCATGCGCAATCACACTGGTCTCTGAGGCAAGAAATTTCTTGAAACGACAATACGGTATTTCGCGGGATGTCAAGGTGGCGATGCAACAAAACAAACACACCAAGGAAGCGACAAAAGAGCCGGTGAAAGTGCACGGCATTACAGGAGATCGATTTTGGACCAATAGCAACGCAGTCTTGGCATCGTTGGAGAGCACCGAGACAATGATGGCGAGATGCAAGGAGTTTGTCATGTTGGTAGCGATTGACGACGAGGTCAAGATTGCAGAAGATGAGAGCGAAGCGTATGTAGTAGAAAATGGGTTTGACGCATCATTGAGTGCGCCCCGTGGGAAGAAACGAAAGAGTACAGGGTCGATTGGAGGCACACCTAAGAGACCTCGTGGAAAGCCACCTAAGAACGGACGACGGTCTTCGAGCATTTCTTCGATGGAAGACCCCGATGCAGATTTTGCCGGCTGAGAGGCATGGAAGCTGAAGTCGTGTACCTATTTGACTACGATTGGGCAGCATCGATCAGGAATGACGATGAGATGAGAGATGTTGAGGGAACCTCGCATTTGTTTTACTTTGAGCAATGATCTGGCAGAAACAGATGCATCGGCATGTGCAGCAAATGCCATACCAGCGATACAGATGCAGATACAGACACGCAGGAGGCGCAGGCACAGGCTCTGCATACATTGATACCCCACATAGTTTCTGTTTAGAGGATGGGAATGAGGATGAGAAATGAGAAAAGATACTTCAATTATCGCAATTCACTTCAAAAACTGCTCAAACAAAGGTCCCTCTGCGCCCGTATCCTTACAGTTGAGGTACTTACCTCACGGCTACATACTCGTAGTCACTCACGGCTTCGGCGGATGTGGGACGAGTAGATTTTTGGCGATTGGCGGTCATGGTGGACGCGGTCATGACGTGGGATTCCGCTGCTCAAAGCCGCCTCCCGAGCCCAATGGTCAGTGTGGCGAGTGCATCCAATGGATCTGGTATCCATCCTGGCATCCCTGGGTTGGTTGTACGGATAAACTTGTACAGTACTCGGTAGCTTGGTTCAAAGTGCTGTGGAGAACTGCTCGCTAGCCTTCCTCTCTATTCCGTCATACGAGGTCCTCCTTACCAAAATCCTATCTCTGCTCCTAATCACATCCTAACATTCCGCCAGAACCATCCACCTGCTTTTCTTTTTCTGTGTTCTTGACTAGTTCTTTCCTGTCCTTTTGCGTATAGAGAATATCTTCTTTCAAATCATGAGGTAGATCGCCAGCATCCTATCCTCTATCATGGAGGCCTTCCCTCGACTCGTCCGCAATGGCCTGCGCCGCGCTCCTCAGCACCCCTTTCTGCGTTCCCAATGCCGCTCTCTTCGACCCTTGCGAACCCCATCCCACGTCGTCAGGCTAGCCCATTCGTCTTCTCTGAACCGGCCCTCGTCTACCCTCCAGCTCCGGCTTCAACGCCAGTTGCCGCGATCTTTCACTCCTGGAGCCGTCCGTCTCATATCTACCAAGGAGCTACCCAACCACCATGGACCTTTAGCACGCTTTATCTATCGTGTTTTCGCATGGACGGGTATCTTCATCGTCTTTAGTGGCGCTTTAGTGGTCGCTTTCTTCGTTTACGATGCATCAACATACAAAGAAGAATCCCACAAACGCGATATCCCCGTCGCAGAAGCTGCTCTGTTCCCCGAAAGAGGGGGCCCAAAGAACTTGCCAATAGCTCAGGTCCTGGTTGACGATGAGGATTGTCAAACAATGCTCGAACAAAAACACAAACCCAAGCTCGTCATCTTGGGCACCGGTTGGGGCAGTGTTGCCATGCTTAAAGAACTCAACCCGGGAGATTACCATGTCACCGTCGTTTCTCCCGATAACTACTTTCTCTTCACCCCTATGCTCCCATCCGCCACCGTTGGCACCTTGGAGCTGCGCTCTCTGGTGGAACCCGTGCGCAAGATCGTCAACCGATTGAGGGGCCATTTCCTCAGAGCCGAAGCCGTTGACGTCGATTTCTCCCATAAACTTGTCGAAGTAGCTCAAATTGACGCCAAAGGAGAGAAACAATCCTTCTATCTCCCTTATGACAAGCTCGTTGTTGGAGTAGGATCTACCACAAATCCCCACGGTGTGAAAGGTTTAGAGAACTGCAATTTTCTGAAAACTATAGAAGACGCTCGCCTTATTAAGAACAAAGTCCTGCGCAATCTTGAGCTTGCATGTTTACCAACAACCACAGACGAGGAAAGAAGAAGGTTGTTGTCCTTCGTCATCAGCGGCGGTGGACCAACAGGAGTTGAATTCGCTGCCGAGCTTTACGATATGCTCAACGAAGATCTCTTAAACTCCTTCCCACGCCTGCTACGAAATGAAGTTTCGGTCCATGTCATCCAGTCTCGCGGCCACATATTGAATACTTACGACGAGGCCTTGTCCATATACGCTGAGAAACGTTTCGAACATGACCAGGTCGAGGTCCTGACCAACGCCCGAGTGAAGGAGGTCCAGCCTGATAAAATCATATTCACACAAATGGAAGATGGTAAGCCTGTTGCCAAGGAACTCCCCATGGGTTTCTGTCTCTGGTCGACTGGTGTCGCTCAAACCGAGCTGAGTAGAAAACTTGCGAACAAACTGGGAGATTTCCAGAACAATCGGCATGCTCTGGAGACTGACACCCACCTCAGGCTGCTGGGCACTCCTCTCGGGGATGTGTACGCAATTGGAGATTGCTCAACCGTACAGAACAATATTGCTGACCATTTAACGACCTTCCTTCGCGGCATGGCGTTCGAGCAAGGAAAGGATCCTGATAAGCTTCACATCACATTTCAAGATTGGCGTTCTGTGGCACAGAAAGTCCGAAAACGCTTCCCGCAAGCTGCAGGCCATCTGAAGCGTCTTGACAAATTGTTCCAAGAGTACGACAAGGACCAGTCTGGTACTCTTGACTTCGGCGAACTCCACGAGCTTCTCGTACAGATTGACAACAAACTCACCTCCCTTCCCGCAACCGCCCAACGAGCCAATCAACAAGGTCAATACCTGGGCCGCAAATTCAATAAAATCGCAGCGGCCATCCCTGGATTTAGAGCGAATGAAGTAGATTTCGGAGACTTGGACGAAGCAGTCTACAAAGCATTTGAGTATCATCATATGGGCAGCCTTGCCTATATCGGTAATGCAGCGGTCTTTGATTTCGGTGGACTGAACTTTAGTGGTGGGCTGATGGCTGTGTATCTGTGGAGAAGTATTTACTTCGCTCAGAGCGTCAGCATCCGAACGCGTATCCTGCTGGCCATGGATTGGAGTAAGAGAGCCTTGTTTGGACGAGGTATGCCTCCTTGATTTGTTTGCCCCCATGTTTTGTCCATAATAACCCTCTACTAACTCATCCTTTTAGATTTGATGAGCTTCTAGTGCGAGGCTCGCTCCGCTCTCGCATCGACAGCGGTATCACATTGATCCCAACTAAGCCCTTCCTCCAATCTGTCATCATCCAGCTCGTCGGCTCAGCCAATCACCAGGACCACACAATATTTGACCCACAGACCGTGAAGCGGCGCACCTCGAGGACGTGTAGCGACTCGACAGTATACCGAGGCAGGGCGACATAGGACATAGGACGACCCCATGCAATCTTCAAGGCTTGCCGAAAGACTACTTCTGTTTGATTGAGGGTTCTTCCGGTTCATTCTCTCATGAACTAAGTCCCGTTCCATTCTATGGATACGTTGTTTGCTGAAATCCCCAAGCTCCCTCTTGCGCTATCCCGACAGGGAGTGTCAAACCAAGATCGTGTGCTAATACCAGATATGGTCGCTCAAGGTTGAGGTTAGCTTTTGCCGTAGTTGGATTGCTAGGTGCTTGGGAGAATGCGCTCTGGGTACTCCACGTCTGGTGATGTGTAGGTTTCTTCCAGCCCCAAGGGTCTGAGCAATCGTAGCAGCAACGTCATCAAAACATACTGTACATATTCATTATTTCAATATCAGTTCAATATCCTGTTCCTTCCGGTGGTCTAGTTGGATTTCTAGATAGTAACAACCCTCTGCCGAATTGCGCTGCAGGGCTGTCCTACGCCCCGACAAATAGGTTGGAATTTGTTAACTATGCTCGCACTCTTTCACTTCGTGGAACTTGCCGGGAAGCATTACCGTTTAATTGTCGATTGTCAGGTGACGGGATGCTACAGATGCCAAGCGTCGTCATGTCATATCTGCCCGCAGTGGTTGGAATAAGATATTCCACTCCGCACAGGTCGTCCCCACTGAGTCTTTGACAAACACCGTGGAAAGGCCTGCATGCGTTGCCGTACTGCTCATTCTGGGCCTCATTGTATGAAGAGCCACCATATGAGTTTACCTGCGACTCTCGCTATTGCCGGTACTACTCCAGAACGTCAACAGATCGAACGGCCTCGCGGTTGTTGAGCAAACCCAGTCTCGCGCTTCCTCCAAGGGGGGAACCGAGGAGCCTTCGACAAAACCAACGTTGATCGTGGTCGAAATGCCTTACTTCACGGATCTCAATACCTATCTCCACCGAAGCTCCCAGCTCATCCAAGCCTACCCCTCCACACGAATCACAACCAAATACTCATTACCGAAGAAAGCCGGCGCACCGGCCACCAAGGGGAAAAACGATGCTGCCGCCGCTACACCCTCAGACTCAACAGCAGTTGGCGCGCCCACACAGCCCAAGCGCGACCGTTCTGCACTCCTCACTCTGAAAACATACCACCCGGACTCAGGAATATGCCTGAAGTACAAAACAGACAAGGCGGCGGAAGTGGGCAGACTATTGACCGGGTTGGGACGGCTTGCCAAGGGGGAGATAATAGAATTGCCAGTGACAGCAACACCGGCGACTTTAAGCAGACCGACCGGTGTAAATGACCCCGACAATATGGATATTGACAGTGGGGTGGTAGCGTCAGAGCCAGAAGCGAAGGCGGTAGTCGCACCTCCTGCCGCCACGCAAACGGTTGGTGGTGGTGGGAAGGGGAAGAAGAAAAAAGGCAAGAAATGAGGTAATGCGTATCGGGAGCAGGAAGCGCAAACGAGCGTCCCACGATGGACAACGCTTGCGAGAGTATTATTCTTTACAGTATGGGTCTCAACCAACCAAATGAGAAGAGTATCGATGGATGGATGAATGGATGTGTTGAAGCACCGACACAGAAGCGAAAGAGTCGAATACCGAAGTTCCCCCCCCGGCGGCTCGAGTCGGAATATGATCCGCCAGACCTACCTACGTGTAGAAACAGCAAAATACTTTTGGGGGTGCAGGCCAGCCGTTCCTAGGAATCGAGGGTGAAACGGTCAGGATCGGTCAGTTTCCCCCAATAGTATGGAAGCGTCGAAGTGTGTCGCATTATCAATTGTACATATCAGATTCAATGCTACACTGCGCTGCGAGAACGAGGTGGTAGACAGGAGACCTTCAAGAAATAGACCAAAAAGAACCGTGGAAACCGTGAATGATTCAACGATGATTTGATTTGATGTGTGTAATGCTCAACTTCAAACATGGAAGGAGCTCGTTGTCGACTCCGATACAGTCCCAAGGGCTTCGGTCCCCTCCGGTAAGATTACACACCCACAGGCAAGGAACCCAATTCAGTCATCATACATTCCCCTAATTTTTGGAAATACTTGTGTGCGTTTTAGTTTATTGACTCGTACAACCCACTGCACTCGTCCCGTGCAGAGAGACCTTTTCCATGAGACAACCCAAAAGAAACGAGTTGTGAGCTGAGACATTCATTGCAGTCGAGACCAAAGCCGTTCCTCAGAGCAGACCGTTGATGAGGAAAGATCCCTTCACAAGCACAAAGCCCGTCCCTTAAAAACACCATTTGAAACCTTTCATGCTAAGCCTGGTGATGGTATGAAGGGTATAATAATAATAAAAGAAAAGGGAGAGAAAACAATCCCATATGCTGTTGTCCCCATTAGACAAGACATTTCCCAGCCCAGTGCACCTCATAGACGCCGTTCAAATGATAATCGTGAGACACTGTACAATACCAAGGTCTAGAAATCTTCATCAAAGTTGATACCGTTGCTGTCGCTTTCGGTCTTTTCCTCGCCGGGCGACGTGGACTTCTCTTCTTGCTTCTTCGTACCGGACATGACACCCGCCTTCTGGTAGTCTCCAACACGCTTCTCGAAGAAGTTGGTCTTGCCTGCGAGTGAGATGTTCTCCATAAAGCTGAATGGGTTCTGGGAATTGTAAAATCGCTTGTTGCCCATGGCGAGTAGGAGGCGGTCAGCGACGAACTCAATGTATTGCTGCATGAGCTTTGAGTTCATTCCGAGCAGTGCTACGGGAAGGGCATCTGTCAGGAATTCCTTCTCGATCTCGACTGCTTCTGTGATAATTCGCTCAATGAGCTTCGGGTCTGGTTTGTGGTTGAGATGCTGTAGCAGGAGGCAAGCAAAGTCTGTGTGCATGCCCTCGTCGCGTGAGATGAGTTCGTTGGAGAAGGTCAGTCCGGGCATCAGTCCCTTGCTCTTCAGCCAGAAGATCGAGGCGAAGGAGCCTGAGAAGAAGATACCCTCAACAGCGGCGAAGGCGACAAGACGCTGTGCAAACGAGGACTGCTTGTCTGAGATCCACTTCATGGCCCAGTCGGCTTTCTTGCGGATGCACGGAATTGTGTCAATAGCATCGAAAAGATAAGTCTTTTGCTTGGGGTCGTTGATGTAAGTATCGATGAGCAAGCTGTACATTTCTGAATGGATGTTCTCCATGGCACATTGAAATCTGTCCAAGAGTTAGACAATGTATACAACACACATAAGCTCCTGGTAAGGTGGAGAAGATATTGACTTTGGGACGGGAAAGGAGTTTTGACATACCCATAGAAGCACCGAGCCTCTGGGACTTGAACCTCAGTGCTGAAGCGTTCAAGAAGATTTTCATTGACAATGCCATCGGAGGCGGCGAAGAAGGCCAGAACGTGAGAGATGAAGTACCGCTCATCATCGTTCAAGCGGTTGTGCCAATCATGAAGATCCTTGGACAGATCAACTTCCTCGGCTGTCCAGAATGAAGCCTCTGCTCGCTTGTACATGTTCCAAATCTCTGCGTAGTGTTAGCATGTGATGGACCTCTGACCAACGGGCGGTGAGATCGGAGTGAGTACGAACCATGATACTGCAAAGGGAAGAGAACAAATCGATGCGGATTCTCTCTCAGGAGGGGTTCATCAGCTTCTAGCTCCTTGATTGTCTTTACAACTGGTGTAGGTGCTGGAGTGGCCTTGATTTCTGCAGTAGGTTTTGTGGTGGTAAGATCTGATGGAGCAACAGAGTCAACGGCCTCGAGCATGTTTTCCTTATTGTCGGCGTTGAAGTCGAGCTTCTTGACAGGGCTGTCCTTCATCTTGAGGGTCTCCAGGCTTGCAGCTGCCTGTGGGTTGGAGCAGTCAATAGGTGCTGCAAGCATTGGAAATCTATGACGATGTGGCGAACATACCTGTTTGGACGGCGTGACTTGAGTAGTCATTGTTCACGAGTGATTTCAAGCTGATTAAGAACAAAGAGAAGGTGTAGTGAATCAAGAGTAGGCAAGAGGGATATGTTGTTGACGGAGTTGTGGTTAAGTGAGAAGAAGTCAATGGGAAAAGTCGCGGACAAAGGCACTTTAAAGTAGAAGACACGACAAACACGTTTACGCGCTAGACGTGTCGCGTTGGTCATTCACCCTGGGTGCCCGGCCAAATGTCTCGCTGCCACTTTCTGGGACAGCCCCACCAGACCACAACAAATGCTCCTTCACTTATCCTCAAGCTCAAGACTCTATGGCGTTGGTGGATATCACTACGATATTCTGATCAATCCAGTATTCAGTCTGTGAGCTGGAAATCTCTGCTTCGACCCGATTGGGACTGTTGCCTGAAGTTCCCGACACCACTTGCCACGGGTGCATCTGATAATTTTGATCTAATCTAATTTTATCAGATCATCTGTCTTTGATGACGTTGCTGGAAAACGCGCTCGACACGTCTACCAGCCACTTCCTTCTCTTGCATGCTTTGGGCACGGCACCTCGCACCACGTTCACCATCCTTCACCCGGAACTTGGTCGATGATCATGCTCAGCGCTAGTAACGATCAAGCATAGTCGTGCTTGGTGGTCACGAAACACAAGTCTGTGTGGGTAAGGACCCTAGACACGCTGCTATCCAAGTGTGAAGTTTCCTAGCATGTTCTGCTCAATGGAAGGAATATTATCTCTGCATTCCTTGCTCTGAATGGTGTTGAATTTGAGATACCGAGCACTCCGTATATGAGAACCCATCAATTAAGTCCCGTAATTCTCGATTTGTAGTTCTAGATTCTCGCTCCTGCGAATTTTTGCTCACCCAACATCTCTCTGGCTGAGCCTGGGATGTTGTCCATTGGCTCCCACGGGAGACCGGGTTGTTCAGTCTAGACCAGCGATAATAACAACCCACAGGAGCCACGGAAGAAAGCAGATAACCTCCAAAGAAAGCGAAAGAGCAACACTTTGTCTCAGTTATTTTCCTTTTGGTCTGCTCTCTCCCCTCATATTCAGGTTCGTGCTGATTCCTAGCACTTTCCACTTTCCACCTCCTAGGTTGGCAGACATAGAAGATTAGCTTGTGCAACGCAGTTCAACTTGTAACCCAAATAATTAGCCAGTATGCTCAAAGAACTGTTCCATCTATTCAACATATCGACAGATATGTTGATGTTTACAAGCATGTGACCTCTACTGTCCCACGTGTTTTATGGTGAACTGGTCGGCTTTATCGTAGCCTCGCTGACGTAAGTAATTGCATATCGTGACTCATACGCGGCCGTCCGAATTGAAGGCCGAAGTCGGAACTGGAAAAACTACTCGTAGGTGTTGCAGACGCTTGACGGTGTATACTGTACCAAGCAAATTGATATACTCGTCCTTATTTTGTGGCTGATTATACGAAATACTTGATACATATGCATGGCTCAATTAATATGTACGCACCAACCGATTGAACGCACATTTTGATCTACATTTTGTTTATCAACGCTGCAGGAATGGCCCTCCAGCCACAAGCGAGATATTAGGCGATAATGCTGTATGACTTTCAACATATGTTATTTTCCTTTCCTTGATGAACAGAACACCTAATGAATGCAAACCGGAGATTATGCCCAAGACCACTTTCAGATCTTCTCCGAGATGGATTTGGGTAGTAATCTGGTCTCAATACCTCGAACGAACTTGTTCGTTTGCTCTGCTAATGTTAAGGTCAGGATGGTATGGGGTAGAATGCGGGCAAGGTGAGCAGTAAATCCTTTGTAAACGGAGAAGAAGCCTTCAGTAGAGATAGTCTTCCACAAGCAGTCGATGATGCCGTTGTAGAGATTGCCGTGCTGGTTATATAAACGGGCCATAACAGTGTCCTAGAGGTAGTTAGTTCTAATCGCCTCTGTCTCAGTGAAAAGAACTAACCGGAGGATGCATGACACAACAGACAACAAATCCACTCGCCGTAGAGCTTAGGAGGTGCAGCGGGAGACCTTCTTCCATTCCAGCGTGGCGGATTAATCTCCTCTTCGCGAAGAAATATGTCGGTAACTGCACAGAGCTTCCTGCGCCAGTTCTGACCATCGAAGCGCCCATTCCTCGGTATAGTCCTTTCATACCCTCGCTCTTGTACACCTGTGACCAGCCGTCAAAGGCGTTGCGATACTTGTGCTGCGTCCCGACGGGGAGGAAAGGAGAATATGATTGTAATCGAGTCTTGATGAGAAAAAAGGGAGAGCCGGCCATGGCACCGAGGATGCCAGAGGCTGCGCCGGAGAAAATATTGACTCCAAGAGACTGAACGTTGGAATCCTTGAAGACGACTTTTGTACAAGCTGCCCTCAGAGGCTCGTAAAAGCCCAAGCGACAGCCGTTCAGGAGAATTTGGTAGACATAGGCGCAGCCAATTCCTCGATATATTCCACGAACTCCTTCATTTTTCAGGATAACACCGACGCCGTGGAAGACACCTTTGTATTTCTTGACGGCGACATCCTTTGACTGTAGTTCTCCTTGTAATTGTAATCTGATCTTGACTGTCTCGAAAGGATGGGTCGCTGTTACTGCGCCGCACGCAGCGATGCCTCCAGCGATGAAAGCACCTGTGGTTGTAGACATGATTTTCCCCCCTTGCACTCGAGTCCTTCTATTCTTGTCTCCCGCAACTGTACTTATTGTGGATGTGAGAAAATCGGGCGCACCATACTCTTGACGATTACAATTATCGCAGAAGGCCTTTCGGTGGTGGCGCGTCAGCCTGTGTCTGAAGAGTTCGGCACGCAACTCAGGTTAAATAATTTAGAAGTGAGCTCGGACAACGGGTTTGACTAGACGATCAATAATGAAAATCCGTGAGTAGCCGACTCATTGACAATCCGGGGCCAGGTCTCGCTTAAGGCACGAATCTCAGAGACCGCAATAATGATGAACGCCATAGGCTAAGGGGATTCCGCAACTCATTTGGGGAGCCTGAAGTTGCCTGTAACGCGGGTCCGGTTTGGGACTGCTCCCGGCTGAGTAGCACCTGTAGTTGTGCATGTCGTTAGCGGCCGAGGTGCTCCCTCAGCGGGCCCTAGGCTTGCCTACCACCAAGAATTTGGGGAGTGCGCCTTTATTGCTTTAGAGTCACTGCCTAAAGTTCGATGCAGTCTAAGCATTTGGGGTATCGGAGATCGCGTGGAACCATTTGGGGTAACTTGCGTCTGCGTTTGCGTCCCTAATACTGAACCGCAGTTATTATTTTGATACCATTCCAAGAAACACACCTTTTGTCTGGGACGGGCGCCGCACTGGTACGAATTTCTCTCAGTCCTTCTGTTTCTACGGTGTTCCTCCGGATATCTCCTTTTCCTTCAGAGTTGTAAATTCCCATCGACACCTCTCCAGCCCGACCATTTTCCACCCCAAGGCAACAATGGCGTCTCCTGCGCCAGTGCAACAAAAAGTCCAAGATGTAATCAAGCACTATCGCCCTGCTAGAGTAAGCATGCTTCAATTCTGTAGGCTGCACGCGCTGACCAGACAAGCAATTCCCTGGATCGGCACGCTCGGATGGCGTGGAAAGCCGAGTGACCTCCCTCGACTTCGACGACATGGGCGAATTCCTAGTAGCAGCCTCTAATGACGAGACAATGCATGTGTACGACATCAAAGAAGGAAAGAGGACCAAAACAATCCCCAGCAAGAAGTATGGTATTCATCTAGCACGCTTCACCCATCACCCACGAAACGTCTTGTTCGCAAGCACAAAACAAGACGATTCGTTGCGATTGCTGGAGTTGCATAACGAAAGTTTTGTCCGATACTTCTCTGCCCATACCGCACAAGTTACATGTATATCACTGTCTCCTGGAAGCGATCAATTTCTCTCGTGTGGCAACGACGATATGGTCTGCCTCTGGGACTTGAGCTCGAGGAGCCCACAAGGGAAATTGAAGCTTGTTACACCCTATCTTGCTGCCTACGATCCATCTGCCAACGTCATGGCCATCGCCTCCCAATCCACTTCGTCCGTTCTTATGTACGACGTTCGAAACTACGATAAGGCACCTTTCGCAACCTTTGACCTTGCTGGAGCGGAGGACAGGTACACGCCAACAACAAAAGGCAGGGCGTGGACAAAGTTGGAGTTTTCAAATGATGGGAAAAGCATGCTCGTTGGTACTGACTACCACGGCCATTTCATCCTTGACGCCTTTAATGGCACTCTCAAATCTTTCCTTGTGGGCAAAACAAGTGGGACGGGGCGAGCGGCACCGGTATCTTCTTCAGGAAAGCCTCTAGGACAAGGAGATGCCTGCTTTAGCCAAGATGGAAGATTTGTTATTGGTGGGACTGGTGATCAGCCTGATCTTTTTGTCTGGGATACCCAAGTGGCAACCGGTGAACAACAAGAACCAACGGCGAGGCTGGCCAGTCGGGGCATCAAGAGTGCTGTTGTACAATGCAATCCCCGTCACAATATGTTGGCGACTGCGGATACCAGAGTCTGTATGTGGCTGCCGAGCGAGCAGATCAAAAACCCCGATCTGTGAACTACTTGAATAGCAGAGGATGCTTCTGAACCCATCAACACCCTTCTCATCTTGACGGCATGTTCTGGGAATATCTTCGCTTGGCGAGAGTTTCAATCCGCCAATCGGAGTAGCCCGTTCTCCGCACCTCCCATCGGACTCTCACAACTCCAGGTTTGCTGTGCCACCATTGCGCATTACATCGTTGACAACACCAAGCACCGGCACGCGCAAGGATGTATTTGCGATATCTAGCCCGAGTCTAGTTATTTTGGCGCCAGCATTGCTCTATGTGGACAGCCTCTCGCAATAGTATGATGGCAGTTGCGCTTGCATACCAACAGCCCACAATCTGTCCGGACATATTCAAGACTTGCCACTCGCACCATGTCGGTCTCCGACCCACAAACAATATCTGGCACATACTACTCGGCTGCACTTTATCAGAATCTCCGGCAGAGGGCCAACGCACTTCTGCAAGAACTGAACGCATTCGAAGCACATGTTAAGTCTCACAAAAAGGAAAAGGAAGTCGAGATCAGGGTGTTCAAGCGAGGAATCGAATCAGAGGTGAAATGTCTCCAAAACCTAGCTCCGCTTTTTCCAGATGAGGAGCAGTCTGATGCCATGGCGCATTCATGCGCAGGTACAGATTCACCTCATTTGCACGTCTTAAAGAGCTCCAATCTTCCCTTCTACGAATCAGTGTGGAACATCGCAAAAAGCTGCAGTCGAGTGACGGCACTAAGTAAAAGATTCCATTGGGAGAAAAAAGGCAAGGATTTTGGCTCAAGTACAGACCAGGGCGGCTCGAGTGGAACGCCACAGCCTGACAAATCGAAAAGACAGCATCAGAAAGGTGTTCTGGTCGACATCGTAGCCAACAATGGATTGGAGTGGATCAAAATCTCGACCATCGCAGAGAAAAGACTTCTTTTCGAGATTGCGAAAGCAGGATGGGAGTCGTACACCGCCGATCCATGTGAGGATGACTCTAATGAAAGCCCCAGCCAAATAGGCGGCACCGGTCAGTCTCCTGCTCAACTAGAGCTGGTTCGTATGGCTCACGAATTGCGAGCTGCGTCGAATTGTGCGAGGGCACAGTTTCAACACCCTCATGTGCGATTTGTGTTGCCAAATATTAGAGAAGGCCAGATTGGAGACATTGATGCGGTTGTGGCAGATCTTCGTGCCACAGGTGCAACTGTGCAGTGCTCTCCAACTCTGCCCTCTTCCTGTCTTTTCCCGGACGGTTGCACTCCTGTCCAAATTGCTATTCTAGATCAGCTTTTACCGGGGTATGGCCATGTTCATCTCACAGGCAAGATCAACTTGGATTGCACAATTCTCCTGGCCGTCATATCGGATGTCTCCCATCTGAGAAGAGAACATATACCATCGAATCCGCATGCCCTGAGTGGGGTATATCATTCGGCTATACTGCGCCAGATGGAGGCTGAGGAGTCAAGGTCAATGCTTTGGAACGATATCTATCCATTGTTGGCTGATCAGACACTGCAATGCACCTCGCAGGCAGCCCAGAGGATGCGAGAGATTGTGCAATGCATGGGGACCCAATCCGAGCGTGAACGGGCGGATATCATTCTTGGAGAGGGTCACTGTGCCAAAAGAAGTGCACGGGATCTAAGACAACTTCTTGCTAAGCGGTCGATCCATGCTGTTCCGCCTGATCTCCAGCTTCCGATCAAAGTGATTGACTTCGAACCAAAGGATGTGCTGAACCCCTTGACGCCAGACAGAGAAGAAAGGAAACCATTCCCCTATATAGTTGCAGCGCAAGCGATGAGTTTGATGCGCCTCAGTCCCATTAATTGCTCTGTTTTTCTGTATGGGTGGAAGAAGCAGATTTTGACGTTCACAAGTAACCGTGTCGTGGCAAGCGGGCTTCTGAAGGTGATTGGTGAGGTCCTTGACCGTCTTGAGTATGATGCGAAATTCAATGACAAGGACCACGCAAAGTTTTATGGCCCACAGATACACATCTGCGAGACAGCGAGAAGCCTGATCGGTAAGGCGAAGAACAAATCGCCTGGTAGATCAACTTTACAGACGCTATAATCAACCGTGATCTGTATTTAGTCGACAGTTAGGTAGATATAGAACCTTCCTGGCATGATACATTTAGTCTATTCCAGCCGGCTGGGATGCTTGAACCACAGGTGACCGTTGAAGAGTTGGACTTTAAACCAGCACATATGCCTTGTAGATCAGACCAACCATGACTGCAGAGCCATATAAGGTGGATAAGTCTTCCCCATCTTGCACTATGGCAGTTACTTGTACTCCTGAGTCCTGGCTTATCTAAGAAGCTGAGCGTGTCAAAAACAAAGGGGGGAAAGTGGTACGTGGCAGAAGCGTCCATGCATCTGGGTGACTGTTAGAAGGCTTGGAACTTTTGGAGGCGCGGGTCGAAACGTTGCACTTTCGACGGAAATCGCGGAGCCTGGTCTGATCTCCAAAGGCAACCTTGCACTCAATCCATATTGTCCTTATCCTGACATAACTGCAAGCAACCAGCAATAACGTTCCCAAAACCGCCAGATCTACCGCAAAGTCCTCCTTATCAAATATTCAAGCAGCTGCGTTTGGCCGCAGAAATGTGCTGCAGATGAACTACCTAGGCTCACTTACCCATCAACTTCCGCCTGCATACATCCTCTCGGCATCAAATACATCCTCCTTGGACAGTTAGGCTGCTGCAACTACTATGCGACGATCAATACCGTCACTAGGCCTCCTGGCCTGTCTGGCCATATTAGTCGCAGGCAACGAAGTCAAATTGGTCAGTGTTCGCTCTTTCGCAGGTCGCAGTTGGCTAACCAAGACAGAAACAAGACGACGCCAACCGGCAACGCTGTTCAGGAATGTACAGCAAGAAATCCTGGGGCGGCTCGGTAGATCCATTTATCCTCGTCAAGTTCTTTCCAGACCACACCGAAGGCGACAGCGATCCTGTCGCAAGTGTTATTATATTTGAGTGGCAGGATGAAGGATTGATAGGGAGGCGCCCGCCCGGAGAAGACTCATATCTCGAGACTATATGCAACACCGACACTGTCAATGCTGGCATGTGTACCACCGAAGAAGTAGGCTCCTATATACTACAACCGAATGCGACCGAGTTGTCCAAGAGCCCGATCATAAATGAGGCCATCCACCTCAAGGACCCCAAAGCACTCAACTACCCTATCCGCCGCACTGGGTATTATTGTGTCTCGACATACGCCTTTTCAAGTAGCGACTATGGAGCGGTTGTTGAGTTCAGGAATGCTTACGGAGAGCTTCCGGCGGCGCAGATAGCAAAACTACCATTCTATGGTGGACTCACCATCGTCTATGCTGTCCTCGGTGCTTTCTGGGCATTTCTCTACGTACAGAACCGTTCTGACATCCTTCCAGTACAGAATTATATCACAGCGACGCTGGTCTTCTTGATCATTGAGCAGCTGATGACTTGGGGTTTCTATGACTACCAGAATCGACACGGCAACAACGCACTGAACAAGGCTTTCATGGTCATTGTCTCCATCCTCAACGCTGGAAGAAACTCCCTGTCTTTCTTCCTTCTTCTGATCGTCTGCATGGGCTATGGTGTGGTAAAGCCTTCATTGGGCAGGACGATGATCTATATCCGCATACTCGCTATTGCACACTTTGTCTTCGGTGTCATCTACGCAGTTGCCTCGATGGCAGTCACTCCAGAATCTGTTGGACCACTCATCCTCTTCGTGATTCTGCCACTTGCAGGCACATTGACAGCGTTCTATGTCTGGACATTGTCCTCATTGAATCTAACTATCAAAGACTTGGTAGACCGAAGACAAAAGACCAAGGCGCTCATGTACAAAAAACTATCATGGTGTATCTTAGGCTCGATTCTGGTCATTTTTGCCTTCTTCTTCGTCAACAGCTTCGCCTTTGCTGGAAGCAGTGAGGCGAATTTCATTCCAGAGCACTGGCAAACACGGTGGTTTGTTCTTGATGGCTGGCTCAACCTGGTGTATCTTTTCGATATCGCATTTGTTGCGTATCTGTGGCGTCCGACAGCCAATAATAGGCGGTTCGCAATGAGTGATGAGGTAAGATGCGACGTTCTCTGAAAAACACCGCTTTTGAACCTCCCGCTAACAAACATCCACAGTTGGCGCAAGACGATGACGGCTTTGAGATCCGTAGTATTGCCGATTCTCTGTCGGACGACGAAGAGCAGGCGCGCAAAGATGAGGAACGCGCTGTTCCTCCATCGGGAGACGCTTCCACCTCTTTGAGTAACGCGGTCAACATCGCACCACCAAGGAAATCCTCTCCGGCGCCTGCCCAACAAAACAGCAGTAGGGCGCCACCACCGCGGCCAAGGGAATCGCTTGATGGTGAGACTATCTTTGCGGTAGGCGACGATGGAATGGAGTGGAGTGAAGGCGAAGAAGAAGACGACACGGACGATGAAACGAGGAAATTAAATCGCAAGGACACGAGGAACTTCACCTAGAGATTCATGTCAATTGAATATGGGGGACTGTTCACTCCAATTGCTCCGCTTGCATTTGTCCGTTGGTTGGGAACGGAGAGAACTAGAAGTTGTAATTTCTGTGTCATTACCTTTGTTGTGGACGCTAATCAGCAATATGGCCTGGTGTGAAATCTCCTAAGGCCCCAAGGAATACCGGCGAGTTCTTATCATTATGCGAATGGTACTCAAGACAAGGTCATTTCCTCATGACTCTGTTGCGCTGGTAAGGAGCGCGCTGTAGTTTTACTATGGTATATACCTATTTTGTCCCACCGCTTCGGCGAAGATGGATAGAGCCATGCTTCGACGGGGACACGGGCAATGAAATCAACTGCTGTATTCCGGGTCTTGGGCCAACCGTTCGTGTGTCTCGTTTCATTGTATTTCATTTTCAATGCCGGTGAAATTGAAAGTCGGCACACATCAGAACAGCTGACAGCATGCATGGGCATCGGTATCTCGCCTGTACGTGTATGTCTACATACTGAATATATGGACAGTGGTTGGAAGAAATGCCGCTGCTACGGTCAGTCGGTCAGCAACGCCTCAACCGCCCAGCTTCTTCGCTCGATCGGACGCGATGTCGCACATTGCCTGTATGTAAAGACAGAACACGGTCAGTCATGTCCTCCTCCAGAGTTGCTGACTGAGGTTATGATATATGGAGAGCAAAAGCAGGGGAATGGAGGCTAAGGGGGAGGGGCAATCTTGGACATACCTTGATGCCGTCGACCTTCTCCTGTGCGAGATCATTCCGGTCTATCCGTCGTTGCATGTCCTCCATAATGGTCGGGCGACTTCGTCCGTTCACGAATACTCTGGATAAATGAAATGGTGGCATGTCAGTACAGTAGGTATATGGTAGATCTCCTTTAGGGGGTAGATATAAACCTGAAAGCTATTAAGGCAGGAAGCGTCAGGCGTCGGCAAACGTACAAGTATCTCAAGCCCGGGAATTTGCGCTCATAAGCACGGTTTAATTCAGCAAGACGGTCTGCTTCCTCAGTGCCGCCGGCACCACCTTGGTTGAGCTGGGCCTGCTCTCGGCGGCTCTGCTCGCTCTCGACCTTGTTCTCGCCAAGGCGGGGGTGAGCCACGAGGATGGCCTCGAGCCATTTCGTGTCGCTTTCCAGCGGCGAGTTGTATAGTTCGGTCAGTTGTGCTCCCACGCCGGCGATGAGTTGGTCGTATGACGCAAACTCACGCTCGCGTAAGAGGCTGACCGAGAGGGTGTGCAGTTGTGCGCACCGCTCGAACAGCGTGTCGAGGATTTGAGCCCTGCGTTCCGCATCTAATGACGGGACGGTGGATATTGCGGGGAGAGTGGTCATTACTGCTGGCTGAGCTGTTGTTGCTGCTGCTGCGCTTCCTCTAGAATTGTTCTGAACGAATCCTGTGGAGAATAGAGCAGCTGAGAGAAATGTTTGGTAAGACGGTGCCTTCTTATCTGGCATCGCTCGACATCAAACTTTCTTTGATGGACCGAGCCCGAGACACACGGACGAGGATCTGCTAACTACGAGCTCGCCCGTGTTGATTGGGACGGGAGGGGCGGATAAATAGTTCTTCCTGTCCAATCTATCACGTGTTATGTACCATCGTGCTGGTTATGCTCAGGTCTTTACGGAGTATACGTACCGAGTGACAAGGTACTCGGTACCTGATCCAACAATGACAGACACGGCACGGTCCTCCGCAAGAACGCACGCGGACATCTCAAAAAGGATAAACACCCACAGATCATCAGGCAGTTCCAGATGCCACGCGAAGAACGATAGCATCACGTAAGATGGTGTGGACTTCTATCGACGGTTTGACCGTGCTCTGGGCTAGGCGCTAAGCTGGAAACACTTTTATGGCCTTCTAGCACGGCCCAGGAAGGAAAAAGATGACTTGTTTTGACCTACTCCGTGCTCCCTCGTCCGTACGGAGTACTTGGGTATGCGCGATTGAGCACCATCGCCGTGTAAACGACGGTGTGTCAATAGTTAGTTGTTGGGAACTAGTCCTCTGTACGGAAGATGGATATGCTCCATACATACAGATAGAGTCGACCGTGGATGATACGTGAATGGAGCACTCGTTAAACATGGTGCAAAACATAGGCCACGTTCAGCGGGGCATCCCATCCGCGCGGGCGATCATTGTTTGGAGCGTGCTATGGGCGGAGATGGTGCAGACTGTTGATTGGCATCATACTGAGTTCCAGGCGCGAGTTACGAGGAACGCGAGAGAATCGTGTGCCCGGCGGACAAGCATCATGGGGATCTGAGGGAAATTCCCCGGACATGTGGTTCAATGGCAGGTGATTGACATGCGATCCTAGCGGGCTCTGGCGCAGACCATCTACATCAGCTCACCCACAGAACATTGTCAGTGTTCGCTGGACCGTCAATCAACTTCTTGTCTGTTCGATCGGATCTTTTCCGGGGACATGATAGATCGACAGCAGTTGCGTTGGCTTCGAGCCATCTAGGTCGACCGCCAAAGTCGAATTAGGGTTTGGTCAATGCCTTTTTTGAATTTGTAAACTGCACAACAGCTGGAACGAAAACGCTCAAATAAGGTACAGGCCAGGGAGTCCTGTTGGTTTGTTTACCAGGGTCTAGCGGCAGACACGGGAAATTGGCTGCACATGGTCGAATGAGGCTCGGGGGCACAGCGCCTTCGGGGTGGATAAGCCTCCCCACCAGCGCCCAGATGGACCAGATGGGCCACGCCTGGGAGGGCCATATCCTTGTCTAGACTTCGCTTGTATGGCGCTAGTGTCTAGCATTGTTGTGTAATTGCCCTAATCCCCCCCTGAGAGTGCAGACCTGCAGAGACCTTCGAGGTAGTACTCCGCGGTGTGCTCCATTCAACCATCCGTACTCCGTGTGTGGGCTCCCCTCGATGCTGCATTTCCAGGTACCTTAGTGGAGTCGCGGTGCCTTTGGTCAACGGTGTGTGTGCTTGGACCGCCGCCAGTATTCGTCCCACTCGTAGTCCTGGTCCTAGTCTGAGGCCCAGTCCTGTCACTCCTGCTGGACCTGCTGTACCTGCATGCTCCTGTCAATGTCACTCCGTACCAACCACTCCTGCGAGTGCTGTGTCTATGTCGATAATCGCCACTGATTCTTGTAGACGCTCTGTGCTTCCTACGGGCAGACCATGCTGAGCGATGTCCTTGAATGGGCTTGACGGCGTTGCGGTCGCCGAGGCGCACCAGGCTGCGCTGGCCGAACCTGGAGGATGGTATGTTCATTTCGTGGGGTCTGAAGTCTTGCGGCGGGAGATGGCTAACGAGTTGCTAGGTTTCTGCTCCGATATGCCAGTCGCGACACCGTGGAACTGCTGAAGAAGGGCTCAGGAGGGGTCCAGGAAGCGAGGACCGTGATACAGCAGTATGAAGAGAAGTCGCCCCTGTACGGCCTCGTGCAGTATCGGCGCAAAAAAGTCATCCTCAAATATGTGCCTGGTGGAACTTCACGCTTGCTGCAAGGTACGTGCCACTGTCCGCCCTGCAATCGCCGTTGCGCGTCGTGAAGACAACTGACTTGGACTTGCTCCTGTTGCAGTGCGGCTTACCGTGCAGTTTCAATCTGTCCTGGAAACCTTTACGCCCCACGACACCGTCTTCTCCTTCACCCTTGCGTCCGAGCTTACCGAGTCTGCACTGGGCCTGTGCACCATGCTGCTACCATCCGCTGCGTCCTTGACCTCTTCCAGCTCATCGCTGCGTCGGCGCCGACTCGATGGTATCACCGAAGACGTTGAGGAGCCCAATGCAGAATTGCCCGAAGACAAAGCTCCGGGCACTGCACAATCAGAGACTCCATCGATTCCCATCCCGACCTTTGCCAGTGGAAGACTCGAACCGCCCAAGGAAGAAACCACACCGACCTATGGAAGGCACGAACTGGACGAACTCCCTGCAAGTGCCGTCCTGGCCAAGGCACTCCTCGCAAAGCGAAAAGAAGATGCTGCTGCTGCGGCTGCGGCTTCTGGCACAGACGACTCCCTATGCCATGATACTCCTCTTCCGCCACGCAAGGACAGCCTTGCAGTACGTGGCCCGCCAGATCCTGTTCCTCCCACAATAGAGAAGGCACTCCCTGTAACGCCCGAATCGACTCCTCCGACCACCAGCGAAGGTGAACCTCCCCAGCCCTTGGACTACGAAACAACCAACCATATTCTCCTAGAGTCCTCTGCCGTTGACCCATCAGAGCCTCTCACTCCTCGTGGCCCCCATACTCGCCATCTCTCTGCTGCGGAGTCTGATAGTATCAGCCAATGGAGCAGCAATGTGGCGTCCTATGCGTCTGTGAAATCGAAGAAGAAAAAGTTGGGTCCTCGTCCTCATGTTGAGTCTGGACATCGCCCAAAGACCTCTGGTACATCTGAGACTAGTCTGAATGTTCGTCCGGTCGCGAACTTGCCAAATTCAATCCGCGTCACTAATCGATCGGTGGTAAGTCTTACGCTTCGACCAGGTTCACAGCAATCGACTCGGAGCGTGCCAGGACGCTTTCCACATTCGTCCCATAACACCAATTTTGTACCCCCCTTGCCATCTCCTTCACACCTTGCGCCACTCTATAAGCAATCTGAAAGTCGACCAACAATCTCAAGGCCGGCTTCGGTGAACACTGAGGGGACGACGGCAACCCCAGAAAAGCTGAGACTGATGAAGGCTCTTCAACTCAGGAAGCGGAACATGCTTTTAGCCCAGAGATCTTCGGCAGGAGCATTTTCCTCCAACTTGAATGCTAGCGCGACCAATGATCAAGACTCGACCGCAGAGGCTCAACCTGCCATTAACAGTCTCTCATCGGTCCCCAGCCAGGATCAGCTGTCCAACATTGATGAGGAATCAAAGGTCACGCATTCATCAAGCACGACTTCTCCGACTTTCATGACACATATCTCGGAAGAACAATCAACAAAGGCATCCTCCTTTACAGAGCCAGACGACCTGTCCAGGAAGCGCCGCTCATTGTCCTCAGCCACAAGCTCGTCTATTACTCCAAAAGCTGCGGTCCAAGACAGTGTAACACAATCAGAAATAACCAATGAAGATAACCTTCGAGGCAGGCCTTTCAGCAGGCCCACAAAGACACTCGAACTGGGACCTCCTCTAGAAGACACAATCACTGCACAAGGATCACCTCATGAGGAGCATGACCTTGACAGCACTACCACTTGCAGAGCCAACCCTTCCGCGAGCGAGGCTTCGACCTCTGATCCATTCGCAAACGGCCCCCCTCGGATTGAACCCTCTCCACCATCAGCCCCTATCTCAGAGCCTCCGAGCAAAATGCGACGGGAAGCCATCCCACAGCCTTTGAAGCTCGCTTCGAACATGGATAGTTCCGCATCAGAGGTGTCGGATGACGAATCCTTGATGGATGAATTACAACACGCAACAGTTCATGAGGCTATGCCAGTGTCCGTGGCACGCTCTCCAGTCACCCCAATTATGTCCAAGGGAAGCTCTGACCGATTGAGAGAGATTGTGAACAAGACTGCAAATTCCAGCTACCAGGCAAGGAGAAGTGCGTCGACAACACCAGACAGGAACAGGTCAGGTAGCATACGCAGCGTTTCAACAGCGTTGCCCCAGTGGCCACCTGCCCAGTCGGAGGCAGTACCAATTCCACTGACCAAGAAGCCAACCTTGGGCACCGGTATATCACGACGGATCAAGGCTCTCGAGGTTTTAACGGCGAAAGAGGCCAATGCGCAGCCATCTGTTCCTGTCCGTGAGACGACGCAGTCGCGTTCAGCTTTTACAACCTTCATGAAACGTTCATCATTTTTGTCAACTCAACCAGGACCCAATACCTCAACTGACAATTCCCCTCCCAAGAAGCTGCCGGAAACCTCCATTTATGACTCAAACTTCGCCGCATCCACCAAAGATCTTAGACGACCTTCAAGTGATGCTAATCCCCCAGCACCAAAGAGTGAGACTATTTCGGTGACTGCTAGAATTATCCGAGATCCGAACAATAAACACCCTCCAATGTCGCCCAGTTCGAGCTATGCAACGCCCTTGCAGCTGTTCCGAAGTCCTTTGATCGTTGAACATGAAAAGCATCAGGACGTCGGTCAAGAACAATCTTTCGCCTCCTTTCAGGCCACGACGAAAAGCCCAACGAAATCGGACAAAGGCGGGCGGTTTTCATTTTCTTCCCATCGCTCGGTGTCTCAAGTGAATCTGCCACGCTCCGAGTCAAGTCAGAGCAAGATGTCTCGTACCAACTACAAGAAACATTCCGCGCGGTCAGTCAGCGATGCTGGGTCCTTTACGGAAGAAAAGAAATCCTCGAGGACAAGTAGATTGATGAAGCGAGTATCTAATTTGACTTCTTCTCGCAAACAAAGCCAATCGCAGCCGAAAGAGTCTGCCCATCCTACCACCATTCAAGAACAGAGGGAACCGACGAGGCAAAATTCCTTCGCGGAATCTCTCCTCCATGTTGTGGATATTGGAGATGTGAATGTGCAATTTCCCGATTCACTCTTATGGAAGCGACGATTCATGCGGGTGGACGACCAAGGGTATTTAATCTTTTCGCCGCCAATGACAGATGCTCACATGAAGAGTATCAGCCGAAAATATCATTTGAGTGACTTCAAGAAGCCGTCACTACCCGACTTAGAAAGAGAGGAGATGGCATGGAGCATTTTACTTGACCTCAAGGATGGGAGATGTATACAATGTGCCTGTGAGAGCAGACATGCTCGACACCAGGTTTTGCAAAGTAAGCCCCTGATCGAGATATTTACACCCCAGCTAATCTTTGACAGTGCTTGTTGATGCTTACAATGCTTATCTCCAGCTATATGGTAGTTGAAGAAGGGAAAAATACCACCTCCAGGAAATGACCCTGACGATGACTTAGCCCAGTTCGAAACACCTGTGATTTGATGAATGACGAGCATACAGAGCGCAAACCATCTTTCCAATTGGCCTTCGTAGAAATAGGTCCGCCAACATCCTGAGGCCATACTTCGGGCCCAGCCAAATTGTTCTGGTCCTGTGTTTATAGCCTACGGGATCTCCTTCCGCCCTATGTACTCATACTCCATTACCTAATGACAGATATTCGAAAGTGTTCAAGCAATAGTACCTCGTAGTTTTTCTAACTTGCACTCTGACCTCTGAGCGGCCCCAACCTCAGTATCTGTTCCAGCATTGAACAAAGCATGATGCGATTTGTAAACTATAAAAGAAGGCAGAACTGCCATACTAGGAATGTTTGTCTTCCGAGCCACATCCTTTGGCATCCGCTTCATTGAGTTGAGTAAATAATAATGGCTATCTTTAGGCGCAAGATGGCTGATGAATGGCAAGGGACGAATGGACGAGGCTGAAACACCCTCGGGACAAGCTGGCCTTTACTGTGCTTAACAATCCACACAGCCCACCGCCAAAGCAGCGTAAATGGGCCAACCGCAGAGACTGCTACTTGAATAATACGAATCTCACGCCCACATTATCTTTGCACCTCCTGCTTTTGAGAGGGTACATACTGCTCCGGTCCTCTTGCTTTCCATTACTTGACTTTCCCTTCTTTTCCACCTTTTGATATCCTAAGACTTTGAAATTATCTCGCCGAGCACTAAAAATGGTGCAACTAAAGTCCTTCGTTTCCATCGCCTCCGTTGCGCTGCCCCTCGTCTCTGCGGCCTCCGATGTCCTTAACTTGATCCCTTCCAATTTCGACACTGTTGTCTTCCAGTCCGGCAAGCCAGCATTGGTGGAATTCTTCGCCCCGTGGTGCGGCCACTGCAAGAACCTAGCACCCGTCTATGAGGAACTGGCTACTGCATTTGCCGCTGCTGGCAACAAGGTCTCCATCGCCAATGTCGATGCCGATAAACATAAAGATCTCGGAAAGAGGTTCGGAGTCCAGGGATTCCCCACGTTAAAATGGTTCGATGGCACGCCGGGGACTGAGCCAGAGGACTACAACGGCGGCCGCGATCTCGAGAGTTTGACCAAATTTGTGACTGAGAAGTCTGGCGTCAAGACCAAGGCTCCAAAGAAGGCGGCAAGCCACGTCGAGATGCTGACCGATACTACTTTCAAACAAGAGATTGGTGGAGACAAGGATGTTCTAGTCGCCTTCACGGCTCCATGGTGTGGCCGTAAGTCTTTCCTACTGCAATGGTCAAAGAGAGTGCCTCCCACTAACTGATTGCACAACAGACTGCAAGACTCTTGCTCCCGTATGGGAGAAAGTGGCAGCCGATTTCGCCTCTGAATCCAATGTCCTTATCGCCAAGGTCGATGCTGAAGCTGAGAACTCCAAGGCTACCGCACAAGCGCAAGGAGTCACAGGCTACCCAACGATTAAGTTCTTCCCAAAGGGCTCTACCGAACCCGTGGCGTACGGCGGTGGCCGAACTGAAGACGCTCTCGTTGACTTTGTCAACTCCAAGGCCGGCACTTTCCGTGTCGCTGGCGGAGGGCTCAACTCCAAGGCCGGGACTCTTGAGGCCCTAGACGCTATCCTCGCGACCTACGTGAGTGCGAACGGCCTTAAGGATGTCGAAAAGGCCACAGCCGAGATTAAGAAGGCTGCGGCCGACCTGAAAGACAAGTCTGTCGAATACTACCTCCGGGCTCTGTCCAAATTGACTGGCAACCCCGAATACGCGATGAAGGAACAGACCAGACTGGCTGGCCTGTTGAAGAAGGGTGGTCTTGCCACCGAGAAGATCGACGACCTCCAAAAACGGAGTAACATTCTCGCGAAGTTCTTGGTCAAGGATGAGTCTAAAAGTGAGCTGTAGGCGCTCTTTTGAATGGAACGGGCGACGGCAGTATCAAAGTCTTAAGGAAATGGTTTATGCCAGAAGCCATGTACATCGGCGTATCAGTAGCGGCGTTCGATACCCAAGAAAACAATGGGTATTTTTGGTTTTAATTCAAACAACGTGAGCGTATCCTTTCCTCATGTCTTTTTATAATCTGTGAGAACCCCGCCGGTCCAGTGAAACATTCAGTCCAGCAAATTTCCATCCAAAGGACAATCAAAAGGGGTATCTGAACAAGGGCGCAGGCCGGTTGCCATCCAGACACTTCAAAGTGAACCCGTAGCTGAACCCCCAGAATTCTTTTCCAGAATCATTGCGTCCTTCAAGAGCATCTCCTGCTCAAGTCTATCGCAGCGCTCGGCCATGTCGTCCACTATACCTCAAAGTAAATTCACGTCAGCCAAAAAGACCCATGATAATTCGTCATGTTGTTCGTTGGATCTGTAGGGCCGGGAAGGGCAAGAATGAGGCTCCCTCACGCTTAGTCAATATCTCGTCACTAATTCCTTGGAACTTCTTCTGCAGGTCGCCTAGGAAATCATCAATTGCCTCGGCGAGCTTTGTGGCGGCTTCGTTGGCCCCGGTGGCTTCTGAGCCTGGCCTCATGGAGGTACCGCGCACTGTCGACGTGGTATTCGATAGAGGTGGGCTCGGTGCAGCCTGTGTCGGAGGAAAGGGATGGTCGTTAGGCTTGCCTTTCAGAGTGGGAGGAGGAGTGGGAGGGTATGAGAGTGTCGCTTACCATGCTGGATGAGCTCTTGGTTCTCAGAATGTCGGAGAGAGCAGGAATGATTGTCCTTTGCCGACCACTTTTTCTAGGGTCCGCAGTATATGAATCACTTCAGAGGCATGTTGCGTATCCTCTCGCGTCCCAGATTGAATGTTGTTACAAGCAAGGCTCACTACTCTAGGAGATCACAGAGTTCGCTCAAACATACGAATTCAACTCGAAGTCCAGACATCTAGACGCGTCTAATACGGCGCATTATATAGATTGTCCACGCTATATGAAGGACCACCTTTTACCACTTCGTGCGAATGAGCATTACCAAGCTGTATAGTATTTAGACGAACCCTAAGCATCACTTTCTATATTTTGATCAACTGTGCAGCATTTCCTCATGAATTAGGTAGGGAGCTTCAATAATTACCGCAGTACGTCAAAAAACCCACCGTAGTCCTTGATACGCGATAAGCGCCCTCCAATTTTCGATCTCCAACTCCAGCGTTTCTGATTCTCCGCGCGGCCAAAAATTTCGTCCAAAATTCCGATTTACAGAATTCCGCGAGACAGCCTCTAATATCGTACGTCTCTAGCTTTTGCTGTACGCTCATCTATAAGCAACCCATAATTCCAGGAGACTCAGCTATCCATTTACGATATAATATTAACATGGCAAAAAAGAGTAAGCTGCTCGCCGCTCTGGATGCACACAAAGGGCGAGACTATGCTGCAGAGAAGCGGAAAAGTGAGGTCAAGGCCGCCGAGAAGAGAAAGCGACAGAAGGTCGAGAAAAGCGATGCTGATGGTGCCTCGGAAATCGCCACAGAAGCTGGCGCCGTACTGAAGAATGGCGATCAGCGCGAAGAGCACGACTTTGAGGCCTTTTCAGAGGATGGCTCGGAAGACCCCCACGATAAAGAGGGAGGAGCAGATGAGGACGACGTTGTTACCAGCACAATCCCTCAACCAGACCAACCCGCCGACGCATCCGCATCAGAAGCCGAAAACGAATCGGACGTCGCACTCTCAGACCTCGCCGACGAGGACCTAGAAGACACCATTCCGCATCAACGCATGACAATCAACAACGGGCCAGCCCTCACCGCCTCACGAAACCGCATCACCCTTCTCGGCAAACACCGCGCCGGCACGAAGAACAAACGCACTCCGTTCCACATCCACAACTCGCTGATCTCGACCCTCCCCTCCGCCAACGAAACGATCCCCGACCCCAACGACGACCTCACACGCGAGCTAGAGTTCTACCGGATCGCACGAGACGCTGCGGTCCAAGGGCGAAGTCTGCTCCAGAAGGAGAAAGTCCCCTTCACGCGGCCGACGGACTACTTCGCGGAGATGGTCAAGACCGACGAGCACATGGGCAAGATCAAGAAGAAAATGTACAACGATGCCGCAGGTAAAAAGGCTTCCCAGGAGGCGAGGAAGTTGCGTGATGCGAAGAAGTTCGGCAAGGCGGTCCAGGTCGCAAAGGAGCAGGAGCGTGCCAAGGAGAAGAGGAATACTTTGGACAAGATCAAGGAGTTGAAGAGAAGTATGTCTGCCCCGGTCAGGTCCTCACCTGGTCTCCCCACTTTTTACAAATCACTCTTCGACTAACTTTCACCGCTTTTCCAGAACGCAAAGGTCAAGACACGGGTAAAGTACACGAGGGCGGCGATACAGACATCTTCCAGAGCATCGCCGTTGAAGACGGACCCGCCAAAGACCGGTCCGGGCGAGAACGAGGCGCAGGCCCGAACCCCAAGCGCCAGAAGCGGGAGCAGAAGTACGGCTTTGGAGGCAAGAAGCGATTCTCCAAGAGCGGCGACGCCGTCAGCAGTGGCGACATCAGAGGGTTCTCGGCGTCCAAAATGAAGGGCAAGGGCAAGCCGACCAGGCTGGGCAAGAGTAGGAGAGCTGGTGCACGTTGATGCTCACGAGGGAGAAGATTGAATATCTGGGAGGTGGGAAAGGAAAAGGAAAATAAAACAAAACTTTTATGATATGAATTGCTTAGATGCCGGGGTTTTCTGTTTCCCTCCTCCTGTTTTCCCCTCCTGTCTCTCTGTGTGCCTTTTCCGCCAGGCATATCTTATAAGTTCAAGAGTGGAGCGGGAAACAAGGCAAAATGGGGTATCACAACAACAACGCACACGCAATGCAATCAGCCCCGTCATCTAAAAGGTTGTCGAGTATACGCCAAATACTAGCCTCCACCTCCACCAACCATCCAAATCATTCGACTTCACACCACCCATTGGCCCAGAAACGCCTGGAGATTCGAAGTCTGATGCTGTCTACCGACTCTCTTGGCTTCCTGCGATACCAGGTCCAACATCTCCTGAGCCTCTGGGCCGGGTGGCAGATCAGGCAGGGCATCAGGGCCCAGATGGCCGTTTAGTTGTCGACTCGGGCTACACTCTCGACTCCCAACGGAGTCGTTATCCACCTCACGCAGCCGACTTGGCAGAGGGGGCCCTTGTCGTTTCGCTACTGGGGATGAAATAGGGACATCGCTCATGTCCTCATCATCGTCGAACGAATCAACGGCGCCTCGTGCACGTTTGTGTGCCTTGCGGGCACCGCTGGGGCGAAGGACCGACTTCATGCGATGTTTCTGCTTGCCGAGCTTGCCCGGCGTCTTCATAATCTTATCGGCCACTTCATCGGCCAAAGTGGCTTCCAGCTCATCGTATATTCTCCGAGTAGACCAATTAAATTTCTTCCGGAGTTTGGCTTCATTCATCAGTCTTAACAAAGGTTCCGCAGACCGTTCGAAGGCTGCAACTGCTTCTTCGTGGGTTCCGTCGAATGTGACCTGTTTCTCCAATTCGGTGGCGGCCTCATCGATCCCACAATGGCGCATATTGAAGTTGGACGACTTGCGAAGAATGTTCAGCATGTCCCATATTGGCTTGGTCCAATCAATGGGCTCCGGCTGTACTTCGGACTGGCTACTCGAGCTTGAAGCTGCCTCGGAAGCAGGCTGAGACGTCACGTCTAACTCTTCTGACATGTCCGGGTCTTCCTGTTGCTGTTCAGGTGTTGTTTCCTCGTCCGCAGACTCCGCATCTGATGAATCTGAATCCGACTCTGACTGTGACTCTGAATCTTGTGGTTCCTCAATAGGAGCGGGCGTAGCGAGCGAGGCCTTCAATGCCTCTACTTCATCAGCATATGTCTCCGCCAAGTGCTTCCACAGATGTGTGTGTGACCAATCGATGCCTTCTCTCTCTTCTATCATTTGCTTCAATAAAAACCTGTGGTGTTTATGTATCGTTTCCATCGCCTCGTCATCGTCGTCGATCCGATAGCCAGTGTGTTTTTGGTAGAGCGTAAGGAAAGGATCTATCATGAATCCATACTGTTGTCGTTTCCGAGGAAGTTTTTGGTGCTGGTCAACGGCAAAATAGAACAAGTCGATCGCCTCAACGGTGTCATTGTAATGACTCAAGTAACGATCTGAGGGCGAGATCTCGAACCAGCCAGCCTTCCCAGCCGCCCAGATAACGGGCTTCCCATTATCGTCTTGACCAAAGCTATAGTTGGTAACATTGTCGATTTTTAATCGTACGTAAAGGGGGTTTTCTACTAATACTGCCCGTCTCGTCAGCGCAGGGAGTGGGATGAATGAAGGGGGGGGGCAATGCTGTACTCAGATGATCCTGTTCGTCGTCCAGAGGCATCAATTCTCCCAAAACACACAGAGGTACACTTTCAGAAGCCTCAAGGAGATCTGCATATCGACCTTTTCCTTGATAAAAGATCTTGGCTTCACGTAGAGAGAAGTCGGGCCAGTCGTTGACGTCGTCTGGTACAGGGTTTAGAGGTTTGAGGACGCGATCTTCGGGGAGAGTGGACATGGCCGGTGGAAGGATCCGAGACACATGCTGCGGCGGTGTACGGAGTAGTGATATCAAGTCGTGGTGGCTGGGGATCGAATTCCGCCTGACATGTCGGATTTGAGATTACGAGACGAGTCTGGGGCCTGGTCGATTGATGGGAGGGGTAACTGAGCAGTAGGCCGATATCTTGATGATGCGAACTAGGATAGGCTCTTGTCACGAATCTGGCCAAAGGATGTTCTGTAGCATGATTGTGGTCGCGGGAGACCAGACCAGCACTAAGCAAAAGCATCAAGGAGGAGGGTGGAGCCCAGATCCAATGTCAATTGGACTTTGAGCGGGAATGGAACTCGAGATGTTGTTTGTCGCAATTGGTGGCGCACAGGAGTCACGTGGCACGACATGGATTTAGATTTCTCCGCAAAGAAAGTTTAAGCGTGGGAACTTTTGACCTTGTCGCAGTTACTCGTACGGTTACAAGTTACGACTGGCACTCTTCAAATGCCAGCGAGTGCACCGGGAGGGTTCCCGCACTTTACACACACAGAGACACAGATCCTATTTGCATGACTGCTAGAGCGTTCTTCAACATGGCTCAGGGCTCCGGCAAAGTCCTCGAGGGCATCTTCGGTGAGGCCAATTCCTCTCCCAAGATATTGCTACCTGACCAATTTCCTTACGTGTCCAGCCATCAGCAAACCCCAGAGCCTGTCATCTGCTCAAGTCCTCCGCGACTTGCAACACAAATTTGCCGAGTCCAAGATCTTCGCTCCTCTGCTTCAGGAGTCTCAGAACATGCGCCAGCAGAATAATAACAAGAGAAAGAGGCATCTCAGCAATGACAACATCTTCAAGATGGGCCATGGAGGCACTCTCGACCCACTAGCCACGGGCATCCTGATCGTCGGCCTTGGCCGAGGTACCAAACACCTGATACAATTCTTGGAATGCAAGAAGACATACGAGACGGTGGTGCTATTCGGGAAAAGTACGACCACCTATGATGTTGCTGGACAAGTTGTCGCAGAAGCTCCTGCGGACATGGTCACTAAACAAGTCGTGGAAGAGCAACTTGCCAACTTTCGGGGGCAACTGAAGCAGATCCCACCAATCTATAGTGCTATCAAGATCGATGGCATGAAGCTCTACGATTATGCACGAAGTGGCAGAGAGCTCCCCCGAGAGTTGGAAAGCCGGGGAGTGGAAGTTACCGAGTGCACTCTCCTAGATTTTTACGAAGCCGGCCAGCATGATTTCAGATATCCGGCCGAACAAGCGTCTGAGGAAGAGAAAATGACTGCAAACAAACTTATGCAAGGGGCGGAAGCAACGAAAAAACTGCTTGCGGAGCAGGCACCTAAGTCAGTGGCGCCAAAGGTCGCACACGAAGAAAATTGTCTCCCTCGAGATCAAAAAGCAGCATTACATACCCATCCCCTACCGACACAAGAAGCGGAACCAGCACAAGCGCCCGCCGCACGGATACGTCTGACTGTGAGCAGTGGCTTTTATGTGCGCTCCTTTGCACATGATCTCGGTATAAGTTGCGGATCGCTTGGTACTATGGCAGCATTGAGCAGAAGCAGTCAGGCGGAGTATACAATTGCCGACCCTGCTCCAGAGGGATTCACCACGGCCCTTACCATGGATGATATGGAGGCAGGTGAGGATGTTTGGGCTCCCAAGATTTCCGCTATGCTTGAGCCATGGCTAGAATCAACCCCACCAACTGAGACGCCAAACGATAGGAATTTTCCGAGGCACTTCGATGGCAGAAGGGGTGGGATGGGCGGCCGAGGAGCTCAATACAGAGGGAAGGGCTCGAAACGAAGCTGGAGTGAAGGGGGCAGAGACCACGAGTATACGCCCAAGCGAGCAAGACGGCGCAATAGCTCATCGCCTGAAGTGTGAGATCGTCCACGAGGCTTAAGTGGTGCTCTGGTTTGTAGCAATATGCACGGAGTCCTTGTAAGACTACTACAGTTGCAGTATCTAAATGTCCAGTTACGTATGCCAAGGCTAGTTCCTGCATATGTTTTGGCGGCTGTCAGTTGATGGATGCCTGCCATTGCCTGCGTTCCCCCAAAACCCAGAACAGGTGGGCCGATCGGGCGCCTTCCCTCCACCCTTGCATCCTGCGCCCCATTCTTTAGTTCTACAACTTTTTACTCACTCAACCCTGCCCTCTTTTTACCCTCCACCTGCACGGTGTCATGCGCTCGTGTGATCATTCACTGCCGGCTTGTCAACCCTTCTGCTTCATATTGTATCCTTATCTTTCCTTGAATTGCCAATCTGCTTGTTTCCATGTCTAGTCTTCGGTCTAGTCCCTCCACGTGAACGTTAGTCAATGACAATGGTGCCCCTGCAATCGCAGGATAGACCCTTGTCGCTTGCTTCTCTGAAGGCAAACAAGGCTCGCGCAAAACTGGTCACCAAGACCGTCACTGTTACCAGAGTCTCCAAGCCGACGCCCAGGCCTCAAGGAGCCTCTTCTATCTCTACGTCGCCCCCTTCTCGAAAGAATATCTCAAACAGTACTCCTCGACATGCCATCGCTCCTCGGAAGTCCGCCACTCCTGCATCCGTTTCTTCTAGACCACCCAGTAAGGAACCACTGGGAAGAGTGAGACAAAATGAATCGAGTCGCACAAAGCGCGCCTCTCCTGCCATCTCTACCCCCAGATTTACCAGCTCGGATGATGAAAGTGAAGAAGATGAAGATCAACCCAGGAAACGGATGCGAACCTCTGGCCAGGACAATTTGGACAAACATCGTCGCATTAGAGATCTAGCCTCGTTCTCAGAGGGGGACGCTGGTGCGATTCGTATGGCCCATGCTGCGGACATCGCGAATATTGATATTGTTGAACAATCAAGAACCAAATATCAAGACTTCTTCACAGTTCTTGAAGTCGACGAGGCTGATTGTCCAACAATCACGCTGCAGTATCCCAGTGTATCTCAGTCCGAGAAGTATCAGCTGGTCAAACCCACTGACTCTTCCGATTTCAAACCCTTGGACGAAATCGAACTCAACATGAAAATCATTGCCGAATACTACCTTGACAGCGAGTCGGCAAGGAAAGTGACGAGCGAAGAGGACGGTTCCGGCTATGTTCAAATGCTTCACAGAGAAGCCAAAGATGCCATGCGGGGCCGCGTTGGCGCTCAGTCCAGATATATAAATGTGGTGGAAAAGTTCAACACATTGCTGTCTCAGAAACGCAAAGACGGCATCATTGCCAAGAAGTTGGACGCCATGGTCCGCGTCGATGTTAAACTGGTCGAACACATCATTAAAAATCAGGTTTACGCTCGGACCGTCTCACCACAGGTCCACCTTGTTAGGCACTACGAGAGCTTCTCCGACAACGTCTATGGGGAATTACTTCCCAAGTTTTTGAGTCGAATCTTCAAAGAAACCAGCCTCAAATCCAGTCAAATCTTCGTCGATCTCGGCTCAGGGGTCGGCAATTGCGTGCTACAAGCCGCTTTGGAGATTGGGTGTGACTCGTGGGGCTGTGAGTTCATGGACAATCCCAACACTCTCGCTCAACTTCAGGCTGCGGAGTTCCCGGCTCGCTGTCGACTGTGGGGCATCAAACCTGGCAAAGTACACTTGATCCACGGAGACTTTCTAAAGAATGAAGATATCAAAGAGGTACTGAAGAGGGCAGATGTCATTTTAGTCAACAATCAAGCATTCACGGCCGAACTCAACGACAAGTTGAAGTATGTTTTCCTTGATCTTAAAGAAGGGGCCCAAATCGTCAGTCTTAAGCCATTTCGCAGTCCTGCACACAAAATCAAGGACTCAAACGTCAATGATCCCATAAATGTTCTGGAGGTGGTGGAAAAGGATCGCTGGAGTGGTATGGTGAGCTGGACAGATGATCCAGGAAAGTGGTACCATCAGCGAAAAGATTCTAGAGCACTAGAAATATTCGTCAAGAAATTAGGAGAGTCAAAGTGAAAGGGGGGGTTTCCTTGTCCTGTTCAGCATTTGGTTATGCATTTGAGGTTAAAATGAGATCATGAGAGTCATGTTGCATAGCGTGGGCATTGGGCAGCGTTCGGCCTTCAGTTCCAAAGCTGCACCCGGCCGAGTGCCGACCATGGTATATCAAGATATCGCTAGTAATAAGCAGCTAGAATTCATCTTGTTGCGAAGGCTTTTCTATTACTGTAACCCCCACTTCCATTGAATTCTTGAGTGTTCTGTACCACGAGATGCGCAATTCGACCACAACCCATTTAAGCAGTCCCACACGATGTCCTGGAACAGCGATGTATCGATTGCCAAACCTGATGTGACGGATATCCATTGAGAGCTTGAGCAGTGGCTGTAGCTGCTGCGGAAACACATCCTGTCAGCACCACAATGACCAGTTTGTGCGCGGCAAGGCTTGCACGTAGTGAGCAGGTAACTCACAGTCAGTAAGTCGATGACGACTGAGAGCAAGCTTCGGGAGAAGCTGATCTCTATGCCCATCTGTGCTGCTGCCCAGCTTTCCCTCCCCGGTTTTGGCATTTACCTCAACCAGCAGTAGCTCGTGCGTAGGTGGCGAGAAAGTGTATTACCTTGATACTGGCAGGGTCTTTGCGAGGCAGTGTAGTAGTAGTACAGCTTGAAATACTGTATGCCAAGCCCGCCAAAAGCAAGGAAAGGAAAGGACCACAAGAGTTTCAGCCAAACTTGTGTTCTTCATTCATCCTATCGGCCTCTTTGCCCATCCTCGCCATCCAGCGGTCCACGAGCTCCTTATTCTCCTTCTTCAGCTTGCCGGACTGCTCCTCAGCCATGTTGAGTTGGAGATTCAGAGTCACATTCTCATCCTGGACATTCTCGATCAACTTGGCCTTGCCCCTCAGTTCCTCTTCGCGGTCTTTCAATTTGATGGTGAGCTGGGACAAGCTTGCGTTCAGCTGGAGCATGCGTTTGCCGTCGACTCTGCCTCTGCCCTTGAGGGCTTCGAGCTCTCTCAATGCGGCGTCCAGTCGGGTTTGGAGATCACCACGCTCTTGTTGGGCTTTGGCCAGGTCCTGGCGAAATTGTGCAGTGACATTGGCTGGTTCTGCCGCTGTGGCTGTGCCTGATGCTGATGCCGGTGAAGTGACTCGGCGCAGCCCTCGCCCTACTAGGGACGGCGGTGCGGACACCGCTGGGTCCGGGTCTTCTGCTGGCGCTTGCTTGAGTTTTGCCTGGAGCTCAGCATTTTCGTCTCCCAGCTTGGTGCCTAGTATACAGCAGTTGAGAAGAGGTGTGCAAGTAAGACGGGATCTCTGGGTGCATACAGTAATTGTACAGGTCAAGGTTGGCTTTCTCCCTTGTGTCTCTGGCCTGCAAGGCTGCCAGGTACTTCTCAGTCCATGTAGCCATTGGTGTCATCGAGTTTGATGCATGATGGGAGTATCTCGGAAGCGGTACACGAAAATTTGAAGGAGTTTGGCTTCACAAATCCCAGGTGACAGGCGAGAAGGGGCTATGACTAACGATGAAGACGTCCGTGATACAAACAAGGCAGAATAGTGTAAGCCTCGAGGCACGATGCCCGGTAGTCTGAGATGGGGTCGGCTAAGTTGCCGAACTGGCCAAAGACTTCGTTCCTAAGATAAGGTTAGTCCCCTTTGAGCGATAGCCGTTGCCGCCTTGGGGTTGGATGGCGGTGGGCGACGGGCATTGGTGTCTACTGTCAACAGGTCATGATGCCCCCATGCATGATCCAATTCCCAGTCACGACTTACATACAAAGTCACAAGCCTCCATCTCCACCTCCATCCAGCCCTACGCCTGTCTTCCATATCGAACTTCCAGTCCTTTCTCGTGACAGCAGCCACTTCCTTTCAGACAACCGAAACCACCTATTGCCTTGCAAACGTCGTCGAGCGGCTTGAGCTGATCCTGGGGAAACAATCACCCGCAGATTGCATTGCGCTTGACGTAGCTTCCAGCCAGAAGCCAGAAGCCCATCTATTTAGACAGCACCAACCCTTTCACACAGACATTCCAGCACCATGTCATCAAGAAAGAAGGTATTGTTGAAAGTGCGTCGATGCATGCCCATTTGGCGCATTCCACCGCTGACAGCCAATCCTACAGGTTATTATCCTGGGAGACAGCGGAGTAGGGAAGACTAGTTTAATGAACCAATATGTAAGTTATGCTTCGGACAGTGGCACCAGTACTGCCTACGTTCTGACCATCTTTATCCCTCAGGTGAACAAGAAATTCTCCACCTCGTACAAAGCCACCATTGGCGCCGACTTCCTCACGAAAGAAGTCACTGTTGACGACCGCATCGTCACCTTACAGCTCTGGGACACGGCGGGACAAGAGCGATTCCAGTCCCTCGGCGTCGCATTCTACCGCGGTGCTGATTGCTGCGTCCTTGTGTACGACGTCAACTCCACCAAGTCATTCGAGACCCTGGATTCATGGCGCGACGAGTTCCTGATTCAAGCAAGCCCGCGCGATCCCGAGAGCTTTCCCTTTGTCGTGTTGGGGAACAAGATTGATTTAGGCGAAGACAGGAGGATGATCACACCGAAGAGGGCACATGCGTACTGCCAGAGTCGTGGCCAGATGCCCTACTTCGAGACCAGCGCCAAGGAGAGCATCAATGTGGAACAAGCCTTTGAGGTTATTGCCCGGAATGCTTTACTTCAGGAGGAGAGTGAAGAGTATGGTGGTGATTTCTCTGATCCAATCAACATCAATCTAGATCAGGAGAGAGATGGATGCGCGTGTTAAGCAGGCACGGAACGAGACGGTACGAGCAAGGCTATATGTCGACGACAGGTGCCTTGCTTGATGTGCCCTCTCCGTCGTTGGACGTCTTTCTGGGCATGATAGACTGCAAATTTGGGGGTCATGAGCATTAAGCGCGCAAGTATGTTCAGTTCAGCCCGCATAAACCCCGATCCTGGAGGCCAGTCACTTTTCTTGATTGTTTGCTTTGGATTGCATGGTTCTATCAGTTTTCGTCTCCCATGGACGTGGTACACTCAAGGATTACTCGGAGTCGGCGCAAGTGGAGGAGTGTACAGATAACAGGATACAGAACAGCAGAACAGAGCAACGCAAATTCTTTGTCGCCACTGTCGCTGTTGCGAGAAAGTATTGTTTGACTCCACCTTTCCCTCCACCATCTATAAATGTGCTGGCGGTGTCCTTCTCGGCGACCGTAATGCTGATTGAACCCGACTCCCTACGTTGTGAACTCCCCGCTCGTTTCATCCTCACTCGCAAGTGCTACCACTCACCATTCAAGACCTGGAGCCAAGGATTGTCGCTCCAGCTACACGTCTCTTATCGCTGAGCCCCTTTCCTCTGTCCCTCGCATTCTCTCTAGTTGCTGCTGTAGTGATACTCACAATAAATCGGATGCGATCAGTAGTCGTTGGCGGGCGGAGACACGTTAAGGAGGGAGAGCAGATTAAATCCATACGAGTACTATATTAAGTTCCACATATGCCGAGATATGTGGGCTGCGAGTGATTCTTCTTTTCCACATTGGCGTTGTTTGGGTCCAAGGAACCTTTTCTTTCCCTCCTCCATTCCTCCCTTCGGCAAATATGAGCGTGGGCCAAATATATGCATACTCAAAAGAGGGGAGGCTAGCCCGGTGTATATCTCAAATGTCTCGCGGGACACAGCTAGCCTCAAGGACGGTAACAGAAAGCTCCACTGTGTGTGCTTTCTACTTAGCCTATTTGTTGGCCAGGAGATAACCAGGTCGTTCCCAAAGTCTCCCATGGTCGTGGACTTCAACGTGGACTTGTTCTGGCATTCCACTGTGTCTTTTCAGAGCAACACACAATCCAACCACTACCTGTTTAGTGAAGCCGGCTAATTTGACTTTTGCAGATCAGCCTTTAACAGCAGGAGAGCGAAGATGGCACATGGGCACAAAAGGTCAAACTCAAACGAATCGAATCAGGAACAAAGTTTTTTAGATTGTGACATTCTGCTTTTCCTCGCGCTGCTGTTGACACGCTATTCTGAAAAAAGGTTGTGTGTGTGTGTGTGTTTGTGTGTATTTGTGTGCGAGAAATTTTGGTCTGGTCTGTTTTCGGAGACACAACACAAAAGACTTTTGGTGGGGGACGATTGAATAATCGTGGAAACCCGGTGCAAGACAATACACACACCTCACAATCACGTCACACAGGATGCTTTGTGAATCGAGGAGGAAAAATTAGGAACTCCAGCTTGCTCCAGGCCGTCATGACAAGTCGTGGCAGGAATAAACAGTTCGCGCTCTTTGTGAGGCTAAAGAAGAAGCCAGCAATATAACAACGTGAGAATCCTCGCATACCGACTTGTTGCTCGTCCCATAAAAACTCAACACGGAGGAGGCCTATCCAGTAAGTTTTCAGGACTCGCTCGGAAGATCTGGTGTTGTCCGTTTTCCCTGTCCACCACCTCAAAAGGGCGGAAGACAGTCCGGGTCGAAGAGCCTGTCGATGATGACAAAGTTCAAGAAATAGATTGAGATGGTGGGGGTGAGGAGGTGATCCCTTGTATGTCGAGACGCCGTCTGCCTTTCCACGCCAGAAATACAAAATATGTCTTCCGCAGAACTTCATTTACCAGGCCCAGATTTTAAGCTGCACGAAAATTTAGTGACACAACATGAACGCGGAGGCAAAGCTGCCTTACCAGAGAATCCCATGAACCAGTGCATAAACTAATCCCATCATTGCTAACACCAAGACAACTGACTCGGTTTTCATGTCCATTGAGCGATCCAACCTTGTCGCCGCGCAAGGTGTCCCAAACCTATCAATGTCAGTACACAGATTGCTTTGGAGGGGGGAAAACTCTATACTTTGCATTCGAAATCATCGTAACCAGCAAACAGGAGGCGGCCAGATACCGAAAATGCGACCGACGTAATTCCGCAGAGAACTTGTTCATTCTGAAGCAGTCATTAGTCATGGAGCTGGTAGATATATGTTGGAGCCATACTTGATAAGACATCAGTTCTCGATCTGCTCTGATATCAAAAAGCCTGCAGGAGGCATCATCGGAGCCTGTGCCAAAGGCATTTCCATCCGGGAAAAATTGAATGGCATTGATATCAGATTCGTGACCAGCGAATGTTTGCACGGCCTTCCCTGTACGCACGTCCCATAGTTTGGCGAAGGCATCACAAGCACCGGAGACGAAGACGTTGGCATTGGTAGGGTTTATACTGATGCTCATGACGTCGCCTAAGTGATCGGCGAACTCAGTAACTTTGGATCCTGTCTCTATGTCCCACATCATGCAAGTCATGTCACCCGAGGAGGTGATAATCTTTCTGTCATTAACAAACCGACAACATGAGAGATAGCCTGAATGTCCGGATAGTTCGCGGGCAACACGGGTTGGTCCTTCTCTCGTGGAGAGGTTATAAATTGAACAAATATTGTCCAAGCCACCACAAGCGACATAATTCCCACTGGGAGCATATGCACAGGTCATGACCCAGGATGATCGAAGGGGAATAGCGTGGACTTTATTTGTAGTATAGGCATCCCAGATGATGAGCTTGCCATCTTGTGAAGCTGAGACCAGATGCCGTCTGTCAGTTGACCAGTGCATGGCATAGATTTTGGCTAGATGGCCTTTGAGATTTCTCCGGGGCTTCATTCCTATCCGCTGCAATGCTTCGGTATTGTTGAGAGCGACTTGTCGCACTATTCGGTCGAATTGATCAGCAATCTGGACGATCAGGGGGAAAAGGCGGAGGGAATGATGGGAGGCAACTGTTGTACTTACAGCTAGTATCTGCCAGATCATCCTTCTTGCGCTTGATTTTGTCTTTTAGGCCTTCCGCTTCTCTTCTTGCAGCCGTGATTTTGGCCTGCATCTGTTCTCCGGTCAAGTCGGTAGACATGGCGCAAATTGGGGGCCCTCTCGGACCAGGATGATGGTAGTACACAGGTGATCAGGTCGTGTGCCGTGGAGGCGTGCTCGAGAGATGCGCAGGACGAAATGAACGAGATGCCTGATCGAGAGGTCGTCAACGGTGGGCAAGATGTAGAGGCAGGAGCTCAAACGAGGCAGGTATCAGGGATGGACCAATTGCGGCGGCCCACAGCACCAGCCGCAGATCTGGTGGGATTGCGAACCTGACAAAGAAGGGGATTGGAAGGGAACAGCTGCACAGAGAGAGTAGGAAGGTAATTGAGATGGATGAAGAAGTTCTTGAGACAGATTCGAAGGTGGTTTGAACAGTTTGAAATGCAAGGTTGGACCAAGGAAGCAGCCAGGGAAAGTCGGAGTGGGAGGGTTCCTTGCCAGTGCAGTGGTAGTTGGTAGCAGAAGTGGCAGTAGTGGCAGTAGTGGTGCTGGGTTTGGTGGTGCAGAGGTGCAGGCCAGAGGGACCAAAGATGAGAGACGAGGACTACGGAGTAGAGAGGAGAGGTGCTCGGTGCGGTGCTTTGACTGACGGGGGTTCCCTTGGTGGACAGACTAGTTTAATGATGTGCCTTTCGAGTTTGGGGCGTTTGGGCGCGGATGCCGCACAGAATCAGCCGGTGGACGGGTGGACTCTGCACGCTGCGTTTAAGAGATACTCGGGCTAGTTAGCTACGCCTACGAGGTTCTCCGTGCAGCCTATGAGGAACAGTGGTGAGCCCCGGGAGCCAATTTATGGGTCAAGGTGGGTGGGTGGTGAGTGGTGATTTGCGAGTACTCCGTACTCCGTATCCCACACCTAACCCAGTGCCTTGTACCAGGGTTTGGTAGCATCAATAACCGTTTAGGCCGCTGATAATTTAATTTCTATGAGGGCGTGTTTGCACAGCTTGTAGTACTCGTAGTCGTGAATTTGTAGATGCAGATAGTCAAGCACAACAAGCATGGTTGCACATATAACGCCGACTGACCTGACGGCATTGGTGGCCTGTAGGTCTACACTTCGTTTTGCCGGCCACTACTCTCGTTTGGATGGTTCAAGCACCCACTGGCTGTGTCCCCCTACTGACTCCTCAGAACTGTCGAGTCATCCACGACAGACCTAATTAAGTGCCCACAGTACGGCAGACAGAACAATTTACTCCATACGAATGCAATTGCTATCAAATGTAAGGACAATGGAGCACCTGATGTTGGTATAACGAGTCTCTTGGATTCCATTGTGGCCATTCAACGCCAACCCAAAACACGTCGGATCCAAAGGTCAGGGCTTGGGCAAAGGGCTCGGGTGGCTCTGCGTGCAGGGTGCAGGGTGCAAGGGCCCAAGCGACCGATCTAGAGAGGGTTTTGCGGCGCTGCAATGGAAGAGAGATTGCCTGACCGCGGCTAGTGGCACCCTAAAAGAAGCCGGGCACCGCCCGTGCCCCACCAAATATCATCGTGGGCGACCCATCTTGGGACTGCAAACGAGAGGAGCACTCACAGAAAGGGGCTTGCGTGCTAAATACTGGAGCACTGGAGCCCAACCTCTGAGTGCATCTGGGGCCCATCCTTGGTCAGTGATCCACCTCTCTTTGGTACACTCGTATCCCATACTCCGTAAGAGTGTCCCTTTGGAGCGATTCGTGTTGTTACAAGTAGGGAGGCCTGGGCGGTGGGCACAGACCCATGAGCCTGTCTTTCAAGCGCCCCGCTGCAAACCCAATCACTCCACCTGGCTAGGTACATAGCAGGACCACAGGTGAAGTCCTTGCAAGTAACACGAGGCCAGGTATGGAGTACTCGGTGCATCGCGGAGCCTGACAGCGTGTGAGAAAGTGTAAAATAAGGGCATGGACGATCCTCCAGCTTTCTTATCCAGATTCACGAAACACCTCCGCTTTGCTGATCATTTGCATTTCTGTCGTGAACGACACGTGGATGTATCTATCCTTGCCCACCCTGTATTTTCTGGGGGGCAGGTGTTATCATCACTCATCTCGCGTCGATGCTTAATGTTAGATATCTCAACATCAAATTCTGTCACCTTATTCAATGTCACTTCGCCAATTATAGTTTCATTGATCGCGAAAGCTCCCCAGTCGCCCCAATCAAGGTTGAACATTATTGTCCCCAATGCCAAGGCATTCGAAGTCCCACATGGTGAACTTCTCCCTCCCTGACCGGTAACGGTAACCGGGTCCGTGGTGGCATCGCACGTCCCAGGTGAGTGGAAGCAATCGTTCCAGGCCCTTTGTCAGTATGGGGATCTAGGTGCAGATATGTATTTTGCATGATTCAGCCCAAGCCAGATACCTCAAAAGTACTTTCTTTGCTGCAAACTCTGGATGAAAGGGCCTGTGCTTCTTTCAATGAAAATCCGGTTTTGAGACAAGTGTGGTATTGAATGGGTCACGCTGGAAATTGTGGTGAAAGGATCGGCACTAATAAGCAACCCGTTAGCGAGGAAGCGACATCTTCATTTGGAGTAACAATGGCCCGGAGGCCTCCGTTGTAGCAAAATCATGGGACGATCAACCCCGGGTGTTTAGGTGGCGCCGGCATCTCTTGATGCCTGGGAGCAAATGTGTCAAATATTCCAAGGATTACTCCTTCTTGCTTTGTCGGTCATCCGTGGGCTTTCGAGCTGCCTCTGTCACCAAGATTGCCAATTACTTGGAACAGGCGAGGCTGTATGTAACACTAAAGCACTGGACAATCACCCGCTTCATCCGTACAACCTTAATCAATTCTGAATCATGTTGTGGCAGATTGGCTGCTTGTATGGAGCGGCCTCTGTTGCATTTGGTGCATTTGGTGCTCATGGACTCCGAAAAAGAATATCCGATCCGCAAAAACTCGCGAATTGGTCCACCGCAGCACATTATCAAGTCAGTCAGGCTTTTTCCAACTCCTGTCAAATAAAACAATCTAACATAGCAGTACAGCTTGTCCATAGCGGGGTTGTTCTGATCGCGACTTCTATAGTTCCAAAGAACAAGTTGGCATCTGGCCTGTTCATCGCCGGGATGACAATGTTCAGCGGGAGCATCTACCTTCTTGTTCTTGATCCCCAGCGATTCAAGGCTCTGGGACCGGTCACTCCTCTTGGAGGTCTCTGCTTGATCGCCGGGTGGGTTGCGTTGGGATTCGCTAGTCGAGGAAGGTTGACCCTCTAAAAAATATCTACAAAGCCATGATTGTATCAAATGCCGACTCAATATGGGCTTATGCACTTGACATATTGATACACTAGGCACATCCACTAGGCACATCCACTAGGCACATCCACTAGGCACATCCACTAGGCACATCCACTAGGCATTGTTGTTAGTTCTGCCCAACACTTAAGGCGAAGATGCGAACGCATTAAAATGGCCATGTCGCAGAGGTAATCCCGGTGACCACTCAATCTACGGCTGTGTTGGTGTAGCCCGCACACGACCGAGACTGTCGGTACTGCAAATCTTGATGGCTTCCAGAAGATGACAATTTCTGACACGATCGCATTTCAATTTCATATCTGTTCCTATCCTAGGAAGGGAGCGGCTAGACGAGCGTCCGCTGCCGTTTTCCTAGGTAACGCTATCGAAACATATTGTCAGGGTTAAACTCATTCTCAAAGAAGTATTGGATTTTAGGTAAGCCACATTGAGGAAAAGAGGTGTAAAGTGGCTTGCCTTCGGTCAGGCTTTGCAGTTAACCCACGATTGGTGGAATAGCCGCCTCGGTTCAGCAACAAAAATAGCATTCAAGGCCTTGGTATGCCGGCGGATTGGGTCCTGCTTCTCAAAACTCAAGAGGAAAGACCAATTGATATGGCTTTGCATAAACGAGTTCAAAGCTGCAGGTGTCAACGCGAAGAGTGTGGCTCACCTCGACCACATCCCATGAACAGTCTTGGTCGAGAAGCTCGTGTTCAGGTTCCAATTCGAGATGCATCAAGCGGTATCCAGCATCTCAGCCAATGTCTGTTCCTGTTCACTGCAAAGACGCTCTTCAACCAGATGCGGAGGGTTTCTTATAGTATCGATCTTCGATAGCATCCATCTACCCCGCAAGAAACTGGCAAACGACGTGTGTCTGTTGTTTTGGCAGAAAAGTGGTATTCTCTCAAGACAAGTTGTTGCAACGCAAGGTCCCGTGGCGATTGGGCCGATGAATTGCCACCCACTGTGTGGATCATCTGTACATGTTCTACTACTGGTTAGCAGCATTTCTATGATCCAGATCGCCTTAGTAATTGCGCAACATGGATTCTCGAAGGCTCTTTCATGCCAGAATTTTCTTCGCCGTCCAGCATGGACTTCAGGGGAGATATTACGAGGGACTCTTGATAATGATGCCAAAGCTTCAGCGCTTTTTGCATTAAACGCTGGGCGTGTTGATGCAGACCATAAATCCTCCGTGCCCAATTTTTAGCAGATAACACCCCTGAGCTCGAGGGGGAATTGAATAGAGGGCAGGTCGACTTGTGATAGGCGGTTCGACTATGGTGGGGCTGGGGTTCACCAGGGACATGTCCGACATGTTGGGTGCTATCATCAATCAGACATCCTGTTCAAAAATGACGCCAAAATAATAGGCATGATAGCGTGACATTACGCGTGAGAGAGGGGAGGAGAGCGGAGGGACTGCGAACCTATGGAGTGCCTAGTTAACCTGCTCCGTACAGAATACGAGCAAATTGCGTGAATAGCTGATATCGCGGCTCGAGGAGCCATCAGATATTAGCAGGCAAAGTGGAATATTCGGGGTGGGAGTGGGTAAATGGATCACAATGGTGCTCCGTACTCCGTAGTGGCCAGACGGCAAATCAATGCTTGGGAACTCGCCATTTGGCTGTTATTTATTAGTAGCCTCGGACCCAACCAATGTGAAATTGAAGAGCGTTAGACGCGAGGCTTGGCCCGGAGAAGATCAAGCCCAACTCCCCAGTCCCCAAGCCTGAGGACGAACCTGGTCCAGCGAGGGCCAGGAGTCCGGGTTAAAGCCTAAGGGAGCCACCTAGCGTAGACGCAGACTTGAAACCAGGCGATCGCTGGCACCAGCACCACCAGCAATACCACCGCCACTGCCACCGCCTGCCACATCTGCCACCGCCGCGGCCATTGAGAGGCCTGCAAACATCCTGCTACCACCCAATTACTACCACTACCACTACCACAGCAACTTACCTCGTTACTCATTTCCCTTCACTTACTACTTCACCTCCCATCACCAACATCATCAGCTTTCTCCCTTCAGCTTCGATAGCTTGGTTTTCCTCATCATTCCTTCCCCGCCAAACGTCTCCCTTTCATCCTCTCCCTAATTCTTCGATTCCTACGCCTGCGTGACATATTTTCGAGTCCCCCCAATTCCTGCCTCTGACCTCCGCCTTTCGACTCCGCGAATTACTTTCGTCCTCCTCTCGATTGGATCCGATCCAACTCGGCTTCCTACGTTCTTTACTGTTCCGCCAGTTTATTCTTCAGCAGTCCTCTCACGAGCAGAGCGTTCACTCAGACTTTCGCTTCTCTGAAACTTTGCATGTCTCGCTGAAAACATACAACTACAAGATCCTCCTTCCGACTGTCCTCACCTATCCCCGTACCAAATATCCATCGAAATTGTGGCCTGGTAATCATTCGTCATACCTGCTATCATTCATGCCATTTGCATAAAGCCTGTATTGGTGCTGTCGACCGGTCAGCCAAGAGCCCATCAGGAGGCAGAACGTGCATCTCATTGCTCCTCGACTCAGCAATACAACCTAGGTGACCTGCTCAAGGCCACGAGAGGTCGACCTTGTCAAGAGCCTGTCGCATGAAAACATCTGTACCCCCTTAACTTAAGCATCATGAGAGAGGTCAATTTCAGTATACCAAATGTCAATAAGGCTTCCGTCCACATAACCACCACCCTTTATGACCGCCGAGCCTTAGATTGTACCTCCACACTTCCTCTTATCAATTCCCTCAACCACCTGGCATACCTGACCACTTCTTCGGCCCGAATAAGAGATATCCTGACCGTGGACGGAGGCATCGAACGGCTTGTCTGCATCTTGAAAGAGGGGCGGAGTAAAGATGAGATGCATATGTGGAAATGGAACCTTGCCTTTCAATGCATTGTCAACATTGGCGTGCGAGGCTCCGAGAATGTGCGTACTCGTGTCGTTGAGGCCGACATGGTCCCCGTCATCGCCACTATCCTTTGGGACTATGTTCTGGTGATCGAGCGAGAAAAGGCAAAGGCCGATGCTGAACAGGCCCGACGAAATGGACCACATCACCATAACAGCTCGAGGTCATCCAAATTGTCTCGCGATCTGTCTCGCGATATGTCTCAAGATTCAAATGCAAGGTCCTCCTTTTTCGAACACCTCAATGCTTCCTCCGACCTACGATCCACCCGTCGCCAGGCACCTCCGCCCTCATTGGATATTCCACAATCCTTCTCCCAGGCCTTTGGCACCACAGAATCGGGCCCTGCGGAGGCCAGCATGACACCCGCATCAGTACTCACATCCCCTCCCGAACGAACGGTTTTTCCACGCCCTCATCTCCAACACCAGAATCGTAGCAGTGAAGGTCGGAGCACCTTTCAACGCCAACTCAACATGCAGCCTCCAGCAACTGCAGTGCCGTCCATGGACGCATCTGATGGTTTTTCCATACGGCCTGTCCGTGAGGTGGATCGGCTCCCGTCCATGCTACCCGCTTTGAATACGGGCGTCACATCACATCCTGATTCTCCCACAACACCGTCAGCCCCCGTCCATCGAGGCATGCTTTCTCCCGTCGGACGACGAATGAGACGCCCGTCTATTCGTCACCAGAACTCCATGGGTGGCGAAGCTGATGATGCTGTAATGGAGGATGTGACAGTAGACGACGAGGGAATCGTTGACCCCGATGCACGAGCTGAAGGTCAAAGTCGAGTACCTACTCGAGACCCTAGTCCTCACGATCCGCAAGACATCGATGGGCGCCAGCCATTGACCATCACTATCCCTCCTCAGCAAGCCCGAGATATTGATAATGTCGACATTGCCCAGCAAACGCCCATCGTCGCTGGAATGGGCAATCCTCTCGGACCTATCACACACGAAGCCATGGGACCATCTCCTATACCAACTGTGCCTGCAACTGCCGCCTCACCAGCCATCCCCCTCAACGCATACCCAAACTTCTTCTTGCGAAATGCAACTGCAACTGCGTCCACCACAGCACTGATGCCTCGAGATGAAGACGTGCTGATGGGTCTTCAATTGCTTGCCTACATATCAAAGTACTGCTATCTGCGACACTATTTTCAGAGTACACACCTTGTGCCCAGACTTCGGATTGATAAAGAAGTCGAACGCATCTACGGGCCGTCGTCTCGAGGACCCCTCCCAGAGCCTACTGAAGACGATAACGAGGAATTTCTTCAGCCTGATGATTATAATATCTTCCCATTAGTTGAAAAGTTCACCGTGAGACATCACTCTAAAGATATGCAGTATTGGGCCTGTGTCGTTATGCGCAATTTGTGTAGAAAGGATGATGCCCGAGGAGGTATCCGCCAATGTGCCAATTATCAATGTGGTAAATGGGAAGAATTCACTCGACAGTTCGCCAAATGCAGACGTTGCCGGCGTACCAAATACTGTAGCAAGGTATGTTTCCTTGCCCCTTTCAGGCATGGGTACACGAGTTTTACTGACACCTCTCGCATAGGAATGCCAACGCGAATCCTGGAGCATGCATAGACATTGGTGCCAGTCGCCATGACAACGTTGATGTGAGCGCATACAATTTTTCGAAAAGCTTGAGTTAGCATAGCCACGGAGTCAGCGTGGATGATTATCGCTTGGAGTTGGGGGAGTTTGCTGTATTTGGAAATTGACTGAAACCAAACAGCCAACCTGGATAGTTCTGACTCCAGGTACAAACGATGTACAGCTTCAAATTGCGCCACACGAGGGACCACACCGAATCTCATAGGATGCATATAACTAACATATTGATGAGCGGAGCAACGCTCTTGGTGAAACGTTGATTTTACGATGAGCACGAGCGGTGACGGGATTTTGGATTGCTTGGTCCTTGGAAGTCGTCATGGTGCAAGACACGACATGTCTTCGATGAAACTGTTATTGATGCACATGTGTAATATGATGACTTGATTAGTGCACACATTATGACAATGACATATGCTCAACCTCAATCTTTTCCAAGTATCTAATCACAATTATCAACCCACGGCGTTGCGGCGCAGACTGATATGTGTACAGCGATAGCTCTCCTGACTGCCAGCTTTTCATAGGGTTACAAATGTGTTTGGTGTGAACAACTGCACCTTGACCAAATTGGTACGATGTATTGTCGAAATCGCCATTGGACTGGTGAAGTGCACGGGTTTCGGAGGTCGCCGCACCTGAACTCTAATGTTTCTAAGGGATGCTGCATTTCCTACGTTCACTCTTTACAACATGTAATCTCGACAGCCTGTTACTCATCTGTTTTCTCAACTACTAGTCCGATATGGGTTCGTTCAACGATGCCGTAGAAGCTATTCAGCTGCCAGTCGTCGATATCTCAAAGTTCAGCACCGAAGTCGGGAAAGAAATGCTCAACGCAGCCACCAAATTCGGCTTCCTTTACATCAGCACGAGCGGGACAGGATTTACGGAGGACATTGTAAACCATCAGTTCAAACTGTCTCAACAGCTTTTTGCGCTTCCCGAATCAGAAATGGAGCCGTATCGCATTGATGATTCAAACCATGGATGGGTCGGAATGCAGGCTGAGATTCTGGATCCCAAAGCGCAGCGAACGGGTGATTTCAAGCAAGGCTTCAACATGGGCGAGTTCCTGGATGGGGAGCCAAAGAAGCCACTGCCTCCCATACTCCAGGATCATCTGGACCACCTGGTGGGCTTTGAGGCGAAATGCAAGCAGCTGTGTGATCGAGTCCTGGATCTGCTTGCCCTTGGACTTGAAGTTGAGGAACCGAACTTCTTCTCCTCGCGTCATACACAGCCAAGTGGCTGTACGGTCCGTCTTCTGCATTATCCCGCGATCCCAGAGGATGTGGACTATCGGCCAGAGGTAGATATCCGTGCAGGCGCACACTCCGACTATGGAAGCATTACTCTACTGTTCCAGCGGCCATCTCAGCCAGGACTTGAGATCCGCACACCAGAAAATACCTGGGCACCAGTGCCAGTGATTCCCGATGGCTATCATGTCTCAAGTACATTCCCTCCCATTCTCGTCAACATCGGGGACTTGCTGTCTTATTGGACCAACGGGCTGCTGAAGAGCACGGTGCACCGAGTCATATTCCCACGCAACTCAAAGCGGGGAGGGGAAGATAGGTATTCCATCGTTTACTTCTGTCACCCTGGCAATGACATGGAGTTGGTGCCTGTCCCGAGCAAATTGGTGGCACAGTATACTCTGGAAGATGACGCCAAGATCGGCCATGGCGGGGGGGCAGGGTCTGAGAGAGCAATCACCGCCCAGGAGCATCTGATAAATAGATTGCAGGCGACATACAAGTTCAGAGGAGGCGCTGCTAGCGGAGACGGTATCGAGGTTTGAGATGGAGTGATAGGTGGCTTATCCAGTAATCAGTGGCTATGAACGACGGTCAAGTTATGCCCTACTTCGGATCGGATGCCTCTTGTCCTCTACGTACACAGGAGATATTCGGTAAGTGTAGATTCTTCGAATCTCTAATGTAGAAAATTGGTCATGGCATAATGTCAAGTCGTCATCAGCAAACCATTTCCTCATCCTCTCCCCTTCTTGCTCTCAAGTGGGCCTCTTCTCCTTGGTCTGGATGTGATGCCTAGCTCCAGAATCCCATGTAGTCTCAGTTAAGTTTTGTGTGCTCGAATGTGTGGTGACGGCACTAGAATTTCAAGTGATGTGACAGCAAGCCTTCTTTACAGTACGATGACGTACTCTAGACTGCCACGGCTAGTGCTATGGCTATTCGTAGGAAGGGTGCCACAGCCTCGCCTGCCAGCAGGCTCCCTAAACTTCAGCCTCGTATTGAGAAATAGACCAATGGCACGAGAGACCAAGTGTGCTCGCTAGTAGCGCCCTGGCCTTAGTTTCAGTTGGGGTGGCAAGTGGGCCTTGGGCTGCGGCGGGCGGCGCCCACCCACCCAGTTGGCGGATGGCCGTCACTTCCCCTGCATCTCCATCTCCAGCAAAGGTTTGGGTTTGGTGAGTTTCGGCTTTGTTTTGTTTTGCATCTGCGAGCACGACTCTAGAACCCACTATTATCCCCAAACTGCTACATACGGTTTGACTGCGCTGCTGGTAGCTCTCTTTCCCGCTTCAACTGCGTTTTCTTGCGGCCTGCTTTTAAATTTGCATGCTCTGTTCTTTCTGACAGCTTCGTTGCATTCATCTCGACCAGATCCCATCATGTCAGGTAAGACCGGCGCAAGCAACCAATCAATGGGACCTCATGTACTGACAACCTGAGACAGTCCAAAAGTTTGACCAATGGGCAAGCAAGCATGTCGATTTCTGTCAACTTCAATCGCTGAAGGATGCTGTCATTGGTGTCGATGCTTCCTACTATCTTGACCTGCGCCTGAACGGCAACAACGAAGAACCTCTGAAGCACGCCCTCGGGGGCATTCCCTTTTGTTTCAAGAAGACCGTCGAAGATGACATTGCCCTCCTGCGACAACACGGTATTACACTGATCTTCGTCTTCAATGGCTTGGACTACGTAAACAAGAGTCGCCCAGATTCGCTGTCGACCGACAGCAGACGGGTTCAAGATGAGGCCTGGCACCACTACTTGAGTGGAGACAGCAAGCGAACGGTCACCGACTTTGGAAAGGCGAAATATCCTGTCGACATCATGACCCGGCCACTTCAGAAGATTCTCATTGAGAATAAAGTCCAGTTTCTAGTCGCACCCTACAGTGCAACTGCGCAGGTCGGTCTCATGCTGTTCGTTGTCGTTTCTGAAGCTAACCACCAATGGATGTAGTTGGCATATCTATTCAAGCTCCCGGAACAATATATCGACGCCGTCATGGGGAACACTGAAGCTTTCCTCTTCGGTATTGACAGAGTTGTCACCGACATCAATCTCAACAAAGCCACCTTGAGCCTTCTGACTCGCCAGACGTGCGAGGACTTACTCAAGGTGAACGCCGACGCCTTGAGAGACGCCCAACTCATCCTTGGTACCTCATACACACCGACATTTCCTCCCCTCGAGGGTCTAGGACCTGGCAAATCTACGAGTATCGTCGATGCTATCAACTTATTGAACACCGCCAACAAGAATGTTATACAACTCTGCACCTTTCACCGAGAGCATCCCCAAGTGCAGGCCCTCAAGTATGCTGACCGATACAAGAAAGCCATCATGACGATCAGACATCATGTGGTAATCGAGAAGAATGGTGTCATCGCGCCACTGAACTTTAACACTGCTCCGGGTGATGTCCACGAATTTGTTGGCCAGAGACTACCTGAAGAGTTATTTTTCTATGTATCGAAGGGTCTCCTAGGCGCGCAAGTGCCCAATTGGCTCACCTCTGGTGAAATTGTGCTCTCACTTCCTGGAGGAGTCTTGGATTCAGAACCGTATCGACGTTTAGTAATAGAGCTCCTAAATCCCCTGCGCACGGAGGCTCTCAAGATCTCTGCCGAGTCTCTTAATTATTACTATCAATCCAGAGTTGTCAAGGTCGACCCCTGGGTGCCACAGGACACGAGCAATTTAACGATTGAGATCAGAAATACCCCGGCATTCAAGGGACGGCTGGCGCCGTGGAAAGTCCGGGGAAATGACATACAGAGTGTAGTGAGCAAGTCTAGTGTAAGTGGCAGACTCCATTCCTGACATCCTTCCTGCTCATGTCATACAGCATAGCTCCTTCTTCCTCCCGTGCCTGCAGTCTCTAAAAGACAGCTCGTTCGTGGAGAAAACAATTACCAAAGGTAGAGTGGAGTATCCAGCACTGAAGACCGCGGACGAGGTTATTGTGAATGCAACTTTCCGATTTCTGCATGTGCGCGGCTATGTTGATGATAACCACAAGCTCACCACCTGGGGCAAGGCTTTGGAAGCCGCACTTGCTATTGCAGATGAGGAACCGACCGTCACTGGAGTTGAGATGCTTAGACTCGGCTTGTTTACTGGTAATTTTGCAACCGGGACTCCAGTTGCTAGAAGCGGTATGTGAATCCAACTCTGAGGACTTCAATGACTCATGTATCAACAGACAAGGACTATCCACGCAAAGTGTATACAAACCTTATTTCCAAGACTGCTTGCTTGGGTCGGATCCGGCACAAACCAATGGGCTTTGTTGGCCCTCTTGATCGACAGTTGCTGACATTTGCGTGGAAGATCACAGCCGTTCGTAGATCTGTGAGGGACTTGCTCGAAACGGTCACGACGAGCATGTTCCTGAACGGAGATGTCGAGCGCGAGCGAGACGATTGGACCTTCCTTGTTTCGAAGTACGTACGTTCCATTTTTGCCGTCCTCACTGACAGGGTTATTAGATTGCCATTTGCTGGTGATAATGGATCAGGTCTTGGAATCGCGGTCAAAACATATCTAGATGCCGTCAACGAGGAAGCGCAGATTACAGAGTCCTTGAAGACAAGCATCAAACAACAGGAAGGAAAGTATAATTGGTTTGGCCAACTCAAAGGAGGAGGCCACTTGACCAAGAGTTTGGATCAAGCATGGAAATTGTGGGACGCGGTATGTTCCACAGAGATTACCCGCGACCGCGAATTGTGCTAATGTCGGTCAGGTCTACGCTGCAAGTCAAGTTCCTGGGACGGAGGTGAAAGAAAGCAAACTGTTCTCCGATGCAAATGAATGGCTTTCACATCGACGTTGAGATGGAGGTACTAAGAGTTTCTCGATTATGGGAATACCTATCCTATCTTACCAGACCCCGACTCCCGGATCAGGAATCACCGCCAACATCAAAGCCGCTCTCAATTACTCTATTCGGGTGGCACTGTATGGTCATGTCTTAGATGACTCTGAATGAGTACAACTATGAGCTGGGGGGAAGGAAAGTCACAGCGTTCGAAATGTGGCACTCTATAGTGCAACGCACGTTGCGAAGCAGATGACCATGATCAGAACGGCAATGCAGTAGGGACTGAAAGGTCGAGGACGAGGCTCGAGGGAGAACTTGATCACAACAGGCCAAAGGCATTGGAAATGCTGCAAACGCCAACCGATGAAGATCAAAAAGTTGATGACGGCTCGGCCATCTCATGTTAGCCAGCATAGTCGAAAATTACTAATTCAGAGCATTGCACGAACTCACGAAGCGATCTGCGTGCATAGTCCTATATGCAAGGCTGTAACCTGTATACTCGAGCTTAGCCAGCCACTTAGCACAGCCTTGCGGGAGCTTACCTAATAGGCTTGAAGCCTGTGCTCGGGTGGTTGGGGGTTGCTCTCTTCCCAAGCTTCCAGGGGCTCGCCAGGCACGAATTCCTGGGTGGACATGCCCCTTTCGGCTAATCAGGCCTAGCGGCCAACGCCTACTCGTACAGTGTCTGGACTGTGACCCTCAGACACAAATCTTAGCCTCCATTTTCTCTTGAAGATTCCGCCCAAGTCCACACGCGCTGGATTTCTGTTGGACACTGATAACAATTAGAAGAGGCACGAGTCAGCGGGACGGAAACCTTCCCTGTGCCACCTGCGGCACGCGACCACCGTTGGTTATCGCTGTTCTTCCTCGTCCGCGGGATAGATATGTCGTGCCTGCCCATCGGGCACGCCAGTAGTCATGGCCGGCGATCTACGTGCGACTTACCACCATCACCATCATTTACACGATTCCCCTCCCCATGACGAATTTGAGATGGACGACACGAGCATTTCACACACTTCCTCAACCCAGAGATTCCCCCATGAACCCTCACGTCCTCCTCGGAAGACCGGCGCTGCTGGACTCGCCCGCCACACCCTGGGGCTGCTTCTCCTGCTCGTGGTTGTCTTTCTTTGGACAGCCTCCAATTTCCTGGGTAGTGTATGATTGCTCCCCCTGTGGCATGTTCCTGCATTGACTGAACACGAACAGAGCATTTTCGCCGACAAGTCGTACGCAAAACCCTTCTTCTTGACATATCTCAACACCTCCATGTTCATGCTGGCCATGATCCCCACCCTAGTACGATCGGGATACCGACAACACAGGCGTGGAACCTTGTACACCACAATGCGTTCGAATCTATCTTGGAATAAAGGATATAGACCACTCCCCAACACAGGAGTGATAGACGCGGCAGATTCAGAGTCACATGCATTCATACATAAACCAACTACCACCGACCCAGATACGGAGGAGAAGGATAAACATCTTGGAATTATCGCGACCGCTCGCCTCTCTATCGCCTTTTGTGTCCTGTGGTTTCTCGCAAACTACTTCGCCATGGCGTGCTTGCAATACACCACAGTCGCTTCCACAACTATCCTCACTTCGACTTCTAGTTTTTGGACCCTACTCATTGGAGCCGCCACTGGCATGGAGAGATTTACCTGGCGCAAGTTCTTAGGTGTCATGGGCTCCTTTCTGGGCATCATACTCATATCTCGCGTCGATTTTTCTACCAGCGCTGATTCCACCAATCCATCCTCCGACAACACCAATTCGCCATCTGTGCGGGCAATTGACAGTTTCCCAGACAAATCTCCAGCCGAGCTGGCCTTGGGCGATGGACTTGCGCTTTTATCTGCTGTTATCTATGGTGGCTACACCATCAGCTTGAAGAAAACAACCATCAAAGCACTGCCACGGCAATTGAACATGCCCTTGTTTTTTGGCTTGGTGGGGACTTTTAACATATTTCTCCTCAGCCCACTTTTCCCCATACTTCATTACACCGGTATCGAGACCTTCCAGCCTCCTCCTTCGGCACACATCTGGATGGTCCTGTTGGTCAACAGTGTGAGCAGTTTATTCAGCGACATCTGCTGGGCGTATGCTATGGTTTTGACGAGCCCGTTGGTGGTCACGGTGGGACTGAGTCTCAGCATCCCACTAAGCTTGGTTGGTGAGATGGTTCTTCAGGGAAGATACGAGGGCTGGGTCTATTGGGTCGGAGCCGGAATCGTGGTCGGCAGCTTCTTGTTTGTGGACCACGAGGAGCGCGAGGACGAAGAGCAGCAGGAACCCAGGCGGACATCTCGCGCCAGCAGCTGGGCTACTGCCGATGGACTTACTGCGCAGGGCGGTCCCCCAGGTCGGAGCCAGCATTCCTACTCACAAGACTCACTTATCGAGGGGGAAGCGTCCTCGCAACAGGACTCCAGCCAACTGCGAGTAGGGCGCTCTTCAGCAGCGTCCGCAGCAGATAGACCAGGACACGTGCGCCGCAGATCTTCTGGCGCCTCTGACGTCGCACCCTCGCATGCTGGACCAGGAACACGCATGAATGCTTCTTCTCTTTCTCTCCCCAAGAATAGTCAAAACGACTCTCACCAATCCGAGCAAGATCTTCTCGACAATGATAGCGATTTCAAATAAATCCATAGAACCCTCTCAAGCCCTTTTCTTTTTCTCTTTCTCTTTTTGGAACCACCCCAGCCCTCGGAACTCAGTCGCGTGAACTATTCAAGACCAAAATTTCTCCGAAGACAACGACTCCTGGAGAGCTCTGGAGATAGAGAGAGACATATGTGTATATAGGATATATAGGGTATATCCCCGCCATTAGTCAAAAGACCAACGAGATGAAACACAGACTTAGACCGGACTCTCTTGCAGATTTTCTGTGGTCCGAGGCATGAGTTTGGGATTGAAGAACACGAGTTGTTCAGCTGGACCATGTGGCTGGCTCAATGAAATGAATGTGGAATAGTCTTTAGCCTCGTGAGGCAAGTACGAGGTACATCCTGAGGGAGAGTATTCCATGGTTCGCCAAACGAGTTTTTCGATTCGGACGAGCTACAGCACGCCAAATGCTGTCCAGTCAAACTAAGAACTTCAAGAAGAACTTGCTACTTAATTTGGTGTCGTACTTATTGGTCCTGGAGACTTGGAAGCTTCACAACGAACCATTGTCGTTTAGTGGGTCAGAGCTCATCCAAGTCATCAACAGCTACGATTCCAATCAAAACTTATTCGGCAAGCCCCAAGTCTTGCATGGTCGGCAGACCATCTCTCCATGTTCTGGGCTCGCCATCACCGGGCATCTCGAAGCCATCCGGGAGACGTATTTTCGGAAACCCACCCCTTTTCCACACATATTCTTCACCCGCTGCAACCTTTTCAAAGGCGCCGGGCATCGCGACTTTATCGTCGTCATCTCTGCGCCTTGCCGTTACCCACTTGCTTCGAATCTCGTGCGCTCTATCATCGTCTTTGAGTACTAGAGCGCCGCTGTGCCATCCGGCAGCAGCGATGGCGATGGGGAAGTAGACACCGAGGTTAGCATAGTCTCCTACACGGTCTGCTTTACTGTCCTTGGGCTCTTCTGTTGAGGAGGTCGTTCGTGGTGGACCTTCATCCCAATGTCGGCCTTCCTGTTCAACCCACTCGCTGAAAGCAGCCTGCTTGTTTTGATCGTTATCAAAAAGGGTCCGTGCTGATCGACCATCAACATTTAGGTGCGGTTCACCGAGTTGCTCCTCAAGCCAGTGCAACCAGTCTTTTCGCTCAGGCTCAAACCAGATTTGGCGGCCTCGGATGTTGGAGATGGGAAGCAGGTCCGCATCGCTCCTCCTATCTGGTCGTTCGCGACGTAGTCCACGAAACCGACCGCCGGATTCAGGTTGAGATAGGCCTAGAGAGCCACAAGATTGAGAATCTCTCCCATAGGAAGTAATTCTTCCATCGGCATGTAGGGCGTGATAATGATAATCCCCGTAGGCAAGTGCAATGACATTGGTATGTTGGAGAGCCGGGATATCTCGTGGTCGGGCAGCAAGAATTTCTGTCAAGGCTGTCCAATCATCTGGTTGTTGAAGGCGATTAGGATGTTGACGGACTGCATTGAAGCATTTCTTTAGATAGTCGACATCACCTGCAAGAACCTCTCCGGTCGCTGTAAAGACCCCGAACCGCTGAAATTGGCCATGAATATCCTTGAGCTCGCGTCCTTCTCCACTGTATCCTGGGACTTGAAAAGGCGGGTGAGGAGGCTGGAGTTGATCTGGCTCATTGATATTCATCGAGCAGGCAAACAATTTGGAATCGCTTGTGATGTAGAGGATGAATTCTGCCAGCACAATGTGCTTCAGAACTTCAAACACGCCAGTCTCAGACTGTCTTCGCGCTGTGTTCTGAATAACGTGATGTTTAACATGAATCCCGTCAAGTTCTACAGACGAGTGGTCGTTTTGGATTGGGGTCCAAAAAACTATCCCTACCTGAGGGACATAGGTCGAGCTTTCATTCCAGCCTGCCGCAACTCTAACAGGTTTACCGCCGAAATCTCGTCCATTCTTGGAGAACACTTTGAGGCCTTTAGCGTTGACCCTGTCCCATGAAACAATTTCTCCATCGTCGGTCAGGGCAAGAATGTGACGTCGTCCGGATGAAAACTGGCGCACAGCAGATGTACTTTGAGTGAGATACTCGAGTTGCTCGAAGGATTGAGCAGCCCTCCCACGGTTTATGCCATCTAGTGAATCGATGGAACCTACCGTGTAGAGCTTGCCCGAGGAACTCAGGATCGTGGTAGACCAGCCACCACATTGAAGATCAGCAATGACGCCAACTTCATCGGGAACATGAACCTCAGTGGGCCAGGCTGAGCTCGTTCGCATGTAGAACTCGCGCGGTAGAGGCCTCACGGGAACTCGGGTACCCAGGGAAGGGCGATTGTTTATACTGGGGGCGACATGAGGAGTGGGCCTCGAAGGGTGAGGCACTGGTGGTATAATGGGTAGAACAGGAGGGGGAGGTCGCCCGGGATTATGAGGAAGATTCAGAGTCGCAGGCGACGACCTTCCCGGGCCCAAGTTGCCCTTGGTTCCTTGGCCCCACGTATAGAGCTGAGTCTGGGTCTTAAGTCGCTTGTACAACCAGTACCAGCGCGCTCCATCAGCTGCGAGGAGCGGGCTGATTGGCAGACGGAAAGTTTCTGACGTGTTCGATCTCCAGTAGGCAGAGTCCTGTCTATATCTTATATAAGCAGGTTTTTGAGTACGACAAAATGCCAGATAGTCTTCAGGTTCAAGATTGGAGAGGACAATGACCATCACATCGTCTGGGAGGTCTAGGAGCTGCATGGTGAAGGCCTCAGACAATCCAGAGATCGGACGGTGGATGGAGACGACAAATCGGTTTTCGTCGGGTTGCTGTCCTCAGTTGAAAGCTTTACTCTTTGCTTTGCCAGGAAAGACATCAAGTATAAAGGATGATGTGCAAATAAAAATCCTTCAAACACCTGCAGTTGAGGCTGAGGCCTGGGCAGAGGATCCTTCTGGACAAAACAGGCTTGGAGGGGTGAATTGGTGAACAGAGGCAGGCGCAGCTGACGTCACACGCGACAGTCACACAACCATGGGAAAGAACAAGTCACGCGCCGTGTCTTGGCAGAATCTTGATTGACAAGGTCTTTCTGCTTCACCGAAGCTCGGGATTCAGTCAGGCTCACAGGTAACACCAGGTGAAACGGGTGTCATGCTGGATTGCATCCCTTATCCAGCCCCGGACCGTGGTGGCCGAGCGCTGCAAAGTACACAATTCACGATGTGATAAGCTTTCCGCTTTCTGGGGCTTGGGGAAAATATGACCAACGTGAACGTAATTAGCAGTCCAAATTTTGGTCTATTATTGCCGGGTCCCTAAAGGGACAAGCCTTCTTGACCGGTATCAGAATTACCAGCTCTTCCTTCCCCATCCAAAATACCAATATCTTCCGTGTCATAGTTCAATGGCACCATTAGACCAGAAGTCTGACAAAGATCAGCCCTGACCTGCTTAGGCGAGGGTCCATTGTGTTTAATGACGGTTCTCGTCTCCTGTTGATCTCTCTCGCGGAAGTGACCGTTCCTATCAAGGACTGAACGAGGCTACGGATCAAGGGGCAAAACCACATATTTTCGAATTCGTCTTTCTCTTTTACGGACTAGGCAACGAAGAGGTCATGATCCCGAAGATGTAGGGCCAGGAATTGTATCGAGTGGGGCAGATGGCAATCCCTTGCAGGCACCCTCAATTCCCTCTCAGTGCTTCGCAAGCATCTATTCAGGTCTCAATGCTGCCTAGTCTGTGGGTATTCCTAGACCCTGACAAGCACTTTCACCAGATTATCTTTACTAGAAAGAAGCTTCTGAATCCCATTTTCGATGACCTCGTCCAGTGGAATTACGTCTGTAATCATTGGTGTCGGCTGAAGAGCGCCTGCCAGCATTTTTATATTCAAGGGATAATGTCAACAGGTCAACAGAACTCGACTCACCAGATCCCATGGCCTCAATCACCTTGTCAAAATCCCCCTTCACGTAGACCATCGTCCCGATGTAATTCTTTTCTCCCATTATGAAGGGCACAGAACTGATCAGTGGTTGGGTTTTCCACGTTGCAATGTTTACGATTGTCGCCCCAGTTCGAGACGCCGCCAAAGCTAGGTCGAGACCGGACTGCACCCCCGCGGCATCGAATACCAGAGCTGGCCCTTCGCCGCTGCACAATGTCTTACACATCTGTACCGTGTCAGGGTTTGTCGGGTCAAGAATGTAGTCTGCTCCAAAATGCTGTGCGAGTTCCTGTCGACGCGGTGACAGCTCTGATACGAGAATCTTTCCCGCGCCTCGCGCTCTGAGGACCTGGATCACGGCAAGACCCACAGGACCAGCACCTACGATGAGAGCGTCATCTCCTCTTTGGAATGGGCTCCGGCTGAGTGCGTGCCAAGCGACCGTGAGAGGTTCGGCTAGAGCTGTTGACTTGTTTATTAGACTGTTCAATCCTTGTGCCGTGCAGCAAAAAGGAACAACACTGACCACCTGCCTCCAAGCTCACATCCGCAGGTAACTTCAGAACATTGCCTCGAGAGGTAACGAGAGATTCTGACAAGCCGCCAGCGCCTAGGTAGGTCTAAATCAGCAAATAAATTCCTCCACAGTTTTAGAGTCGGAAGCCAGATACCAGAAAACCCAATGGATCCGAAGTTCGCACAGCAATTTGGGAGCCCACGCTGACAAGGCCCACAGGTATTGTCGGCCAGTAAGGGGAAAACAGCAACCTTGTCTCCCTTTTGAATGTCTGTGATTTTTGAACCAACCTCTGTTACTGTTGCACTAATCTCGTGTCCTAAGGTAACCGGCAGCTGCTCTCCGGTTAGGGGATGGGCGCTAGTTGGTATGATGAACGGTCCGCTAAGGTATTCATTCAGATCTTCATAACGTAAGTGTTATTTTGCAAGCACTAGATTTCGAACACGGTCGTAGACTGAGGGTGTTTTCCAGGGGCCGTACCAGTCCCACAAATCCCAACGTACTCAGGTTTAAGCTGAGGGGGTCAGCTCGGGCAACCCAAGTACAAAGGATTGTAGGTGCATACCTTGACTTGATCCTCTCCACATATCGGCTCGTCAATCTCGTCTAGACGTAGATCTCCTCGACCGTGGTACCTCAGAGCCTTCATGGTGCTACTAAATGGTTGTCGTATGTCTCAAAGGTAAGCATAGAACCTATTTTCCTTCGGGCGAACCAAATGTCCAATCCTTCAGCAAGTGTCTTTTCCCTCCACAGTCTCACTTGAGCAGTGAATGGATCAAGGAGATAATTGGAATTCTTATAAATTGCTCCGGATGATCTGCAACGCTGCCAAAAGCTCGCTCTGAACGGCAATACCGGGATTTGTGTCTTGGTGTCAGAATGCCGGCCTAAAGCTCCGAAGAAACCACAGATCGACGCGAGCAGTAATTGTCTACTGTTAGAAATTTATATGTAGTTTATTTTTTACGTCATGAAAGTCATATGCCCTTCAGCATGCTATTCCTTACGCACTACACCTATTGCAGTCATATGGCAGGTAACAGCCCCGTCAAATAGCACTGTCCGCCATACCAGAACTGAACTCGGCGGGATTCGTGAGAAGCACAGTTCTGAGCTCGAGAAACTGCTCTAGACCCTCGCTCCCATTCTGCCTTCCCCAGCCGCTAGACTTGGACAGACCAATAGGGAGAGTGGCTGTGGCCTGTCAACACGGGCTTGTTCACAGTCGCAACGGAATAGGAACCCCTTACCTTCATCTGTACCGGTTCCCAAGGGGAAGTTGATATGCGTCTGCCCAGCCTCAATACGGTTGGCGACCTGAAGAGCGCGGCCGATATCCTTGCTGTAAACCCCAGCACTAAGCCCGTACTGTGAGCTATTTGCCAACTCGACTGCCTCTTCATCAGTATCCACAGTGAAGACGGCAAGCACAGGACCAAACGACTCGTTGTCGTAAATTTCCATGTCCGGCTTTAGTCCCTTCAACACGACAGGCTGCAGCCTAGCGGGTTCCAGGAGTTTCACTTCCCCATACAGAACCTGCGCACCTTTGCTCACTGCATCCTGTACCAACCTCAAAGTGCTTTCTGCGCCAGTTGTTGAGACGGCCCAGGGTATGGGAAAGTTCACTCCACATTTAGTTAGTATCGGTATGAATTTCTCCACCACAGCCGAATGCACTATCACGCGCTCAGTGGAAAAACATGTCTGCCCACTATGGGTATATCCTCCACACACGCATCCTTGGGCAGCGAGTTCTAGGTCTGCGTCGTCCAGGACTAGTGCCGCTGCCTTGCCCCCACGCTCCATCAAGATCGGCTTCAAATGCTGTCCAGCAAGGGCTCCGAGTCGGCGGCCTACTCCAGAGGATCCTATGAACTCAATCTTCCGTATATGGCGATGCGAAATGAGCGCCTCGCACACGGCTGCACCATCTTCGCGCCGTGCTTGAATGACGTTGAGCACTCCAGGCGGTAGACCGGCACGGTGAAAAAGCTGTGCAAGATAATGATGGCTACGAGGCGACTGTTCGGAAGCTTTGAGCACCACGGTGCAGCCCACAGCGAGAGGAGTATCAATTGCTCGACAAGCAAGAAAGACAGAAGCATTCCATCTAGACTGGCGTCAGTCCGAAGCTCGAACATTACAATAAGGCACAAGAACTGACGGTGGAATACTTAAAACCGGTCCAACCGGTCGTTTGTACACAAAGCCCATCTGACCTGGCGTCTGCACGACTGGGATCTGGCCAGTGAGGACAGATGTAATTCTTCCACACATCTCTTCTAGATGCAGAGCAGCCCAATGAATGTTAATCGCGGCCCAGCACTCAGGGCAATTTGTTTCCTCCACTTGAATCTTTGCCAGTTCCGCTGCATGTTCGCGTAGTAGGCCGGCTGTCTTCTGGAAGATCTCTCGTCGAACACGTGGCAAGGATTGAGACCAGGATCGAAATGCAACTTGGGACGAATCTGCAGCCGTTACCGCATCATTCACGCTCGCGCTGACGTATTTTACATATTCTGACTTTAGATAAGTCGAATATGTTGTAGCAATGGTCGATTCAATTGGCTGAAGTGGTTTGTTGTCAATTATGATCGGAATCGTCTCGATAGAAGCCATGTTGGGAAGCTTTCTGCCACACCATGCAAATCAAACACAGGAGGGTGTCTCATGAGGGGTTCTTAGCTTCTTGGTGTAATATACCGCAGATTCGCTTGTCACAATGGCCGGGCTGTGTTACTCCCTGCCACCGTCCAGATGCATCGGAGGCGTGTCTACTATCGAGCGTGGATGCCGTGTACAGAAGGGGGGCCTTGAGTCGGCGTTCTTCCTGTTTGGAACATTCGAATTGCCGCCGTCCAATTATGTACCATGGACCCCAGGACTCAAATGGCTGACTTCCTACCAAGTTCAATTGCGCATGGATTATAGCCCATTTTTCCCAACTCAGTTCAACAAAACAAATGTATGGAGATTATCAGCATGCTGAGCCACCCGATCATGCCGATGTCTTTCAATTATCATAGCCTGATCACATGCATGACCCCTTTTTCTCTCTTTCGTCCTATTTAGGGTGACCCTATGTGTTATGTTCTATGTAGAACACTAACACTAGGCCTCATTTCTAGAGATTAGGGAGCATTTGACTCCTAGTCTAATCACCATTTTCAACGGCTATAAATGGGCTTTTCATCCCCGCTCGGCAACCTTTTCCTCTTCGACGTTCTCCGGTTTGGTATTGAGTAGGGCCATTCTGTAGACGTTCCAAATTTTCTCTCTCGCTTTGATTAATGGTTATGCCCAACTGTGAAATTAAAGACGCCAAGATTACCCTTACTAGGCCCATTCAGTCCATGTACATGTCCTATTCAAATCCAGAGAATATCTCCACCTTTGCCTGATCAAACTCTCTCATGATTGTCTCAACCCTTTCCCCCGATCGTGGAGTTATCTTGGCTGGAAAGTCATTCGTACAGACTATGAACCCCTCGCTATATCCGGTCTCATAATTGAAATCCGGCTCAATGGTTTGGCCATTTGCATCAACGGCCTTCTCGAACGAGAAAGCCCATAGAAGTTTTGCCATTCCTATGAACAGATTCCGTTCGCCAAGATGAATTCCTGGACAAAGTCTTCGACCAACCCCTGTTCGAGCGCAATGGTGTCAGCCCACGCAGGTTCGAAAGATAAGGCAAGCGAATTCGTGACATTACTGTAAACTTACCGTAGTTATAGTGATCTCGAGACTCATATTCAGATGAAATGGCATACTCGGGCGCAAGCAGAGTGCGACCAGAAAAACGATCGGGGTCGAAACGGTCGGGGTCGGGATAGTATCTCTTGTCTTGGTGGAGACCCCACACGTTGAAGAAAACTATGCTGCCCCTGGGCAAGAACATACCTTCAAACCAGACATCTGTAGAATAATCGCATTAGATCATGGGCAGTGGCAAGGATTTCAAGGAGGGAAAAGCTGGGTGAGCAAACCTTCAGAGAGCGCATGAGGAACTCCAAGACCCCCTATAGGTCGCCATCTCATGGACTCTTTCACAACTTGGCTAACGTAAGGGAGTCTAGCATAGTCAGACCATGTGGGAGATCGATTTTCACCTATAATGGCATCGATTTCAGCCTGAGCTTTCCTTTGTATATCTGGAAAGCATGTCATGGCTTTCATAAAAGCGAGAATGCCTGAGGCAGTTGTATCGGAACCACCTTCCATGGCGATGCCCCCGAGGAAATATAGTTGATGTTTGGTGAGAGCCAGCTTTTCTTGCCGGTCAAGGATTCGGTCTATCACCGAATCACGGGGGCCCATCGACTGCCTTCTCTTTATGACGGTTTCGACGACGTCATGGTAGAGTGAGTCCATCTTCTTCTTGACCTCGGTTGCCCGAGTGACCCAATGGCCTAGGAAGCGTTCTGGGACCCATTTCAAGAAAGGATAGAAATCCACGGGAGGAGTGGCACCAATTTCCATGACCTTTGACCAGTGTTCCATAAGCTCATAGAGTCTAAGCATATGGTTCGTGTCCGTGGTGGGCGTTCGTATGCCGAACACTGGATTAAACATCATCCGCAATTAGCCTATCCAGTCACACATCAATGATTTTGGAGGGATAGAATAATTTCGTGCGTACCTATACTCATGACGATGCTATTACTGAAGCGCTTCGGATGCTGCATAAAGTTTTCTGGGTCGGCAGAAATCGCTTAGACATAGACTGTGAAACTTACTTAAAGTGTGCTCCTTTCTTTGGTATTTGATGAACGTTTCCCAAAATCGGCAATGTGGGTGGTCCTAGAGAGTCGTTTAGCTGGTGCTTACCCCTTCAGGAGCAAAGACAGCGGTCATTCAGACACGCTTACCTGGTGGATAATGTCTGCCTCGACTGCCAACAAAGAGGAGGGTGTACACAATGAGACTAAGGACAGAGATAGCCGCACTGGCTGAAAGTATCGTGATCATGGCGGAGGCTCAGCTTTGGACATGTGGTCGATTGCGATAGTTTAGCGCTTTGGCGGGAATTGGGGAATACTTTGAATAAGTATTCCTGACATTGACTCCCCTTTCGAGTGTCTCGGTGATATGAGTCTATCTGGATCAAGGAATGGTCTCGGGGACAAGGATTGACAAAGTGGGTACGGCAATGCTGGGGCAAGAAATGCCTGCAGAAAGAGGGCACGGGAATGGTGGGTAGGCTACTCGGCATTCGTTTATCTTACGGCTGCCGGCATCGCTGGCCAGTCTATTCGGCAGCCCGGTATCAGACAGACACGGAGGGAGACCCTGTCATGCTACCAAACAATGAAACGAAGGGTTATTTGAATCAGCGGAAGGTTTGAGTGGATGATCATCTCTCGCTTCTCAGTACTAAAATGGCCAGCCCCCGCTTGAGCTTCAAAAGCAGTCGCCCACCGATGGGACCTGGTCAGCGACTTCTTCTGGGGACCGAATACTCGTACTATCCAAGGGCTCAACACGAAGCAAGGGTGACTTGCGTCGTCATAACCCCGCAGAATTGAGATATGGGGGCCGGTAGCTAGACCTGGTTCCTCGTTGGGACATGTGTCGTACTTTGGTTTTATTCCTCCACCGAATATTCTTTAAACTTTGTATCTTGGATGGTTCATTCGATCCATGTGCTGATGTTTCATTCTGGATCACATCTCACACAGTGAAGGATATTACCTCGTCAACCAAGGATCTGCCAAAGTCACAAGTGTGCTCCAGCGATGGTCCACAGAAAGAGGGCTCCATCCGAACTACCCGCATCAAACTTCTCAACGGTGAACAGAGCTTGTCAAGGATGTAATAGGTAGTGCTAAGCCTCCTTGATCTCATGCCTACCGAAGCACAAAGTTTTGACAGTATTATTCTTCAGGAAGAAAGTGAAATGTGATATGCACCGCCCCTCCTGTGGCTTATGCCAGAGAGTGAATACCCCTTGCTTGTTTCCCATCAGACAAAAACCTACACATTGCCGTGGAAGACCTACCACCAAGTCCTCGAAACGAGACAAATTGCTATTGAATTCTGAGATTTATGGCCCTGCCAGTTAGTTTCAAGCTCACAAGGCGTTGTGTACCGTACTAATCAAACTATTGCCTCTCTCATTCAAGTTATAGATTCGAACGCTCCATCTGAAGGGCCTATCAACACCTCTATCAGTGAGTTAGAACCTTTACCCTGTCGCAAGGCTTCATCTTCTCACAAAACTAGCTCGAGCCTCTAAGACTCAAATCAACAGCCTCACCAACTGGACCCAAGATTCAGCTGTCAACGGATTCCAAGAACACCTTGAAAATACAGCCACAAACTCTCTGCTCACTCACCAGGAGGAGCAAAATATGATGAGCCCATACGATGCACCACAGCTATCCATGAACAATCTGGTACCTTCTGTGTCGAAAATTGGGAACGACGTGCTTCATACCGAAACTGAACCTACTTTCAACGGCTGGGATATTCCGGACGAAGTGGCACTTGAATTGTAGGTATCCCTGACAAGCTGCGTTCCAACGGGGTTTCCATTCCAGGAGTCTGACGACTCCTGACAGGATCGATATTTTCTTCTCGAAAATTCAACCAATACTACCCATTATGCATCGACCACTTTTCTATGATAGATTCACCCAACTTGAGGAACAAACTCGGAGACTTGTAAGTAGGAGGGAGAGCAGCCAGGATGCTGCATTCATGATAGAAGGGATCTTTGCACTTACAGCAAGGTTTTCGAAAGCCGCAATTTTCCACAACTCCCTAGTACTTGATCGAGGTCAAGTTTTTGCAAACAAAGCAGCAGCTATCAAGGACGACATCATTAAAACGATTGAAGAACCCACACTAGATTTTGTCAAGGGTTGCACTATACTCGCGTTCTATTACGTTGTCTCGGGAAGGCTAACAGCCGGATCATTACTTACTAGTGTTTGCGTACGCTTTGCGTACGACCTTGGGCTAGATAAAGTCGATGAAGACCAATCGCTTGATGACAGGACGTATGGAGGAGAAGAAGCTGGCTATTCAGATGCTTGGCTTCGCAGAGAAGAGCTTCGAAGACTCTGGTGGAGTATCTGGGACCTTGACACCTTTGTGGCCACTCTTTCTCGTCAACCCTACGCGATCGAGAGAGGAGGGATGAAAGTCCTTCTGCCGGTTTCCGACCAACAATGGTTCTCTGGAGTTCCAATAAGATCATCTCTCCTCGAAGGCGAACCACTTAACCTGTGGCGAAGCCTTCAGGGGTCACCAAACCGGAATCCTCGGGCTTGGTATCTAGTAAGCAACTATCTCATGTCTTGTATTGCCGTGGCTGGTCGCAAGCAGCCCCGAATCTCAGCTGTCAAAAAATTAGAATTGGAGAGCGCACTTTGCTGCCTCAAACTGGCCTTGCCTGCGAGTTTCCAGCTTCGATCTCTTTATCTGGACGATCAGACCTCTGTCGATGGCAATTGGATAATCTCCACACATTTGATGATCATCGCGTAAGTTTTCACGATGTCAACCTTCCCATGAGCTGACAAGTGCAGGTGTGAAACTATACTTGGAAGGCTCACGTCCGTTCAGCCTGGGGAGGACGACAACTCCGTGGCTGATCAGAGTGACGAGTCGGCAGCGGCACGTACCAGAGCATATCTGGTGCAAATCGGACAAGTGTGGCCCCCTGAATATATACCATTGAGCAACCCAATTATGTCCTGCTGCGTGATCATTCCAGGGAGCCTTCAAGTCCAACCACCTGACCCTTTTCCACACTGCCACGAAGTTTCCGAACTGATTTTAACGCACTATTCGAGATATTGGCAGCTGGGTCAACGAGGACTGCGTGAGACTTTCCAAAATCACCCCAAAACATTGTGAAAATAAGGCCTGACAGAAGACTTCTTCTAGGCGTTCTTGCAACCATTCGGCAAGGCTTGCATCTACAGCCGGGCGAATCCGGACCTAAGGAGCGAGAGTTGATGAAAAGGTTCTCGATTCTCTTGCCACCTAGTAAATGTAAAGTGGCATCTCAAGGGCCGCCACCTAATGCTAGTCTCCAGCACGAGAACACTCGACACCTTGAAAGACACCCGGAAAGCTGGTCGAGCCCTGAGTTGGACGAATCCTACTGTTCAGACTTGTTCCACTGGCCCCTGGAGGCATGGACCACCAGTTTTGGCGGGTTTGAGTCTGGAGAAGTGGCTTGACACACGCAAGGCTTTTGATAAGCTTTCTGCACCAAAAATCGAATGGATTGGCAAGCAGGGGCCTAACATTTAGAACTAAGCAGAAAAGGGGCCATGATTACACTTTCTCTATAGCACGGAGTCACATTCACAATCTCTATCCGCTGAGCTGAGTCAAGGACTTGAGGCGGTGTACGGACTTGAACGAAGTCTACTAGGAGATTGCCATATGGAGCGGATCACAGAGACTACCTATAGTGTACAGGGCCGTGAAAACAGACAGGTTGGGCACGAGTTGGTTGGGAAGGGGGACAAGAATATATATGTACACTCAAATAAGAGAAACTACGGATGCCTGAAGATAGAAGCCAATGGCAAGTGCTCTCGACCTGCTCTCATTGCTACTCCAATAGCGTCAACTATCCCACGGAGGGCTCCCGCACCCCAAATTGCGTCCCATGTACAAGATATTCTAGGCGAGAGCCCGGATAACCATTGCCATGAGACGCCAGCCTCAGTATACGCCGAGACTGTTCAAAGTCTGGAAGGTAGCGACTTCCAATGGGAGCCACGGCTTCCCACAGACGCAGTCAAAACCGAAGTCAGAATTGCGACCATTCAACATATCACTCTTCTGAATTCTGATCCAGCCCTACGAGAGTTCCTGGTCCATAACCCGTGATATCTTGTACACCGCCCTCCAAAGAAGAGGCTGTACTTCTTCTCGATTACTATAGAGAACATCGCGAAGATCTCCATCATATTCTGCACTTCCCAACCGTGCAAGAGCACTTGAACACTTGCTATACTGACTTGACGGCGGGTCAACCTGTCAATGTCAGTGTTTTCGTTTTACTTTTGAGCATATTTGCCAGCGCATTTGTTCTGATGTCACGCCAAGGTTGGAAAAACCCCCTCCCTTCTTCACAATCCGATAGCATTCGGTTATCGACGTACTGGGCTGGCTGCGCTCTCGACATCATGAAGTACCATCATAATAAGCCATGTGACATGTTCGAGGATATCCAGGCGACGATTCTTCTAGGCTTTTTCCTTTTAAATGTCGAGGGGTTTTCTGCCAGATTACATTCGTACTTGATCGTTATTGTTTCTAGAGTACGAGATCTCTCGCTACACAACGTTGATACTAAAGGATCCTCGAAGCCTCGAGGTCCACTAGATACTGAAATTAAGCGTAGAGTTTGGTGGCACATCGTTACAACGGACTGGTAATCTATCTGTTGCTTCCATATCATTGCAATCAATCTAACGAAGATCTCAAGGATTCTCTCGCTCCCTGTAGGCGCGCAAGAAGGTACGTATTCTGTGCAGCCACGACAGATGGCAGTCAACGTCCCTTCCAACATCGATGATGAAGACCTGAACCATACCTATCCTCCAATAAACCGTCCTCTTTCTGAACCAACAGCAATATCAAATTTTTTTACAGCGCATTGAACTCGCGGAGTTATGTTGCGAGGTCGTCAACCTGATACCCGTCTCTATGTGTGACATCTCAACCATCGACTATCAGCAAGTGATCGCTTTGGATCAACGATTTGAAGGTTTCTTTCAAGAGCTGCCTGTTTCCCTCCGGAATGACAAGCAAAGTATCCAGCAAAGCGAGCAAGTCATAGCTCGGTATCCACAAGTTCGAATACAACGTCAACTTCTGTCGATGCTTGCAAAGACCAGGCAGGCGTTGCAAATTGCACCAACCTGTCCTCATCCGTGGATCTGTGAACGTGCGGTACGCTTTCTCACGCACCATATCACTGGAATCTGCGCGTGCGCTGCTTGAGGAAAGACGAGGCGTCATTACCAGCCATCCTCAAAGACCGCTACAAACTCGGCGGCAATACGGGTTATCGTGTGTATGGCCACCATTGTCCTAGTCATGGATCTGTGCTTCAACAAGAAATCTCTCTGCGACAACAGCAGCAGTGACGACATTGATAATGATGATGATGAGACCGAGTGACAAAGGCCGAGGTCATAGAAGCCTGCCGCACCCTCTATCAAGACCAAAGCGCACCTGGCCTGGGCACCGCATATCTCGCTTCGCTGCTGGATGTGCTGAGGAAATACAAAGTCAAACTTCGTCCACCTGGAATTGTGGGCATTAAGAATAATGCAAGGATTCAGCTCAATACCACCACTAACGCATCTTATCAAACACCAAATCTTCGCGATCGACTGCCGTCCTACGCCGCCGCAGCCTCCACCCAGAACATGACTCAAGTGACATCAATTCCAGTTCCGCCTGCGTCATGTCGCTCCCACCATCAACAACAATAATAAAACAAGCAACTTCGACACTGATCCATCTCCTAGCATCAACCTCAGTCCCAAAACCTATACCAAGCAACTCCCGGATAACGATGACCGGGTTGTAGGATCAGCCGTGCCCACTGAAACGGAGGGCTACCTTGCCGACTTCGATGATATCTGGAATGACTATGTCGACATGAATCCCAATCTCGACATGCCATATTGGGATAGTCTGTTCTCCGACTTGGACCCAGGAATGGATTGACAAGGGTGCCTAGGACCGAATTACTGGTGAACTGGATGATTCTGGGGAAGTCTGCATGGAGAAAAGAGTCGTGGTAGTCGAGGAACAGGGCGCTAGAATAGAAACATCAATTGTAACACTATCAATCATTTCGTGGTAGCAAGGCTGATTAAATTCAATCACACAATTGGAGGAGAGAATACTAAAGCACCCCCCCCACCCCCCCACAAGTGTGAGAGCGATGCCTCAGTTTATAAATTATAAAACACGGTTCACGAGAAATTAATCTTGTAGAAATGACTATCCATGGGCTTTGTAAGAATTTACACATCTCAGGTGCTAGTTTACAACCGATGGCTCCTATAATTCCTCAGCTGTTTCCCTTGGTAGCTTTCTTCAATAGGTGCTTCAGCTCGTCGTAGACACCCTGCGCCTTGCCACTGACAACCTCTTGAACATAGCTTTCGTATGAGGTAAAGTCAACATCTGGATACAGTTTCTTTCCGTCCAGGTAACCTAGATACCTGGCAAATTCGGGCGTGTTCTCTCCACGTATCCCCCAAGACAGGCTATACTGGGCACCGAGCTTCTCGGCCCTAGCCACAAAATCTGTCGGGGTTTGTTCCAGCCTTGCGTCCGCCTCCACAATTTGCTGCTCGTAATCTTTAGCATAAGAATATTTTCGAGGAACCTTTTCTCCAGACACTTTCTCGAGCAAATCATAAATCTGATTCACAGTCCACAACTCATTGTAAACGAAAACCATTTGGTTCAGAGTCCGCTCGTCTTTGATTACGTGTGCAATATATTTACCGACATCTCTGAGATCCGTCAGAGCTGTTAGTGTGTTGCCATCGCCAGGTATGCTTCGGACGGGGATACCAAGGGCGTAGTCGATTTTTCCGGACGGAAGCTCTGGTAGCGAGATCTGATACCACAATCCAACGTCGATGATGGTGTAGGGAAGATGTAGGCGCTTGACAAGATTGTAAACCTCCTCCTTCTGATCCCTTGATTGATTTACACCAACAGGCATCACTGTCGAGTAGCCACATGGGATGAAGCGTTTTACGCCAGCCGTCTTAGCTGCGGTAGCAAGTGGAAGCTGCGCCAGCTGATCTCGTGGTCCGATGGCAGATATCAAAATAGCAATGTCTTTGAGTGCCATCACCATAGCAGCCTTAGGACCCTCCAAGTCCAGAGCACGCAATTGTATCCCCTTATCCCTAAGAGCGACATTGGCCGGCTTGGACAAGGACTCTGGACGGGCAAAGGCAACAATATCCTACCAGAGAATTAACCATGTAGCAAGGGTGGTTGATGATACAGATAGATAAGATGCCTTACAAAATTTGCATCTGCAGTAAGACCCTTCAGAATTGAAGAGCCTGTCTCTCCAGACGCACCTAATAAGCCGACAATTCTTCGTGCCATTGGGTTGGATTGCGTTATCGCTCGTGGCAATCAAGGTATTTTTGCGTCAGCAGGTTAGACTGCTAGCAATTACCATTTATTAATGCTGGTATGATATTTTCTGGAAACTGAATGTGGTCACAGCCTCGCAGGATATTTATTGTGTAAATCATACTCGTGCTGCTGGTGAAGTGATCCACTCTCGTGATACCTGATAAGACAATTGCTATAGCACTAATGTTTATTGCTAATCACAAGGCTCATACTGACATGTGTGGAAACATCATTCAGACAAATACTAATGGCAATTTGTTGAATGAAACACCGGACTTGCCGATAAAAGTGGAGACAAGAAAGTCCGTGGAGTTTCCGGCGCGGGTACATGTCCCTCCGGCGGTGGGATTCAAACCCGTTGTTCTCACGTGTATCCAAAGCAGAGCAATTACAGTGTATAACAGTCCGTTGTGCCATCTTCTAAAAGAAGGAGCTAAGCCTGTACACAGTTCATCAGTTGCATCACCGCTCGCAACCATGTCTTGGCTCTTCTCAAAGCGACGAGTATTCGCTTGAGCAACAAGGACAAATCGACCATTGCCACCAATTCATAGAACAGGCGTTTGGGTCGAACGGGGAGATATATATATATATGAAGTCTCGCGCGGAGCATTGATGGGACGCTTCCCATTCATCCTCTACGATCCGAAGACATCCTAAGCATTGATGGACCTCCTCCTCGGGATTGCCAAGTTGGGGTTTCCACTCGATGCTCGTAACACGACAGTCTTGACCATGGGGGCAAGATTCTAAGTTGGCTTTCAACTCTATAGTCATGTTGCGGCATCTATAAAGGATGGTGTGCTTTCTATAGAGCAGGCGGAAACACTTCGGACGGGAAAGAAGCCGGCAGACCTAAACGAGAGGTGTAGCGTGGTATAAGTTGCAACGGCATACTGGTTAAACACACCTGGTCCTCTTCCGCAGGGCCACTGGGAACTGGGACATATTGATGGTAACCTTTGGGAAGGAAGGGAAGGAAGCTTTTGTACATCATGTTGGGTTGTATTGTTATGTCTGCATGATTTTGAATTCGACCGACGCTCCTGTCCCTGAATAGGTGCTACGAGATTACATCAGAGACGGCAAGGTAAGCCTATAAGTTCTGGATGAAAGTATAATATCCAGTTCCGTAGTTTCCTAAGCGCGAGAAGATCACAATTAGTAAATGGCGCTAGTACGGTTACTTTTGCTCTAATTAAGGACTATGATCTACGAAATCTAGTATGTTACTTGGTACTGCAGGTTTAACAGGAGCAACGGTTTACTTGCCTTCGAAATGGGTCGCTTTCGCCCTTGTCGCTTATAGCCTAGAACTATTTCAAGTTGTGGGAAATCCGCGAGTACACAGTGCTTCAATTTCTGCCACGTCTCGGATACACTGCTCGTACATTTGAAGGAGTGGAGGTGTACCCCACTAAGCATCAATTCAGCAAATGACATGGTTTGGCGAGCAACGCTAGCGCGCTATAGTGATAGATTATGGTAGCTGTTGGCGCCAATGATCTAGCGCGTACTAACTCATGCAATACGTGAGGCGCTAACAAATATGGTTACTAACTCTGTGAGTAACTCCGTTGATTCCTGTCATAAAATTGCCATTGTATCAGCATTTGCAATGCTTGAAAATTAATGAGTGATTTGAAAGCATGGAAACAAGGGCTCACGGAGATCAAATGCCTCATAAATTTGTATATAAACAAGAACAGAGTCCATAGGATTGAAAGAGATAGAGATCTCATACATGCCCGAGTGCTTGCCAAAAGCAGCGTAGTTAAGTCTGCCAACAGTAGCCCCGCTAACTAGATAGGGGCACGATCGGACGGGGTGGCTGATACCTGTCCGTGCTTTAATAAACTCGCTCTTGCCGGGTATCCACTGGCTGCTTGCCAGCCTCTATCAGCACCTTGAATGTCTTATATATAGAATGGCCGGGGGCAGGCTTTCCTTGTTAGGCATAAGTATAACCTACGCTTATTTTCGTGCAAAGAGGACGGCAAATCCCTTTTACCTGATCGATATTCTTGTATGCGCGAGTCTAGTTAATGGCACTATTCAGTCCCCCCTACCGGACTAGCTACTGCTATTTGCCATTAGTGCGCAGGTGCTACGGGTCCCGATAATGTATATATAGATTTGTCTTTAGGCAAGAGGGCTTTGTGTGGGAACTCCACGTAACCCTTCCCAGCCACAAATGTGATCTGCTATGGTAGCTGGGCGGCGGTCCTATCGGCTAGTGATAGAAGGATGTCTGCATGTTCCTGCATCCTTGCGCCCGTGAGCATGGGTGTTCCGTCCGCATTCCTTTCATCAACAAAGAAGAACCGGGTATTCTGGTCTCGATAGAGCTGATCACCGAGTTCAACCATATGCGCCGGAGCTATCTTTCCCGTACCCAGGGTCAGAAATCCTGACACTGGTCCTTCGTTCAGAATGTTGCCCGTATAGATAAAAGTCTTCGGAATAGAGCGGGGGAGTGCCTGGAAGCTAATTATTGCTTTATGTGCAGCCGCATAAGCCGAAGTGGTATTAATGGCCAGATCGTTTGAGAAGTCTTGGATGGAGATGGAAAAGCTTTTCCTCTGGAGTCGTAGGGTGCCAACCAAACGCTTCTCCCCATTAATATATAGACACAAGGTTATAGACACCGTTATACCCACGACCGTAAATGACCACATTTGGCTTACCCTTTGTCTTGCATACTTTACTTTGAAGCCCTTCGATCTGAAGATTTCAACAGCGTACGCACTGATTCTTTTCCTAGCACTAAAAGGGATGGCGATCTGTGCAGCGATGTTGCATTGTGATGGTCTTGACGAGAGGATTATACACGGGTGCCTCCCAACATTTATAGTCGGGTTGCTCAGTAAAGTTAGATGCTTGGTACTTAGTGAAGCAGCTAGCAACAAAATTCGAGACGATGATTTGGGAACCCGGAGACAGCTCTACAGAGTTTCCGGTGCCCTGTCTTAGGTATGATTTCAACTTCCGAAGTTGCCGAATGAGTAAAGAGAAGTTAGTATTTTAGTCCGGGGTTTAAAAAGTCCATGGATGTAGATCAACTCCATGCAGACAACGTGGAGTCGGAATTTTAAGAATTAACTGCGTATAACTATCCTCACGTGCTTGACACAATGCATAACACAGCTTCCGCCCGCGAGATCCGGGCAGGACATAAGTTCAAACATCTCTTCCGGTAGTCTCTGGTCATTATTTCATATTGAGTAATATTAAATAGTATCTATCCAAGATTAGCCTGAGAGCAAGGTCAACAAACAGTAAGGAGGCCGAGCAGATCCTGGGATTCGTGAATCGGTTCTTGTAGGCTTACAACGACGTCGATATTAAACAATCGAAGAACTTATATTTGAAGACTTGTACTGGGAGTGCCACGGCGGGGTTAAAGGCTAGGGGAAAGACAACCTTCTGGAATAGATTTAGAACCTCAGCGAGATGGTACCCGGTCGATATTCCGCTGGACCCATAAGGTGGGCTGTTAATGGGAACATCATCTTCATCGAGCATAAACTGCATGGCACTGCCGTGGTGGATGTGCAGATTTTTGGGTGGAAGGCGGGCGAAGTGATTACGTTAGATTGCTGTAGCCTCCTAGTATTGAAATATAGCAGGATTGTTGAGTGGAGCGACGACGCTTAAAAGCAGAATACGAGTAGGTGTAGAGCCATGGGATTCAGCCTCGCAGCTGGTGGGACAACTCGATTGACCGAAATTGCACTGTAATGTCGTTCGTCGAACAAATTGGTCATTTCTCTATTTAGGTTATTGACTTGAGTAATGTTTTGACTCTTATCACAGCTCTACCATGATTAGATATTGTATTCCGGTGTACTCGAACGCTCCTTAAAGAGTGCATCCCTAGGCCTAGAAAACGGGTTTCCGCCACTGGCTACAATAATCGCCCCTGCACCCATTGCCCTAGAATCGAGTTGCCTAACTTAGGCATTCTCAGGTGTTCCTAGCCTCTTTATCGAGTTGAACCTAAAACTTAATTTAACGACGACAAGGTCCTCGCTAATAGGCCTCTATCATACAGTATATCAGAGCTAAGAAGTACCTCGTCTCTTCCACGGGTTATGCCACTGTAATTTTTATGTTATGGTATCGTATTATGTGGCATGAACGACTATACATGATATATCGAAAAAAATACCGCGGAATCCGAAGTTCGGACTGTCCTGTGCCGGCTACTGATGCTTCAATTTCTACATCAAGACATCTGTAGCGACGAAACCCCAGCTTTTAATTCTGCATTACAGATCTGGAGATAGGAAGGCACTCCACCGAACCAGAACAAGGGATTGACGGGTTTGCCTGGTATGTTTGCCCCAATATACCATGAGCCAGGTTTCTTCGCAGTTGCTGGCAAGATGGTCATCTCAAACACATTACTGAGCAATTTACCTCATTTACCCATTGCTCCCCCTTTAGGCTCTAGGATCTTATAACTCTTCTTTTGCATGTATCCTATACACTGGCCGATCCAGTCCGCGTTGCTATCAAGTACGACGGGAAAATTTCCTTGATCGGGTTGTTTTGACATCAATCAGAATGACGTGAGGTCTAATGCAGATGAGTGGTTAGCGGGTATCGAGCAGTCATCAACCTATCTCACGCCGTAGACCAAAGCGCTAGGGCCCAGGAGCACACGTTTTCCACGACTGAGGATTGAAAAACTAAGAAGGAGGTCTTATTAAATCTAATTCCATAGGATGAGCTGTCAGCAACGATTTCAATGGAGTTTCCAACGAGGTTATACATACGTTTCGAAATAGTGATGACCCAGGGGTGGCCTCTTGGCCATTATAGGTGGTTAGGATACAATAGTTCGGCCTTCTTCTCATCCTTGACAATTGCACGATTCCTATTTCGGACGAATTCAGGAGCGATGTGGTTTGCTTCTTCGCTGTTTGTTAAGTCGGCGAACCTATCGAATATGAAACGAGACCCGCCGGTTTCCGCTCCATTTTCCAGAACTCGTTAGATCGCAGTTTCGTCCTTCGTGTCCTTTATGGTTAGCTTTGAATCGGTAAATACCATACCAAACATTTCACTTCTTGCGGACTCCCAAATAGCATCGTAATTCCTTTTGATCTCATTCTGCTGATCAGTAGCCGGAGGATGATTCCGTCCTGGAAGCACATAATTTGGAGTTCTCTGGAAGACTGTGATAGATGCCGCTGAGTGAGCAACTATTGATATAACCTGCATAGAAGTGGCTCTCGTTCCGATGATGCCGACTCGTTTTCCAGTGAAATCGACTTTGTCGTCGGGCTAAACATAAGTTAGATATGATTCGCCTTCGGAAACTTCCACGCCAGGAAAAGGGAGATCTCGGCCCACGGACAGAACACCAGTTGCACTGATAAAGTATCTGCTGGTGTAATCAACGCCCGGCTTAGTGTTGATGTTCCAAAGGCTCGTATTCCTGTCCCAGGTTGCGGACTTCACCCGTGTCTTAAATTGGATATCTTCGCGCATATATGAAATCGGTCTGCGACATGATTGAGATGCTCGAGCATCTCGGGCTGGGTAGGAGATCGTTCTTTCCACGTCCAGTCATCGTTCAGCTCCTTGGAAAGGTTGAGTATGTAGATCCAGCTCTTACTGTCAGTGCGTGCACCTGGGCTGAACAAAGAGGGTAATATGAATATATGTTGATTATCGCGAGGTTTCTTGTATTAGCTTACTATCAATTCCAGTACCTTTGAGCATATAACTAGCAGTGTTGAAGCGTCTCTCCACTGGAAACTGGAATACTTACCACGTCCCACCGACACCATCTCCTGCCTCAAGCATTCTGAAGGAGAGACCAAGTTTTCGTAGCTCAACTATAATTCGGAGTCCGGCAAACCCAGCACCTAATAGTATTGCATCGTAGTCAGGTTTCCCTCCCTCGCAATCCCCTCTGATCCCGTGACTTTGAGCAACAATGTCGGCAACATTGAACCTAGCGACCAAGGTTGTGAGAGTAATGATTTCCTTTGAACCTCAACCGCGTCAGTACTGATGTTCTAATAAGGAACACTATATGTCTGACTCTAGTGGGAGCGCCTGCCTGTAAAAGCCGAGACGGTGAAATCCGGGATGTCTCCGGTACATGCTAGCATCTAAGTATCTCCGGCAGTGGAATTCAATGGTTTAGTATGGCTAGTTGGATAGAATAGATGTGGTTTGGAAGCTCCATGAGACTCACCCTCCCAGGTTTGATGGGCAATTTCGGAGTTTCCGCAAACCAACAGCATACAATGAGACTCCAAACGTCTTTCCATCATGTATACAGCGGCGTCTCCGAGATCTGGGCAATACATAAAATCCAACCATCAGTGTTTGGTTTCCTCGTTCGATTAGACGCGTGATGACAGCGTAGTGCGACCTTTGTGTGAAACCAGTTTGATTGATTTCTGCTCCAACTTGTCAGTTGTTTGCACCCACACCCGAATCAAGTTTGTCCACTCATGCTATGGTGTCTGATAGCAACATTCTCTCTGCCGGCGAGCAGGCTGACTACTCGAAGACGGGATCCTCAGGGTACAACATCGATCAGAACGTCAGCTAGACGGATCCTCAAAATCGCAAGCTGCGCGTTCTGACAATTGATGGTGTGGTCACAGGCATATCGATGGCATACCAGATCCAGAAACATACCAGTGACGTCGAGCACGTCACATTCGAAAAGAACGAAGACATGGGGCGGTGCGTATTGTATTCACTCATCTTCGTGGCTTCATGCGCTAGCAAGGTGATAGGAACGTGGTTGGAAACGAGGTATCCTGGTGAGGATGTTCACGAGAATATGGTGGTGAATCCCAGACACCAAACCCGCGGACTGTCGGTAGGTTGTGCCAGTGAATAATCAAAATTTGATATTCCCGAAAGGCCGAGTTTATCAAGGATAAGAGGCTCTTGGACGGCTTCACCCCGAAGTTCGGATTAGGCTGCCGGCGAGGAACACCAGGGGATTTATATATGGTAGCCATCCAGGAGCAGAAGGAAGATGTGCACTTCACGCCAGTCGAGAGCTGCACGGAGGACGGCGTTGTGGGGGGAGACGGTATTGAGCGCAAGGTGGACACGATTGTGGTGTGCCACTGGAGTATTTGATGTCTCCTAGCGACATCAGTTTTCTACTGTTGGGAAGGGCGGAGTTGATTCGAAAGATAAGTGGAAGATTTGGCCCGAGTCATATCTTGGCCTGGCCATGCTTCAATTTCCCAACTTTATGATCTTCAGTGGACCGACATGGCCGGTGGAGAACGGATCTGTGATTGGGTCGCTGCACAGAGTGTCGGACTACGCACTGCAACTTATCAAGAAGATGCAGAACGAAAACATCCATAGCTGGACGCCGCGGCAAGACATCGTGAGCTTGACTTGTACAAATCTCTCCACGGTTATGGCCAGCTGATGAGACCCGCAGACTGAACCGCTTTCATGAGCACGCCCAAGAATGGATCAATCACACTGTCTGGAAAGACAACTGCAACAGTTGGTACAGGAACAACGAGACCGGCCAAGTCAACGCAGTTTGGCCTGGCTCCAGTATGCCCTACCAGCAAGTCATCGAGCAGCGGCGCTACGAAGACCTTGAGATCGAATACTTCTTCAAGCTCCTCTGAGCGCAATTAGGCATGGGCTGGACTATGGAGAACAGGAAAGGACCGGTTGGCTCGGGTTGCAGCCCGTATTTGAGCCTGAATAATGTAGATCCGAAGTGGTATGCGGCCATTGGTGGCGAGGTGGCAGAGTTGATACGGCAGGTCAACGGAGGCGAATATATGTCAATGGGGTGCACTTATCCGAATAGCATAAGCTGGCGGAATAACAATGAAAAGCGCGTAAACCACGCACGCCTTCCCTAGCCGGACCTGACTTTCCCTTGTTGAATCGTTGGTTTACCTAAGGACAGTAGGACTGTTCCACCAATAGAAGCGCCTTGTGTAATTTCCTCTCATGGGGGCAGAGGTATCTGCTGAGCATCGTGGCTTCGCAGGATAAGTAAAGCATGTGCGTATCTATAGTACATAAATGAAGATAGAGTACGGAGTACATAGGCGATAGAAGGTTTGTCACGGGGTGTGGATTCGGCGATGCTGCTCCAAGGGAGCTAGCCGTCTTGGCAGAATGAAACGTGACTTTGGCCTTGGCAGTGGCAGTGGAATAGGCACATTAGGCTTAGGGGCTTTCGGGCGGTCGATCCAACCCCTGTGACTGCTATGACTCTATGAGGGACACCCAGGGGACTCCTCGCCCATCCTTTAGGGGCTGCCTGTCTCTGTGCCAGTTACTGCGAGCCTAGAACTGCTTAATTACGTGCCGCCGCCAGACTTTTGTGGTTGTAACATTTAGTGTGGGGTGTGCCAACAAACAACAACCTTGAAGTCTTCACTTTATTCCATTCATTCCCATTCCCGGTACACACTGCCATTCCTGAGATCGCAGTGCACTCAGCTTATCTTTTTTGACCTTTCGTCTACACTAGCGCTCTTCTTCCTTCCTCTCTCCCTCCCTTCTCTGCGGCACCCTACAACAATGTCGGACGCCACCGAAACCAAGCCAACGCCCTCCGCTGACCAAACCGCCTCTGGGGACCTTAGACCTGCTCAACATGAAACAAATCTAGTCCAGAACCCTTTGGGAAATCCCTCTTCAGAAGCTCCCAACGACTCTGCTTCTATTACTGAGACCGCTACCGCAGCCGCTACCGGCGTTAAGGACTCCGTCTTCTCCATGTTCGGAGGTGGCGCAAAGAAGGAGAAAAAGGTTGAGGATGATGATGATGATGCAAAGGATGAGCCTAGTGGCAGCAGCAAGGCTAAGAAAGATGACGACGATGTAAGGAATGCCTAATAAACCTTTGTGCGTGGGCGCCACTGACGAGATTGGTGATTCCAGGACAAGGCCGAGGAGGAGGAAGCCGATGTTGAGTTCGTGCCTGTTGTCCGCCTGACCGAAAAGGTCGACACCAAGACCAACGAGGAGGCTGAGGAGCAAGTCTTCAAGATGCGCGCTAAGCTATTCAAGTTCGACCGTGACTCAAGAGAATGGAAGGAAAGAGGTACTGGTGATGTTCGACTGCTCAAGCACAAGGAAAATGGCAAGACGAGATTGGTCATGAGACGTGACAAGACTCTTAAAGTCTGTGCCAATCACTACGGTACGTTTTTGATTGGGTGCATTTATGTTGTATCTGTGTGCTGACCTTATTTCACAGTCACTCCGGATATGAAGCTCTCCCCGAATGTGGGCAGCGATCGCAGCTGGGTATGGAATGTTGCAGCAGATGTTAGCGAGGGTGAACCAGAGGCCCAAACGCTAGCTATCCGTTTCGGAAACAGTGAGAGTAAGTTGCTCTCTGGCCTGATCTTGGGGCGGAAAATGCATACTGACGAAGACTAGATGCCAACCTCTTTAAAGAGGCTTTCATCAAGGCACAACAGGAGAACGAAGCATTATTTAGCAAAGCATAAAGCGAGAGCATAAAGAACACAATGCAAGCAGGCCACGTGCATGGAAATCATTTTTGACGAGTCCGCACTGATGTTTCAATTGGCAGATGAGTCGATGAGCAGATGAGCAGATGATGATGGACAGCGATTCAGAACCAGGAGATGCATTGGTCAGAGAGCGTCTGACAGTCAAGCCCATACCCCCAAATTAGATAGAGATCGACTTATTGACTTGCAGATCTCAATTATCACTTCAAACTGGCTGACCCTGAATCAATCCCTTGAGTGGTTTTGAGTGTTCCTGACGCTAGGCCTGATTGGGCTCTATATAGATCAATGCCAAGGCTGCACTGTTCGAGTTCGGCAAAGTTGCCCTCCCGGTCCCCCGCAGTCGAAGACTCAGGCGCGGAACCCAAGCCTGTCACTGGCAACTGCGTCGCGCATCTGCGACTTTCCATCCTCGCCTCACACAGTCCTGCAAGAGCAATACAAAACTCGCTCAGAACTCTTTAGTTGCTTTACCAATATCATCTGGCTTTTTCCCCTCTAGGGAGGCGCGCAATCGCGAGTGTCAGGACTCACTTTCACGTTCCTTACTTTTACTCACTTCTCCCCACCTCCACCACCTGTCGCAACGTGCGACTGAACCGATCTCAACAGCCCTCTCCATCCTCCACCGTTCATCTGTGTTAGTCTGACTCGGCCACACCATTCGCCCAACATGCCGGACGTAAGTGCCCTTTTTGCCCACCAGCTCTACACAATTTCTGTCTTAACAACCACTACAGGTCAAGCGTTCCATCAAAATCATTACCGAGCAAAAGGTCATGTACGTCGTTCTTCCGTCGTTCTGTTCCCTTCGCGTATTTTCGGCTTAGATCGGCTGTTCTTGTTTGATTTCCTTTAAATTCCTCTCTGCGCGACATCTTTACCTAATTCGGACAGCCACTTACGTTAAATCTGCAGTCCTGGTGCGGACAGTGGAGTTGAAGGCTTCCCCCTTCGTCACTGGTCTATGAAAATCGTTCTTCTACATGCAGATACAAAGCAAGAGATCGACGCAGACGTCTTTGATTCCGTCACATACAATCTCCATGAGTCTTTCGGTCCCAAGGCAAAGCAGAGTAAGTTGCGCGCACTTGCGTCCCAAAAAAACCATTTAACAAGCCCCTCCAGTCTTAAAGAAACCCCCATTCCGTGTGGCAGAGGATGGTTGGGGTGAATTTGAGTTGTCACTGGAATTGAAGGACTTGTCCGGCAAAATCCATACCATCGTCCACGATCTCAACTTTCAGACCGCAAGATATGAGACAAAGCAAATCATCAACTTCAAGAATCCCAAAGGTTCTCTTCTTGAGGCCCTGCGTAACTCAGGTCCCATTCCAGGTGAAGCTGCAACCAACGGTGCTGACGTGAGTACCAAGAAGAGGGCTAGTGAGGTCGGTACTGGTGGCACTCAAAAGAAGAAGAAAGGTAGTGACGGCAAAGCTATTGACATGGACAAGTTGGCAGAAGGGCTGCAGAAGCTCGGCGAGGATGACCTCCTGCAAGTTGTTCAGATGGTTCACGACAACAAGAGTGAAGAGTCCTGGATGCGTAACGATGTTGAGCGTGAGTAGACGGTCCTCAACGCTTCCCTGCTCCTCTGACTGACCACGATCATCTTCACAGAAGGTGAATTCCACGTTGATCTCTACACTCTTCCAGAAAATCTTATCAAGATGCTCTGGGATTTCACTGCCGAGAAGAACGCCATTTCCGCTTCAGCATGATCCGCAATGGAGAGTCAAGAGACCACAATTTGTCATCGTCTTGACTGGTGCTTCTCCCGATTCTGTCTACCCGACATTCTTCCCGCTAATGAAGATGGAGCACGATTTTTGTACCACTATTCCCATCATGCCACTGAAGCGTCAATATCTTTGACTTTGTGACCTCTTCACACGCACAGCCTGCATTCGTGTTGACCAAGATCAGGCTCTCTCTCGAATGCTTTCCAACTTACATCTGCACTTCAGACGTCTTTGCGGTTTTCACTAAGTTCGTTGTCACCAGGGCCCGGCAGCATCGGATAAGTGGGACAGGAGTTCTACAGACAGATACCATGGAGGCGAGATTCCATTTATTAGCGAAATTTGTTCTCTTCGCGTCCTCCGGCTAGCTACGGGTGTTATGGAGGGGAAATCAGCCACAAGATGGAACAGCTATGCAGAGCACACATTTCGCGACAACAGGAGACCATGTCTTTGATGGATTGAGAGCAGAATGGCTGTCGCATACAGTGGGCAAACTCCGAGGTACCACTTTGCTCAAGCCAGATGTGCCATCAAGAAAGCAAGATACCCTACTCTACAACCCCAAGTGAGGAAACCAGTCTGTGCCATAGGTTTTGACTGATGACTCGACCTCTATTCTATGATGTTACAGAATCAAAGATAGCGCGAAGAAATCCGTAATGCCATAGTGTGCTCTGCTCCGGCATGGCTTCTCTCACCTCAGTATTTCTTTCTATTGCTACTGATACGTCGTGTCCCAATTTCGCCCATGCATGGCCTTGGAACAAGGGCACCAAAAGAATGTCTCAATTGCCCATGTTGACACAATTGCCCATGTTAACAGCGCCGACAACCTCGTAGCAATCCCGGTTGAGCGTCTTCCCGCATACTGTGACGAGACGCGACACGGTCACACGCCACGTCCAGACAAGCGGCACCCCTGTGTCTCCCGGATCGATGAATCGGGCACCGAAAGAATCGCCTGATGAAATCACGTCTTTGCCTTCCTTCGAAAGGTCCAAGTTGTTTTGGCGGGTTCATTCATGGCATGTAATTCTCGTGACGGGTTCATATCATATCGTGGCCGTGGCCGTGACACTACGCGCTGTGAAAGCCAATAAATCATCCTCATGGAGGGGAGGGGAGGGGAGAGTGCGTGTTGATCTACCGGAGCTGGATGTTTCTCGGCACCAGAATGTACGCACTAGGTCAGGAACTAGTACGCGTCAGTTTGAACGATTTCTAGGGGTACATGGTGTTGGGCTCTTCATCCGCCTACCACAGCAAGGGGCTAGATAGCTCAGAATGAATGGGGAGGAGAAGAATATGATCCTTAGAAAGAAGCGTGCTGGGATGTCTTGATTGAGCAGAGGTTGACCTTCCTCTTTCCGCGATCTAGTAGCTTGATGTCTGTCCAGAACACTGCTGATCAATCGCCACGAAAGTTTTGTGTGTACAAATATACCTAGCTAGGTACCTTGGTAGGCATTGCTGTGCCATACCAAGCTTGCCTTCAGTCACGTTGCGCGAGAGGCATTGCTTCTCAACTCCAAAGTTGCCTCTTCCTCGAAACTGCTCTTCACCATCTAAATTGCATTGCACTCCATCACGCGTGCTTATGAACATTCTCTCCACCACCATACGCGAGACATAATCCAGATCCAAGTGCAACATGCTACAACCCCTTGATGGAAGGCTAAATGATCAGAGTAAGTCATCGCCCACACATCCCGCATCCATTAAACCCAAATTATAGCTCGAGAGCATAAGTCGAGCCGTGTCAATAATCGACGGTGTGGTGACAAATGCCTTTGCGCATAGCAAATGTATCTCGAACTGCATTAAAGCTCGATCCCCTGCTGGGAGTCGATTCACCGGACTCGTTAAAATGAATGTCTTAACCAGACTTGAAGTTCCGAGTCACGGGGTACGCCCAACGAGATGCGCGATCAAGAAGCTGGCATTTCAGGGAAATAGCCTGAATGCAGGTCGCTCCGGAGATATGTATATTAATACAAAGGATGGGACTTGCTGGTCGAATTCAAAATCGTCAGAGAATCCAGTTCGGCCATAGTACATAGATCGATCTTGTATGAACCATTTGCTTCATTTGAGCACCCGGTTTCTAGGTCGAAAGTTAGTATGGAATGGCTTTGGAGAATGCAATCACTTACTGTAGGAGAACACCTTCTAATCCCTCAGCTTTGGCACCGGAGATTGTGGCAATGACATCGCCAGCCTTGTAGGCTAGAACAGCTGGAATATCGACCGATTCCATCTCTGCGACCTCATGATGTAACCGTATAAAGCGGGTGGTGTTGTACTTGCATGCCAGTACACCAAGCTCTTCTTCGACTTGATCACTAGCAGCAGAAGTACGATCGTGGATCATGACGACGACCACAGTATCGTCCGGAACTTTCTCTATCGCGTCCAAATAGCCATTGGCATCTACTTCGAGAAATGTACCCCAGCTACGCTGACTGGGCCATTGTTTCCGAAGCGGGTTCTGTTGAGACTGTGATTGGGAGGCTAGCTCTTGTAGACGATTTGCCCTCCACGCCTTCATGAAGTCCGAGTCTGCTTCATCGTCTGATAGGGCGAGACTATCGCTATCAGATGAGGCGGAGGAGCCAGAAAGGGTCTTCCTCTTATTTGCCTTGCTAGTACCCACTTGTCCTGCCTTGCTGGAGGTAAGATTACTGGCGAAGCTTGCAATCCGCTGTCGAAAGGTTGTCTGCTTCGCTCGGGCAAAGGATTGAGCATCTGCAATGACACCTTTTGGGCCGGTGTTTGCAAAGTGGGTTTGGGTTGGAAGGTGATAGGTGGTTCTGGTAGCAGTGATGGTAGCCATGTTATCTTCGTCGTCCGTACCAGGATCGGAGTGTTGAGGTTCAAAGGCAGGCTCAGTTGGATCTTCAGAAGAATGTCTTGAACGGTCGTCACGATCTTCAGGATGAGAAATATGGTGGTCGTGGGAAGAGAAGAAACGGTCAGCTTCTTCACGAGCGAGGTCGGCCATGATATGACCGCTGGATAGATAGGGCGTCAAGTAGTGCGGTACTCTCTCTGGCGGTGGGCGATGGAGTCAAAGACGACGCTCGGGTAGTTTGGGTGGACAGGCAAGTGTCACTTCTCACTAGTGAATCTGTGACAAAAGAGTAGGTCGTGGATTGGGTAGTGTCAAACTCGAAGCCAGCCTGGTGACAAGGGCATCACTGTCTCTAGTTCACCGGCAGAGGCAAAAGATCAGCTGAGGGCCGTGATTCGACTGACGTTTGGTGATGTGCGGTTGACACGTCTGTCGCAGGGGAAACCGAGGGTGGTATAGCTTGAAACACAGTCCAGGGCAGATGCCGCACCAACGGTGGATCTCGAGCCAGAGAGGATTCAAAGGAAGACCCAAAGGCTACTGACGAGATGGCTTGCTTTTGTCAATTCCGTGAACCTAATTAAAACGTGCCCTGGCACATGGCGGTCAAGAAAGAGACTACCAGCACGAAGTCACGGAGTACACCAGCGAGGCGGAGTACCGAGTAGTTTAAATCAAAAGGCGAAGCATGAGGTAGATAGAGATGGCAACGACACCTGCATGAGCGCGTATCAGTATCAGGCGCCTTCGGGGGAAAAAACACTGGTGGGAGGTGCCAATCGCTTACGCGATCTGACTACTTCTTCTTGGTGGGGCGCTGGGGGACGCTCTGGGGGGGAGGTAGGGATGCAGTCTAGGCGTCGATCCCGGAGTTTTGGTGCTATCATAACCTGTTAGGTGAAGTTCCATGGCCCTAGAAGGCAGAGTGACCGGCAACTAAGGTTTATCCGTAGCCCCCAAGGGCTCGGCACCGTCCCCGAGTCGGCATTGCATGCTTGATGGCGTTTGAAGCACATTTGCTTTTCTCGCCCTACGGCTTCCGATACGAGTGGTAAAGTCTACCTCAGACTTGGCTGGCCCTCATACGGCACCCACGCGGATCCAATCTCACCGTCCCATGGGCGAGTCCATGGATGCTCCAAAGCCATGGCAAAGTGTAAATCGAACCTATCAGATTCGTTCTCGACTCAAGCTGCACTGCTAAATTTCCGGCACATTGTCACTGATTCCACCGCAAGACCTCGAATGGAGTGCTCTGTCATAATCATAATGTCCGAGCACATTCGTGGCTGCCTTTCGGGCGTCCGCACAGCCCCAATATTGGGACGCCCCCAAGACTCACAGATCATACTTGTAAATGTGGGTTGATATTTATCCTCCTTTCCACCGGGCAGGGATGCATAATTGGCCTTCTGCTGCTAATAATTACTGGCATTACGGAGTTGATGCCATGTCCTGCCTCGACTTCACTGCGCTCCATCCACCATGTCACCAAGGCGAACTTGGTCAAAACACGACTACATGAGCTGGGTGGTCCTCTTGAAGCTGTCAGGGCCATCACTTTGCTTTCCTCGACGACCCAGCTGACACGTCAAGGCGGCGTCATTAACTCTTGATTGGATGGATGGGTACACAGCGTTCAGAGGCGACAGTCCGCTGGGGATTCCCACATGGGTTTAAATTCTAGAAGCCCGTTCATCCAGACAGTATCCGTTTTTTAAGGTGGACACGCCAGCTGCTCGCCCGCTGCTAACAGACTAGTTGTTTGAGTTGGGGTGGTTGTTTCGTGTGCTTCGTGTATGATTTGTCGCGCTGAGCTACTTCGTACTGTCCTCAAATTAGGGCGGTGGTTGACTCTTGCGGAGTACAAACATTGCAATTTCATCGTGCCTAATTGATGCACCCAGTAACCTGTCATCCAAAGTACTCTATCATTTGAGCCTCGACGCGAACTTGACTCGAAGTCACGTGGTGACATTGAGGTCCTTCTGGTTGGGGCTGTCAATGTTTATGCTGGTATGCCGCCGGATTGCAAGTACCCCGTACTCAGAACTTGGTTATCTCCTGGTCAGGGGGACTTCTAGGTTTGTTTCTGGTTCGTCTACCGGCGCCCCAGCCAGCAGTCAACAGGACGTCATCATCCCGTATCTTCCGATCCTGTTTTTGCTGGATTGCCGGTTTTGGATCACTCTCCTTCTGCCCCTGTTTCGATCGTTTGCGCCTATACTCCGCCAACTTTTCTCGCAGTAACACGGCTTCTTCGGGGTCTTCATATCCCAGTTGTGTCATCTGAGGAGCTTCTTCCTCAGGCTGGAAATTCCCACGAACCATGTCGGGGTCATCTAACCCGAGCACAGAAGGCTTGATTCCGGTCAATGTTGATTTTGCACGTCCCATGAGACTGAAGCTACCTTTTTCGACGGTCGTCAACGGCTCGTTACTTTGGTTGCCCGATGGCATAGAAACAAGTTCACTGCCAATTCCGTCTGTGTTCATGCTTTCGACCGAGTCCGCCCTTGAGAGTCGGACATTTGACGTTGCCGATGCATTGGACAAGTTGCTAAGTGCACGACCAACGAGTCTACCTTTTGTCGAGCTTTCGGGGTTTCCTATAGCGTTTGAATGCTTCTTTCGGCTTTGCTGATCCAGGAGTTCTCGAATCGCCCCGTTAAGAGATTGCACGGCCACAGCCTTTCCATTCGTATCCTCCACCAGAACATCTTTCGTTTCAGACCGACTGTTACTTGTCTCGTTCATCTTCAAGTCGACGGTTTGAATGCCATAAATACCATTGTTGGACTGTGTTAGCTCATTCTTGTCGTCACAACTGCAAGCTTTCCTTACAGGAGAGTTGGTGTTCACTTCTTTAAGAGGTGCTTCTACCCGCACAAACGACGCATTCTGTGTCTCACCGTTCGTTGAGTTTAAGCTTGTCGATGTCTCAGGACTCGAACCGCGGTCAATATGCTGCTCTGGTTCTGCTGTCAAGTCACTATGCACACGTAGCTGAGGTCGATCAGATGTCGCATCCTCCTGCACTGTTGACTTCAAGCCTTTCTGACGCTGTCCTCCCTGATGAGGCTGATTGCCTTGCTGGGGCCTAGGCTGATGTTTTAATGGTATTGTGCTGACTTCAACATATGCTGCACCTGACATTGGACGATTGGAAGTGTTCACCGACTCCGTCTTTAACAAACTTCCGGTGATTGGTTGCACGAGGTATCTGTCTACCGGCAGCTTTCGACTGGTTTTGATCACTGCCCAGAGCCATGCCTCTGTTACAACAGGGATACTGGAGTGTTGGGCCAGCTGGAGCTTTTGTTGGTTGCTGGTTCCGGACTTGCACAGCAACATAGAAACGTTCGGCGTGAAAATTTGAACGTATTTCCCACCCAGTAAAGTGATGATTTTCGAAACATGTAATGTCTCCAAAGGGTCGAAGCCTGTGGCATTGATTGTGAGGTTCGAGAATCCCAAAGTCAGCCTTTTCTGAATGACCTGTCCAAGAAGGTAGTCCTGGGGACTTATGAATGACTTTTCCCAAATACATCGCTCTAACCAAAGCTCAGAAACGGTGAGAGCTGTTGTTTTGGGGGCATTGGCAGAGGTCGTCTTGTTCTCTTCAATGTCGTGGGGCATGAGAACCAATGTACCATGTTCTTTCTCAGTCGTTATTTTTGCTCCGTTCTCTAATAAGATATTGTGGACGATGGTCTCCTGGTCTCAGGTCAGAATCTCATTTATTGCTATAAACGGATGGAACAAGGAATCCTTCGTATTACACTCACTTTCTTTCCTTCGAAGCCGAACATCTCGAAAGAGTAGCCAGAAAGAAATCCACTCCTGACATTGGGAGCGACACTGTCACCCGAAGATTCTGCATGCTCTCCGTTAACCAGGTCCACTTTTTCCGTCTTCGGCAAAGTCTTCGGCAAAGACGGCATTGAGGAGGAGCTTTTTAGATGTCGTTGGGACTTGTCATCATCGCCCAAACCGGCGGCCCCAACGATATCTGTCCACAAATTCTCATTCTGGCTGCCAAGGCGTGCACTGGCTGTTCTTCGAAGTTTTCGCGATGGCTCTAAGCCTGTAGGCGCCTCCCTTGGACGTTTAGAGGACTGAGGGGACGGTCGAATTCTTCGAACCCAAGCTCCAAGGCCTTGCTCGGCGGCAGGAACTGTGGGATGGTATAGACTTTCTTCCAATTGCATACCTCGTTCAAGTGTGTCTTTGTACCATTTTAAGCTGACAACCTTCTTCTGCCATTGCATGCCGTATTCATACTTCTTGCCTTCAGGCTTCGCAGCGATAAGGTGTGTCACATCTTTAGTTAGATCTCCGGTATAATCTCCACCATTCTCCACCACGTTTCTTTGAAGTTGTGCTCGAAAAGACAGCTCCTCGAAACCAGTAATGCAGATTTTTAGATTCATCAGAGTTGGCACACGGTATTGTAGGGCAAGCTGGTCGAGGTCCATCGGTTGGTCGTTGATCCAATACTCTCGTATGGCTTCAATCCATTCGGGTCGAAGGACTTTGATGTCATCTCGTTCTCTGGCGACGTATTTGTACTTCAAGGTATCGGTGCTACCAACGATCAAGTGAGTCGTGTCCGAGGTCAAATCGAGCTTGTGTTCCGCTCCCATCTGCAGCGCGAGGTCTGCATATTGAGTCTGTTCCCAAGTCAACCAATCAGTGCTTTTTATATCCAAGAAGTTTACTGACTCGCTGCTCTGGGGCGACTGAGGTAAAGCATAGTACGGTGCCTTGCAGTGGTCGTTCGGCAGAGGCTGGAAGAAGCTGTTAACAATGTGCCTGACACAAGATTAACGATATTTCACACCTCGGTATTCGGATAGGGCCATAACGCATCTTGTTAACACAATAGAAATCTACCACATAGACATATTCAGCGTATGTTCTTGGTCAAGGATCTTCGCAGTTTAGCAGATTTGCGGAAACGGTGCCACGAACCTCTGACGGCGCGACGCGTCAAGCGCGACGTGGGGGAACTCTTATTGTGGCGTAGGTTGAAATGACGTCATGCGTTGGTGCCGAACCGCCGGCACCGAAGACCTCCGCCGTTGCACTTTGCACAACACAATCTCGTCGATACTACTGAAACTCATCTCCCAGACAAGTAAATTACCATCCTCTTTTTGCCTCAAGTATGTCTCTGAAGCACAGCACGCTGCGCATCGATTACTGATTACAGCAGACTTCATCGTTATTGATTTATTTACTCCGGGATCTAAACTGGCGTACAAAGAAATGAAAATTTCCTTGTCATAAACCTCTGCCATATAATGTCTTTCATGCTTTGAAACTTAGTCACCGACATCCCGCAATCTCATCAGCACTTGAAACAAATGTGCACAAACAAACCAGACCAACAGGTGTGAGGGCGGAGATTACATAGGTAAGCGAGAGAGTGATGCTGCAGGCCATCTAAGGCCAGTTATTCTTCCCAGCAAACGCCCGAGGAAGAGTTAGCATTCCGCTTCACAAAAGCGCTCCATTCAGATTCGAAACGATGATTATAAAGATACCATCACCACTCGTCTCCTCCAAATGCCCTACGCTGTCGAAGCATACAGCCGATAGTCCTCAAGCGACGCAAGCCGATGATGCAACGGGCCATCGGCATACTCTTTGCTGTCCACCCATCTCCTAAACGTCTCGAAGTTCGGATACCATATGATCCCAACACGATCCCAAGTCTCGTTCCCGCCGTGCGGCTTTGCGACTAGGTTCGCCTGTGGCACACCAAACCACAACGGCTTCATCAGGGGTTCAGACCCTTCTTCGCTGACAGACGCTACGAATTTCATAAATGCCGTGACGTAGCGCGTCGTGTATGCCTCTTCCCCCGAGACTTGCGTGAAAGGGGACCCTGCAGGGTATGTTGTCTGAGGCTTGAATTTGATGAGGTTGATCATCACGACGGGAACGCCCGAGGGGATTGACTTCTCTGCGACTGAGAGGTCGATGAGGTGGATTTCTGTGGTCGACATCTTTTCTGGATAGACTCTCCTGGGGTCTGGGTGAATCGAGAATGATAATGTAATGCTCTGTTTGAAGTGGCCGTAGTTGCGTGTTGGATCTACTCTCTTAATTTAAGATACATCCGCAGTCTTGTCGTGGTCATTAAATACTACAAGCTCAAGTGAGGGTACATACTCGTGGACTACGGGGCTAAGTAGTGTATTGCATATAGCGTTATCATAAGCCATAAGCCATGGCCCATAAGCCAGCCGCGGCTAGGGGCCCACTAGCCAAGAACCGTTCAGGTAGTGCTATGGTCCAGATGCATGAATATGCTCGCCACAGATGAATTCCAGGCTCTTCACTGGATCTAATGGGTCTCATTCCTAACGGGAGTGAACAGGGCTGATCCGAACTAAGAGGTTATGGATAATGCACTACACCCCTGTCCATGGAGCTTTGTCATGTGACTATGGACGGGCGGAACAGCCTTGAGGTTGGCTTACTTGTTGTGCCTCGAATTGAGTCCATCTAGGGCTCTAAAGCGTCAATTTTAACAGTTTGTTTCATACAATGTACAGGATAGCTCCCGCTAGTAGCCCAATTCGTGCATCTGTAGTTTCATTGCGCAAACGGATACCACTAAACTCAGCGCCCAATCTTGACCTCTCCATAGTGCATTTCCATTCAAGACCTGAATAACTCACCATTTAAGGTGAGGCATGACTAAGCCAAACTGTGCAGCGGCTGTGCGACCCTGAGCCTGACTTCGCGGGCGCTGAGGCGTGCCTGAGAAGCATGAGCGAACCCCTGAGTGCCTCAAAGGATCTCACAATTTGCCCCTAGGTTCCCATTATGTGGTATTTCAAAAGCACGGCAGTGCTTTTGAACCGGGCCGTCTCGCTAGTTAATTATACTTGACGTACTTATAGGACCCTCTTCCGGGCCAAGCTGCTGCTGCCTGCTAGACCTTTGGCGAGCAACGAGGTACTTCGTAGTGAGCTAGGGGTTACAGCAGCTTTAGGCTTTGCATACCTTCAAAAAAAAAAGGTGTGTTTGAAGTGTGTCTATTCGTTATATGGACTTGGTAGGGACTGTTGAGGGATTTCCCCGACCCACCAGAAACAGAGATAAACGGACCGAGCAAATTCGCCAAGGCGACGGATCAGATTTGCCTGCGCTCTCCCAACATCCCTCGACGGCGTTTGCTCTTCCCACAAATTTCCCTCGATATTCGAATACTGAATCCGCTACTACAACATGTGATTGTAGAATTCATGCCGAAGGAAAGATAATGCGCATTGGCTTCGGTGGCAAAACAAACCAAGCAAGACGACACGCATTAATTTGAGAGCGCGTTAATAAAGAAAGACTGAGTCCCTGATAATGGCCATGCATATTATGACTCTAGCTACTTTCCTTGGCCATATAGAAGGAGTTGAGCTAGTGCTCACAACGAAGCGTTTAACTCAGTTATGGTTAGGCTATGACTTTATGTAAGCAAGTCACCTGCCGAGCCAATATTTACCCTACATGCTCGTCCTACATCAACATCTAATTCCTCTACCTTTGTGAAACCAAACTCTTTGGGGCAAACTACCCCAGTTGATATGCGCAGTCTTTGCAACACACCCCATGACGAAGTATTCGAGAAAATGTGCACACTAAACCCTGGCCACGCTCAGCCTGCTCAGCATCCCGAAACAGCCTCTTATAGATTCTGGCAGCTACCGGAACTATTGAGACACATACACTCCAACTTGCCGCAGAGAGACTTTGCCACGCTTTGTCTTGTATCTCGTACAATCTACAATAGTGCGATTCCCATTCTTTACGAAGACGTTTCTTTGAACTTAGGTGTCGTCGGCTTGGGAGCACTCAATACTCAGCAGGGATCCTGTTGTAGGGTCTCGGAACTGGCTCACCTAGTCAAGAAACTTCGTATCCAAGTTTGCGATCAGGGAAATATCGAGAGCGAAGCATCCAGTCATTTGGCTACGCTATCCAGTACCGTCAGACTGTGTCCAGAACTGCGAGAATTACACATCGTACACTACTTGCCGTCATCAAGACCAGTAATTCTAGATCTGGGTGACTTGCTGGATAGCGCGACCTCACTATCAATTCTTAAATACGATTGTCAAAACACGCGTTGGCCAACTCGCATTCCCGGAGAAGAGAATGTTAATGAGCGTACGCTCATACGTGTCCTCAAACATTCCACGATTGAGAACGCAACACTCACAGTGCACGAAGGTCCCGAGAGCCTACTTCGCAAAGCCGTGCTACCAATTAGCAACGCCATTACCCGACTATGCCTACACGAAGCGTATGTGGAGACTGGAACATTGCGAACGATCATTCTTGCAGTGCCTCATCTTCAACACCTAGATCTTGGTCTACTTCGATATGCCGATCCCACGCGTCGCCATGTGGGACCTCGTCTGGACTTTGAGGAGCTTGGAGACGCCTTAGACGCCTCATATAATACACTGAAAAGTCTAAAATTGGCGATAGAATACGAGGCTCGTACAGCACTTGACGTCCCTGCAGGAGGCGGTGACCAATCTGCCTGGGGTCCTTTCGGCTCAGTTTCCTCCTTACGAGCATATCGGAAACTCAAATCACTTAGGCTTGCCCCGGAGGTGCTCCTCGGATGGTATGGCGAGCGCCCAAAAAAGTTATCGGACACTTTACCGGATTCTCTAGAGCGGCTTTGGTTCCGTTGGGATTTTGGGGGATGGTACAACACTCCATGGGATTGTTCGTCATTTTGTGATAAGTTGGTGGAATATCTGAGTTCTTCTCGCCGTGCGCCATTGAGGTATCTCACCATTACATGTTTCGATTATGAGGTCGAAGATGTCGAAACGGAGTTAGATACCATCAGACGTCTTTGCGACCCCTTTGAGATATCCTTCTCCCTCGATATTCTCAATGATTAGACTGTCGAAGTAGGGCAGCCCGGAGCTCCACTAAGTAGGCATGCCCAGTCTCGTGTATTTACAACTATCTGCAGCAGAGGCTCCCGCCCAATAGATAGGAATAACAAGCCTTTCAACCCTGAACATTGGCATAGGCTACGAGAAATGCGATCTGTCTATCTGTCCTGACCATACTATTCCTCATTAAAGCATACACCAAGCTCAATCCACGGTCAGTTTGATTCTCAGTTTTCGTCTTGTTCGCCAAATTTGACAGGTGGGAAACCACAGGAGTGGATGTGTTGACAAAGTCTCAGCCTTGTTCGGTACATTCTAGCCGCTGCCTCCGCCTCGGCGCATGCAAACGATCGTCACGCGATGCAAGCCTCTCGCGGTGCTATGGTCTCCGAACATAACAAAGTAGAACTATAGGGGCTATAGATACCTATAAGCAAGCGTATATTCTTGTCTTAACACGCAGTAACCCCTCTGGTACCACCTGATGTTCGGAGATCATGACACCGCAAGAAGCAAGGCTACATCGTTTACACACAAGACTGCGGTAAAACACTGCCAATAAGACTGAAACACGTTGTTTCCAGCCTTACGGGCACTCAGCGCAGGCATTTATACCGTCCTTTCCTTCAGACCCAGACCAGTTTTCACAGGTGTTATCTCATCAACTTTACATGAACCATCGCGTTAAGAATAACACTCTCTAGAGAGCCTACGGTATAACATCGTGCACGATCTGCCTGTCTTCAAGCTATCCTGGCAAGCTTGATTACCAGAAATGGAGAATGATCTGTTCCTCCGAGTCGACCGAGAGGCGGCGGCTAAACAGTTCTACCTCGTCTCGAACGTCATCGATACAACTTCGTCACCCGACATTACAAAGCTAGAGTTTGTCGGCCTCGCCAGGCAAGCCTGGCTACACATGAGGGAAAATTGGAACAGCTGGGTAAAAGATTATGGAAGGGACGCGAAGGGTTCTCCAACCGTCATGACCCTCCTGTTTGATCACAGCGGCAAGAAGCTATACTTCACTTCTTCCACGAAAAAGAAACCCGGTTCCTCCTGGTTGAATTTATGTTCGCCCGATGATCGGGAGCTCCAGCTTGTGGTCAAGGCGCTGGACGAGTGCGGCATGGAAGATTGCGCAAACACCAAGCATCCAAACAAAGCAAATTGCGGCGAAATGCTGGCCATACACCAGTGGGCTATCACCAACCCAGGCAAAGGTTTAAGTCGGCTCCGGGACTTCTGGATGGTCACCGTGAGCAGGCAAGCTGGAACCGTGTACATCAAGGCACCGTGTAACGTGGGTGGCCAGGGTTGTGAAAGGATCGCCAAACATGCCGAGTTGGATGTCATCGCTGAACCAGCCACACTTCCTAATGAGCAGGTCGCCCGTTCGTTGGCTTTGGTTAGAGCTCCCCAGGTCTCTATTACAGAGACCGCAACGTGTTTCAAGTGCGGCAATACAGGATCGCAGCCGCTCCGGGCATACCCTGGGGGCGTCGATTGGCAACCGTGCATAAGCTGTTTCCGTGGGGAGGAATTAGCCAAGGGCAATGTAAGCAGGCGCGCCAGAGAGAGATACAATACTGACCTTGGGCATGGTGTCACGGATGTTATGGGTTGACCAGGACGCCTATCATGATTTATTAGTAAAATGTCCTGCCACGGGCGAAGGTTACACACCAATGCCAGACAGCCAACTTCTGTGGTAGTTTTTCTCCGTTCCTCGGTCAAGCTTTCTGAAAGTTCGCGTGAAATCAACAATTCCAGTGTCTCGTCCGCCTCTCTTTCCTTTGGGCCTTTGGCTTTACGAAGAGTTTCCTCGGGCATCTGGTTTTCTCCATTTTATACAACCGCAATGAGCCGTTATAACCGGCTAAAAGTAAGGAAGGACTTGGGGAAAGGAGGGAAGAATCTGCGGGTTTAAGTGAAGTAGAAATGAAAAGGAGAAGAGCAATGGGTGGACGGCAACAAGTACGTCCGAGATGAAGGATAGAGGGAATAATTGGGAAAAGAACAATATATACAGCGCACGAGTTGCTATCTGGGAAATTGTCACTAGAGTGAATACAACATAGGGGATGCACTCCATCTTAACACGAAGGGCGTGAGTTACCAGAGATTACATCCACGGTCTTTACAAGGAGTCCCATTTTCGAGGTCCTAGTTCCAAAAATTGTACCCTAGAGGACAGTCGTGTAAACTTTCTATATACTCGAGAAGAGATACCGAAGAAGTACGGCCTAAGTATCTAATGACAGCGGAGCTCAGAAAGTAGAGTGAGTGCGGCTGATGAAAAGGATGAAGAGTATGAGCAGCGGCCTGAGCAGAGCTGAGCAACTCGCGCTAACGCTGAGCCAAAGTTGAGCCATATCACGTGATGCTTGAGTAAAGCGGCAGCCCGTAGTCTCAAACGGGTGCCAACGCCCGGCGTTTTATCGCCGCTGAATACCGTTTGAGATTAAGCTATGCTAGTGTGATGGGAAGGGGACATGGTCATTCCTAAGACGGTCCGAGGGACTCGTCAGACTATATAGTATCCTAAGTACGTACTAGACTAGCGCCTGGGCGCTCTAGGGTCCGCTTCCGATAGCATTCGAATAGCTCTCGGAGGTAGTTCGGATGCGTCGAAGCGATATAGTCGACCACGGCCTTTACAATCGCTTAGCATCGCTAATCACGCCAGTAGTCTGTAGGCTCCACCCTGTTTTGATATATTTAGCGCAAGTCACCCTTTGACATCAACTCATGTGTATCACTTTCTTGTCCATCATCTAGAATTTCCTGTTTCCCTTTCCAACGCCGAAGCTTGTTCTTCAACAAGGTGAAAGGCCCGGGCATATCGGAACCAGGACCATTCATGAATCTCGCTGGATGGAACAGAGCGAAGCTCGACAGGGCGATCAGCATTGGTGCCGCTTCAAGAACGTAGAAGTATATTTCTTTTGCCGTCAGTGCATTCCCCTGATTGATACCGCCGGAAAATTCGACAAGCCGATAGACAATGCGCACCGTGATCATTGATAATGCGATGTACAGTGCACAGAGGAGAGGAAACCATTTGGTGCGGACGCGATATGTGCTAGAGTTTCCAGGGTGTGTCTCGAGCTTCGCCATCTGGAACTGAAAAACAATGCAGAGCCCGACGAAAAATACAATCACGAGCTGCTGGAAACCAATGCCTGCCATGTATATGTTGACGGCTCGCCGCTGGTCTTCCGGGGAGTCGCCCGGGCCCGCCATACTTCCACCAATAAGCTGGATGACGAAAGCGGCCAAATCGAAGAAGACAAAAACGGCAGAGATGATAGCTGCTGGCATTCGAAATATCATCCGTGAGGGATGGAAAAAGTAGACCATTCGGGCAAGGGTCATATATGCGAATGCATTCACCCCTGTTCCACGGTCAGCAGCTTCGCTCGAAGGGAAGGAAGTGGTTGAAGAGATCACTGACAAAGAGGTGCAAGTAAGATGAAGATTTGGAAGACGAGGTATATTCCGCTAGCCTGCTGATTTTTCGAGCTCACTGCGCGGAAGAGCATGGCGGTCGTTTCCCAGATAGAAGCCATAATAATGACCCAACACCATCTCTACACATGCTCTTGTCAACTCTATAGCAAAACTTGGAATGGCGAGACTGTGGCGATTCCCTTGACTTGGGTTACTCACGAACCTTCTTGTATTTTGCAGCCATCCATATATGGACTATGACCAGTACTGCAAACAGCCCGGTAAATGCAATAGCCGCTCCGAAGGTCGGATAGTAGTTCCAGAGTGCACCGCATGTTCCTGGTGGGACATGGCCATTCTCGTCGGGCTCGATAGTCTGTATACAGGTTGGGATTGTAATGGTGATAGTCTTGGCGGGAATAGTAACGACACTATTTGTCTCGCCGGCTATGACAATGAGATTCGTCGTTGTGAAAGTTATCGCCGTCGATGAAGAAGGGCTTAGTGCTGAAGTAGCTGTAGGCAGGTCTTGACGTTTCACTCGGCTCATTGTGTACGGCGTCTCGATAGCGAGTGCCGAAGCCAATAACGCAGCAGTCAGTGTCACAGCAAGAAGCAATCGCAGCATGTTGGGACTGCGGTAATAAATTTGGAGAAATCGAAGCATGCATCCCCAAGCGAACTATTGGCGAAGGCGAATTCGCTTCTTATAGTCGCACCGGACATCTAACATAACCACAGAGCGCGACCTGATATGGTCAACAACTTGGCACAGCCTCGCTTGCCCACCCCTGTAATGTGCGACAGATCCGAAGTGGAGCGTTTCCGAGCGGACCAATCGCCGTATCATGGGGGCCTAACCAGAGGCTTTCTCGACCCCGACTAGCATCGCATCAATGTCGCGTTATTGCGTCTCCTCCATCCTGGAAGCAATGAGACGACAATGCCGGAATTTCAGTCTTTGCTAATCTGGGTACTGCAGGAGATCAGCAGTATGAGGAACGTCCTTTCATCTGTTGAAGAAAGATGAAACACGAGCCACAACTTCACACTAACTTGAGTCAGCGGCAATGGCCATTGTATTTTTTACACCCAATCGTAGATGGCTTGCACAGGGCCACTTCCAGGTTTTACCAGAAACCGAATTTTAGTCCTCCATATCTTGGTACCATGATCGTCTGTAAATAGTTTTGTGTCTGGCTCTAGTGCGCTATCTCGAACACGCTGCCAATCCCTAGGCAGTGCTTGTTGATCACTTAGGCACCCTCGAACCTCTGTAATCTTTTCTGGCGACAACACTGGTATCCCGTGCTCCTTTTCGATAATTCTTGTGCCTATGGCGTACATTGTTGCATAATCCCACAGCGACTCTCGCGAGCAAGATAAATCCCACATCAACGTTAGTGCCGTAAGCCTCAGCTTCAGGTAGCGGCACTTAAGGACGACAAAATGGAGTAGAGGAGAGAAGCCCATCGTAAATGAAAATTTACCTCGTGCACTGCCGGCGAGGTTTCTTTGCGTCTTTGCCTGACTTGCCAGCTCAACGATGCGATAAAAGCTCTCACGATGATCATCAAATATCATTTCATCCGGGGATATGCAAGTGGATGTCCAGATTCTTGCGACGAGCCACCGCATTTCCAGCAGCAACAAGCAAAGTTCGTGCTTTGATCGAGGCCGTAGGTTTCTTCGTAGGGTATTAAATGCAGATCGCCAATTTTCGAGGTCTTGCTCTAGCGCCTTCTGCTTCAACATGGCACATTCGAAAGATTGCAATTCGGGTCCCATCCCAAGGCGATGACGATCGGCCATCCGAACCAGCCTCACAATGTGGCACGACAATGAGTCGAGAGACTCTTGAGCATAAGACAGTGACTTCAACGCTCCATCAATTTTCGGCCAGTCGCCATAGTAAGGCAAGGGGATGTTGGGAATATCGTGACTGAAAAAGTGAGGGAAGATTGCAAGATGGCGAAGCATAGACAGAACGTCCGAGTCAGTTACTGAAGTGTCTATCAAGGAGAATCCGTGAGTGACATGGGTGATAGCAGCCTGCGCGTTACCGCAAAGGAATTCGGCGCACACAAATAGAATGCAGGTGAGTAGCACTGTGTCGATACTCACAGGGCCAGGTGTCGTTAGACATTTAATGGCTGAATTATAGTGGCGGATCGCATCGTTGCTGAGCGTTGACTCTATCGTGCATGATGATCTTTGAACCACAAAACTTTCATAGAGGGAACTGATTGCTAGAACCGCATGGCCCACCGCTGGCTCGCTGTATGCTGCTTGGGGCACGTCCTGGGTCCAAAATGAGCTATTGAGAGGTCCGTTGAGTTCAGGTGCAACGATTCGACTGAAGAAAGTCAATCCACGCAGATTAGCAAAGCTCGCACTTGAGACGCTCTGGGGCACTGGTTTCGACCGCAATAGTAGCTCTTCCCACGAGTAGGATCCTGGTGGTGGAACTTCGTAGCCGTCACAATTTCTGCCAGTGGATCTGCATTTCAGGCACGCTGGATGGAACTCATCACATTTGATCTTTCGAATCCTACATTCAACAGAGAACCGCTGCGTGAGCCCTCCGGATCAAAGTGAGGTTAAGTGTGAGGAATTGACTCACTTGCAGGTTCGGCACCCAGTACGAACTTTTTGCTGCCCTTTTCGAGGCATGGCCACATGGTATTGCTAAACTGAACTAGTTGTGTACCCTGGAAAATCCTGGTGCATGTGCCGCCAACCGTAGAGGAGCCGATTACCTTTACCTAATCTGTGGGAAATGGGAGATGAGGTTGGGATTCAATTCATCTCAGAAGGTGAGCGTTCAGTAATGACCCGAGTCCATGCGGGTTAACTGGCTACATACACCTCGTGTGGGGCGAGTGCGAGCGCTATTCCTGGTCACGGCTGGTGACCCACTTTCCACCCCTGAAATCTCACAGCCTACAAGTTGCAGCTTACTCGTACAGTACTGTAATAATGATCAATTCAGGCTCCAAGCAAGATGCTCGTGATGAACTCAGAGGAAGCGGGTCCGCCGTCCGAAAAATCACGCCACCGATCCACCGCTAGATCCCTTGCGGAGTTGATTTTCCAGAATATTCGTTGCCCACTTGAAGCGAAGGTGGTTCGTTGCTTGCCCGCGTCTCCGGATCGGCAAGAAGCAAGTGAGACAGATTGGTTAGCAAAACCTGATGGAAGAAATTTAGCCTTGAAGCATGGCCATGGAGATGTTGAATATTTCAGTCTCTACAATTTGAGCCTATTAAATATAATGTCAGTGATCAGGAAGACAGCTCGACTATACAAGGAACATTCTAGGAGCCCAGTGTGGTACGGAGTACATCATTATTACCAGATCATTAGGGAAGCTGCTTTCAGCCTTGCCAAGTCTCCATAAGCCAATTGCATCCGAGACCTTGCCGTTAACCAGGCCGCGGGCCGAGGATTATGGAAGGGAGGGCTGCAGAATCATTCAAGTCGAAGTGCCACAAATACAAACGATGGGTCCTCCTTTAGGGGCCCAAACAAGTTATATCTAGAAGCGTGGCTGAAATTTGGAGGAGCAGCCATAAAGAAGAGATGCTGTCCCAAGCCATTGTCTTGCGAGAGGTTGAGGGTCTAAAGGGACAGGTCTATTATCCATTAGAGAAAGTGGCCATCGAAGTCCGTTCTCCTGAAGGCAGAGAGCTCCTTGTGAGGGTCTCAGCAGCAGCATTCAACCACCGCGACTTGTTCTCCCGCAAAAACTTATATCCGAAGATTACATTTGGTGTTCCCATTTGTTGCGATGGAGCAGGCGTGGTAATTCGAGTGGGCAGTGGCGCTTCACCAGCGTGGTTGAATCGTCGTGTTATCGTCAACCCAGGCAGAGGATGGGATCGAGACCCGGACTTTCCTGAGTCCCCGAGCGGATACACAACGCTAGGCGCCAGTCCAGCGGGGACTGGGACTTTGCAACAGTACATGCTTGTGGACGAGAAGGACGTGTTGCTGACGCCAGATCATCTCTCGGATGTAGAGGCAGCGGCATTACCAGCAGTTGGGCTTACCGCTTGGAGAGCCGTTATAATCAAATCAAGGAATGTTGTGCCTGGGAGGAATATATTGATTACCGGTATTGGTGGTGGAGTGGCATTGATGGCGATGAGCTTTGCACTCGCTGCCGGTTGCGCAGTCTACGTGACGTCGAGCAGTGAAGAGAAATTGCGGCGAGCAAAGGAGTTGGGGGCTTCCGCTGGCGTGAACTACAAGAAGTCTGGTTGGGAGGAGGAGCTACTCGCCCTGCTTCCGCCGGAAAGGACTAAATTCGACGCGATCCTGGACGGGGCGGGCGGTGATATCATGAAAACCGCCGTGAGATTGTTGAAGCCTGCTGGTGTGGTAGTGTCTTATGGCATGACACTGGGCCCTTCCACGCCTTTCCCAATGAAGGCAGAGATGCATTTACTGGATCTGGTGAGTGCATCAATGGGATCAAGAAAGGAATTTGCAGACTTGATGGACTGCATCCGAGTTCATAAGATAAAACCTGTAATATCAAGAATCGTCAATGGTCTGGACGACATCGAGCAGATAGAAAGCTTGTTTGACGAATTGCAGAGGGGCTCACAATTTGGCAAGCTTGTGGTGAAATTGGACAACAAGGATGCTAGTAGTAAGCTTTAAGATAACAGAACGCGCAGAATTGAACATACCCTTAATCCATCGTCTGAAACGGCTGTATACAAGGTTTGTGCATGAGAACGAAGCAAGGTCACTGGTGCTTGAGTGTGATTCCAGCTGTGACGGTATTGCCAGCAATAGAACTAAGTCCTCAGATATACCTTGACAGAGTTTTACGAGATCACCGCCATGAACTTTGAGCAACTTCGCCTCTGATGTGTGACATAAAACACTGGAACATGATGACCCCAGTGTGTATGGAGTTACAAAGGGCGTCTTGCCATAGGGCACAACAGCTCCAAACACGACGTGTTCTTCAGTCTTCATTTGAGCTGAGAAGCGGGTGAATGGCTTCCGTTCGCTGATCATTGTGATCCGTACCACGTGATCATGCAAGGTTGAGCAGTTCCACCTTGCAGTCTCTGCATTCGAGTAGAAGGGTGTCTTTTTGTAAGCGATCCGAGGAAGCCGCTGAGCCACGGCCGCGTTATAGCCAACCGGGCGATAGTGGAGACGACGCGCTGTCTGGGAGGACGTGGAATATAGATAACAGCTTTGACAAAAAGGATCGGGCGCGTGAGACATTCAGGAGAAGATGCGAGGCTGAAGGTGATTTGTTGGAGGACGGAGAGGAACTACCGTAATTCTCGCCTTTGTCACTCAGCCTCATTGTCCACGAGTCCGCGAGCCCGCGAAATCTCCATGTGTCATGTCGAAAATAGGTCAGAATATGTCCGGTGGAGCTGAAAGAAGGGTCTGGATTGGCCAATAGCAGCGCCTCATTAGAGATCACTGATGGGATCTTGTGATGGGTGATTCATACGAGCATAGGACCAAAGAACTCGTAGGCGTACCGTTTGTAGAGCATTATTTGTCCAAAGTGCCAGTGATTGGGAATCACTGGGGGGCGGAGCTGCAGGGGGCGAGGGCGAACCGTTGCACGTGATCATATAATCATGAATCTTCGCACGTGCGAGGATGGAGAGTTGGAACTTGGAAGCCGGTGTTGAGCCTTGAAAGACGGTACTTTACGGATACAACCAACCCAAGGTAGGTTGGGGCAGCGCTGACCTCCACTATGATACTGTGGCTGATTTTTTGTCAGACGGGAAGACGAAGAAAAACCTAAAATGCCTTGGGGGTTTAAGACCGCATAAAACCTGCCGCTAAAAGCTTCAGGCGTGTCGCGGTTTACGGCACCGGCCAGTGGAATGGAAGCGGCAGAGAAAGCGACAATGGATGGCAAAGACGCGGTCAATGTCAGCGGGACACTCGGGTTGTCGTATGAATGGTCAGTCTTTACTACGATGTAGGTAGCTACACACCCGAAGTTGAATCATCCATTATGTATCAGTCCTCATCGAATGACACGATATGACTAAGTTTCAGATACGGGTCACTGGGAGATATATAGATGGAGACGTGATCTGCAAAGATGGACGGATGTGCTGAGGGGGTTTCAATTTTAGGGTTGTCTATTAAATCCCTACTCGTGGGAACAGAGTACTAGATGCTACTAATATGTACGAGGAGGTTGCGTTGGGTACCTAGTACCGACTCGTATTCTACCCTACGAGTATTATTGAACGGAAAGGAAGATCACTGCTCGAGTCTTCAATTGTTTCCAAACGCCCGAGTTCGTCGTGTCGTGCCTATGCCTGTGCCAGTGCCCCATGATACTAGTGGCACCCAATGCCCAATCATCCGACCCTCAATTGCCGTCGTGGAAAGGAGGGGAGGCACCCAGGAACGTACTTACTGTATGGAGTCCTCCGTCCTTTAACCTTACCTACCTTGGGGTGCTAGGTAATCTACTACCCTCAGGTTCTATGGTACCAAGCATGATGGCCACCATGATGTAGCCGTAGATGGCCCAAACTCCAGAGTGCTTTGACAGGTGCTAGCCTGTGCAAGTTGGTGGGTCATGACTTTGCCAGCTCTTCCGGTCCGGCAGAGTTACCCGCCATCTCCACCACCGCCGTTAGTCGTAGTAATCGTAATCGTCAATTGCCTTGCACGGCCATTGCCTCTGCCAGTCCTTGGGCGCTCTCTGCCCTGCCCAACATTGTCACCGAGTGGTATTGGACACTCTTGATCAGCACAATGCGATTGATGATGACTGTACAAACTCGTTACCAGGACTAGGGCGAAGAAAAAGCCGAGCCAAAAGGCTGACAGCCCTAAGCACCAACCTTGTCTTTTGCTTTCCTTTCCTCTTCTTCTTTCTGATCTCTAAACACCGAACAGTCCTAGAACCATGCTGCATCAACTCCAATAATGATGATGATGATGAGTGGCCACATCCTGGCATGCGGCACGCTCTGAGCCGAGCAAAGCCTCCTCGATATCTCGCATCTGAAAATTAGGTGCGTTTTGGGCCAAGCCCTCCCCCCCCCAGACTGCGGAGTCGACTCGGCTCGACGAAAGGTGATGGAGTGGGCTTTGGCAGTGGCACTTCTCATCATCAACCTGCCCAATGCTGCATTTGCGCTTATTGATTGATGACCTGGTTCTATACAAACCAGCACAACTACCATCTCTCTATTCTCGCCTTTTCCAACCGCAATCAGTCACCCGTTCTCCTTCCTTTATCGTGCTTTTAACTGCCAGTCACTGAATTTCTAGAAAATATCCAGATTCTAACGGGCCAGTCCTCCAACTTCTCCGCCCACTGCCGCCGCACTTCCTCACTCCTGCCAGGCTTTACCTCACCGTTGTCGATCCGCTTTCTAGCCCTGGCGATCTCACGAGAACACGCGAAAAGATTCTTCAGACTCTCACTTCCTCCACCTTCCCTTCAACCGGTCACTTTGCAGCCCTCAAGAGTTGAAACACACGACCGCAGGAACTCGGCTACTGCGGAGGGGATGGTTGGGTTTAGTGATGTGGGCAGAAGGTCCCCAGAGAGGAGAGGAAGAAGTAATAGCTCCATCAGTGGTTCTGTAAGCGGAATGATCCACAGACCGAGACTTGAGAGTGATGTTCGCAATGCCTCGGTGTCCTCTCTAAATCCTGATGCCGTCAACGCCACTCATCTAGCCGACGAGAAACCGGTGGCTGCCGGCAATGGCGTCTCCGTCATAATATCTTTCGCAGAACCCGTTTTGTTCCTGCAAGGCTTTGATGCCAATGACCCTACCACCCATACCACCACAATGCTTCGAGGGAGTCTATTACTCAGGGTGCAAAAACAAGCCAAATTGAAGTCCATATCCCTCAACTTCAAGGGCAAATCTGAGACCGAGTGGCCTGAGGGCATCCCGCCCAAGCGTGTCGAGTTCCGTGATACAACAACCATCATGAATCATACCTGGTCCTTTTTCAATGCCCAATTTCCCCAGGCCGAGCACAGCTATGGTGCAGATATTGTCCAGCTGCAGAAGGGCCCATCTGTTGAATCAAAAGAACTTGGCGTCACCACTTCATCATTCGACATTTTCCAGAGGAGTTCGTCTCCAGCCAGAGGCCAATCCTCTCGCGAGTTGAAGCGACTTTCCCTCCAAGCCAATCAGTCTAGAAGTTTTGGGAAAGGAGAATCCATCAACGGCGGCCCCACTGTCGCACAAAGAGGCTTCAAAGTCTTCCACCCTGGTGACTACATCTATAATTTCGAACTTCCGCTAGACTCGAGATTACCAGAGTCAATCAATGTTGATCTTGGTCATGTCAAATATGAACTAGAGGCCCTTGTTGAACGCTCAGGCGCCTTTCGTGCCAATTTGGTCGGCACCAAGGAACTCACCTTAATCAGGGCACCAGCCGAGGGCTCTCTGGAACAAGTGGAGCCCATAGCCATCTCGAGAATTTGGGAAGATCAGTTACACTATGACATTGTCATCTCGGGAAAGTCATTTCCCCTGGGTTCTACCGTACCCATAGCCTTTAAATTGACTCCTTTGGCCAAAGTTCAGTGCCATCGCATCAAAGTCTTTGTCACAGAAAACATCCAATATTTTACAAATAACAAGAAAGTACACCGTCTCGAGCCAACAAGGAAGGTCCAGCTCTTCGAGAAGCGTGCAGACGGTCACAGTGTGACCTCATATCCTGGAAGCTCAATGCGGATACTGGCGGGTGGTGGCGTTCCCTACGACTACCGTCAGGCGGCGGCTGCCGGAGATGAAGATATACCCAGGGACCAAACCAATCTCCTTGGGAATCTGGATAACGACGCAGGAAGTATTGGTCCTACTGAGATGGAGTTTAATGTCCAATTACCAAACTGCCATCAAATGAAGGAGAAGCTCCGTAGTGAGCGACTTCATTTCGACACCACATATTCCAACATCCAGGTCAACCATTGGATCAAAGTTAGTTCTCTTTCTCTTTCTAGCAACCCTCGCTAACCGCAATGGCAGATTGTGATGCGACTGTCTCGGCCCGACGAGAATGATTCAGCCAAGCGTCGTCATTTTGAGATCTCCATCGATTCGCCTTTCAATATCCTCTCCTGCCGAGCGACCCAGGCGAATATTTCACTGCCAGCTTACAGCGCAGGCCTCGACACCCCCTCTCCCGCAGATGAATTTGAGTGTGGTTGCCCGGGAGCCGCTCTTCGAAGACGTAGCACTCCTCCTATTTCTCAAAATCAAGTTCCTACTCTTACCAACCCGGTTCCTAACGGGCCCAATGTGCAGCGCAGCTGGACCAATGATACCGGAGGTCTAACGATGCCGACCCAAGCCCATGTGCACAACGATCCCAATGCTGGACAACCTAGACCTATGCACTTGCTTCGGAGTCCGTCGTTCAATCCGCCACCGTTCAACGATGACGACCCACCCCCTCCACTTGTGACACCACCACCACACTACGACAACATCATCCCCGGTGATTCCAACAGCGCTCTAGCTGACTACTTTGCTCGATTGGCGGATGAGACATCAGACGAGGACGATCGTTTAGATCGATCAAGGGTAGACCATCCGCTCACCCCAGGCGGAAGGGTCAACAGGAGTATGGACATACCGCGAAATTGGCTACCACTTGGTGGTGCACCAGGTACGGCGACGCCCACTCAATCAGGTCTGGCATCCTCTGCCTCTGTTGCTAACCGAGCCTGAATGCCGGCGCGACCTCTGAACTTTTTGTACGACCCCGATATTGTGTGTGTCTCTGCACCATATCGTGTTTTACGGACTTGCATTTTATGACGCATTCCGGTTAGCACTGCTCCTGAATTTTGGGGACGGTCAAAGAGAACATGAAGTGGCGAAGGTTGGACATTGGTGGCAACTATGGCAGTGTTAGGAAAGCAGAGCTTGGTATCGTAACGCTGCCCTTACCGGAACTTGAATAAGGTGCAAATGGTGTCAGATGCCATAGTATGACTGTGTTTCTGAAGTTCATCATGTATCTTTAATGTGGTTTATAAAAGCTTTTCTATGTGTTCAAGTACCAATCTTTTGTCATTGACGATGTTGGCCGATCGGTCAAGTCGAATCTCAAGTTTCCTGCAAGGCTCTGCACATCATTCACGGTGTTTGCTGCAAGGCTGGTCGATGCCAAGCCCGCGGACCCGTGATCGGGAAGGAGCTACAAATTATGCAGTCACTAATTCCCTCTGCGCTCTGGGCTACCATTCTTCCTGGCCTGCAAATTGTTCCTGCCACGAGTACGAGTAGTTGATCGACCACATTCGTTTAAGAGTTTGTGGGGCCATCTAGCTGTGGCAGAGATGAGCTCTTGATAGATTCTCGTACCGACTCATATCTCCCTCAATCCTGCTGCAAAATAGTCGACTCTTGCCATGGCGACCTCAATGGCCAATTCAGCTACTCATCAGATCAACCTGGCATCCTTGCCATCGGTGCCACGAATAAGACCTCCTCGGCTGCTCAAGGGAGATCCTCATCCTAATAATACCCCACAGCCAGCTGGGCAGCCCCCAAGGGATCGGCTTTGGGTGCAAGGGAAATGGCGACATCCCACCTCGAACGCAACAAAGCACAAACGCGACGTTCAAGTCCGTCAAGTCACCAAAGCGCTTCGTCATAGAACGCATGGACTAGATATATATGCCTACCGACACGTGCGGACGAATCAGGTTGTCTATAGCTTGTCGAGGTCGTTGCAGGTGAGTATTCCCACTACCATCCTCAAACCATCACCCCAGGATGATGCTAATCTTTTATGTTACAGAATTCCCAAGTCCTCAAGCAAATGCTGTTCCACGGCAAGAAAACTGTACCGGCCGCCGTCCGTCGAGACATGTGGACTCCATACTTTTCGGTGCATTTTCCTGAGAACTTGGCCGGGTCTTATGTTGGGCTCTCCGCATTCAAGAGACTGCGTGAGCTGTCAACGCAAAGACAATTGTCACCAACGAAATCCATGCTTACTGCCACTCAAGACGACGTCGATATTGCCAAGTCTAAACTGGGTGGTCCTCTGCAAGTTCAAAGGCTGGAGCAGTCAGACAAGTGGCAAGACAAAGAGAAGCTCAGCCTGAAGTTACCAAAAGAGGGAGAGCTACTGCCGAAAAAGCTACGGGCAAGACGAATGATGGACCAGAAGGCGACGAGTGTCGCCGACATCGCATTTGTCCTTGATTGGATTAGCTCGGGGCCTGGGCCTGTGGAAAAGATGATTGCCATTGAGACCGATCGAGTCGTACGCCACAAGGATAGGACGAGAAAGGCCCGTGCTAGGGTCAATGCTGCGGCAAGAGCGCATAGCCAGAAGGAAGCGGAAATAGAGGAGCGTGCCAAGCTGGTGTCCCACAGCAAGGGTGACGATGACCGAACCAACGCAAGGCTGACTCCGGTACAACTAGAGAGGTTGAGTATGGAGCATCAGACCATCATGAACTCGTCCGATGGTGTTCTTCAGGAAGGCCACAAAGAAAAATTGATATCTGCTGCAGAGGAGCAATGGAGGGCACTAAATCCCATCCAACCCCAGCTAATTGATCTTGAGGAGTACAAAGAGAGGAAGGCCATCTCACAGGCGGCGGAGCATGAAGCTCTGAAAACCTTTTACTCCGCGGAAAATACATCATCCAGCGATCCAAACGCCTCTATATGGACCCATGTTAAGGAGAAGAGGGAAGCCGCTTTAGCCAAGTTCGATGAGGACTTCAAGGAGAGGAAGAGAAGTGCCGCGCTCGCTCAAGCGGCAGTAGAGGCTACAACGGAGTATGAAACAATCAAGACTACGACTGGCGACCCTGCTCCCTCGATCCAAGACTTGATAGCCGAGAAGCAGAAGGTGGCTCTAGAGAATCTTGAGAAGCAGGAAGCCGCTAAACAGCGGCTTAGTGATGCTATCGAAGAAGCCAAAGTCAAGCTGCTGGCAGGGTCACCCCGAGCGGAAAAAGACAAGGCAGGGAAGTCAAATTCCACCTGGTCTGAAAGCTGGAACATCAAGATGTACTGGGCAGACCTGAACGACGGCCTTTTCGCCAGAAGCTGGCCACAGAATGTCATTCACGGTCTTCTCGAACCGTATGCCGTCAGCAAAACCAGTCCAAATGGTGGGGAGAAGTCCATACCCAAAATTAACAAGAGTATCCACGTCATTGGGGGGGGCCTCAACGATGGCTGGATGCCTCACGAACTGCTGGCTGGAAACAAGTCACCGAAGCCCAAGGTTGAGTGGGAGACTGTGAAAGTGGACCTAGCAACTCGCCCAACCGAGGAATTGGAGCAACAACCGCTTTCCAACGCCAATGAATACGACTCGGCGCCGATCGAGCAGCCTTCGCCTCCAGAGTTAAGCCTCTTCGCTCGATTGCGCCAAAGCGTCTTCGGCCGATGAACTCTCCAATGACCGGCTGTTTAGTCCGAGAAGCAGGATGGGATAGCATATGTTCGCATTTACCAGGCACCACCTGCGCGACTCTCTGGATCGATGAAGAATCGCTTGAAGACAGGATCGCAGGCTTCCCACGATCCATCTCGAGCTCGACCATCGCACGTAAGGCCAAGCCGAAGGCAGCGCGTCAAGATGGCTTCGACAGTCCCCTGAGCTGCGGAAACTCCTGTTCCAGACCCTGACCTAGCTGGGTAATCAGTGTACAGTATACCCCATCTACATATCACATCCATAAGTACCAAATGCAGCAGTGGCTCTAGCGAAAGAACGGCCCATCTGTCGTCTTACGCTGTCGTAGTCGCAAATGTAGAAAAGAAGGGGATGGAAATGGAGATTGCTCAATGGTGTTGTATCATGCATGTGTGGTTCTATTAATGATAAACTACTTTCGGACGTGAAGCGTGGTCATGTCCATGTCTGCTATATACAAATACAAAAGAGACAAGCTTTTCTCCTCTACAGCATGAGCATAGACGTAATTCATATCATGCCTGCATTTTCGCGACCTCCTATGGGTATATGCGAAGTTCGTTATCCAAAGGTGTGTGCGTCCGTCATAACCTGTCCCCAAACCCAGAACGAACAAAATGAACACCAGCGCTTCCCATAAAGTATTCTTTTCCACACACGATCCACACCAAAAACGCGTTGCTCCCCAAGAAGAACAAGGATGGCATTCCAAGGAGGATATGGATCGCTGAGAAACTGGGACACAGATCTCCAGGTGTCCCCATTCCCAAATTCAAGCATGCTTCTCAATATGTTCTGCAAATAGGGTTGTTGGAATAGGAATTCATCACGGGTCGTTAAAAGATGTTCTGACAAGCCTGCTCTCGTGTAGCCAAAAGCAATTTGTTCGTCATTTCGTGGTATCATGAAATACTTGTGATCCGAACCCCGTCGTTGTCGGGTTCTTATGGTGATGCTGATGATAGAGCTCACTTGAGTGACAAACTCGCGGTGACATCTAGCAAGTCTGCGGGCGACACCTTCGCCTTCCCTTTCGCTTTCGCCTTTGCCGCATCACGTTTGCTCAAGACGCTTTTCAGGGCGCCCAACCATTTGGCCAGCTCATCTTCGTCTGGTGCACAAAATCGGTAAGATTTATCCTCCATGATCACCTGAAAGCAGTACCTCTTGGACTTGCTGATCGGATCGATCTCGGCGGCTGTGATGACACTGTTCATGTTGAAGATCTTCACAGCCGAGTATTCTTGTTCGTTCTTGTAGAAGGAAATGCCACCATTTCGCACCACCACCCAGATCCATTTCCATCCTTTGACACCCGTTTTATGCGATCTCAGAATCTGTAGGTGGCCCTGGCGAATTACACGTTCAGGATCCTGGTGCGATTCGGCAGATGAAGTGATCGTGGTTTGAGCCAGTGGGCTAAGATCAGATTTGGGGGCAAGCTGTTGAGAGGACGCAATAGGCGTCAGGGCAGGGGGTTTTGAAAGGGACATCGTGGCATTCTTTGGTAGAGAGCTGCCCAGCACATCAGAGAAGTCTGAATGTGAGGTCGTCAATTGCTCGTTTCCAGAGTACTCCTGCAGATTCGAGGCTCGCCGCTGTGGGTTAGCCAGATTCGACCCCGTTCGTGCCCGGGCTCTGATGGCAGTTGAAGGTGGGTCTGGTGAGCCCGGAGGATGCGGTTGGTCGTCCGCCGACAAGTCTGTTGATTCATATGTAGATGGGTCGTGGTGACCCTGAGACCATTTTGGAGGAAGCATGTCTAGTCCGTCGTCCTCAGTTCTGGTTTCGGCACGAATGTTGGATATCCAGTCAGCGGCATCCTTTGCCGATACCCCTTGAAAGTGGTAGTTCTTGGATGGGGAAAAGACACCGAATACATTCTCGGTGTGTGCCTTTCGGACTGGGGCGACCGCTGTGACCTCCGATAGCGTGATGGAGGCCTTTAAGTCTGTCTCATCTTCATTCTGATATATAGATAACAAGTTCGGCCGGAGCACGAGATACGCAGGCCTCCAGGAAGGTTTCCATGCTCCTTTGTTCTTGATCCGTCGGTTTACCTTTCCACGATGGATTTCGCGATCAAAACAAAAGCTCCCATTCTGATCTACTGGTGAGAAGACATCTAAGTTCCGATGACCAGATTTGTAGGAATTCTGTAGAACGAAGGGAGGGGGCATCCGACTGGGGGAGAGTTGAGGAGCATTCAGAATGGTCCGGGGTGGTGTTCTCGGCGGAAGCTGAGCGGCGGTAGCCATTTTAGATCTGCGAGGGTGAGATGCACCAAGTTGCAGGTCGTCGTTTCCTCACAATGAAAACAGTCTGGATGACAGAATATATCACCACTGACCAGGCAGAACTCGTTGTGTTGGCTGGCCACAGGTGGACACGCGAGGTGGGGAAGTTTGAGTGGGAAGGGCGCTCAAACAGATGTTTCAGAGACCGGGACGGAGAAGATGGGCTGTTCGCTGGCTTTCAACCCGTTGCAGGTCACCATTGTTTGAGGCTGATGAAGTGTGAGATGATGAACATCCGCCTAATATTCAGGCCTGGGGGGGGTGTGGCAGTGGCAGAGAGGCCTGGTGGCAGGTCGAAACGGTTGGTGATGCGAGAAGAAACTGTGGAAGGCGCAGGCAACCTCAAATCCGAGCTGATCGGCGTCGAGGGAACTTGAAAGGGTTTGATGCTGGATGCGAGGCTCACCATGGTTGGGGTTGCTGTGACGTTCTGCTTGGGGGTGCCAGTGCTTGATGCTTGTGCTGTGGCAACCTTTGCCTAGTAGGTGCCTAGCCCCCCAAGTAAAGCTTACCTAGAGAAGCCTAGGCGCCTAGGAAGAGGCATGATTTGCCGAATTAGGCGCACCTAAATATGGCTGGTACTAATTGGCCACCGACCAACAACTTTAATTGTTCAGGGGCACAGCGGTCTTAATTCTCTGTAATAAGGATAATAATAATAACTGGAGCGTCCTCGAGAGGATGAGCCTCTCTACACATGTGATCTGTGATCACTTGCTTACCTAGGCTGCTGATGAATTTTGGTAGACTCTGGCTTTAGTCGTTCCAGTTCTCTTATGTGATCCAGCGGTGGGATGGGTTGGAGGGCACTTCCTTTGGGTTGGGAAGGTGCATGGCCTTCATCAGGACACTTATGTCTCGTCTAGGTACTAACTACCTAGGTACGGAGGACGGAGTAGTCAGTTAGTAATAACATGTAGGGAAAAGTTGGAAAGGGGCATCGTGTTACTACGGAGAGGAGAAGCGGTTGACTAAGGATGGGCTTCACGAGCAGGGAGAAACAGCAGTGGATGAAGACAGCAGCTCGGGGCTTGGCGACGCGAGTCAATACCAATGCCAATGCCTCCCAAGGTTGTTGGGAATCGCCAGCCTGGCAGCGTGGTCCCAGGTGCAGAGTGCACCGAGTCCCCCGACCCTGCGACCCCCAGCGTCCCATTTTGCCTTTGCCTCTGGCCGTGCCCTTGGTGAGGACTCTAACTAGCAACCCACCCCACCGCAGGCAGGGCAGGCAGAAAGTGTGGGTGGTACAGCGTTAAAGCTAAACCTAGGGACAGAACAGACATTGAGCCAAACACCGTCGAGTTCAACGCGAGAGATCCTTTTTTCCATCGGAATCAAACTGCACTCTCCAGATCTGTCCTCAACTCCCTTGTCCTCACACCCCGAGTCTCGAGGAGATCGTCTTGATCTGTATATTTCTCACAACAATAATTGTAACGCGCTGCCGTCATTTGCTCCCAGATCTTCTCCATAGCATCCTTTTGCTCACCATCCCTATCCTCCTAATCTGCAATCTCTTCCCAAATTCCGGCTCCGACTTCGATTTCACCTTCCCCATCAACGACTCCCATCGAACCCAGCTAACATCTATCAATGCAGGGCTGTTCGATTTGTTCCTAGCCATCGTCTCTGCTCTCGTACCTTTTTGATGTCCTGCCTCTAAGCAACAAACAGCCGCGCCAAACGTGCTCACTTGTCAGCGGAGGCAGGGGGCGCTTCACAGATATGAGCTTCGTCCAACGCCTCATAAAGCACTTGCCTTCGGTGCCTTCTGCATCCATATCGGAAGATTGGAAGCATGAGAAGCCTCGGTCTCAGTCGAAGTTATCTTTCTTTCGAAGGCGCATTCGTTTAAAGGGAAATTCCTCCATATCCATACCACTGGGTTTTCTGCTTCTTTTCCCCAGTCTGGTGGTTGTATTAATTCTCATCCTCGTCATTAAACACCCCAATTCCACCGGACGTATACTGGTTCCAGCGGGAACCCCTCCTTCCATTCGGTATGTCACCAGAAAACCTAACAGTCGCCCCTACTAACACATTTACCAGCAAAATCAACGAAAGATACGATCGTGTGTTCGCCACTGGATGCCAGAACCCAGATATTGCCGCAAAAGAACCCCGGGCCAATGCTGCGTTTGTCGTGCTTGCCAGAAATAAAGAGCTGGACGGCGTCATCCAATCAATAAAAAGCATCGAGCGCCACTTTAACCGTTGGTTCAACTATCCATATGTCTTTCTCAATGACGGCGAGTTTGAGCAAGATTTTAAAGATACAATCACGAACTACACAAGCGCCCCGGTGGAGTTTGGAAAGATTGACGCAACAATGTGGGGCTATCCAGACTGGGTCGATCACGAAGTTGCAAGGGAAGGTATTCGAAAGCAGGGAGATGCTGCCATCATGTACGGTGGAATGGAGAGCTATCACCACATGTGCCGCTTCTACTCCGGGTTTTTTTACAAGCACGAGCTCTTGGACAAATACGAATGGTACTGGAGACTTGAACCCGAGATCAAGTATTTCTGCGATATCACGTATGATCCATTCATTGAGATGGCCAAGGCCAACAAGACATACGGCTTCACTATCGCCGTCAAAGAGTTGAAAGAAACAGTGCCCAACATCTTCAGATACGCGTCCGCATACAAGCGTAAGAACAACATCAGCTCCCAGGGACTGTGGGAGATGTTTGTAGAGAAGGAACCTGAGAAGAAGGTAACCCCGGAAGAGAGAAGGGCAAAGACTCTACCAAACGAAATCCTGCAGACCGAGCCCGGTCATCAAAACATCGAGGATATTGACCCCGAGTCGATGGAGGGAGAGAAGTACAACATGTGCCATTTCTGGAGTAATTTCGAAATTGCTCGACTTGACTGGTTTAGAAGTCGAGAGTATAACGAGTTTTTCGAGATGATGGATAAGAGCGGAGGCTTCTGGATGGAGAGAGTAAGAACTACCGGCAACCCAGCTCAGCTGAATCTTTCACTAACTACTGACTAGTGGGGAGATGCTCCCATTCATTCGCTTGCCGCCGGTGCACTTTTGTCACCTCGCGATATCCACTACTTCCGTGACTTTGGCTATCGGCACACGACCATCCAGCACTGTCCTGCGAACGCCCCAGCGAGGCAGCTTCCGCGTATTCCCTGGCTTGAGAAGACAACCCAAGATGAGAAAGAGCGGATCGAGGAGGACGAGTACTGGGCAACTCCGGACGTTCCCAAGGAGAATGGAGTTGGCTGCCGGTGTCGGTGTGACACTGACATCAGAGATGTGGAAGGGAAGGAAGGAAGCTGCTTGGCTGAGTGGGTTGAGGTCGCTGGCGGATGGTCATCACCTTGAGCCGTCTGGACTAGCTCCATTAATGTCTGGCACAAGATGTTTGATTATGCATTTGAGCAATCCGGCGTTGGGCGCTTGGTTTCAAGCAAAGACTTGAAATTCTGGAGGCTTGGAGGTCTCAAGAGGCTCGGACTTCCAGGGCAAAGACGTGATTGATGTCGAGTATAACACTTGGACTGCCTGCCGTGGACTTCTGAACAGTATATATGCTCTTTGTTCGGCGACTGAGCGCCTCACAAGTGACGGCAAGAGCCAAGCAACTGTTCGAACTGCGGACGCAAGTGACGCGGCTGAAAAGTGGTTGGTTGACTGCTGGCGTGAAAAGAAAAGCCCAATGTGTCATGTGACAAAAGGTCAGGGAACGGTCGGTTGCCAGCGAAGGTGTGGTCTAACACTGGGATTCGGAACTATTTCGAGAACACTTTACAAGCATTTTTTTGGTGACAGGGAAATGTTCATACACAGTCGTATGCTCTGTACAATGAGAAAGAATATATGAATATGGATGGCCCAGATGGATTCGATTCTGGCAAAATTTAAGGATGTCACTGGTGCAAGGCTACCTAGGTATGATACAGCCTTGTCCAGGCCTACCAGGGCTGATGGAAACTTTGATAAGGCCTTATCAACAGAGGAAAGGAGCCGTCTGACAGGATTCTCTCCGCGAGGCTGCTCCCGGGTTGGATCGTGCTTAGATATCGCCTGCAAGGCAAGGCCCAGAGACATCCGGCCCCTTCAGCTGACCGAACGTTGGCAAAACACATAAGAATTCCATGCACCCTCTTTCTTTGTTAAATGTCTAGATACACGGTACCACATACAGAGTACACCGTGCACCTACAAGATTCGGTAGACGAATATCGGATTCAAAGGGTGGAAATCCTGGTCTGTCAGACTGAGTCGCTAAGACCGACTAGCCGCGACTCGGACGCGACGCGGAGGGGCATGCGGGGTTCTTAAGACTTTGTCACTCGTCTGCCTTGCATCTTCATTCTCGGGACTGTCGATGCCTCCTGCTGCCTAATAACTTTTGCTCAAGGACATTTTAGTAGCAATCTTCCTCTTCTCCCTTCTGCTTCACCCATGAGGTGCAGCCCAGCTTTATTCTGACAGTGATAAGGAGCTTTGGATCAACTGCCTACTTTCGGTTCACCATCAGCTCATCGCCATTCTGACTTGCAATGTCGAAGTCGTGCTGAACCCGAACCGGTGATTTCAGGTTCCAACACTGGCTACTCTCAACACTTGTTTCAACCTCATTTCTCTGTGCCCATCCTCGTCTTTCCGGTAGGTCTTCTACCTCTTTCCAAAAACATACGAATCGAATCTTGATCCTCTCTCGGTACTTTCCAACAAACCACTAACCTACCTACATCCCGCCTGTTCGCTCCGCATCATGACTGACGAGCCTGCAAAGGGCAACCGCACAGAACCAACCATCCGCATCGACTTCTCTTCAGTAACTGACCTTACCTATCCTTCTCTCCCACTCGACCTGTCCCTTGACTCCTTACTCGCCCATTCTGCAACCCCTACTCCGTCCTCTGTCCCTATCATGCCTAAGTCCGAGACCGACACGTCATCCCTTGCAGAGAGTTGGGCTTCGCTTGCAGGCACTGAATTCTCACATGAAGATGACATCCACTCAGAGCACACAGATGTCGGCTCGCTCCTTGATGTCCACAGCTCAGATGATGTCCATAGTGTCGTAGATGCTGAACACCAAGAGGACCCCGAGGAGAGCTCTGAAGAAGATGACCATGGAGCAGATATCACAAGTTCCCAACAATCATTGCCATTAAGTCCATGGGATCGATCTGGACTCCACATCGATCACTCTACTTCCAACCTCGGAGCTTCCCTCACTGAGGCGGGGCCACCAGGTTCCCATGCCACATTGTCTATGGACTATCATGCAGAAACCCCTTTCAATGAGCATGAGAACACAGCACTACGTCGACATCTCCAATGCACCGACAATGCGGAACGATACTCAGGAGTCACCCGTATGGGCTTGTTGGCCCAAGGAGTGGACCTCAATACCCTTGACTATTTCAAGGTTGTACTACTTGGCAGAAGCATTGAGCAGTTTCGGCCAGAAATTCAAAGAAAGCTGGGTGATGTTCTAGTCTCGCAAGGAGGCTCAAGCCAATGCAGCTCTCGCGGATCTGTCACCAGATTCCACCTTGTTCCGAATACTTTTGGCCCCGGAGCGGAACCTGATTTTGCAGATCTCGTTGCTATTGACAAGCAGATCGATTTCGATTGCTACGACCAGGTGGACGAAATGGCGTCTAGCTACAGCAGAACAAACTTACATCTGAGGAATAGAAGCACCTCATCGGAATTCGTGTCGATGTGGAACGGGCGAAACTTCGTTGTAAATCAATCACGGTGGATATCTCCAGATCTCGCCATCATCTGTGTCGAGTTGGATAGCACTGGAAAACTAGACCACTGCAGCCACAACATGATCAAGTTCACAGAACGGCACCAGATCCCAAGGATTGTCATCCGCATGGATCGTGGATGGGCTGGTAATTATGGTAGTATTCAAGAAGAAGGCGATCTCCTTCACTCCATCAAGGCAGGATCTGAGCAGCCGCCACTCATCCTTCAGAGCACACTCAATTTCCCTGTGGACATAGCAACCTTTCTCAACCTTGAGTCTGCTCTACTCAACAAGCATATCGCTTTCATCGTCGCACGAGCACATGCACTTGCCTCTAGAATTGCTCCCGACTTCACACTCTGCCCTAATGATAGAAGCGAAGAGAAAGCCAGTCAGCCCTTGGGAAGGATCACAAGCTTCTTCTGGAGCGGATACTCCCTTCCCATCGTTATCTTTTCACTGGCAATCATATTGACCTACATGGTTGGTCTATTGTTTAGCATTTTCCTTTCACGACCAGCCCGCTCTCCGTCAGGCCTGTCCGCCCTCACCACTCAAATGCCTGACAACTTGCCTACAGCGGCAATCAGGTCCACGCCTTCTACACTACAAACTATACAGACATCATTGCCAAGCACCACGCAACAGTCGCTTGCGGCTCTGGCCCGAGATGACGAAGCCTGGCAACAAAAGCTGGCAAGGGCCTCGGTGAGTCGTAATAAGATGGCAAGAGATCCAGAGGCCCATTTCCAGGTTGGCATTGCGAGTCCTAGCCAGCTAATGGTGAAACTACCAAAGATAGCCACCACAAGCAAGAGGCGTTCGGTTTTGAATGCTAGCCTTAAACGTGGAGTAGAAATCCTTCCCGTCATAATACAGGAGCTGTTCGATGGAGTTTTCATTGTAACCCTTGAGCCTCGGGACAGCTATGGAGATATCGAGGTCTCATTGACAATGTCTAACCCCCCAATCACAGAGACGTTGACCTTGTCATTTGGAGGTCGGTCCCTTCAAAGTTATGACAAGTTGAGGATAGCCCTCAATTTTGTCAACGGCTATGCACGAGAGCTTGTTGCGCGTTTGTCACGACAAGTCACCGAAGCAAAAGATATCCCTGCTCACAAAATCGTCAATGACCTCAACGACATTGGCATGGCTGTGAACGCCCAGCTTCGGGAGATACGGGCGAAGGTATCAGCAGCTGGTTTGCTGCATGATGACATGCAGCTGGGCTTTCGATCTTGGGTTGTACATCACCTCAAAATGGCTGGGGCGGAAATTGTAGTAGTTTCACGGAATAGACTTGAGCAGGGACAGCGAGTCTTGAAGGAACTCTTGGCTAGTTTTACAATTGCACGGCCGACAGTACTGGATCGATTGCAACAGATAAGCAGTGCTGAAATCAAGCAGCAGATACACACCAGCGTTGTGGTCGACGGGCTTGCCTCTGCACAAGGGAGGGCTCAGTACGTGGTCTCGCGAGCGGCGAACCGACTGAGGCGGCTCAAAGCGAGTCTCGAAACTCGTGGTTGATGAGGGGACGATTGCCTGCTACTTTGCAGGGCTAATTTATGGAATATGACCGCCACTACACGAGAGTATGAATAGCACGAAGCATTTCGGCGTTTGCTATCGGAAGGTCACGGAGGTGCAGTACTGCAGTTTTGAGTGTATTTGTTGCTGGTAGCGAGCAAAGCCTGGGCAAGCATGATCAGTGTGCGCAACCTAAGATTATTGAGTGATGATACCCCGGGGGGAAGTAGCCTTTAGTTCAGAAGCAATCACACAATGTAGATCAAAGACTTGAGTGCTCCTACCTGGTGCAAACGCTTGAGACGGATGAAGTGAGGTGAGACTCGGTCGGATCACAACCATACAAGACGCAATACGTAGGCTGAGGCATAGAGCAGATAGTGCAGTGGTTCTATTTCAGGGGCGGCCACAGCAACGGGGCGGCCAACGCTAAACTCGAAGTAGAACGATGTCGTGGGTGGTCACTGGTGTTTGGCAGTGGTGTTTGGCTGCGCGGCCCTGCGCCCTCCTTGGAATTCAAAAAAGGTGAGACAGATTCAGTCTTGACTCCTTGACTCTGTCCCTCCACTTCCTCGTTGCCCGCCAACGCCTCTTCACTTACGCCTTATCGCATCCATTCGCTTCAAGTCCGTCATTCCATTTTGCGACATTCGTTACTGCTTCACTGCCGATTATTCCAGCCAACGCTTCGACTTGCTCCCTCGACTTTCGTTTGGCTCTGAGCATTTGCTTCCTGTCCCCGATCTCAATTCACCCGGCTGTTGAGCCTTCTTTGTTCCACCCATCTCTCTCCCGCCACCTCACGCCACCTGAGAAATCTTCCTGGCGCGACAGACGCCGGACGGTACTTCGTACCCTGATCTGATTTCCACCGCCTCTGTTCTCGACAACAGAATTTCAATCGCTGATATACCTCTGCCTCAAAACCCCCTTGATTCAGGGCCCTACCGGGCAGACCAACCACGATGGGATTTGGTTCTTTCGACACAATATGCGAGCAGGCTGCTCTTCCTCTCTGCTACGTCCTCGGGGCTCCTACCGAATTTACCTCTGAGCGCAATCCCGCGCTGTTGCCAACGTGCAGCGCAAGGTCTATTGAGTTGGCCAACACCATCATCTTCCAGGCCGCCACCGACTTCGCCCACATTGCGGCTTTGGGAATGACAGCAATCATGATTTTTCACGTCCGGTCCAAATTCACTGCTGTTGGAAGAAGAGAGATCTTGACATTCTTTTACATTTACAGTCTGTTGACCATCATCAGCTTGGTCCTAGATGCGGGCGTTCTACAAGCCACAAATTCTGGCCCGTTCCCTTGGTTTGTTGCTGTGCAAAATGGCCTGACCAGCGCCCTATGCACAAGTCTGCTCATCAACGGCTTTGTGGGTTTTCAACTGTATGAGGACGGAACCACCCTTTCCGTTTGGCTCCTCCGCTTGGGCAGTGTGCTCATGTTTGTCATTGGGTTCGCTGTCAGTCTGCTCACGTTCAAGGGATGGGCTGGTTTGACCCCGACCAACACCACCGGCCTTTTTGTTGTCTTATATATCATCAACGCTATTTGTGTGGCCGTTTACTTTATCATGCAAATAATCCTGGTGGCTAATACCCTTCAAGACCGGTGGCCATTGGGAGATCTTGCCTTTGGCGGGCTTTTCTTTGTCGCAGGTCAGGTCATTCTGTATGTTTTTGCCAAAAAGATTTGCGAAGGAGTAAATCATTATCTGGACGGTTTGTTCTTCGCAACTGTCTGTAACTTATTGGCTGTGATGATGGTCTACAAGGTAAACCCAAATTCTGGAATCGTGTCCCAACTTGGACTAATTTTGCTTTTAGTATTGGGACAGTATCACAAAAGAAGACCTCGAGTTCAGTGTGGGTACCAAGCAGGGGCATTGGGACGTCAAGGAATCCCTGCTAGAACCCACTGAGGACTACCGTACGAGCATCTACGGAGGCGGTCGAGAGAGCGTTTATGAAACAAGCAGCCTAGAGTACCAACCTCAAATACTTCCCCACCATACATTGAGCCGGGACCAGGCCCCTCAACAAGGCCCACAATACGAACCTCGACAAGGTCTACAGTATGGAGACATTCGACAGCAGTTAGGCACCTACGAGGACTTTGAATCCCAGCCTCCGAATTATCGTAATCGGGAAAGGGAGTATACTTACTGAAAGGCCTGTCGGTCTCTGTCGCAGTTTCGTCATCCATATATCGTCAACCCGGCCAACCTGCTCATACTAGGGCAAAGGTTGTTCATCTCGGATATCACTTGGGTCAAGACCTCATGGCGTTACGCTACGGTCTAGCCAACCGATGGGAGGCATTGAGTGGCATGCTAAGATTCGGATGTTGTGGATTTGTCTTCTAGGAGATTTGATATCCAAGTAATGAAGGTCTTTAGATATTCCCAACAACTACCAGCGGAGCATATAGGTTGAATGGTATAACTAACGACAAAAAGGCCAAGGCAGATTGAGATTGGTATTGCACCAGGAAACAAATACCCCTTTTGAATGAAGGATTCTCTGTAATTAGCATTAGTATTAGCATAGCATAGCATAGCGTGATATCTCCCCAACTTGCAGATATGCAATAAATACAATTCGATAATGTATATCAAAATACGTGAAGACAGGCAGACATGCTCCAACGATCGAAGCACACACAACAAAGTACTGCAGAGCCGACCACAGGATAGCAGAGCCTACACAGAGCATACAGAGCCTTGCCCTGCCTTGTTGGGGTGGTGAAAGGGGGAGGGGGGCCAGCACTAATTGGCGCCATCGGGCTACTGACCATCTCAAGCTTGGGAACTCAGATTCAGAAGGGCAGAGGCACGGAAGTTAAGACTGGACATCATAGCTTGGCTACTTGCCCTGAATTGCCGGCGGCTGTTTGACCCAGCCAGGGAAGGAGGCATGAAGAGCCCGGCTTTGTCGGTCGGGATGAATGAAGATTAAGAAACAAAGGATACGCAAGACTCACGTCCTGCTGCTCGAGAACTTGACGAGCTTGAGGCCTTGTTAGGTGTCCATGGTATGGTGGTCGTGAGCAAGCAGCGATAGTTGCAGGCCCTGGCAGCTTCGGTGCTGCAATGCCCCAGAGAGCTAATATCCCCCCCCCCCCCGATGGCCCTGATGGGTTCTCCGGCGTGCGTGGAGGACGCTTCAGGGGTCTTGGGCGAGCTCGTCGACTCGCAGTCGTTTCGACCGAGATGCAGATGCGATAAGCACATGGGTGTTCGAGATTCGGGGAGGAGAGATGGCCAGCGAAGTCTGTCGACAGCCTTGGGCCTATTGTTGCAAGGGTGTTCCGTCCCTCCTCTAATGGTGTGGAAAGTTCGAGCCTGTCATCAGCCTCAGTCCTTTCCACTCGTGGACGGCGGTCGTGATGCGACGACAGAGACGTTTGTGTTTTTATTGTTATCCTTACCATCCTGTAAGCTTGGTTTGTTCAGACGAGTCTTGGTCCCTGTGGGCTTGAAGGTCTTTCCCCGCTCTGGACACCGGAGCCTCAATCATCGACGATTGCTCCTTTGGACGTGCCGATGGGTATGCTAAGTTTCTACCCATGCCAAAGCCGTCCCACAGCAGTCATCTTTGTTGTCTGAGTAGTTGAACCGAAAGTGTTATCCGCCATCGGACCCTGTTTAGACAAGGCTGGCTAGATACAAGTTTGGGTGCGAGTTTCTTGCTGAAAACGTTGGGAATGACGTAACCAATATTGCCCTACATTCGCAAGGAGTCAAATTCAGATTTGCTGGGTCAAGGGCAAGTCATGATCGTTGGGAGGAACCAGTCTATTTCAGAGGAAGTTTTTGATATGACAGCTCACGGTAAGCAAAAATGTAGACTTGGTTTGCAACTTTAAACGCCACAAAAATAAACAGAGCAGTAGAGGGGGGAAGGCTAGATGGGTCAAGTGATGATGAAACAGTCACGATATGACTGAAAAAGATGGTTTGCGATATGACTTAGTAGTTACAAGCACAGGAAGCTTTTTCCAAATGCCTACTTGTCGACCATGTCGGCTAGAATCTAACCTACCTAAGCTCATGGTATCAAACAGTGGTGATTTGACCATAGATTTGGGACAACGCTTAGAATGGGCTGGGATCAGCAATGCTAGATTTTCTTGATCAAGGCGGTATTTTGGAGTCCATGAAACGAAATGGGCGTGGAGCTTGCAAATCGACCCGATTGTGGCCAGCTGCATGTTGGCTGTGGTGTCCTTGACCATTGTCGAGTCGAGTAGGACTCGTAATAGGCCCAATCGCAGTCCCAGAAATTGATTGCCCTTTTCTCCTGCCCAGAGGGGATGAAGCGCAAGACGCAAATGTTGCATGTGAAGAGGCGAAAACCCTCTGGTGGATGGTGGCCAGCATAAAGGCAATGTTGAGTTGATGCAGGCTGGATCGAAGGAGAGCATCCGCATCGTCATCCTCCTAATTATTCTCGTCATCATCGTCATCACGCGATGGTGTGGGCGGTACTGTACGTGATCGACGACGGGACCACAGAACAATTCATGTCGACCCTTTCATGACAGTATTGCAGATGCCTCAACTGGAGAGACGGAGAGACCCAGCGACTCCGCACTTAGTTACTACTACCTCGTAGCTACAGAATCGCGCTCTCAGGCATCAGAGTCACACGAGGGGGCGGTTCAAGCTCTGTCAAACATGTGGACGACGAGCTAGCGAGACTCGGACTGGGTGCAATTTGGTGATATTAGCGCAGTGAGTGTTGGGGGAGAGGGACCTTCCGAGCGACCCCATCGGGTGGCATGTAGGCAAGCAAACGAACAACATCTCTGACGGCCTACCCGAGTACAAACATGGTACAGGTCGGTAAGAGGTCCTCCCTCTGCACATGTGGACAAAAGGAGGGTGAGATGATTCGCTTGGCTTTAACATCCCCCCCGTTGCCCCTTCACTAGTTAAGAGAGTTGTGCAACGATTTGCATGACACCCGGATACCTCGTACCATATGTGCCTAGGATGAGGTACTCGTAGTGTTGAGTGCCGGGTGACGATAGATTGGTAATAGATGCAATGTCGGTGAATATCCATCCATTCCCACAAGACTTGGCAACAGGTTGTGATAAGCAAGCAAAACCGAGTCCCAGCCGCCAGAAAGGAAGCCAGTGACCCTGGTGGTCAGCTCGGAATCCAGCGGCACGTGGAGGAGGCCTTCCAGCTAGTCGGTGCGACTAACTGGCTAGCCGATGCGGAGCGTTCAACGCGAGATCTTATGGCTTATCCGGAGACTGACTGGCCCACTTCACAGTGCCCCTGCCCGCTGGCGACACGCGAGGTGAGTCGATGATGGTGGGGAATCGTACTCACAGGTGACTTTTGGAAGTTTACGTTGTTCAATCCAGACCCTGCATAATCCCAGTCTGGCTTTCTCAAGAGGCATGAGGTGAAACATGTGTCTTGATTAATTTCAATCACAGTTGGACTCTCGAAGCCATCGATTCACGAGTAGGGAATGCCAGGTGCACACGTACGAGTACGTAGCAGGCTCAACCAGAGCGAGCTGGTGGCTTTCTCCTCACTTGATCTTGCCCATTGGTGCCGAGTGCCGAGTGCCGGAGCGTTCATGATCCTGATGGCGGTAATGCTGCTGCAGATGATGATTTGGCAAGCTGCGCTCATCACTATAAGCAAGTACCAAGTGAACATCGGGGTCGTCAGTACAACTTGGGTCTGCAGCAAGTCATATCAGCCCCTCAGTGTCGACAATCTAATACCACCATGTTAATGATTGGTATTGCCTCCACTACTACGTGAACCATCGTGGATTCGTGGCCGTGAAGAAGGCTTCTCACAGATCCCTCGTCTTCCCAGAATTTACGTAGTCGCGTTGCTTTAAGAATGGGAAGCCTAGACCACTCAGCCTCTCATTGCGCCTGCTTGACTCCGTTGGATAAATACTTGCGAGCAATGAGTTGAGCCGAGAAGTCGTTGCATGAAATGATTCTACTCGTAGCGCTAATTCTCAGCTTGATCATACTTCAAGGCCGGAGATTGCATGTCAATCAGCAACATTGAGATATTGGATATCGTGCTGTCTGACTGAAGCAAAGACAGTAAGATCGTTGAACCCGGGGATTGAGGGTATGATGTGCTTTCCATACACACTCGCGAAATTTTCGGTGCTGCGTTCCTCCTGAATGAAAAGGCACCCACCGATCTTGTAACAATGTAGAACACCGCTGGGCAACGCGAGGTCAGATGTGACACTTCGACCCAGTGTGGAGATGAGGTCACACTGCAAGAAGATATGCCTGTAACACGGAAGCTCGATCTCGCGAAAGGCAGTGGCAGGATAGTGTAGGACGGAGCAAATCCCAAGATCAGTCTCGGTGTACCTATCCAACCGTAAGGGAGTGTAATCTGGCGGAGGTTGTGGATCGTACTGTACGTCGTCGTATGCCAGCAGTGTGCAAAAAGAAAAGAAGCCGAAAGTTGAAACAGAGTAACTTACCTGATTTTAGGCTTTCCTATACGAGGTAGGCCGGGCACTGACGACGCCTTCAGGTGGGGATCATGAAGGGTTCCATTCCGAACCGCAGGTCTGCTAAAAGAGGTCAACGATCTGCCTTCCAGTAGGGAGGGATATTCGACGACGTTGTTCCTCAGGCTAGGCAGACATCGACGAGGGGGGTCCAAGGCTGATCAAGAACATGATGGTGATCCAGTGGCAATTCTACAGCTACCGACCATCGATGCGAGAGGGGACGAAGGCTCGCAAGCGTCAATCAAGGTGCCAGGATGGTTGTGGTGGAGCGAATGCAATGCTGGTGCTGTTGCGGGTAAAATACGGAGTAACGAGCAAAGGACAAGGACCAAGATGTCTGCGACTCTGCCACACTGCCACACTGGCAACCGTGGTCAGCAGCAAGTGGCATAAAAGGAAGGTGTCCGGGAGGGGGCCAAGAAGACAGCGACCGTCAAATCAATGCAAGAGAAAAGGCTATCTCTGCCTCGAGCATCGGCAGGCCGGCTTGATGGTCGGACGAAGGAACTGCAATCAGCAGTTGACCAGGCATGAACCGGCACGGAGCTAATGAAGGTACGAGTAATGTGAGCCTTGACTTGAACCTTCCAGTCACAGCAAGCGTCTTCGGATGATGTGGAAGGAGGAGTGGGCATGGAAGTACTCGT